TTAGGCGGGCATTATTTTCCAATTTTGAAGTCACACAGCTTTTTCTTTTGGTGCATCGTCATAGATTTACTTTTACTGCGATTCTCATTTTTATCTCCTTGGCCTTTGCTAGACAATAGACGCTAATGATGGATTTGCGATTAGATTTGCAATCATCAGGGTTTAATTAGGCTGACATCTAGGAAAATAAACTTGGATTTGGATTGGTCTTCGTTGATGGATATTTTGAGACACAACAGTTCCAAAATGTCACTATTGGTTTGCAGTGATAATTGAATGATTTGATTTGATTCTCTTATTTTCCTGAAAGGAACTTATGATATTTAGTACGACAAGAAGTGTTGATATAACACCATGTAACTTGTTTGTGAAACAGAACCTGAGGCCCCCCCATAAGGTGTTGTCACTTGTCATTGGCTGCATCTATACTAGACGAATACTATATTTGCATACTTCCATCTTTCCTTTTAAATCATCATCAAAATGTCTGTGACTGATTAAGCCATGCTCCTGTGTGTCAGGGTTGTTCCCTCATGTTCATGTAGATCCATTTTCAATTATTCACTTTGCATTATTGTAGAACTTTACTATTATACATAGTTTTTTTTGTCTTCTTCTGGCTCTGGATTTTCACCTCACGTGGAGTCTTTAGCACTTAGCAGTGTAGCTTAAAAGAATATTTTAGAAGTTTAATAGTAATCTGACCTTTCCTGTGATATCATCTCACAGAACATTGGAGCTGATGTGAACCAGAAGCTCTTCAGAGGATTTGCAACAACTGTAGCTGTAAGGGAAGGTCATTTTGATGTATTTGAGATTCTACTCAAAGCCGGTGCTTCTCAGCCCGCTTGTGAAGAAGCTCTAGTAGGGGCGAGCTGTCACGGACGCTCGAGGTTCGCTGAGCTGCTCATGGGAACTGATCTTATTCGGCCTCATGTCGCTGTCCATGCTCTAGCCACTGCTTGTTGCAGAGGTTTTGTGGACGTTGTAGGGACCTTGCTCAAAGTAAGTTCTTAATCTTGTGGTTTTATAAAGTGACCACTTAAGAGTTGTTCAACAGGCATTTCACAGAAGACATCTTTATGTTTTTGTTTCATTACAGTGCGGAGTAGATGCTAATTCAACTGATAGGCTTCTTCTTCAATCCTCAAAACCTTCTCTTTATACAAATGTGGACTGTACAGCTCTTGTTGCTGCCATTGTCAATAGGCAAGTCTCTGCTGTCCGCGTGCTACTACAGGTAATTTTTGGCTCTGCAAAATTGAAAATTTGTTCCTTGCAAGGAGAGAGTATGTATCTAAGACATCAAAGCGTTTCTTTCAATGATATGCACAGGCTGGTGTCAAGACAGATATCATGGTGAGGCTTGGAGCATGGTCATGGGACACTAACACTGGAGAAGAGTTCCGGGTGGGAGCTGGAGTGGCTGAGCCCTACCCTTTAACCTGGTGTGCTGTAGAATACTTTGAAACCAGTGGCGACATTTTGCGTTTGTTGCTTAAAGTCCAGTCTCCAAACACTCCTCACAACGGTCGGACTCTTCTACACCATGCCGTCCTCTGTGGCAACCAGGCAGCCGTCAGTGTCCTCCTTAACTGTGGCGCCGATCCAGAAGCTCCTATTAAAACTTCCCGAGGCATTGAACTCAGACCGATTCATATTGCTGCACGTGACGGATCAGTGGATATTATACAACAACTGGTTGGCTTTGGCTGCGATATAAATTCAAAGAATGATGCTGGAAACACTGCCCTGTTGATATCAACAAAACACAGACATTCAGAGTGCGTAAAGGTTCTCGCCCTTGCTGGTGCTGATTTCGGTTTAGTGAACAAGTTTGGTCAGTCTGCTGTTTCGATCGCTGAGTCAAACAAGTGGTCTCTTGGATTAGAACGAGTAATTCTTGAACTGATCCGGTTCGGTGTGGTTCCACATTCAAGCAACGCTTCAGTATTCTCGCCTTTGCTATACGTGGCTCAGGCAGGAGATACTGAGGCACTTAAAGCTCTTGTAAAAGCTCAAGACATCTACCTAGACTATCAAGATGAAGAAGGCTTTTCGGCTGCAATGCTAGCGGCCATGAATGGCCATGTTGAAGCATTCAGAATCTTAGTCTATGCAGGCGCAGACGTGAAGCTATATAACAACTCTGGCGACACGGTAGTCTCTCTGTCTGAACAGAACGGTAACCGTGACGTGATAGAGAAGGTGATGCTCGAGTTTGCTCTCGAGAAGGACAGCAGAAACATGGCAGGCGGGTTCTATGCTTTACACTGTGCTGCACGGCGTGGAGACGTCAAAGCAGTGAAGCTCTTGAGTGGAAAAGGATACGGTCTGGACATCCCGGATGGAGATGGCTACACTCCGCTCATGCTTGCGGCCATAGAGGGCCATGGACATATGTGTGAATACCTAATCTCCGGTGGCGCAAACTGCAGTGCTAAGAACGGAAGAGGGGAAACGCTGCTGGATCTTGCGACTGGTGATGCAGAGAAGGTGATCCGTAATGAGTTGTCTCGGAGGTTTGTGATAGAAGGAAGCAATGTGATGAAACACACCAAGGGAGGGAAAGGGAAGAAGCATGGGAAGGGATTGAAAATGTTGGAATCAAGTGGAGTACTAAGTTGGGGAAAGTCGCGGAAGAGAAATGTGGTGTGCAAGGAAGTAGAGATCGGGATGAGTCAGCGGTTCAGGAGGAACCGTAAGGGGAAAGGCGATGCAGCAGAGGAGGAAGAAGGGATTTTCCGGGTAGTGACTACGGAAAACAAGGAAGTTCATTTTATGTGTGAAGGTGGGTTGGTGGGTGCAGAGATGTGGGTGAGGGGAATAAGACTTGTGACCAGAGAGACAATTTGTTGAAGAACTCAGACCCAGAATTAATGTTGTTTTGTATGTATATAAAGAAGTTTTGAGAAAGGGAGCTTCATTTTGAAGGTAGTGTTCTTCTGTTGTGTTGGGGGTGTTTATAGTTGTTGGGTTGGCTTAAGAAGATTGGTTTCAAATTCTAGGTTTGATATCTGCAGTATATTTGTGAACTGTGAAGTAGTTCGAGTTGCATATGAATGAAAACTAAAACATCTCAGTTGATTTGAGATTCTCCAAATTGGTTATTACTTTGTCCAAAACAGAGACTATTTTAAACTTACTTGTTTCACAGTCTTAGATCCAGCACTAAAATTCGGCATGTGATACCTGGATATCAAAAAACAAAATGAAGTTCCTGTCTCTTTTAAAAAGAACATAAGTTACAAAATGTTAAAAAAACATTACATCACACATGAAGTCAGCACTTTTGTTTACCAGTCACCAACTCAACAAGCAATAACCAACAGAGATAAACAGAGAAGCTTTGAAGTTCTAATCGCTACTGTAACCACCATCATCGTTATCCTTATCTTCATGGTCCTTCACCACTCGCTCTATGAACTGTCTTCGAACTCCAGCCATCACAGCTTCCCTCGAGGAGTCATCGTCTCCTCCTTTGCCATCGTTAAGAACTGGCTCTGATTGACACAGAAGTAAGGCTACACCTGAAAAACCAAATAAGTTGCAAAGTATGTTCAGACATGAGCCTACGAAAATTCTGCTCAACACATGATACAATCGCAAACGTGATCACATCAGGTCTCAGATCAGAAAAAAGGCAAGAGATTAGACATGATATAATCATCAAACACAAATGGGTACAGATTATATCAGACAAACAAGGCTTCAAACTTACTCTCTGGGGTGCACCTACGGCCAAAGCTCTTCAAGCCTACATGAGTTCCTTTAATGGCGCCATGGTGGTACACCAGCAAGGTAGGAAGATTGCAATCAGGGTAGTTCGGGATACAATCAGTAGATATTATCTTAACGAACTTTGTTGCTGGATATCTACTACCCAATTCGTCTAGACAACCCAATAGCAAACCACACTCTGCAAAACTATCAGAGAACAACAACAAGAAACAAACATGAGTTAATTTTATTTCAAGCATGTAATAAAGAATGGTTCTTCAAGAGGAACCAGAATTCACACAAATAATTCAAAACATACCCATCTTTGTAGAGGCATACAACAACCCAATCTTCAGCAGAAGCTTGCGTAACCTCCCGCACGAAATCAGATCCCGAGATTGGAGTCACTGTTCCATATCTTTTAACTTTAGCAGCTTCTCTTAGCTCAGACAACCTCTTCTTCCTATCAAAGCATCAAGACACATTAGTGCCTGTCAATCATGAAGTGTGTTGCACATTTAAGTTTAGACTATCCATCAACATCTCAGATAAGATACTACCCTCAATTGCATTCATATCCAAAACACAACCGAGAAAAACCAGAGCTTGATAATTGCATTCCCTAGCTACATTACAACAGATCCGAAAAAATTGAATTCACAATCCAGAATATCACCACAACAAGGATTCTCCAGAACAAAATTAAGATTGAAAATACAAAAATCAGAATGTTCGATACGATCTATGAACCTGTATTCTTCGAGAAAGCGATCATCGTCGAGATCTTTGTCGTCCTCAAGATCCTCAAGCTCTTCCTCTGTCTTCTTATCAAACCATGCCTGATCCTTAGGAGCTGAAGACTCGTCTTCCGCCGGAGTATAAGCCGGAGGTTTGAAAGCCGGAGCCTTCTCCGGTAGATTCCCCAATTTCCGCTGAATATCGTCCCATTGAGTCGACGCTCCTTCAACGTCCTTGTACACGAAATGATAGTCCGCCATCGAAGTTTAACCACCTACGAAGCTTCAAATCTTCTCCGTTACAGAGAACCTTCGAATATGAGATGAGAAAAAAGGAGATTGCTTTGACACTCTGTGATCGCAATCTCGTTCCTTTTCTGGAAGACGATTGATCGGACTAAACCGAATAATTGCTCATCTTATTCGTACCGAACCGATATTATCTGGTTTAAAAGACGGTTAGTAATTGGTTTATAATTCTAATAGAACCTCTGAACCGTTCGGAGGGTCCGTATATATATATATTATGAGGGCATGTATTTTATGGAGAAGATCCAGAGATAATTAAACAAACAGTTTAGCAAAAGATTTTGAGAGGGAGAAAAAGGCGATCGATTAGGGTTTTTTGTTTTCGTCTGAATATTGAAGATGATCGGAGTTATGAACTCGGTGGAGGCTGTGATAACGTCAATCCAAGGTTTATCGGCGAGTTCAGAGGATTTATCCGCACTTCACGATCTTTTGAGAGGAGCTCAAGACTCGCTCCGAGCCGAACCAGATGTTAATTTCTCTACTCTTGACCAGCTCGACGCCTCCAAGCACTCTCTCGGTTACCTGTACTTCCTGTGAGTTTTAACCTATTCGTAGATGTTTGGATTTTTCATGTCTCTTACTGGATTGGGTTTTTGTTGCTAGTTTGTGTATACGTAGAGGCTGATTGTTGATTTTGGTTACTGGAACTTGATGTGTGTGATTAGCTTGAAGGTTTTTACAAGGAGAATTGTGTATGTTATTCGATTTCTGATCTTTGAATTTTTTTTGTATGGTTTGATTGTTCCAGTGAGGTTCTTACTTGTGGTCCAGTTTCCAAGGAGAAAGCTTCTTATGAGATTCCGATAATTTCACGGTTCATCAACTCTTGTGATGCTGGGCAGATTCGTTTGGCGAGCGATAAATGTAATTACTGACACTTATGGGATCTTATCTCGTCTTTCTGTGTTTTTTCATTTTTCCCTTTGGGGAGATGGATGATGCTATTATTTTGATCTTGCAGTTGTATCTCTTTGTAAGAGATTGAAAGACCATGTTTTAGAAATGAGAGATCCCTTGCGAGGGGTAGGGCCTCTGTTGACTGCTGTTCAGAAGCTTCAGGTCTCCACCAAACGTTTGACTGCTTTGCATCCAGATCTTCTTCAACTCTGTTTGCAGGCGAAATCGTACAAATCTGGTTTCTCCATTCTTAGTGATGATATCGTGGAGGTTGACCAGCCAAAGGACTTATTTCTCTATTGCTATTATGGGTAAGCAAGTTTTCCTCATTGATATCTGTTTTTTTTCCCTTAGATCAATGGTTGTATTAACACATTAAATCCATCCTGTTGAGTTTGTTTTATAGTATTTTCTTATTCTCGTCCTTGATCCCCCTGGATTTTTGACAGGGGAATGATATGTATTGGACTGAAGAGATTTCAGAAAGCATTAGAGCTTCTTTACAATGTAAGGCATTTGATTTTCTCTCTTACATGCTTTTTATCCATCAAGGACTTTTGTTTTAGTTTTAACTTAATCTAAGTACTTGTATCAGGTTGTGACTGCTCCTATGCATCAAGTCAATGCCATAGCCCTTGAGGCGTACAAAAAGTACATATTGGTGTCTCTCATTCACAATGGGCAGGTAAGGCTGTGTTCTTTATTTTTTACTTTCTTTGTACATCTAGTTTTCTGTCGTGGGAGCGATTATATTGCACAAGTCTGAATCCACTGGATGTTTTGAGTAATGTTGGTTTCATATTTACATCCTGTGTCTGATTTTAAATTCAAGCATTGGTTAATCTTATGATGTTATTCTTATTATCTTTTATAATTTTTACTTGTGCAGTTTACTAATAGTCTCCCCAAGTGTGCTTCTACAGCAGCTCAGAGGAACTTCAAGACCTTTTCCGGAGTAAGTTTGAACCGCATCATTAGTTGTATTTTTCATGTTTGAATGGAGGCTGGTCCTTTTTTTCACTTCAGTCCAAAGATTTCAGTTGTTTCGTACTCCATACCAGCTAGATCTATTTACAGGCTTATGATTTTATTGTTCAGCCTTACATTGAACTGGGTAATTGTTACAACGACGGAAAGATTGGTGAACTTGAGGCATTGGTTGTGGCCAAGAGCGCAGAGTTTGAAAATGTAAATTTCGACTAAACATTCACCATAGTTTCTGTACTGATATTAATATTCATTCCCTTCTATAACTTAGACGAAATGCTATTTCAGGATAAGAACCTTGGATTAGTTAAGCAAGCAGTGTCATCTCTTTACAAGCGTAACATTCTGAGATTGACACAGAAGTACTTGACCCTGTCGCTTCAAGATATAGCCAACATGGTCCAACTTGGTAATGCTAAGGAGGCGGAAATGCATGTGCTACAGATGGTATCGTGTCCCACACTTGATTTTTGGAAGCTAGCTTATTACTTTAACTGGTATGTTGGACAATATCATGTTTTTCTTTACAAACCTGCAGATCCAGGATGGTCAGATACATGCGCTTATCAACCAGAAAGACGGAATGGTCAGATTTTTGGAGGACCCTGAGCAGTACAAATCTAGTGAGATGATCGAGGTCATGGATTCTGTTATACAAAGGTATGTCTACAGAACCAAGTGTTGTTGTGATATTTTTTTTTGGGGGGAAACATTACTTCAAAGTTGAAACTCCTAAGCCACCATGCTTTCTCTGGGGAAAACGAAAAAGAGAAAATTTGATTCTCCTTTCTTAAGGAGTGCATAATTATTTCTTGGAATCAAGTTGACATGGAGATGATTGTTTTGCCAAAGTAAAGTAGTAGCATTAAACAAGCTTTGTGTTTTGATATGACTTTCAGGACTATTGGGCTGTCGAAGAATCTCTTAGCCATGGATGAGAGCTTATCATGTGACCCTTTATACTTGGGAAAGGTAACTTAATGCCATGTTCCATTAGACTGTTCTGTCCTGGAACCCATGTTTCTCAGACTAAGCCGTTCGACTACTTTTTGTCAGGTTGGAAGGGAAAGACAAAGGTATGACTTTGGAGACGATTTTGATACTGTCCCCCAGAAGTTCTCCATGTAAACAGCGGAAGACCAAAAGCACCAGCAAAACTTGGCTCAAAGACAACCGTAGTTGTGAATCTTGAGAATGTTTCTTCTGATTTCTTTGTTCATTTTTGTTGGTTTTCTTAAAAATTTCATATTTTTGTCACAATGGCCAACAAGTAGAGAAGAAGACCTTTATGGACCCGCAAATCTTTTATCATGGCCCTTGTCCGTATCTGTGGTGCTAATTTACGCGGGTTTAAATTGCTCCTTCCCTGATGGTAGAGTATTCTAAACGGCGTCGTATCAACTCTGCCATAAAGTCGTAATCTGCGTGTCGTTTTGGGAATCTGATAGGCTTCGTCGTTGTGGTTTGGGCTAGTTGCAGGCCCATTCTCGCTAAACGACAAGTATATTTTTATTTGTTTACTCATTTTTTATGTCGCATCTTCTCCATTTCGTTTTCAACCTGATTTCTCATTTCCCTCTCTTATCCTCAATGGAAAAAAAAATCTGAGAAAACGCAAAAGAAGAACAGAGCCAAATCCTCAAAATCGCCGCCGGAGAATCTTTACGTTTCGACAGAATCGGAATCTTGGAATTGATAATTCCGATGGAAGGGGTTATCACATGTATCCATACCAAATGCGTCTCTCTTCCAATTCGTTCTTTCCCACTTTCTAGGGTTTCGTCACTTCCTCGGTGGAGGAACACTAAATTGATCTCTTCATCGCGATCAGTTCCTCTAAGAAGCTTGTGTGTTTCGGCTTCGAGCTCAGATACTTTAGTCGCGGGCGGTTCACCAAAGGAAGACGAAAGGCAGAGCAAAGTATCGAGCAAGAAGGAAGGAGATGACTCCGAGGATTTGAAGTTTTGGATGGATAAGAATGGTTTGCCACCTTGCAAGGTTATTCTGAAGGAGAGACCAGCTCATGATCAGAAGCATAAACCCATACATTACGTTGCTGCTAGTGAGGATCTTCAGGTGGTTGACTTAGCATTTCAATAGTTTGATATGCTTTTAAACAGTTCTGTTGGGTTTTCGAACTCTCAATTACCAGGATTTGATGGTAAATCTGTCCTAATAACCTGTCTTTTACAGAAGGGTGATGTGGCGTTTTCAGTTCCTGATTCTCTGGTGGTCACTTTGGAAAGAGTTTTGGGAAACGAGACTATTGGTATGAGACATTCTCTATTACGTTTCAAGAAGCTACTATTTTGATCATGCATAATCGTATTTGGATTAGACTTTGAAATTTCTCTTAGATGGTTGCAATTTGAGTGTGGACATAATGGATTTTTGATGCTTAACTGAAGCCGTAACCTCCCCATTTTTCATGCAGCCGAACTGTTGACGACGAACAAATTGTCTGAATTGGCTTGCCTAGCTTTGTATTTGATGTATGAGAAGAAACAAGGGAAGAAATCAGTTTGGTATCCCTATATAAGAGAACTTGATCGTCAAAGAGGAAGAGGTCAATTAGATGCGGAATCCCCGTTGCTGTGGTCAGAGGCTGAGTTAGATTACCTAACTGGTAGTCCGACCAAGGTATTGCGTTAGTATATGCATGACATGTGATGAACTAGTCTGGTGGGTTCTTTAAGTATTGATCTTCTTTAACATGGTCCAGGCCGAAGTTCTTGAGAGGGCTGAAGGGATCAAAAGAGAATACAATGAGCTTGACACTGTCTGGTTTATGGCTGGATCTTTGTTTCAGGTGTTTGACCACTATCTTTGTTACCTAAGACTTCAGCTTTTTTTTTCTCAATTTAATATATGGAATGCTAAACAGTGGCAGCGGACTTACATCATGTGATTTGTGTTTTGCAGCAATACCCATTTGACATACCAACTGAAGCTTTTTCATTTGAGATTTTCAAACAGGCATTTGTTGCCATTCAGTCCTGTGTGGTGCATTTACAAGTAATTTTCATTCTTTTGGATTTCCTCTTCGCAACTTGTATGTCTTGCCGTGTTAAAATGGTCTTACCTCTATTATTCTATAGCTTAATCTGAAGTTTAGCTTGCATAGAAGCAACTAGTCAGGCCTTGCTTGTTGCTTCTTCTAATTTAGATTGTTATGTTTCTTCCTGTACTCAGAATGTTGGTTTGGCTCGTCGTTTTGCTTTGGTTCCTCTTGGTCCTCCCTTGTTAGCCTATTGTTCCAACTGCAAGGCAATGCTTACTGCTGTTGATGGTGCTGTTGAGCTCGTGGTAGATAGGCCATATAAGGCTGGGGATCCTATAGTTGTCTGGTGCGTCTGTGAGCCAAATTGCTTCCGACAGCTAGCTTTTTCATTCTGATCCATCCTTCATACTTTTGCATTTCCTCATTTGAAGGTGTGGGCCACAACCTAATGCGAAATTGCTTCTGAACTATGGATTCGTTGATGAAGATAACCCTTATGATAGAATAATAGTTGAGGTAATTATGAAACTTTGTTGCGTTACTGTAAACACTAGTGTAGTGTTGATATGATTTTCTCACTATTTGCATGTTTAATGCGTCATATGCATTCCAGGCAGCATTGAACACTGAGGATCCTCAATATCAGGACAAGAGAATGGTTGCTCAAAGGAACGGAAAATTATCCCAACAAGTTTTTCAGGTATGAACGTGTGACTTTCCCATGTCGACAAGTCTACTTGGAGATGTTTTTCTGATTTTGGATTTACATCCACCTCAGGTTCGTGTGGGAAAAGAAAGAGAAGCTGTCCAAGACATGCTTCCCTACCTGCGGTTGGGTTACATGTCTGATCCTTCTGAAATGCAATCAGTAATTTCGTCCCAAGGTCCAGTTTGTCCGGTAAGTAGAGGATGAATGACTTGACAAACCTTTTTTCTAAGTAATCTGTTGATATTTCCTTAATTGCATCAAATGCTCTGCCCCTACATGTGAAGCCTCCAATGTTACTTCTACATATAAAGTTGTTTCCACACTTGTAAAGGTTCAACTCTCTGGCTCTTTTGTAGATGAGCCCCTGTATGGAAAGAGCAGTACTAGATCAGCTTGCTAATTACTTCATGAGACGGTTATCTGGCTACCCTACTACGCCAAAAGAAGATGATGCATTGGTATGTCGTTAGACTTTGTGATTGCTACAAATCGAGCACATTTTTTTTTGGTTTTCCTGCATGATATTTATAGAATTCCCAATAAATAGTTGGCAGATCCTAGTTTGAGTCCTAGGAAGCGAGTGGCAACCCGGCTTGTCCAATTGGAGAAGAAAATACTAGCTGCATGCCTTACGGCAACAGTCGATTTGTTAAATCAGTTACCTGATACAGCCATCTCTCCATGCCCAGCACCATATGCTCCTTCCTTGAAATAAAAAGGCACTCATCTCATTTCCAACCCATTATCTTGCAAATAATAACTAGTATATTCTGACCTTCTAAAGCTTATGTTGGTTCAGGTTCGTGTTGTAGCTGCAATTTGTAGGACATGGCAGGAGTAATTTTTGGTCGTGTCCTTGATCATTACAATCGGTCGCTTAACTATGGTCAGTTTTGTGTGTACAAGTCTAGATCTGATCCTTTGCGGCTCAAAAACATGACACTAGGAAGTTTCCCAATTAATTTTGATTTGTAAGATTTCTTGTTAGCTTCAAAGCCGAAATCTATCTCCTTGTAGATGGTTTTATTGTTGTTTCTGAATTCAGAAGCTGATTTCAAAGTTTTAATGCATTGCAAATTGCAATTGCAGGTACGTAAGGTACTAGGAGCGTTATCTGTCGCATGACACGCAAATGTTTCAGCCTATGATTGTCCTTTTTTCTTACAACAAATAAGCTTAAGTCGCATTGTCCAAAGTGTAAATTACAGACATGATTGAACTTTGTTGTTATTTCCAAAAAAATGAAAAATGAAATTGAGCATTTTATCTTCAGAGGTTCACAGATTTTTAAGCTTCAAAAACGTCAGGACGAGCAGATAGAGCTAACAAAAACGGCAAGCGGTTCTTTGATTACGTTGACTCATAAAAATCTTCTCATCTAAAATATCTATTGGTGTCTCACTAGTCACTACATCTGTTCGATTAAAATCCGACGGTGTATATTGATTGATTGTTCTTGTGTGTTCCCGTACCGAATCTCGTTAACCGCGCTTCACCGTTAAGTGTGGAATCAGACAGTGAGAGACGAGAGAGAGAAACAGATATTTCTCTTTCTACTTCTCGGTCGTCTTCGTCATCTCCCTTTTATCTATTTCCACATCAAACTTTTAGGGTTTTTGCTCCTCCTCTAAGGTTTCGCTTCTTCTTAGGTTCTCTGTCTTCGTTGGATCATCGATTTTATCAATTGCTCTGAAGTTCAGTCGGTGAGTTCCTTCCTTTTTGCGATTTTGGTGTTTACTTCCATCGGACGATTCGAAGTCCTCATGTCAGTACGAGTTAAGATTTGAATCGCTGAATTTAGGGTTTTGAATCATTCATCTACTATCGGATCGAGATTTCTGTTTTAGAGTTGTAAGTAAGAGTCTTCGGAGATTAGCTTTCCGAAGCAAATCCGTCATACTAGATGGTTTGTTTCCTGCAGGATTAGACTGATCCGAAGCTCTACACGTGAATAAGGGAATCTATTTCATAATTTCTAGATATGACAGTAAGAAACGGTGGTTTCCCTGGAGATTATTGTTTTGAGACACCCGGTGGAGATTACGATGAAGGATCTGATAGCCCTAGTGCCTCTGAGGGTTCTAATTGTTCCAAAAGAAAGCTCGGCGGGTTCAACTATACTGACCGTGATACTTTTGGCGTCTCGAAAATGGTATTACCTTTGTCTGGCCTTTCATCATCAGATAGGAAGGAGTTGATTCTTAGGCTAAGACAAGAGCTGGAACAGATAAGGTTTTTCCAGAAGAATTTCGAGATATCTAGATCAGTGACTCTCACTAGTTCTTCTGCAAGTGGTTTGACTCGAGCCAAGAGTTTTGGAAAGTCGCGATGCTCCACGGGTCCAGGGAAGACTGTGAATCCTCTAAGTGCTGCTGCTAAACCGACTCCTGTCACTACTGCGGTTATGCTTCTGATGAAGCAATGTGAGGCGCTCTTAAAACGATTGATGTCACATCAGTATGGTTGGGTTTTCAATACTCCAGTGGATGTTGTCAAGCTCAATATACTGGACTATTTTAATGTTATTAAGCATCCAATGGATTTGGGAACTGTGAAGAATAAGTTAACTTCGGGTACTTATTCCTGTCCGTCAGAGTTTGCTGCTGATGTTCGGCTTACCTTCAGCAATGCAATGACGTATAATCCACCTAAAAATGATGTTTACGTCATGGCTGATACACTTCGCAAGTTTTTCGAAGTGAGGTGGAAGACCCTCGAGAAGAAATTATCTGGAATTAAAGTTCATACCGAACCGAGTAACTCAGATGCCCACGAGGAAAAACATATTGTAATACCTGTGCCTATGGCTAAGAAGAGGAAGACAAGTGCAGTAGACTGTGAGAACGTCTCAGAGCCTGTCAAACGGGTTATGACTGATGGGGATAGACTCAAGCTCGGCAAGGATTTGGAGTCCTTGACTGAGTTCCCGGCACAATTAATAAATTTCTTGAGAGACCACAACTCAAATGAAGGGGGGATTGGTGATGATGAGATTGAGATTGACATTAATGATCTCAGTCACCATGCCTTGTTTCAGTTGCGGGATCTCTTAGACGAGCATTTGCGTGAGAGCCAAAACAAAAAATCAAGTGTTGAACCCTGTGAGATAGATGTATATCTTCTTCTATATCTCATGTTTGAATCAGTTGATTGCACCATCGCTGCTAATAGGAAAAATTTTTATTTATTGCAGCTTCTGCATGGATCAGTGCCAGGGAATTCATTAATGCAACATTGTGATGGTTAGTTCACAGCCTGCTTGTTGTTTGATAACATTTTCTGCTTAGCTCTTTAATCGGATTGACATTTTTTACTGTATTCGTTTTAGGGAGTGAATTGGATGATGAGGTTGTTGACATTGGTGAAAATGAACACCCAAAATCAAGCATTTCTCCTGTCACGATAGAGAAGGATCTGGTGTTAGGAAACTCTAATGGTATCTTTTCTTTTACTTGTTTATATTGTCATTCTTGTTCTCCATAGAACTTTTGTTCGGGTATAGTTGTTACATTTTTCATTTCATATCCTCGGGACCTCAAATTTTGTCAGAAGTGGCCTATTGGAGCCATATTGTTGTTGATATGCTGTGAACATTGCTAGCGCACTTTGAGACTTATGGTTATTGCTGTGAAATGAAAGCAACTGATATTAGTGTAATAGTTTGAAAGTAGGAGGCCTTTCATATTCACTTGTTTACTAACAACTATAAATAAGTTGCCTTCTGTTTTTCCTTTATTGATTTTATGGTGATTAGACTATCCCCTGGATCATACTAACTACTGATTGCTCCTCTTTTGATGTTTTAATCTAGGTAATAGCTTGGAAAGTGTGTCGGGTGATCCTAAAATGTCAAGTTTACCAAGGACATCAAAGGTATATAGTTGTCTGGAATAACATGCAAACATGAATAACTGAGATTTGGTGCGACACAATGCATATGTCGATGTGGATGTCTTTGTTACCTTGTCACAAAGTTGATATAATTTGATATGGAGGATATACTCTTGGACCACAATTTTTTTACTGTTGTGGAACCATAACAATATGAAATGGATGTCATAGTCTGTTTGAATCCTGATATACATAGAAATGGATGTCATAGTCTGTTTGAATCAACTTACTTGATGATTCCCAGATTTGTTAGGATAACCTAATTGTTTCTTCGTGCTCCTGTCCTGCGCTGATACAGGGGCATGGTACCATGGATCTTGAACCTATGTTGGATGGAGCTACAAGCGCTTCCCCAACAAGAGGATGTGAGTGGATGTTTTTTGTTAGTGTTCAAAAGTTTAGTTTATTGGTGTGGAACTTATGTTTTGTTACTTTCTACAAGTAGCATCTGTTGGTGGATTGGATCAGCTGGAAAGTGCATCTCCGGAGAAAATAAGTTCTGTTGAGGCGGATTGTCAGCAAGATGGTAAGAAAAGGAGTATGGCAGAAAAATGTTTCTGCTCTTCTGTCTGAGGTGGCATCTCACTCTTGACCTTGACCCTTTAATACACTAGGAAATAGTGCTCAGACTGAGAAGCAACTACCTCCTGAAAAGATCTACAGGGCTGCTTTTTTGAAGAATCGATTTGCAGACATAATTTTGAAAGCCCGAGAGAAACCTCTTAACCAGGTTTGTTGTGCGCTCCAACCCACTATTCTGGGTCCTTTTCGACCTTTGGATTGATTTTTCTCAAATTGTATGTGTTCCTGAGATCAGAATGACACGCGAGACCCAGAGAAGCTCCAGCGTGAGAGAGAAGAACTCGAGCTTCAAAAGAAGAAAGGTTTGCTTCCTTGATTTGCTAGTTCAACTGTAATTGGTGACATTTACCGCTTCTAAGTGATAAAAGCATACTGCAACCTAAATCAATAATATGTGCCCTTTCTTTACAGAGAAAGCGCGATTACAAGCAGAAGCCAAGGCAGCTGAAGAAGCTCGTAGAAAAGCTGAGGCACAAGCTGCAGCTGAAGCTGCGGCTGAGGCTAAGAGAAAGCTGGAGCTTGAAAGAGAAGCAGCGCGCCAGGCATTGATGGAGGTAAAGATGTTCACTGCAGCGTTGAAAGACATTTCCTGAATCATTTTATTTTATAGCAGCTGAATGAAATAATCATTACGTCATATTACTATATTACAATGGATGAACTCTATGATTAAGAATCAGAATAGGTTGTTAAGAAAAATGAAATATCTAGTCCCGTTGTTTCACTGAAACGTAAGTTTTCATGGTAAATGGTGCAGATGGAACAGTCGGTTGAACTCAACGAGAACGCAAAATTTCTCAAGGATCTAGAACTGCTCAAAACAGTCGACACAGACCATTTGACAGATGCAATAGAGGAGGATGGGCCTGATGTGTCGCATGATGGGTTACGTAGTTTCAGTTTTGGGGGTAGTAATCCTCTGGAGCAGCTTGGGCTATTTATGAAACAGGATGAGGATGATGAGGAAGCTGATCCGCTCACTTCGCCAGCCCCTGGAATTGATATAGAAGAGGGAGAGATTGATTGAGCTTGTGTGCAGATCCACAAAGTCAAACAATAGAATTATCTGAATTCTGAATCCCGAATCAAGAATCCAGAATCCCTAGAAAAAAACATCTACTGTGTCCGATACAGTAGCCAAGTAGAGAGGGCCGTTCAGTGAAGTATGACTGAGGAGGATTGGATTGGTACTGAGAGTGTAAACATAGTCATTCATGAGTTAAGTTTTGCTTGGAATGATCGTGAGAAATGGGTTCTTGTGAAAGAGTTTTTTTTTCTTTGCGTTGTGTTGTGTGATGTTGGTGTGAGTACTCTCTTCAGTCTATTGTGAAACTGACGATTCGGGTGTAACAGTAAAGACTTCATTATACATATGTTGGTTCGATTCAGAGAGCAACAAATAAATAAGAAAAAAGCCTTACACCTATACGACGCCGTTTTAGATGGAAATGGCCAAATGGGTATGGGTATTTATTTTCTGTTGCAAATAAAAACAAAACTCGGAATCTCTTCTTCTTCTTCACCCCACTGGGCGAGCAAGTCGCTCGATTCTGTAATTTGGAAACCATGTTTTTTGTACTCTCAAGAGTCTGATTTTTCTTTGGTAAGTTTGATGTTGATGACAATTTGGGATCGCTAGTGGATTTAGTGTAACTGATATCCTGATTAGGGTCTCTCTGCATGCCAGCTAATCAGTCTAGAATTGTGAGGTATATAAGTAAGCAATTCACAATGGCGACTCCAACGGAGCTAGATTTCTCTTCACCTGGCGGTGCTGGTGACGACTCCACTCCACGGAAGCGTACTTCAAAACGCACAGCTTCCGAAACAGCAACAGAAGAAGAAGAGACAAAGAAGAAGAAAAAGAAGAAGAACAAATTGGCTTCTCCGATGAGTAACCGGATCTGGAACGAAGAAGATGAGATCTCTATCTTACAGGTATTTCCTACTTTGTTTCATCTATATTCTGCATTTACTTGATTGCGATTCCTTAAAAGGCATTCTATAAATTCTCAGGGATTAGTGGATTTTAGAGCTAAGACAGGGCTCGAATCCAAAATTGATTGGGAAGCGTTTTATTGTTTCGTCAGAGGTTCCATTCATGTGCAAGTCTCTAAGGATCAGGTGTTGAATAAGACCAAGAAGTTGAAGAAGAAGTTCCTTGATCATATGGAGAAAATCAATCGAGGAATTGATCCGCATTTTACTAGGTCTAGTGACTCTGAAGCCTTTGGATTTTCCATGATGATTTGGGGCAAAAATGATGCTGATTACACTAATGGTGCTATGGATAAAACATATCGAAACAAGAGTGAAGTAAGTGACTCACAGTTTATCTTTCTCTAAGCATGAAGCACACAATGGTCAAATCTGTTTCAATATACTTGCTTAATGAATTGTGGTTTCAGAATGATTTGGATATTGTTCAATTATATGGTTTGTTGAATTAGGAGGAGATGTTTAAGAAGGACGAGGAAGTAGCCTTAATCGACAATGGGGCTGGGATAAGTGACTTTGATGGCAAATCACCACCTCTTAAAGCCGTTGTTGTTGACAAAATAACTACCAAGAACGGGACTGCTGGAAAAGAGAGTGATGACGATGATGATGTGTTGTACGCTGTGCGGGATGCATTTGAGACCACCATGGTGTCGCAAGGTCTAAGTGATTATCAAAAGAAGTTGCAGCTTGAGAAGCTGATGAACCTTGGAACTGGTAAAAGAAGAGAGTTGAGCAACGAATGGAAATCACTATGTGTTGAGGAATTAAAATTGAATATCAAGAAGCTTCGATTTTCTGCCAAGCTTGCAGAGGCAGCAAATGATGATAAATGAAATGAAGAAAGCCATTGCAGCATTTGGTGTTGTCCTTTGGGAATTGGCTTGGTAAAAATATAGTTAGTTCTTACTTCTTAGTAGTCAACTAGTCATAGGCCATTCATTACCTATGGATGTGGTTTATGTCTTTAGCTTTACTACAACTTCCGGTGATCTACTTGGGAAAGTGTTTGTGGCATTTCACTTTGATTTTTACATCACACCTCAGTTTCAAATGAATGAGTTTTTAAATGGCTGCAAAATTTGTTCTTTCATTTTTTTCAAGTTTCAGGTTTATGTTTTTGTCTACTACTAGTTAGTTTTGGTCGTCTAATAACGTGGATCCAATTAGAATAATAAAATCTCATTACTGGCAATAAAATTAAAATAATCTAATTCTATGAATGGTTGTTCCTGAGAGTTAATAATATTAAGAAGGAGATGATATTATAAAACCTTTTTTGGTCAATATAATAATGATTAAATGGATATTTTGATACATGTGTCTATCAGTCTATCGTTTAAGCTAAACTCAAACGAGACGACATAAAAAGGGATTAAGTTTCTTCCGTGTCTTCTTCTTCTTCTTCTTCTTCTTCTTCCATTGTCGTTAGGGTTGAGATTCCGATCTCAATGTCGATCAATATCGGAGAATTCTCCATTCCAGACCTCCCTCTTTTCTTCTCCATGTTCTTAACCATCTACCTAATCGCTTACTTCATCGTTTTCCGCAATTGGAAACCACAAATCCGTCCCGAAGCTTCAAGCTGCCTGATCTCAATCTTCCACGGTACTCCGGCGGTTTTCCTCGCCACACGCGCCGTCTTCTCCTCCTCCGCACGCTCCTTCGCCTCCGCAAACACCGCCGCACAAAACACCGTCCTCGATTTCAGCGTCGCTTACTTCCTCACCGATCTCTTCCACTACATCGTCTTTAACCCTAACGACGTCCTCTTCATCGGCCATCACCTAGCCACTCTATTCGTCTTCCTAACCTGCAGATTCCTCGTCTTCCACGGCGCTTGCGCCATCTTAGGCCTCCTGATTCTAGCAGAAGTCACAAGCGCGTGTCAGAACGCGTGGACGCTCGCCGGAGCAAGGAAGAATGATCCGGAATCACGATTAGCCGTAAAAGTGTACGATCTCTTGTCCCCTCCGTTTTACGCCTTCTACAGTATCGTTAGGGGAGTGTTGGGACCTTTGTTTTTCGGGAAAATGGTTGCGTTTTACGCTCGAGGCGGTGCTCATGGTGTGATACCTAATTGGTTGTGGATTTCTTGGGCTATTGTTGTTGGAACTGCTATTACTGTTAGTATACTTTGGATTTGGAATCTCTGGATAGAATTGTTTAGACAAAGGAAGGCTAAGAAAATTAGATAGTTTCTTCTCAACAATCATTGTTTGAGCTTCCTTTCCATTGTACTATATATTATATATACATACCATTATTATTCTCACCTTTTAGAATTCTCTAAATTATGTATGTTTTGGAATAATAGATTTGCTTTTGGATAAGCAGTATGTGCAAAATGCACTGTTTAATTCATCTCTGTATTGTTCAGAAGTTCTTCTCTTCAGAGTTGCTACCCATTAAAATTTACAGTTTGTGACATTCACTTTTCTTGTCTCTCTGCTACACTTGGTTGCTCATATCTTGGTTCTTGATATTGATGAGAATTTAGAATTCTACAAGATGAAGGGTACTATAGAAACGTTTTCTTTATAAGTAAGTGTGCCCATTTTGGGTGAGTTATATTTGGGTTTATATTTCTCTTTGTTTACGAATAATGAGTTGCTCGTAGCATTTTCTGGTCACAGCTCTGATTGACTTAGACTTGATAAGTCATAACTGCTACTTTTTCTGTTGGAAGATGAGAAACAAACTCTTGCTCGACTTACCCTCGAATGAACAGAGTACAACAAAGAATTTTGTAGGATTGAAATGCCATACCCTTATCATTACAGATTCAGTCAGTCATGGTAAACCCTGGCCACAGTAAAACGATTATATGTGGATTTGTATCATTACAACCAGAAATGATTGACAGTCTAACTACTAGCGTGTAAGCCACAGCAATAAAGCCACTTGCGGTTTTGTTGTGCTATGAGGATGTTTTGTGTAACCTTATTAGCTTGAAAGGGAAGTAGCGGAAAGCTAGAAAGAAAGCTACAACCATATGAGCTACAAGTGCTCCTTTGCAAAACCACGTGATGGCCTTGGGTAAGCAAAAGCCATCTTGTCCAATGCACTGAAGTAGCCAAAACTTGCTTCACAGGTTTAATTCTCATTCACAGCTTACTTTGTATCATTTTTATCTGTTTCTGAAGCTAGCCAAGCAATCGTGGAGTAACTGCATAACATAGAAAGTGACTCTCTTTGTATCTTTATGTGTGTTTGCAGAAGATATGACACACAAACAAGGCAGAGAAGGTTACCTTACCTCATGGATATGACAGCATCGACTAAGGAGCCATCCGAGATGGAGTTAAAAGTTTGTTAAGCTGGGAAAACATGAAGTCGGAGAAGGCCAAGATCAAAGTAAAATCTCGAGTGGCCATCACGAGAAGCAAGGTTCACAGATACTCTACAGTGATTTTCCTCCTGTGACCAATGCACACTCTAAATTCAACAAGAAGTTGTTGGGACACAATGATGTGTAACTTGTCCCAGCTCATGGAACCGGTCGAACAGCCACCCCTCAGAACATTTTGCTCGTCTGAATCATTTGCCATACCGTTTATAATGTTATGACCCATGACAGGACCAACACCAAATCCCCTGAAACCAGCAACTGGTAAGCCATATATTCATTTACTTGGCAACATCAATAGTCAGCTGGTCAAGTGTAAGAAAGTAACTTTTCATGTACTGAAGAGGATAGGAAGAGAATTATGGACAAAACATACTATCCAAGCTGAAACATGGTGTATAAGGCAGTGATGTTGTTGAAAGCTGATTACTACCATTTGGCCAATGAATAGCAGAGTAAGATCTAAAGCATCGCGGGAACTGAAAAGACTTATTAAAATTTAGCGGGCTCAGAAAAATAAAAAGGGCCCATATAAAAGCCCACTAATATTAATGCTTATAAGAACCACGTGGCAGGTATGGTTGACACTTGACCGGGTGAGTAACAGAAAACTGGCCCGCTAAATAAGAGAACCCGCCCAATCAGCTTTCTCCTTTACTTCTGACTCACGCAAGAAAATTCCCTATAAAACCTCATCTCCTGCGTTCTCTAACTACTTCTCACCTATCTGACAACAACAAAAAACCCTAAAACAACATAAAACGAAACATAAAGTCCATACAGGAGACATTCGAAGCCAATCATGCCGTGGACAAAGTTCACAAAGGTGGCTCTAGGTCTAGGAGCTGCCATAACGGCTGTGAGATCAACAGTGTATACCGTTGATGGTGGCCAGAGAGCTGTTATGTTCCACCGATTCGAAGGGGTTCTAGAAGAACCAGTAGGAGAAGGGACACATCGTAAGATTCCGTGGGTGCAAAAGCCTTATATCTTCGACATTCGGACCAAGCCCTACGAAATCAAGTCCGACTCTGGAACTAAGGATCTTCAGATGGTCAACCTCACACTTCGTGTTATGTTTCGCCCTGATGTAAGTTCCCGCAAATATCCAAAAAAATTCATTAATACGATTTTGGGATATATGTAGAATAATATATTAACTGTTTTCCGTGGGTTCGTGTTAGGTTTCGCGCCTCTCGTACATATACCAAAACTTAGGTCTCGACTACAGTGACAAGGTCCTACCAGCGATCGGGACTGAAGTGTTGAAAGCGGTGGTGGCTCAGTTTAACGCTGACGAGCTCTTAACAGAACGTCCACAGGTCTCGGCTCTTATACGTGAAACGCTGATCAAGCGAGCTAAGGAGTTCAACATTATTCTCGATGACGTGTCGATCACGGATCTCTCCTACGGTAAAGAGTTCTCACTTGCAGTGGAGCGGAAGCAGGTGGCGCAGCAAGAAGCTGAGCGGTCCAAGTTCGTAGTGGCAAAGGCTGATCAGGAGAGACGAGCGGCTGTGATTAGAGCAGAAGGAGAGAGCGAGGCAGCTCGGGTTATCTCGAAAGCGACTGCAGAGGCTGGGATGGGGTTGATCGAGCTCAGGAGGATCGAGGCAGCTAGAGAGGTTGCGATTACGCTCTCTAATTCTCCCAATGTTGTCTATTTGCCAAGTGGTGGGAATATATTGTTTGCAATGAACAGTCCGAGCAAAGTTGCTGCTTGAATTAGTTGCAAAAATATGGTGTTTAATTCTAGGTTTTATTGATTTGTGTTTTTATGAATTTCATATATTTTCTTTTTGTAGTTTTATTGATTTGTGTTTTTTTTTCTAAGACTGACATCAAAAGAAAAAAAAACGAAACTACTCTAATTCTAATTAACTAGATTAGAAGAAGAAGAAAAATTGAGCTTACATAGTAAAATCCAGAAATTTAAGCGTTGAGTTCCTCAAGAGTATCACCCTAGTATCAGTTCAGACAGTTCTTGCGTGGACCTCTCCAGTTCACGTCGTCAGGGTTAGGGATCATGAAGTCTAATTGTCTTCCACGAAGACCATCAAGGCCCCCACATATCTATATACCCATTAGGTGAGGACCCTATCTAGAAATCTTCACTTCAAACAGTATCTTCTGCATGAGAGACAAATAAAGAAAACAAGGGATGGAAGGCTCAACTGAAAACACCGAAAAATATACATAAGAGAAAGATGACCAGGGAAAATGTTGTTTGTGAAGTCAACATAAATCGGCGATAAGAAAACCATATGGTACTGATGTTGGTGCTTAAACTTTTGAAGCGAACTAACTATGTTCGTCCAAAAAGATCAAGCAGAAGATCTCTAATCTTTGATTATGATATTCAAGGAGAAGACGGATATTGTGGTAACATCGTTGCACTAGTCATGTTTTCTTGTTTTCTCTTGGATGTTACCAAATTACTGCATTGTTGTTTTCGGTACCATCTTCACATCTGAAGAAATAGCTACGAGACCTTTTGAACTGAAAGATCCACAATGTCTATCTTTTACAAGTACATAGTCAAATCTTAAGGATTTCTTACTTGACCACTTCGGACGAACATAGTTTTACTTCAAAAGTTTTAACACCTACATCAATAACTTATGATTTTCAATTATCATGATTTATATTACCTTCAAAAACAACCTTTTGGCCAGATCTTCTTTTTCTAATGTATCCCTTGCGGTGTTTTGTAGTTGAGTCTCATCATCTCTTGCTCTCTCGATTTCCCTTTCTACTGCAAGAGATCCAGTCTCAAGGAAAGACTTGTCGATAAAGTCGTGAGGCTCCTGATCTAGCCTACTTGATGGTCCATCAAGAAAGTGCTCTTACCAACACCACTTTTGCTTGATAAAAACCAGAAGCTTGTGCTTAACAGTCGCCAATTTGTTTTGATATGGCAACCAAATCTAAAAAAAAGCAGGGAATTTTCAACTAAAATCTCCCCAAATAAGAAAAATTAATAGCAAAATCGAGTCTGAGACTCGCACACATGACACATCTACTGGTTAAGTCGACATTAGCATCAAACTAAACAATCACTGTGCTAATCAAACTTATGCATAAACCTAGAGATAAGTACTCCAATTTCAAAGGTTGATATCTAACCTGGATCAGTGCCCTTGGTAGCTATGGCACATACTTCCTCACTAGGGCAAATGGGAGCTGATTTTTCAGCAGTTTTCGATTTGATGATGACTCGAACAGCCTTATATATCAACAAACAAAATGAAAATTAGGTTTAAATCCAACAAAAATATATATATGCAAATTATCTTATGGGCCTTTTATCGACCGATTCAAACTAGTGACGTCAACTTTTTTTTAAAAAAATACGGCCATTAGTGACAGTTTAATATTCTACAAATTCGACTAGTGTCTTATACATTTCTTTGTAAAGTCCTTGATTTCTAATATATGGTCAAGTTCACCATGAGCGACCAAAGTTTTTGAAATTTTCAAGGTTACTTTTGTTTCTCATTTTTATCGTTGTTTGGAGAAACTTTCTTATATTTTCATTTGAACATTGAATAAAATTATTAAAACATTATAATTCAGGGTATGAGTAGGATGGTCAAACAATTATTCTAGATTTCCTCTAAAATTCCCAAATTTAACATAACTTAAGCTTTTGGTGACCATAAATCTAACAACTTTTATGGCCCAAAGAAAATTAAAATTATAATGAATGTGTTCTTAAATAACCAAGATGAGGTGATCAATTATGGATTTTGTAACAAAATGAATAATTTCTGGTGCTGTCATTTTGCCCACACGTCTATGATTAAGAACATAATGAAGTGTCAATCTCTATGATTAATAGTTTTGGAATCTTACTCAATTAGTTCCAATTTATAAAAAAATCAGTGAATAACACAAAGCAAAAAAATAAACTTTAAGCATTTGTACGTTTCTAGAATTTTTACAAATCCCAAAAGCTAGAGAGAACTTTCGTGTTACGGTAACCGCGTTTCAGAGGATTATTTTCTCATCTCTCTCTCATAGCAATAGCCAATGACACTTTCTCCACAATCTTCTCTCTTTCTTTCTTCTTCTTCTTCGTCGTCATCATTTCGTGTAAATTAGTCTGATTTTATAAAAATCGAAACTGGGCTTCATCAATTTTGACTCTTTGCATCCAATTTCGATTGCAATCTCCCTAATTGTTCTAGAAATCGGTTCAATTTCAAGTTGGGAAACAAACCCTAGCGAACCTCCATTGATGTGATCTCAACTCTCTTGAAAATTCTCGTAAAAATCTGGTCTTTTCTGGAGGGAAATGCCAGGGGTAGCTGTGAAGCTGTATAGCGTCTTCTTTAAGTTACTTTTGAAACATCGTCTCCAGAATCTGATTTCAATTTCAGCAGCTGATGGGTTATCTGATTCGTTCGGTGTTTCGACCCGATCCGATGAATCCGTCGCCGCCGCGAATCCGTCTTTCACCGACGGTGTTGCGACCAAAGATATTCACATTGATCCAATGACGTCACTCACCGTAAGGATCTTTCTTCCTGAATCTGCTCTTTCTCCACCTGAACCAGATTCGTTACGTCATAAGGATAATTTTCACCACCAAACCAGATCTGATCGGAGACATAGCTATGGCCCTAATCATAACTCTCCGGCACCGGCGGAGAGGAATGAATCTCGAAGGAACAGCTATGGTTGCAACAACGAGAATCTAGAACCGTACGGAGGATATGCGCCATCTGCGAAGAGGAATTCTCGAAAACTACCAGTGATGTTGCAGTTTCACGGTGGTGGTTGGGTTAGTGGAAGTTCTGATTCGGCGGCTAATGACTTCTTTTGCCGGAGAATTGCTAAAGTATGTGATGTGATTGTATTGGCCGTTGGTTATAGGCTTGCGCCTGAGAATCGGTATCCTGCGGCGTTTGAGGATGGAGTCAAAGTGCTGAATTGGCTTGGGAAGCAGGCTAATCTAGCTGAATGTTGTAAGTCTTTGGGTAATCGACGCGTCAATGGCGTTGAGGTTAAGAAGTTGAATGTTCAAGGACAGATTGTGGATGCTTTTGGAGCTTCCATGGTTGAGCCTTGGTTGGCAGCTCACGCCGATCCTTCCAGGTTTGTATTTGTAACCTTGCCTGCTGTTGCTTGCTGTGTATCTTCCCAGTTGTATCAGCTGTGATGCTTAAAGACAAAAGGAAGTATGAACTTAATCAGTTAACAAGTATGAGCTTAAAGACACCTAGAGTTAGATGTAAACGACCTTAGTATGGATTGCTCTCAAGAATTTAGTATGGATCCATGAAATGCCTTTAGGTTTACTGAAGCTAGAACACGCTTTGATTATTGTTACAGCGATGTTGATGCTTGTTTGCAGAGATTGCTTCCTGAAATTTAAACATGTTTCGGCATATAAGATCTTTAGAATAGTTTCACGTTGATCTTTAGGAATAACTAGGTACAAAGTCAGGATTCTTTGGAGAACTAGTTAGATCCACTTAGATAGCTTATCTTCCATTGCTTGCAAGCTCATATCAAATTCTGTTTCTCAACTTGTTGCCCCTATGACTTTAAAACAGATGTGTTCTTCTCGGGGTGAGCTGTGGTGGGAACATAGCAGACTATGTAGCTCGGAAAGCAGTGGAAGCTGGGAAACTTCTAGAACCGGTGAAAGTTGTTGCACAGGTTCTAATGTACCCGTTTTTCATTGGTAACAACCCAACACAGTCCGAAATAAAGCTGGCAAACTCTTACTTCTACGATAAGCCTGTCTCTGTTCTAGCCTGGAAACTCTTCTTACCAGAGAAAGAGTTTGACTTTGACCACCCGGCAGCAAACCCACTTGCTCATAACCGCAGTGGACCACCTCTGAAGCTAATGCCTCCAACACTTACAGTAGTAGCTGAGCATGACTGGATGAGAGACCGAGCCATTGCTTATTCAGAAGAGCTTAGAAAGGTAAATGTAGATTCTCCAGTTTTAGAATACAAAGACGCAGTTCATGAGTTTGCAACACTTGATATGCTTCTCAAGACTCCTCAGGCACAGGCCTGCGCCGAAGATATTGCTATTTGGGTCAAGAAGTACATTTCAATCCGCGGCCATGAATTCTCTTACTGAAAATTTTACCCTGTTATTATTATTCATTTTCTTCCTATTTTTGTGTGATAGCAAGATTTTCTGGGTAGGTTTTAGAGACAATCCAAGATGGAGTCTTTTGCAAAGTTATCAAATTTATTTTTTGGGGTTAATTATGTATTCATATGTACGTATTCTGAATAAACCATTTTGGTTCGACCAAATTTTCAAGTTTGTTCTTGGTTTGACATCAGCATCTTGTGGAGCAGATCTTTGACATTAGAAACATCCAACTCTTTGAGCGGGATCAAATTGAAAGTTTCATATACTTCATCACTAAATCCAGTGACAGGATTCTTGAATGCTGAAATCTTCAACTTTTCCTGTAACTTTTTATAATGAAAGATACAGATATGACACAAAACAATAATAACCAAAAAGCTGAAGATAAACCGAAAGGGCTCATTTTGAACCAAGTCTTAGGAATTACAAATCACATTTTAAACAGAGAGACTAGACAAAACTAAAAAGAGTATTACAGAACAAGAAGGAAATCATGAAGATGGTTACTTGGAAACTTTCTTCTTCCCTGCAATGGCAATTTTCTTGCCTTTAAGAGTCCTGCAGTTGTTCTTGGTTCTCTGTCCCCGACATGGCAATCCTTGGATGTGCCTCACTCCACGGTAACATTGAATCTCCTTCAACCTCTTGATCGCAAGAGCATTAAACCTCCTCTGCACAAACATCCACAACACAAATCAAAAATTCATTCACTAAGCCTAGGAACACAAATCAAAACCACATGAAACCCAAACTAAATCAATTAAAACAGCAAAAAGATAGCAGCCTAAGTTGTTCTTCAATCTTCAAGAAGTGATACAGATACCCATTCCGCAAGAAACTGCTCGATAATGGACTGACAAAAACTGCAACTATGCACATTACTAGTGTCCTAAAGCGAATTAGAAGAACGTAAAATGTAAGGGAGAGTGTGTATACCAGATCACCCTCAATCATATACTTGGAGACTTCATCACGAAGAATGATGAGTTCTTCCTCAGCCATGTCTTTAGTGATCTTGTTCTCCATCTGAAGATCAACAAGAATCTGACGAGCCCTAGTTCGACCAATCCCATGAATGTACTGAAGAGAGTACTCAATCCTCTTATTAGCCGGTATCTCTACACCACCGACACGAGCACATCTGATGCTTAGACTCTGCTTCTGCATTTCAATACAAAAACCAAACTTTTAAAAGACAGACACAAATACCCAAATTGATAGGATCTTATTAGGGTTCAAACTGTGACACCCACATAAGGACGAACAAGATTGAAGTAGCATATATAACGCCATGAAATCAAACTCAATAAATTCGATTACAACATCACACGCAAGAGAGAGTCCTAGAGAAATCATTACATTGGGAGCGTTTGAAGCTGGGAGAGCAAGAGTGTTGCGAGAGAGAGGATTGGATTTTGCCCAATTGCAAATGAGGGAGATCGAGTGAGCTACGGGCATCGCAACCATCTGCGCCATTGTTCTCTTCTCTTCCTGCGAATTTCGGATTCAGAGGTGACGAAGAAGAAGAAGAAGATGAGCTCAACGGATAAGGCAAACATCGTCGAATCCAAAACGCAATTACTTATTGGGCTTTCTTCTTTGTTCAGGCAGCCTCGTTAAGGCCCAGGAGTCACTATTTTTTTTTTAATTATTCATTCTTTTTCTCTTTAGTTTAATTAAAAAAAATATTGTATAAAAAATGGTAAGTAGATAGATGCAAAGTCAACGGATGAGAATGCGTCTTGTACGTTAACTATTGAGATGGTCGTTGACTTCGTTATTGTCACATGTTGTTCTAATGTATTTTAAGGTGTTTGTAGTTTTTTTCCATTTTTCATATCTGATTCATTGGAGTTGTACTTGTGGTTTTGCTGGCAAGTTTACTAGAATATATATTCAAGTGTTTTTCTATGATGTTTATTGCCAATGAAACTAGTTTAAAGCTTAAGTCCTTGTTCTAGTAGCTGAATAAGGATATTCACTCATTGCTTTTATGTGAGTAAAAGGCTATATATAGTTTTATTTTGTTTGACCGTCTAGTTCATATGCTAAGAGCCCCTATAATGCCTTGTTTACAAGATTTGGTTCAAAGGAGTAAATATGATTAAAACATCAAAAGATAACAATATTTTATTATGATACGAACAGAACTTCACAATCTTTGAAGAAACAAAAGAAAAAGAAGGAAGACACAAGAAAGTAATCATCAATAAAACTCAAAGAGAAAAACATTCTGAAGATGAATTGCAACACATCTCAGAAGACGAAAGACATAGCACCGACCAATGCGGTGGCGATGAGCTGAGGGTAGGCAGAGAAAGTGGCAGCACTTGGAGACGGAGCATGAGCACCTGGACCATGTTCATGTGCCGATGGAGCCTTAGCCGGACCGTGGTTGACTCCGTTGTGCGACTCAGCAGTCATGACCAAAACGGCCAAGACAATGCAGACGAAGGCGAAGCGGATCAAAGAACTTCTTGGTGCCATTTGAATACTCTTCTTCTCCTTCTTCTTCTTACTTGGTTTCTTTCTTTGTTGTTCTCTGTAGGATCTATCAACAAATGGGGTCGAATTTATAGAGAGAGATGAGTCCTATTAAAAATGTTTAGTGGGCTAAAAGTCAACGCATGAGAATGAGTCCTGATGTTGAGACGGCCAAAACTCGTTATCATTTACATGTTGTTCACTTAAAATATTTTTTATAAATGGAAAAAAGGACAGAGTGATCATGGTGATGTGTCTGAATTTGTTAGTGGACACCCATTTATATTTTCGTGTATGTTCTGCCGTTCTGGAACAGCTGTTACGTCTTCACATAAGAGGGACGTTTCTTGATTAAACCAAATTGACTTGGTTTGATTAATGATTGATTCCAGCAGGACCAGCACAATCCGGTTCTGTTACCGGAGACCAAAGAAAATGTCGTATGTACATTATGTGAGGCCGATCAGGGTTTTGGCTCTTGATGTAGTATAAAATAACAGAATTTTAGCATTTGTTTAGTTTTGTGGCTATGTAAGTTTGATTTTACCAATAGAGCATTCCAACTATATACCAACAAGTTTAAGATCAAACATCCGAAAAGAATATATGTACTAGCATTAGGCCTAACTAGTATATCATTCTTGAAACTTGAAAGCAAACAAGTCATGTAACACCTGTACTAATTACTATATATATAGTCAAAGCAGCCTAACTAGAAATAAAACAACCATAACTAGTATCATTTTTGAAACTTGAAAGCAAACAAGCCTAACTACTACGTATCATATTCTTTGGGCTAATTATCTCAATTAAATTTTAGAATGTTATTACTTATTACACTATCTGATACTCTTATTTATATGTTTCTTAAAACTGAAATTCTAGTAAACAAATAAGAAAAATAAAATAATTTGCAAAAAACGGTAGATATGTAAAAAAAAAAAAAAAAAAAAAATTTAGTTTAACGAGTGGGAAAGAGAAACTCATATTAGAAAGAAACGACTATTCAACATAACGTGTTCAATCTTTTGGCCCAATTAGTGACTATAACAAGATTAAGTTGGACCTAATAGGCTAAAACATACTATGCTTTTTAGTGGGCTTAAATTTATTTGGTATCACTATTGTTCTTGGTTTCTTACACATGGTCCCTCGTAATCGTAATACTCTTTTTTTTTCCAACGGTCTCTCATGTATTATTGTTTTTGTGGAGGTCCCTCTCATATACAAATACGATACTCTATATATTACATTTTTCTAAACTTTAGTTCAGTTCAGTGAACCAAAACAAAATCGAATATTTGGTTAGCTGCAATTTTATTTTCTTGATGTACCACACAAAAGTTAAATATAATGAAATATATAGTTAGTTTGTTGACTATAAAGGCCGTATAGTAACACATACAAACGATAATGCATGTAAGCTATATATACGGAATGGAAACATTTATATACAGTACGTCGATTATAAATCAAATTTCGTTTAACGTTTAATAACTCGCTCGATCAGTTACCTAGTTGTCTATAGTAATTTAATGCAAATTGAAAATGTTCACATGACACGGTAACTGTCAGTTACTAACTGAACATTAGAATAGACTAGGACATATATATAGCCGAATGTATTTCAGTACTGATCTATAATTAGATAGATTTCTAATATTTGATCCATATTTGGATGTATGGATATACCTTCAAGTACATGGTGAATATTCCTTCACGGGTGAACGCGAAACCCCATCCGTATTTGGAGTATTTTAATGCCAATTGTTCCTCTCTTACCTTCATTTCTTCTAATCAACTTATTTCAATACGATTAACCCTGAAATCCATATAAAATGGATATTCTTGCTATTTAACACATTAAAAATTATTGGAAAAAAATTGTTCCACCCAATCTAGTTTACCAATGACATATCAACAACTTACGTATATTTTATATTTTTCATTAATTCTAATCATTATATTTATAAATTATAATAAAGGAAGGGATTCATCTGATAATGAATATGTATGTACGTAAAATTTTTAACTTTGATAAGTAATTCTTTTAAGTATTTGTCATGATAATAATTCGTGAAAATAATGTTTTAGACATTTCAAAGAAAGTTAAATCTTATAAATACTAATCACGAATACCATTGATGAATATAATATGCTAGTTCAAGTCTTATTGGTGTAATGGTAAAAGAGAAAAAAATTCTACCATCTAGGTTGAAGTAGTATTATAATTTTTTCAGATCCTAAGATTAATTTTGAATCTAAAAGTCTTTAAAGTCATATGAGTTATAAAAAAAAATTGACTAGATAAGATTTATTTCTTAGTATAAAAGACTTAAATACTATAGCCTGACTAGATGCATTCAAATTTGACTTTCTTTATTAAGCAAGTTGCTTAATCATGACGGGGTGTAGTGCAAACTAACGATTTATGACGTAAAAGGTCGACTCCTCAAAATGTTTTTAACAAGTAAAAAGTAATTACAAATATAGAATAATGAAAAATAAAGAAGATGAGAAAATAAGAAAAAAAAATAAGAAGATGCCCTTGATGACAGAATAAGCACAAGGCTTTGAAGAGGGGACCGATGAATCCAAACAAATCTCAAATCGTTTTCTTTAAACCAAACTACTTTTAATCAATCAATGAAATTCCTTCAATTACTAATTAAAGTAATCACATATATAACAATGATGATCATAATCTTAAAATAACAATTTTACAATAAAGCAAACAAATAATTAGTAATTATATATGAAAACTTGATTAATAATTATTGGGATCTTTTTTTACTCAAGAAATTTCAAGTTATAATCTAAATGATTCTTTTGAATCGGTAAAATACGGATGTTTTGGTTATTTAAAGCGTCTGAATGACAAATAATGACTAATGAGAAGCTAATATAAGAATTTTTTAAAGAAGTTATTTGATTTCTATCTCTGACACACAGAAAACTATTTACCATTCAAATTTGTCCCTGGACTCTACACTGTGTCTCATTTTTCGGTAATCATCACCATGTTAGTTATAAAATTTAGTTAAAATACCACTAATAAATTATTTTTTTATATTTTTTTCGTCTATAATTTACATATACACTACTGGATTTAGATTATATCATGATGAGGACACTAATACAAATTAGTAGGCTATATAACTCAATCACTAATAAATTATTCATCTGCCACCACATATAATTAATTAATTATAGCATCTCTCTTTATAGAAACAACAAGAGATAATTATGTACTGTTATATGCATATAGCATATTGATCGCGGTTAATTTATCTATACCTATTAAATTTAAGTATGGCTTTAGTGGAAACTTTGATAATTAATGAATCATAAGCTCAAAAGAAGTTTGTCGACAAGTTCATATTATTGTAATGCAACCTCACACACTTCTCACCAAATCTTTCTTTAATTGTCTCTGCAATCATTATTTACTGCTTCACTTATTAGTGTTTTCCTTTAAATTTGGATTTATTTGTCTTTTAGCCTGTAAGTGACCTGTCAAAAGAGAGAATCTTTGCCCTTCCCAACTCACCTCTTATTATTTATAAGTAATGCCCATTACTTGATCCAACGCTCTCTTCTTTATATTTTTGATTAACTCAAGCTCTCTTGGTTTGCTTTCATTTAGCATTAGCTATATGTAAACTATTTGGTAAATGTCATTTATTAGCTTGCTTTTAAAGAAATTCAATGGGGAGAAAACCGTGCTGTGACAAAATTGGATTGAAGAGAGGTCCTTGGACTATAGAAGAAGATCATAGACTCATGAACTTCATTCTTAACAATGGCATCCACTGCTGGAGAATTGTCCCCAAACTCGCAGGTACTTCATTATCTATACCTACATACCTGCATGCATAATTAGGTTTTATTTTCTTGATTTTTTTCTTGGGGAGTTTAACGTTTACGTGTACATGAAGGTTTGCTGAGATGTGGGAAGAGCTGTAGATTGAGATGGATCAACTATTTGAGACCCGATCTCAAGAGAGGTGGTTTTACTGATGCTGAAGAAGATCGGATTATGGAACTTCACTCTCAACTAGGCAACCGGTACGATATAATCTGAATATACTTTTATCATATGTTTTCATTAGCCGGCGTCAAACTAGTTTTTACAAATGAAGTCTCTCTCGAATTTGTAACACCGTGCTTGGATTTGATCCGATATATGTTTTAGTCAGCTTCCTTCAATTCTCTTTCTTATAAACAGCTTCCTTTTAAACTATAAATGGTATGAAAAAATTCAACTGTCTATTTTATAGTGGTTACAAACCATATTTAAACCAAAACATAAATAAGTGTGACACTGCTCCAAGAAAAAAAAAAAAAAAAAAACTGAGTTTGACGTGTGTATGTATATACTTGTGCATGGAAGTGGGTATAACCCAAAAAATAAAAAGTTTCACGTATATAGTACTTGTGCATTGAAGTGGGTTATTTTTGAGTGAAGAATCGGTTGTGAAAAAACAAATATATATGTGTGTGTGGAGAGTTCTACATACGATATAACTTGTGTATATATATCCTTCATGTCGTAGACTATAATTTTTTTTATTTACTTCATGAGACTTGTAATATAAAGTGTTATTGATATAATCATGTTACATGCTAAACGCTTTAATGACAATTTTTTACATGTTTTATGGATGCTTTTGACGTTGTAGGTGGTCTAAAATTGCCTCGCATTTCTCTGGTAGAACGGATAACGAGATAAAAAACCATTGGAATACGAAGATCAAGAAGAAGATGAAACATCTTGGTTTGGATCCGGCTACGCACAACCCGATGAATGATATTACTCATCAAACCGATCCTAATCAGGACACAAAACCAAATATGTGTTCTACCATCAATGAAGGAGAAGAGATCAAGGATCAAACTCCAAAAGATGATGTTATCACAGAAACAACAAAAACATTAATATTGTCTGATAATGATGATGAACTTCGGGCGGAAAACTGCAAAACTCTATGTGCAGAAGAAGTAGACTTGGAATATCTATTCGAAACGCAAGGCAACGAGATATCCTCTTCGTCTTTATCTTCGTTGTATAGTAATATTTCAAGAAGTGAATCTTCATCATATCTTGCAGAAGATTCGATCTCTTTAGAGCAATGGGACTTGGATATGACGGATCCTCTTGTACCATGGGATCTGTTCGCCAATCTTGATGATAATCTTTTCTTCTTATGAGTATATAATGTAATATAACATTATAATATATCTATATATAATTATTGCAAGTAATTAATAGTTGCTTAGTTTCGTGTATGTAAGATGTTGATTATGCATGGCGTGCGATGTTGTATTATAATTTGCTCATACAATATGTATGCATATATGTAATGACTAATTTACCAGGAATATATAAGTATGCATGTGATGACAATATTTTACTCAGTTGAATAACTATATGTCTATATCATTTGTTTTGAAAATTATAATGTCAATTTTAGTTTAATCGGTCAAATCCAGGATCGCCATCATCGTTGTTTGTTCAAATAATATGTTTCAATGTCAAAAATGAAGTTTCACACAAAAACTTTATACTGTATCGAGATATAAAATTGTAACACTATTAAATAAAAACGGCAAATAGCAAACCCAGTCATATATCCCACATGTGCGACACAATAAGTTTTGTATTAATTTATATTACATGCTCACTATATATTATCAATGTGTTCTTTATAGTTAGGTGAATTAGGTCAATGCGGCCTTTCATGGATTGGAAAAAACATAGAATAAACAAAACCTTTATAAGAAAAAAACGAAACTCGCGAAAATTGACCCGTTACAAAATTAACTATGAGTTCCAAAATAAATGGTACCCACCTACTTTTACAAAAAATAAAGTAACAATTGTACCCACTTTCATTCGAAGCATGCATTTGATTATTATTATTACTTTGTTGTAAAAGAATCAATGAAGTAATCACTTCTACTAAAATATCGAATAACTCTTTATTATTTTTCTTTAAAAAGATTTGATTTGATCGGACGAAAATAAATTAAGGTTAAACATTTTTTAAACAGTTTTAGATCATGGTGATTGTAGTTGTTGGGATAAAAGACAATGACGACGATGTTGCTTTCGTCAAGTGTTTGGATTTTTGCAATCATTGAATTAACTTCTATACTTTTCATAATTATTTTATTAATTGTATTAACTACAAAACTTTGAGTGAGTGAAATATAACTAAACTCTTACGTGTAAGCCTACAAGATAACTTTCTTACAATATCTTATAAAAACTTTTACCTGTTAAGAAGAAAACTTGTAAAATTTTAAAACTCTACGTCTTTGTTAATGATTTTAAGATGCACATAATCTCAAACCATTTCCAAAGCTATATATTTCGAACTGGGAAGGTAGACAAAATAAGCCCATTAAAGTAAGCCCATTTGAACAAATGTATGCATGATCAGAGAATACCAAAGCTATCATTCATAAATCATAATCTAAGTAGACTACACGGAACACATAATTCACGATGAATACAACCAAGTATAAGCAAACCAAACCCATTCTACATCCATATTAAGCACCGCGTGATACTAAGCTACAAAAGATAAAGAGAGGCTGAATAAGCATAACAAAATAGCCAAAGGCAGCCGGAGGAGCAGAGGACTTGGTGGTCTGGTCGAGAGATATGACCTCGACAATCATCTTCTGACCTTTCTCGCAGTGACCAGACGTTCCACTAATGAAATAGTAAGGAACAGAGTGATCAAACATGAATCTGGTCTTGCCCGTATTCGAGTAGAATCTCGGGTGCGAAGAATTGCACTGCTTGTAACTCTCCTTCGTCACTTGCATCACTGAGTCTTTCTTGTACTTGAATTCTTTCAAACCCCACCAAAAGAAACAGAACAAACGTAACAAAAATAAATAAATCAAACTTGATGTTAAAAAGTTCGAAATTTTTTGAGTTGAGTTGGGTAAGTATGCTTACGAATGATGTCTCCGACTTGGAACCGTTTATTGGAAGCCCAATCATTGAAACTCGCAGAAGAATTTGCTGGAGGAACTACCCAATTGAGTTTGTGTTCATGGGAAGAGACAGAAACTGAAATCGTTAAGACAATAACAAGCCAAAGAAACATATTTAAAGTCTCTGTTTCGATTTTCTGCGCCTCAGAATGATCAGCAACAATAGAGTAAAAATTCTGATTGATAAATTTCGGATTTTATAAGAAATGGAGACGAGTTGGTTACGAGAAGGGAGAGATGGAGATAGTGGGAGAGATATGTGTTAGTGGTTGGTTAAGTAAATTTATTTCTCTGTTTTTGGCAATGCAACACGCGGGAACAGAGAACGATCAAATACTCTGAACTATAGTTTGAACATTTAAAAAAAAACGATTAATTTAGAGAATTTGTATTTTTGTACGGACGAAATATATTTGTATACTGATTAATCAGAATTAAAAACTCAACCCAAGTCGGTTTAAGCTCAATGTCATAAAAATTCTTGTACAATATGTATCAGACTAAGCTCTCTTCTCTTTGCTTGGCCTAGGACCCAACAGATTAAGATCAATGGTGGCTCCATAAGTCTCAGCTGATTTAACAACCGCATCGTATGGCTTAGAAGAGAGCTTAAGCCCTTCGTTTTGAGCCTTCAAATGTAACTCATAAGCAAGCCTTGGCTTTGCATCATTTGCAAGCGCCTCGATCAACATCTCGTAGGTTATCTCATTAGGCTCGACCTTCTCACCTCTCATTCTGTGAAACCACTCGTAAGCCACACCACTTAACCCGTTCCTCGCGCAACCGCTTATAACTGCGTTGTAAGTCACAACGCTCGGCTCGATACCTTTTGATGCCATTTCCTTGAGAAGGGTATCCAAAAGATTGAATTTTTGCTGTCCTGTCAAAACTGAAGCCATTGTCGTGTACGCGTAAAGATTTGGCTCAATCCCTACCTTAATCATATGGTTCCAAACTCGAAACGCCTCATCATATAACTTCCCTTTCTCAAGAGCACTGAGCAGCGCACCGTATGAGATTACTGTTGGCTTTTCGCCGTTGTCAACCATTGCTTTAAAGATTTGGATCGCAGCTGTGGTCTCAGAGGCTTTTGAACACGCTACAAGAACCGCATTCCAATGTCTGCTCTGCGGTTTCAATCCTTTATCTTCCATTTTGTTAAGTAGCCTAACTCCCCATCTCCATATCCCTCTCCTACTAGCTGCACTCAGCAAGATACTGAAATGAGAGACCACTAATTCGTAAGACAAAGTGTTCGGTTCAGGTCCTTCGTCAAGAAGATCCTCGTAGATCTCTAACGCTGCCCACCATTTCTTAGCCTTACCCATCAGCCAAATCAAATGGTTGCAGACAGATAGACTTATCTCAGGAAACCTCTCTCTGATTCTTTTATACAACTCTTTACCAACAATATAATGTTCTTCACGCGTACATGCCCATATAAGCCTCTCGTGCTCTTCCCTACTCGGTTTAAGCCCCGCATTGTCCATTGCATTCAAAAGCTTCAACACTCTAGTAGTCCAGTTTTCATCTTTCACCAGCCACCGCCTCATCACTTGGTAGCATATTCTACCAACGAAATTTTCGAGCTTAACAAACTCAAATTCCCAATCGTAATCAGCGTCATTCCCTATTTCCCTCTTTAAGTATTTCTCTCTCAGTTCAACAAAGAACTCGAGAGCTCCCATACCGTCTTCCATTCTTCTGTAGACAAGCAAAGCCGTTGAATATGTTATCGGGTTAGGCTCAAAACCTTTTTCCTTGACTAAATCAAGAATCCCAAGGGCCTTGTGAAACTCCCCTTCCTCCATGTAAATAACCATCAAAGTATTGTAAGTAACAATGTTTGGAACAATCCCTTCTTCCTCCATATCACTCAGTATCTTCTCTGCTTCCCCAAATCCACTCGACTGTTTCATCGCACCCAAAAGGCTGTTATATATAAAAAGGTTTGGACCTATGACACAGCCTGATTCACTCTTCTTCCTCTTAAGCCAATCTACTACGGCTATCGCAGGCTTCAGTCTCTTGTCCTTGCCAAAACCCCTAATCATAGCACAATAGACTTGTAGAGGTAATTCTCCCTTCTCCTTGAGAACAATATCCACATCATCCGCTGTCTTAGCAGCTCGTAAACTATACGCCAATTCTCTAACGTCAACTCTTGAATTGGTTTTTTCTCTTCCTTTTACATCTTGTGTTTCAGAATGATCAACAATAACTGAACTTGAATCTTCCGTGGAAACTTCTTCCCCGAGCTCTCGTTGCTCCGTGGCCCATCCCACCCCAACCGATGATCCCGACAAACTTCTCTTTGGCTCACACAGAAACACAACTTTTGATGTAGGATTAATGGCCAAACCTTCAAATTTCCTATTATTCGAAACCAAGATCAAGCTAGAGATTCTACCAAAGCAACCCTGTTCAGCAGAACAATGCCTCTTTCTAGACTTATGGCTAACTACAAAACAAGAACAATCCAACTCAAATTCCAATCTCGATCCAACTAAAAGACCAGACTTTAGTGGCCAAATGCTTAAAGCTTGCATCTTTTCCAACACAATATCACCAGCAAGAACAATCAAAGAGAAACCAAACGCTCCAATTTCGCATGTTGCCGCCAAATTCACCGGGAAAAACAATAACCAACCCTTGAACTGAAATTCCTCAAGGTCGCAACTTTTCTGTACAATTCATCAAGAAACACAACAAAACCCCCCGATAACAGATTCTTCAACAATCTCGAATTCGAAAACTCAGACGCAGCCCAACACACAGATGGTTTAGTTAAGTGATGGTGTGGTGCGCTTGTGGCCATCCAATCTCCCATGAGCGGGTAAGCTTCAACTTCTGCAAGAGAAAACCATGTAACGGTGTCGTTTAGACAATTAAACCCAATAACTCGGCCCAATACGTGTGTTTTAAAGGCCCTTTATGGTGGGTGATAATTTATAGTTTTTATTTTACTGCAAAATATGCGTTTTAATTTTTATCTATTGCGTAATAATGCTATTGTTTACTAAAATAAAATAGATAAGGTCAAAAAGTGTTTATGTAATTTTTCTGTATGAAGGTGTGTTAGTTTTGATAAATTAGTTTTTTTTTTTTAATGGTAACTATAAATCTATTTCACAAAAATTATATTTTAAAATATTTCTATGTATCTTTTCATTAAAACGGAAATAGATTACAAATTCCACATGACATAAAGATCAAAAGATGCATTGAAGACCATACTTTAGGTTGGGTACAAAGGATATATGTTCCTTTGTAAAAATCCAATAAACATGTCTGGCCCATGCACATAAACATATAATGCATGTATAAAAATGTCCACAAACATTATTGTGTGCATAGATAAATATATATTACATTTTCTATATTTACATATGTGTATGTATGTATAATTATGATGGGCAACCATGTTGGTGGATCAAGATTGTTAAAGGAGAAATATAAATGGGGATTCACCATATCTCAAAAGCCGTCTTCTAGCTACGACAACATGTTGCTATGTCATTTCATCTTGTCCATCAATAATCACATTCATGATTATATACATGTGTATGTATGGTTTGGTTATGTTAAAGATCCATAGTTTAATCAGAGATTAATCACATGGTAAGACACAGAAGGTAATCACTAAACACTAATCTGATGTCTTTTTTTTTTTTTTTGGGCACAGACACTAATCTGATGTTTTTTTTTTTTTTTTTTTTTTGGGCAAAACTAATATGATGTTTAAGACCTGAAAAAACAGGGTCAATGGACGTAACTATTGCTAACAAATCTAAAATAGATAAATTATGTAAATCTATACTATTAATTGGGAATCACTAAAAAATTAAGAACCTTCATGTAGTAGAATATTACATACAATGCCATTGTTTTTTTTAAATTTGAAAAAGGAAAAAAAGTCAAAAATCAAAATTATTTAGAATCCATAACAACTAACTATTTTAAATTCAAAATAATAAAAATGGAAAATGTAATTATTCTAGCATGAGTTTACGAATTATTCAAATCAAATTCACTTTTTTATTTTAAAAAATATTCAAATCAAATCTTAAATTAGTTCACAAAATCATATCACAACTTTTTATACTTACCATATATAGTCTCAGCATTGACAATCCATGATAAGATTTTAACTTCTAATATATTCTACAAATAAATTAGAAAGTTAGAATAACAAAAACAAATCCATGGACGCGATGCCATTATTTGTTCTACGTAGTTGTGTAAATAACAAAAACAAATTCGCTCATTCATTCTGTCTTCACCGATATGAAATCCCGCACGTATGTGCGGGTCAAAATCTAGTTATACTGAAAGAGAAAACATCAAACAATATTGATAAAATTATAAATGAAACGAAATACAAACAACATTGATTTAGTTAATCAAAAGATGAGATAGCAAGTAATACATCAGGATTTGTTGATATAGTTAGAATAATTTGCTACAGTTATAACACTAAACTGAATGCAAATTAGTCGTGGATTTCAGTTCATGATTATTTAATTATATTTTAAGGTAAAATATTATTTTTTTTGTTAAGATTAATTTTTTTTTTGTCATCTGAAATTAAGTAGAGCTCAAAAAAACCATTCATGGAGAATGTTGTTTACATAAGTGATACGAAGCGGTTCTGCACGAAAAGTTCGTGCCAGATTATCCGCTTTTACATTAGCACATCGAGAAATTAAAGATAGACATTAATAAAAAGTTGCAAAATGATTAAGATTTGGATTTGCAGTAGACATACTGATATTTCCCAAACTATAATCTGAGCTGTTGATCTCTATAAGAAATATCTTGTCGAAGATTTTATTTTAGATTGATCATAGACATACTCACACAGTGATATATGTTCTTCTAACCTTGACCTGATTAATAAGCCATTTTCTTATAATTTGATCATTTGTCGTTATTATTTCACAAGGTTTCCAAATCCATACGCATTATTAATTTTCCAAAATGGTCCTACTCCTACAGTCCTCTCCCTCCTACCACATGGCGATCTTTTCACAAGATTCAAATTTACCCATCCGAAAGAAACGTAATCACTTTCATTGGCAATAAAGAACAAACTAAACTAAAAAAAAAAAAAAAAAAAAAAAAAAAAGAACAAACTAAACTAGTGTCCCTTTTCCTTGATTAGGTAACTAAACTAGTGTCCCTTTTACTTGATTAGGTACATCATACATGGTTAAATAACTATATAAATCATATGTTATTTCTGCTTTGTTTTTTTCTCAACATTTTTGCATTGTAAATACCTTCATGTATTCGCTAATCTAGTACCACCATAGAAAAGCCTTGGAAAATTTGTAATGCATTTAGCATGATAATATATAGTGTTGGCCGAAAAAAAAATAAGTATGAATTTTTTTTGTCAAACTGAGATAACCTTTAATACAACAAGGTTGGTACGCCGAAATTCCTAGACAAAACAAAGCCTACCCATAATATATAATTTTGATTAATTAACATTTGTAACATAATGTTGATTGTTTTAAATTTATTTACATTTTGTCGCGTTCGGGATCCTCCAATCAAGGAAACATTGTTTATAAGCAGTCGAACCATCGCCCATGTGCTGCAACTCTTCTCTTAACAGTCTCGATCAATCCTAGTTAAATCTGATTTATCCTTTGTCGGCACTTATTCATCGCTAATATCTTATACTATAACAATTGACTCCACATACTTAATTACATAAACATAAAAGTATATAAAAGAGGACATTATATAAAAAGCAACTTGCACATGCAAGTATGTATGTGGTTTTGTCCTTATGCTAACCTCTGGTCTCTTATATAAACCACCTAAATGTTTCCATGTTCTATGTATCCCAAAGCTTGAGAGAAAACAGAAAAGAAAAACTCCATAGAAATCAAAGTAGAAAGAAATGATGAAGTTTAAGTCCAAGAGGTTTGGGATTAGATTTGGATTTGGTAAAAGAATCAACAACAAAGGCATACAACAAGATCAACAACAAAAGGGAGTTAGTAACAACAACAATAGTAGCTCCAGCAACTATGAGATCAAATGGGAACTTAGGCCAGGAGGCATGCTTGTTCAAAAAAGACAAGAGAGTATTGGTGAAGACTTGATCTCCATTAGAGTCTCTACTTTTCCTCATTTTCATGATCTCTCCATTGAAGCCACCTCCACTTTTGGTAAATTTCTTGTCTCTCAACATTTCTCAACCTTTATGTTTCATCTTTTGGGAGACTTATTCAACTACTGGTTTGATGTCATTTTCAAATTTTATCAAATTTAAAACTGATTTAAGAGATTATATGCGAGTATACGAAAACTAAAATCATCTGAAACTATGAAAAAATCGTATTTTAAAAACTAAAAATTTTGAAAACATGAAATAAAGAAAAAGAGAAGAACTAATATTATAAATCCTTGTTATCAGATTTATAACATAAGATTCTATTTATGGGTTTACAGGAGAACTTAAGATGGTATTATCATTGCTTACCGGTTTAGAGCCAAAACAACAAAGGCTATTATTCAAAGGGAAAGAAAGAGAGGATCATGAATATCTACACATGGTTGGTGTTGGGGATAAAGACAAAGTATTGTTGTTAGAAGATCCTGCCTTCAAAGATAAAAAGCTTCTTGATCTTAACAACATTTCCACTTCTTGTCCCATACTCGTATAAACAACTAAACAAATTTGTCAAATTAGTTGTTTGTCAATTTCTTTGTGAAATAATATCACATCAAGAAAATTAACTATAGCTATGATTGTCATGAATTAAACTAGAGATTCCATACAGTCATTCGATTATCTCTAAGTTGTAAACTAATATGTTTACATGTTATATATTTGTGAAAGTTTTTAGAACCCATATTTTTCAATTAGTTATATGTTGAAGAAAAGTTAGAACAAGAACTACGATCCATTTATGAACTTATCATTAACATCCATTTTTATTATCATTATTGTTCAGATGATTTGGTACAAATTAGCTAACTTTTCTAATAAGAGAACTAATGCAGCCAAACAAAACCGAAAATTTTGCATAACCGAGCTGGTCAAGACCCCTATACAGACCAATATCATCCTCAAATCTCGGTATGCTCCGGTTGAGCTCTAACTTCTCAAAAAGTTACAAAATAACAATATCATATGATACCAAACAGGCAAACACCCGTCACTTAGGTGGTTTATGAATCGTCTCTCTTCACAAACCGGCCCTGAAAAAGATGAACAAAAAAACCAATGATTAATTAGAATAAGCAACTCCACGTATCAACCAATTTAGTTCTCAGTGATTTTCAATATAATTCTACATCATGTACCAAAATTTGGATTCAAATGTGTGTGAAAATTGTTGAAAAAACAAGAAGAAGAGCTTACTTTAACACGAGGACGTTTCTCAGCGTTGAGTTTACGAACTTGATATCGAATCCGCTTAGAGAAAAGACGGTTTTGCCGTTTCTCTTTATACCGAAGCAAGCTGGCTTCTCTATGCCCTCTCCATAATCTCTCCGTCGTTTCCATCTCCGGCACTGCCCATAAACTACCCGCCTCTCCGCCATCGGTAAACCCCTAAAACCATCAGCACACTAATTATCAAATCTTGCTTAATTATTAGCAAAGAATGTTTAGCATCTCAAAGAACAAAATGTCAAATACTTTCTTATTTTTTTATAAGCACTTTTGCCAACATTATAACGTATGATTCGATAACCTCGGTCAATCAATCTACCGTTACAATTCTCATTCTCTAGTCAGAGCCTAAATATTATTATAAAATCTCAAATAAATAAATAAATAATTTAGTAAGACTATCATCATTACAGTTTCAAGAACCCGTGATGGCGTGATCTCATTAAAATTTTCACCGGTAATTTTTAAGTCTAATTAATTAGTCAATGTAAGCATTGATTAACACCAAATAAAAACAAAAAAATAGATGGTTTACTTACATCAGTGGAAGCATGCAAGTCCGGCACCGTCTGCGGCGGTTCTCCGTCGACATAAAGCGTACCTTTATCCGACCAAGCTTCCATGATCTGCTCGTAATCAAGCTTCAAAGCCAACGAGGGTCGTCCATCGTTTCCATCGCCTCCGCAACACCGTGGAGTTCCGCTCCGACTCATCACTTCTTCCACAACCTCTGAATAACTCACCCACCGCTCCTCCGTCGTCTCCTCCTCCTCGCTCGCTCCTTTCCTCATCGCCGTCCGTAACAGCGAAGAAGACGACGATCCGTGCTCTTGACGATCGTACGGAGAGAGATTATTCCTTTCTCCGCCGCAATCTACATCGGTGGCGGCGGAGGAAGGGAGGAGATCGTGGATCGAAGAAATTGTACTGTCGGTGGCGGAATTGAAGAGGTAAGCTGCGACGGTGTCGTATTGCTCTTCTTCTTTCTCTCCTCCTCCAAGAGTAGTCTCTGCTCTCTTTTTCTCCTTAAACAGCGTCGTATCAGGTTCTTTCTTCTTGCTCTGTTTTTTATTCTTCTTCTTCTTGCTCTTCTTGGTTCTGGAATTCTCGTTGATCTCGTGAGAAGTGTTGAGTTCGAGCTTGAGACTGAGAAATTTGGGTTTTTTCGTTTTTGTTCTGATCTTACGAGACGCGTCAAGATTGGAAGGAGACTTTTCCTCCATGGTGATGGTAGCTTCTCTGTTTTTTCTCTTCTTGATCCTCTTTGATGTTCGCGTACTCTGTTTTTCTTCTCCGACGACCGGACTTGTTTTGTTGCTACACATCTCTGATCTCTCTCTCTAACACTTAACTCTTCTCTGCTTTCTAAGTTTTGTTCTTTCTCTCTCTCTCTCTCACTCAGAAGTATGTAGGTGGAGCGAGAGGGAAAGCTGACAGTGATGGTACCTTTTGACGCGTGTCGATCAGTCATTGGATAAAGCTATTGTAATCTTGGATTCTGTTTGGATGTGCAGGAGATAGTATGGTTGGATTAGATTACATTACATTCATACATTGTGTCTTAAACTTTTTATTAATTAATGGGTAACTCCATTCTTATTTTCAACTTTTCATAAAGCACTATTTTGTAGTTACCAACATTTATAAAGTTCATATTTTATTTAAAAGGGTTGGGATTATTGTTATATGAGCCTTTTTTTTTTTAATCATAAATATATATTAATCAATCCCAATTGGGCAAAATACATGGTTACAACTGAGAAATACGGATACAAAAAAGCAAGGAAAACCGACGACGATGATCGAAGAAGAGATCTGAAAAGCTACGGGTGATGAGAACACAAGGTCAAACGATTAGTCACCAACATTTATATAAAGTTCACATTTACATATATTTTAGATTGAAATTAACATGAGGTTGACATTAAGCAAATGTAGTTAACATGATCAGTTTTTCTTTAGGCAACAAATTAACATGAGACTTTTGGATCCAATATTGATGGGAAATTATATTTCTAATGAGTAATGTCAATGTGATATAAATATCTTTCGACATTCCTCCGTGAGAAGATATCATTTGCATTATTTTTATTCCACGCTGTAATCAAACGCAAGGAGATTGTGAAACTGAATAAATTTCAAAACCCGAATCCAATTCATAAATTGACAAAACAAAATGAACCCACTTCATTGATTAAGTTTCGTTAAGGGAAATAATGTTGTTGAGCTTGGGTTTATAGTAAATTGGCTACCACCGACAGCAATGACAAATGAAGTGGTATATAGTACAGTAGCATCCTGAACTCTTACTGTCTTTTGATGACACCTTTCGTAAAATTAGATTTTCTTTTGTGATAACATTCACGTGAAACCAAAATAAGTTCTATACATTTTCTTTGTCTTGTACATTTTCTCTAAGGCTGCAACGTCATTTATTTTCATAAAGTTGATGGGTTTAATTTTGAGAGATTTAAAGCCAACTTTAGAAAAATCTAAATGCATAAGAGCATCTCCAAATGTAACCTCAAATCTTCAAATATAAGGTTTTTGGTTCTCCAAAGGCAACCTCAAAACCTCAAATATGAAGTTCCACTATTCAAAACCTCAAATTTGAGGTTTCATCTTTTTTATTTGCATTTTGGTCCTTATAATTATTTATATCTTATAAATACTTTTACTAATTTATTATTTTATCATTTTAGTCCTTAAATTTTTTATGTCTTATAAATAGAAATTTTATTTTGCAATATAAAAGTAAATAAACACTTTTTTATCTCGATTTCAATAATTTTTATCTCGTAATCTACAGATAAAAATAAAGAGACTCATCTAGCTCTTCGAAATGCATTGATTGATCATATATGTGAGCATTACGGAAATAATTAGGTTCAATAATTTGGTAATTTAGTTTTAATTTGTGATTTCATTTGTATGTTTTTATTATTATTTTGTGTAATTTTATTTTATATGTAATATTTTATTAATTAATAATGTTTTTAATATTCTTAATGTATGTTTCATTGTTATTTATAGAACTTTTATGGTTTTATGTAATTATAATTAATAACGAGGACTATTATGCAAAATACATAACTTTTTGAAGTTAAATTTGAGGTTTTTGTTTGGAGAGATACAACCCTAAACAAACCTCAAATTTGAAGTTCCTTTTGGAGATGCTCTAAAGAAATCGATATTTTCCCTTCAAAAAGTGGATTCTGTAGTAAATAAAATAATATTGATATAATGCCATCTAAACGTGATCGATTAGAATATTCTTAAGGGATATCGCAAGCAAGTTCTACTGTATATAACTGATAAGAAATATATTGCTTTTTCACATTTTAAAAAGAACAACCACAAATGGACATGACAATTGTCTATGAATTTTATTCAATAAGATAAGTCTAGAATAAAAAAGATAGCCTTTTGAAAACTCTCGTGTTAATAATTGCTAGATTTGACTAGTATTTTACACGTAAAAGTTAAAACCTACGCAAAATTTGGAGTTACGAATGAGCCCATTTAAGAAACCTGACGTTGGCAAAAAAGAAAAGCTGAAGAGGAAACCAAAAAAAAGCTGTGGGAGAGAGAAGGATCCAATCAGAGCGAATCATACACGGGAACACGAGCAATTGTTACGGGTCCTACCTTCATTGACTAATTTTATTTTTGTTTTGGCTCATAAGACTAATTTTTGTAATAACTTATTGTTCTTATTTTTTTATTAAACCTTTATTGTTTTATTTTTTTTATTATAAAGAAGTGTCTGCATTAGATAATATATTGATTTATTTGATTTCACTTTCTCTCTAATATGTTTTAAATTTTAACTATGAAAATATTATTTTCTTATTATAATTTATAAAACCAAAAAATAACAAAACATAGTGTATAATATAAATTATCATGAAAATTTATTTATTTAAATTACTCAAAAAAATAATCGGACGAAATATTGTTTAGGTTTATTATTTTCTATGAAGAGTTAAATACTTTCTAAGCTTTTTGATCTATTTACCTATTGGCTAATTTTGACACCAAAAATGGTTTTCATCCTAAATTTATTAACTTGATTTAAAATGTGTACTAGCCTTTATCATAAATGACATAAATAGTACACCATTTAGTATTTGCCAACAAAAGTTTAAAATAAAAATGCTAAAAATCCATTTATATCATTTTTTTTTTTTTTGGTGAGCCCATTTATATCATTTATGATATCTACACATTCATTCACAACATATGACAATAGGAACTAAAAGACATTAGACCACAAGAATCATATGCATTTCCAAAAAATAATTTTATTAAACAAAATATGAAACATTTGTTCTAACAAAATTTCATAATGACATTTAGGTTTATATTTACTCCAATTAATCTCGATTTATAAACGTATATATAAAATAAATTTACGGCCTCAACTCAAAAGATTATACAAATCTCTGATCCATCCAAGCAAAACGTGGACGATTTAACTTAGAAAGAAAATAAGAAGAATCCGACGGCGGCGATTGTGCCGACAACGGAGAGCTTAGCGGTTGTCACGGCACCACTCTTGGGTGACTCCGCAGTGGGTCCATCGCTTGGTCCATCAGCAGCGGATGTGCTGTCAGGGGTGGGAGCCGGTGGGGAGGAGACGGTAGGTGCCTCGGCGGAGTCACTAGGACTGGAGGCAGAGTAGTCATCCTCGGAGACTGGTCCTTCGGCAGCAGGGGAAGATGCTTTGGGAGAAGAGGCCGATGATGATTTAGGTGCGGCAGCCGGAGCCTTGGTTGGAGCTGCAGGAGCCTTGGTTGGGGCAGTTGGAGCCTTGGTTGGTGTGGCGGTGGGTGATGGAGATTTTTTGGGGGAAGCTGAGGGAGCGTCAGCGGCGAAAACGCTGGCAATGGTTAAAGCCAATAGGGCTAAAACGACAAATTGGCGTGCCATTTTTGTTGTTTTTTTTCTGGTTTTGTAGTTTTTTTATTGAGATTAAAAGGAGGATACTCCAAAAGCTAAAGCAGTATTTTTTATTTATTTTTTTGTTTTATTTTTCTTATTCTATTTAGAAATACTGCAAAAGCTTTAGGGTGTAAGAATAAGACATGGAGGAGTAAATTTATATGTTTTTGAAGATGAGAAAAATTAGGGAAATTGATGGATATGAGAGAAACGATGAATCTTGTAATCTACTTTTAGAAAGTATTTTTAAAAAGTAAGGCTAAAAATAGATTATATGGAAAATATAAACACAGGACTATAAACCAGTTCTTCTATTTTTGAATACTTAACACAATTTTTAAAAGAAAATACTAATATTAGTAGCTGAGACTGAGGTTATGACTTTTGTTTGATTGTATTGCCGAAAATTAGAACTTGCGTCTCAAAATACATATTGGGCAATCTTAAAGAGTTTACTGTACTTTCGAACTAAGCCCAAACTAAAACCCAAATATTTGGCTACACATAAGAAGATATATATATACAGGCAACTGACACAAGTCATTACCAAAGGTTCAAAACATAGAAACTCCTGCATGGTGAAGTTTTCTGAGGAAGACATTTGTTAATGTTCTGACAGAGTTAGAAAACAAACAACATCTCTTTAATTCTATCTTTTTGTTTGTGTTATTTGCATCTGATATTGTTGTCATGATGTGCAGTGCAGTTTCTTTTTTTTTGAAATGCTAGATTTTTTACTTGTTTCTCTACTCTTAAGTTTTTAACCAGTAACCAAAGCTTAAATCAATCACATGAAATCACATGATATTTACGAGTAAAAAGTTGGGTGGGTCAAATAAATTAAGTAGCAGGTTATTGTAAAGACCTAATTTCGCTCAATTGTTTGCTCAATATTGAAACGTCACCATTCAAGATTTATCACACCCAAATAAACTATAGAATAACTCACAATCAAAACAAAAAACATAAACATTAGAATCGCCAATCAACAAGATCAAGATCAAATGTTCTTGTTCTGTAAACAACTTATATACGTGTGGTAGATTTATCCGGTTTACTCAGACCGTACTCTATCCAATCTATCAACACTCTTCCTCCCTCTCTCAATCTGATGATGATTCTGATGATGTTGATGATGGTCAACGCTCTTCCTTGCCTTTTCGTGGAAGTCAACGCTCCTCCTAGTCCGATCTAAGTGCTGCTCAAATGTGATTCTCAGCTTACTCTTCTTCGACGGACCCTTTGGAGGTTTCTCTTTCTCCCTTCTATCAACGCTTTGCCTCGGCTTCTCTCTTCTATCTACGCTCTGCCTCGGCATTTCCAAATCGCTGCTCTGTTTTTCTGATTGGGCCGTGCTCGCCCTTGAGGACAGAGATCTCTCTACGGTTGTGATGAACTTCTTAAGGTGTTTAATGTATTCAGGATAGTGTTCTAGATCACAGTGGTTACCACCTTCGAGCCAAAGCGGTTCATATTTCTCTTTAGAGAGTTCCCATAGTTGTTTTCCATGGGAACAGTCAACTACTTCATCACAAGTTCCCTGCAACCAGAAAGAGTTATATACACTCAGTTTCCGGATTATAAAAAGGAAAAGAGAATGAAATGAATATGGAACTCACGTGAATGACGAGAACCGGGCAATTCACAAGAGGGATTTTGTCGATATTCTGCAAGTTTACATAAAGCTAACACTGTGAAGAAGATAGAGGAATGCAAGAAAATCGAAAATGATCCATCTAAGAATGATGTATTTATTACCTTGAAGATGTCGAACCAGTATGTCTTTTTCACTGGATACATTACTCTTAAACCCGAAAGAATCGGGCTATGGAGAACAACAGCTCTTAAATGAGGCAATCGAGCAGCAAGATCTAATGTAGGTCCACTTCCAACGGATTGGCCATAAAGGATTACGTCTTCCTGCTTTGCTCCGTAGGTTTCCTCAAGACATTTATAAGCAGCTTCGATATCAGCATATGTATGGTGCTCACTTGGCTGCAGTCACACGAAAAAAGTTCGGTTATTTAGTTTTTCACTCGAATGGGTTAAAAATCATTATCGATATCTCTACTTGTCGATGCTCAAAAAGACAAACCTTTCCAGTAGATTGTCCATATCCGGAGTAATCATACCTGAAAATACCAAAGCAGAGAAGCAACATTTATAGAGCTGAATCAAGCTATGAAGCATCTGAAGTTCTTTTGGTTTTAAATGTTATCAAGGATCTGAAGTTGCGAGATGCATTGGTTCATAAAGATTATAGTGAGCTAATTATAGTTTCAACACAATCTGAAACATACAAAGAGCTAAAATAAACAGCTTAAGCATCTTAACACAACCAAGTTGTTTCTCCAAACAGAAAACAAAAGTAGACAACAAATCAAAATTTGGGAAAAGACAATGAACAAAAGACTCAAAACAAGTACAACATTTAGACTTTCATGAAATTGATATTGCCACAACAACTTATCTATACGTTTCAACCAAAAGCTTATCAGCATAAACTGGATACAGAGTAAAATCATAATAAACCCAAAAGAACAATCAAACAGTAGAAACCAAGAAGAATAGAAATCTCCAAATCTAACATATATCCAGAAAAAGAAAGAAAATCTCCAAAATCATTCGTTTTCACTAAGCAAAACACCATTAATACCAAAACCCACATGGGACCAGATAGAAAATTCCTAAATAGCCATTAAGAAAAAGTCTTAGACTTTGATCATATCCAGATACAAACATGACAAAACAGAACACAATTTCAGACCAGAAGAGCTAATCATCATCATCAGAGCTATGTAAGAGAGAAAGACTAAAACTTTAACATACCCCATGAGATTAACCTTAAGATGGATGCTCAATTCGATGAAGAGCTCATACATCTGGCCCAGATCGGCGGCGTTTCCATGGGAATAAAGCAGAGTAGAGGTAGCCATCGGATGTCTGACGTACATAGTCACGATCTCTGTTCCTCTACGTGTCGGAAGCTTAAGGATTTCGACGTTTTCACGGTGAGGAAATGGGTTCATCAGAAGAAGTCCGGTCAGTTCGTCGTAGACCAGCTTGTAAGACGACGGACTCGGTGGGAAGAAAGCAAACTTCGCCGCAACTGATGACGTCACACCTCCCATCTCTCTCTCTCTCTCTCTCTGCTTTCACAGTCTCTTAGATGAAGAACATTTTTGTAGCTGCTGAAAGATTTGAGATTGAAGCTTTTTCTTTTTCTCGGGAACGGAGAGGGAGAGTGAGAGAGAGAGGGGATTTAGGAAGAAAAAGTGGCACTTGAAATGGTAAAGGAAGAGAATGAACAAAAACTGTTTATTAAAGTTTTGAGCTTTGGCTTATTATTATATTTAAATTACCATAATTTAATTACAGAAAATTGAAGATTACTTTCCCTGTAGAAGGTTTTTTATGCAATCTGAAATTAAAAGAGAATAATAAGAGATTAAAACTATAGAGATTTGCAGACAAGTTAGAGGTTATGTCAATCTTTTAAAAAATGTTTACTTTTTGCAGATGAAAAGGGTTTTAGGCTAATAATTTAGCGTTGGTGGAGTGATAAATCATAGGTTATGATTAAACATGTGTATTTTTATATGCTTGGAATGGCCAAATATAAGAGTGAGAACATGAAAGGCACAATGGAATGGTATGATTCAATTGGACAAGGATTAAATATCAACAACTAACGATAAAACATAAATATAAGATGACAAAAGAATGAATAATATTATTAAGTATATGTTTTATTGTTAAGAAAAAGAAAAGAATAAAGAAGGGGTATGTATGTTGGTTTGCTTAATGGGGGTCCATGAAAATTTTTAAGCGGAAAGCAAATTTTGGAGTGGTGGGTCTTCACTCATTCATGCCTTGTGTGACAGCTTACCATTTTTTAATTTTATTTTATCAATTTTAAATTTTAAATTATTATTATTATTTTTTTTAAAAGAATTTTTAAACTTGTACTGTAATTTATTTTATTTCAATTTTTCTTCTTCTCATGAAATATATGTTAATTAATTAATTTACAAACACTTGCTGAAAAAAAAGAAGCTATTAGAACAAACTTTTTAGTTTTATACAATCGAAAAAGAACATGTCCACAAAGGCCTATATTCATGACATGACCAAGTCTCGTACAAATACAAGGAAATTAAACCTCTGGAAAACGAGATTATTCGGAAAATGTTAAATTAATAAAACAAATCCTGTTTTAAAATGGGCCTAAGAAGTTTGTACTCATGGGCTTCGTCGAGGAAGTTCTTAACGTCGTGGGTGGCAACAAGTGAAGAAGCTTATGGAAATGGCCATAAAAGAAACACGAGTAAAACTTGCTTGCTTGTTTAACCCGTTAGAAGACAAATCTTTTTTTTTTTTTTTTTTTTTACTAGATCTAAGTTCAAAATATAGAATTTGTGTTTAGAAGATGGTAGAGTTCCCATCTGAATTTAGAAAATATCAATATAATGCTTAAATGTATTAATCAGTTCACTTATTCTCAATTGGTTTTGAATTGAAAACTCATGTCTTAAAATGCTTTGACAAACCAAAAAAAAACTAAATATATTAAAAATGATTTATGATTTATGTCTATTGAGTACATCATCATATATCTATCATCAAAATATTATATAGGATTTTAATTAGCTATTATTTTTTGTGAATAGCATGGGATCAAGTGATATAATGTTTAGAAAAAAAATTCAAAAAGAAAGTAGAATTTTTTAAAAACTCTTTTTTATGATGTCTAGCAGCTCCGTACCAAACAGTAAAATTTTTGATAGATTAATGCGTAAAAGCGAATTAGTATGTTTTATCCATATTGTGGTCGGTCTAATATCAACATAACGTACGACAAAACAACAAACGAATGAAAATTAAAGTCAAAAGATAACGAAAAGTGTGATTTACGTAGATGGAGAGTTAAATTTGAAAGAACATAAATTTAAACCAACAAACTTATGGCACGAGGGTCCCAAATTGCATACACGTGCGTCAATTTTTCATCATTTAGCTTCTTACATTCCTCTTATTTTACCTTTTTTATTCTGCATTCTCAATTATTTTGTCTGATTGACTCGATAGATTTACGGGGTTCTTTTTTTTAGGTTTAAACAAAGTTTTAAAATCTTCTAGTATTATTTTTGAATTACTAGCTAGTTAACCATGAAATCCTTTCCATGAGATTTTAGATATTAGCACTAATTAGTAATGATCTAATTAAGGAGTTGGCACTACAAAAAAAAATTGTTGGCAGCACAAGCTTTTGTAATTTGTATCACTAGTTCTGTACTTTGTACCGCCACCATTACTTTGAGGAAAAAGAAATACATATAATACATGATTTTATTCTTAATATTAAAATAGTTAAAATGTAAATGGATATACATTAATTTATTTTAATAACTTTATTTTTAGTTATTATATGTTCTCTTTTGGGTTAACATAATTTTTTACCAATCAAAACAATAGTTGAACAGTAATGTTTTGGTGTGCACCGCCCGGTTTTACCATTTTTAATGCCATTTCTAAGTATATTGAATTGATATCTCTTATTGCTAACTTTTATTACTGAAAAATTTGTACAATATTTCAAAATATATTTATTAGCAAACGATATAAAATTTCAGTTAAATAATTTGTCATGGACTCATGGTCTAGTTATTTAATTATAGTGAAATTATATGATTATATAATAATCATGTTTTTAAATACTCAAACTACAATATGGATATCAAAAGTAGATACAGTTCTTAATTAGCTTGATATATACGTGTTTTATTAATTATTTTTCATATTTTATTAATTATTCCAATACTATAGAGATGTGTAATAATTTGGAAAAAATGTAATAATTTGGAATAGTTGACAAAATAATATAATTTGAAATACTTTATATAGAATATTGTTAATTTTAGTATCTAATATAATAATACTGGATTTTCTACTAAATAAAATTATTTATTTTGAATAGAAAAGATTTTACACATGTCAAAATTTAGAAAAAAATTTACATGTTATCTTATGGAGAGAATAGTCATATTTCCAGTGTTATCACTAATTTTATTCCATCTGAAGGATGCATGAATCTATATATATTTCCTTGGGTGCAATATACTTTCTTTTTATTTACAAAATAAAATATTAATTTAATCAATAATAAGAATGATTATATAAAAATTATTGATTTTTGTTGTATATAAAAAAGAATTGTTTTTGGTTTCTCTTTTTTTGTCTCAACACAAAAGGGAACTTAATTAATATTTAGATTATAGTTCAGGGACCATAGACATACTATCTTTGCTTGTTTGTGAGTGCGAGTGTGAGTGTAAGGGTAAGTGTGAGTGTATGTTTGTGTGTATATATATAGAGGTGTATAGATAGACCAAGAAAAAAAACATCATAAGAGATATTCAATTATCAAAAAGGGATCTTAATCTAATTCAAAGACAATGCTGGTCTTATCCATCTTCTTGTCGTTGGGATTGTTCTTTGTCTCTATTTTGATTCTTTATATTTCAATTTCTAAGGAAAATGAAACAAAAGATAAGCACTCATCACTAACTGGCAGCATGGGATGGCCTTTCGTTGGAGAAACTATTTCTTTCTTCAAACCTCATAGATCAGACTCCATCGGCACATTTTTGCAACAACGTGTTTCACGGTAATAATTAACATGTTTTGTTTTTTTTTTTTTTTTTTTTTCTTTTTGTTGTTGTTAAAATGTGAAATCTAAATTTAGACAACGTTTTACAACCCTTCGTCATGGGAACACAGTTTTCAGAAAACAATTGAAACAAATTGGCATTTAACCAAAAAAAACTATTTGCCACTTAATGACTAAACACCAAGTAAAACCCTTTCAGGTATGGAAAAGTGTTCAAGTCAAATATATGTGGTGGAAAAGCAATAGTCTCATGTGACCAAGAACTCAACATGTTCATACTTCAAAACGAAGGGAAGTTATTTACATCGGATTATCCAAAAGCGATGCATGACATTCTCGGCAAATATTCCCTCCTATTAGCCACCGGAGATATTCACAGGAAACTAAAAAACGTTATTATTAGCTTCATCAATCTCACAAAGTCGAAACCCGACTTTCTTCACTGCGCAGAGAACCTCTCTATCTCGATACTAAAGTCATGGAAAAATTGCCGAGAAGTCGAATTCCATAAAGAAGTTAAAATGGTAATTAACTAATCATTGAATTCTTATAAAACTAGCTAGTTAATACAGTCGATCTTGTTCTAATTTTGATATCTTTGTTGCGGTTGAATCATACAGTATACTCTCAGTGTTATGGTAAACCAACTCTTGAGCATCAAGCCAGAAGACCCAGCAAGACTTTATGTATTGCAAGATTTTTTATCTTATATGAAAGGGTTTATCTCCTTACCAATACCGCTTCCTGGAACGGGTTATACAAACGCAATTAAGGTTAGATCCAATTCATGATACATCAAACTCAATTATAGTTTTTTTTCCTTGTAATTTTACAATAAAAATTTAGCCACTTTATAAGAAAAAACAATTGGATTCTAGGGTTTTTGCAGTTCTGGTAGGCTTTATCATTTGGTTTAACATGTAGACACATTTATATATGCAAATTAAATTCATTATATATACTTTATACTTATAAGTCATTTTCAATGTTTGCCAGGCTAGGAAGAGATTGTCGGCGAGGGTTATGGGGATGATAAAACAAAGAGAGCGTGAAGAAGAAGACATGAAGAATGCCATAAGAGAAGAAGATTTTCTAGATGCGATAATTTCAAATGAAGATCTAAATTATGAAGAGAAAGTTAGCATTGTGTTGGACATTTTGCTTGGAGGCTTTGAAACAAGTGCTACTTCTCTTTCCTTAGTCGTCTATTTTCTAGCAAAATCACCAAATCTTCTTCACAAACTCAAGGTATATCCTCTCTCTCTTCTCATTATCTATATACTTGTGCATGTATACACATCCGTATATATGTTAATCTATGTGAACGTATACAGGAAGAACATGAAGCCATTAGAGCCAAGAAAGGAGATGGGGAACTTTTGAGTTGGGAAGATTATCAGAAGATGGAATTTACTCAATGTGTATGGCTCATAAACCGATACCATCAATTTTTCGCTATTTTTTTGGAAATTTGTTTTGGTTACCAAGTTTTTTGTTATATTGATACTACTTTAAAACTATATAACATGTTCACTTACATCTGAAATTAATTGGACGGAATTTGCAGGTGATGTCTGAGGCACTACGATGTGGAAATATCGTCAAGACAGTACACAGAAAAGCTACCCATGATATTGAATTCAAAGGTTAACAGTATCTCAATCATCTTATTCATAATTTTTACTATATAATATATATTCAATTGTAGAAATTAAACTAAATGTTTTTCTAATATGCTTGATTTGCAGAATATGTGATTCCAAAGGGATGGAAGGTGTTTCCAATCTTCACAGCAGTACATCTTGATCCATCTCTTCATGAAAATCCTTTTGAATTTAATCCCATGAGATGGACCGTAAGTAAAACATTTTAAAGCAGATAACATTCAAATGGTAACCAAAGAAAAAAAAAGTGAAATGTGAAACTAATTTTGTTTTTATTTTTATTACAATAAATAGGATAAGGCTAAGATGAACAAGAAAACGACGGCGTTTGGAGGAGGAGTAAGGGTATGTCCTGGTGGTGAACTTGGCAAACTCCAAATTGCTTTCTTTCTTCATCATCTTGTCCTCTCTTATAGGTTTGTCTAATCACTCTCTTTAGTTGACTAATTTTAATTAGTGAACTCTGCCTTATCCGACATAATCATCATCTATTAAATTTTTGGTTAAACTTTTGGTTGGTTTGAGGTTTAAATCGTTTTTTCTCTCATGTTTCAGTTATATTATTCTGATTGACACATCTATTTGAAAACATATGTGTTTTATCATGTGTTAATGTTCAATACAGCTAAGAAATTTGTTTATAATGGTAGGTGGAAAATAAAGTCAGATGAAATGCCAATAGCACATCCTTACGTGGAGTTTAAGAGAGGCATGCTTTTGGAAATAGAGCCAACAAGTTAAATCCTTGAAGATTTAGCTGCTTTAATAAGGAATCCATCTTAGATGGAAATTTTATTTAACTTTGAATAAATGTAATGTCCAACATAATACTCCATTCCCAAATCTTAAGTACCATCTCTAGTCATAGAGTTGTGTGTATCGATTAGTTACGTGTTGGAGTTTCGAAATAAAAAATGAGTATTTGCCTTTGGATATGGTATATTTATATTTTGTCGCTCGAAAAATTATCTAAATTTTTAATATTCCGAGTTTTTAAATTATATATCCGCGTTCAAATATCTAGTGTTACTACTTACTACTTACTAAGTAATCTAATAACTTTAAAGATAACTCAATCCTATCAATTGTATGCTGTGTGTACTGTGTAGATACTATAAACTATAATCCATTCCATTATATTATATGAATATTTGTATTTAATTTTTTCTTGAAAAAGTTACAAAACCAGACACAGAACCACATGTAATTAGAACAATACAGAAACATAACTATAGTTATTGTTTATCCGTCTTTACATAAGAACTCTAGGAAGAGATAATCTAGAGGGGAAGTTACCATTTTGGCTTTGAAAAGATTTGTCGAAGACATACTTAGTGTTAAGAGAAGAAGGATTAACTTGCATGAAAAGGTAATTACCAGCAAAGAGATCACCAAAGTGTGATTGACTCTCCTTCAACCTCTTCAATATTTTTAAAATTCCAGTTTTGACCCTATTCGCTTTCTTCCTTACAAATCCTCTAAGTCTTCGGATCTTAACTCTAACCCTAATCCTCCTTCTTCCTCCCAATGACACCACTCTCCTGAACCTGTATATAACAAAAAAAGATGATTCATGAAAGTCTTGGGTAATATCAAAACACTTGTAATGAAGATGATTGTGTACATGCACTTAGATAAAATCAAAACCTGTAAGAATAGAATGACGATCTTCTTCTTGTTGTTTGGCCGAAGACATCATCTTCTAGAGAAAGCCTCTTGTAAGGGAGATTAGTGATTTTGGGAGAGGAAGCCATGGAAAACGGATTAGATAGAATGGTGATTGTGAATAGTTTTCAAGAGATTTCTTTGAGCAATGTACTTCATCAATTATATGAGTTGTCATTGTTTCAATGTGTATGGTTGGTGGGTCGATTTATTTGAAGTAGTTAGGTGTGTGTACGTGAATTTAATGCGATACCTCAATTTAATTTAGCAGAAGTTTTAATATATTCTTTTTCAGTTTATCCCCCCTGCAATAAATGGTTTTATATTTTATAATATAGGGAAAATTGGATATAAAGGATATCTACTTAAAAATTTGTCTAAATATACCATATTTTTGTAGATTGGTCAAATAGGTTTTATAAATTTCAAAACCCAAGTTTACCCTCACTTCTCTTAATATTTATTAAAAAAAATAAAACTTTCTATCTGACTTTACAAAATCAAAATAGAAATAAAAAAATCACAAAACCTCCAAATAAATATGAGTTTTTCACGAAAACTTAATAAAGGACTTGGGTTTTTTTTTTTCTTTTTGTAGACCATCTCTCGAGGAAAAAAAATACAGAGTTAGCCATGGACAGAGGGTATTGGAATAAATAATTGCCAAGTTGTGTCATTGAAGTGGAAAAGAGACAGAGAGAAGGTGACGTAAGGGAAAGCACACCAAGAGATCAAAGGTCGCAGCTTTGTGTTTCAAAACTGAAGCAAAATGGACCAAATTATGAGACTGATTGATCATCAAACACAGTCGTTTCACCTATTTATTCAGCTATACCAATGTTTTGATTATTTATTTGATTAAGAAAGGCAAATACAGGGATAACTTTATTCTCTCCTTTTTTTCAAGACTCTTTCATACGTCTGAAGTAATATTTATGTGTAAAAACACTCGTGGTGGCTTAGCTTAGGGTTTAGAAACGTTTTGGTTTTAACTTTTTCTAAAAAAACGTAGACAATGATTTCTAAATTATGTAGATCGTAATCTAAATAATTAATATTCATTTAAATCGTAATCTAAAAAAATATTTTGTTTCCTTTTCTGAAGATTTACTTTCTATATTTAGATCATTCTAAAAATTACAGAAAACGAAATCTACAATACCGTAGAATTTACATTCTAAACGAAGATTACAATTTCTAACGATTGCAGAAGATGTAGAAATTATTAGAACGGCTATTCAGAAAAATTTAGAACATAGAGCAAACTGTAGAATACATGTTCTAAATATTTTAGATATATGATTTTCGGATTTCTAAAATTTTCAGAACAGAAATCTAGTCTGAAATATGTAGAACATGTACAAAAATGCAGAATACACACTCTGAGTTTCGCAGAAGTCTAGAAATCGTGTTCTACCAAAATTAGATGAAACTTTATCTATAAAAAAATCAGCTTTTTTAAAACCAAATTTAAAAAATTTCACTTCAAATCACCTCTACTCTTGTATACTTATCTATTCTTATGATTACTTTTTTTTTAAACATGTAAATTAGGGTGTATGGGTAAAATCGTCCAAACTGACAATCTCACAAAAAAGGTGTATATGGACAAAGTTTTAAGTAGATATCCTTTATTTCCAATTTTCCCTACTTATATATATAGAAAAGAAGTAAAAATGTGTGAGCATGTCACTGAAATATATGTGATGAATTACACTTATAAAAATGATGAAACATATTTTCTCTAGACGAATTGGTACCGTCATTCTATAGATTAAATCTACATTTACAATGTGACGCCACTAATTTTTTTTTTTTTTAAATCTGAAGTAATGTAACTTGTTGTATTTAGCGCAAGTTGGATTAGCATGGAACTTCCATAGTTTTCATTGTTTCTGATAGTTCCATAGTTTTCATCGTTACTGAAGTAAGATAAGCGTACGAGGTTGGTTTGTACTGTATATAGCTAACATTTTTTCGGACAGCATGTGATTTGTATAGTATAGCTAACACGGAGGCTCTTTATATGAAAGAAAAAGTAGGTGTACATACATTTCTTATGATTTTCTGAATTTTCAAAAAAAAAAAACAATTTATAACAATCAAATTTCTATGAACAAAAAAGCATCAAAAGAAAGTAAAAAAAACAAAGAAGACATGGACACATCACACATGTTGACATGGATAACAGCATTTTTACTCCAAGTAAAGAAAAAAGAAAGAAAGAAGTCAAAGATTTTGGGACAAGGTTAAGTTAGGAAAGTGAATCAACAAACAAAGACTTTTTTTTTTACACAAAGATCCGATCTATCTCGGAGAAATTTCAGTGATTAGATCAAACTAAATTCCCAAAAGAAGTTGTAAGAAGATGAACAAGAGATAAGGGTCGTCGATCTGGTCTACTTGTTAGTAGAGCTTTATTCTTGTATCGATTGGTGCACGGCAAATCGGACACATTTGAAGACCTGGTCCACACTCGCAACAAGTCTTGTATCAAAACAGAAGCCAATTTAGTTTGATGTTCTGATCGATTAAGTAGAAGAAAGATGGAAATTGTGTTTGTTGCATTTACCTGATGGCCACAACCAAAGGCCATGTCTTTCGGGTTGCTCAAACAAATCGGACATAGCTGTTCAAAAGATCCAATAGCATCAAGTTTTAAACTTTTTCAAATAACGTTTCATTTCCAAGTATCTTTCTGATTTTATAAGTACCTGGTTATCGGAAGCAGAGTTTGTAGGGGGTGGGACAGGACTAGACCTTACGCTATAGCTTTCAGTTGGATGAGGAGGAACACTCGGTTTGAAACTTGGAAAACGGGAAGGCTTTGGACTGTTGTAGGACGATGATCCACCGTGCATTGGAGGCGGAAGAGGGAATCTCTCCGGGATATTCCCATTTTTTCTTCTGCGGAAAAAGTTAAAGGGTAAGAAAAAGTTGAGAGCTTTGGGGTAAAACTTGAAGTCAAATTGATAAAGATTATGTTTGGGGATTTACCCTAAAAGGTTAAGCTCTATTGTCGCCTTGTATTGTTGAGGAATCTCCATGAGAGCAGAAAGGGCAAACTCTGTTTCCTTCAAGGACTGAGCTTTGTTCTTTGCCATGATCTCTGTGAAGTTCACGAACTAGAAACAGAAAGTCAGATCAAAACACCAACCGTCGATGTTATTAGCTAAAAAGAAACGTACTTGGAAGTTATCAAATGCTCGGGCCGGGATATTATCGTCAAATTCCCTCATCATGTCCCAAGGTCCATCCCCCACCCCGACTAAGACGATTGATAGAGGAAGCTTACTGTCATAGAGAAAATAATCATATCATAAAAACCAGCCACAAAGAGAAAAAACATCAATGGAGAAAACAACGCCAAAAGATTGGACAATATTCCAACCTCGCTTGCACGATCGCATCTACTGTCTTCTGTTCTTGCGGACTTAACTGTCCATTTTCTGTGTCAACACTTCTTGTAACCTGAAACGCTTCATTGAGGTTTCTTCTCTTCACACAAAAACAAATGAATCATACTGGTATTTATTAGTACCTGTCCATCTGCTATTATCACTAGGACGTGATATTGCCCACCACTCTGCTCAACAATGGTCATGGCCATATCGATGATCGGAGCAAACGAGGTTGGCCCTGAAAATATTCAACAATTCACATTAAAGAACTCAGCTAGCATTTCATGAAACGCAGCCAAATAAGGGAAAGTAATAAACCTGCGAGCTTAAGTTGAGGCACGATCTCTTTATACCGAGCAAGTACTTCCTCAAATCCATTACAGAATCTATCCTCTGAATTGAAACTGAAAACGTCTTGATCATGTGTTGATGCATCTCCAAAACCATAACATGGAATCAAGTTGTCCTCGTCAAAGGCGGCTAAGGTTCTTCCTATGATAGTTATCGCTTGTTCGTAAGGATTGGGACTACTGCCTATGAAGTGTAAGCTTTTCCTATTGAAGGACCTGGCCCCTGTTATCAAACAAGAAAAAGGTGCTTTTGAGTGTGAAACCATTTTGATGCATTACACCAAAGACAGAATCTTGAGTCTCACCAACCTGTCCATTCGTTACTCTTAGTGAAATCAATACCAACGATGAGATTTGAAGATTCTAGACCCGCTCGTGCAAGAGCCTCCGTCACCTAAACAAAAATAGAACATAATGTGAAACTTTTCTGTCAAACGCATGAGAATGAACAGCTTTCAAATTTTGTAATCATCAAAGAAACACACTAGATTCCACTAAAATCCAACAAGAGAGACTCAGCTCACCTGCTCCAAAGAAGAGTAATCATCAGAAATTTTCGAATACTTGCGCTCCAACCTCTTCTTATTATCACTACCATAGCTTTGAGAAGGCGGTGCAGAATAAGGCGAAGCAGAATAAGGCTGAGTACTATATGAAGGTGGAGGAGGTTGCGTATACTCAGGAGGTGGAGCATAAGAAGGTGGAGGAGGATAGTTATAGCTTTCTGCACCATACTGAGGATAACTTTGTTGAGAAGCCCAAGAAGATGAAGATGGTGATGCTGATGAAGCTGAAGCTGACCTAAGCGATGACTGTCGCCAGTTTTCTTTTGAATTCCCTGTCCCCATCAAACTTAAAAAAACTAAACCTTTTTAGATTCAAATGAAACCTCTCAAGTCAATTCAGTACCTGCAAAACAAAGATTTGGCATTTAGAGTATATTCATGAAACCCCAGAAAGAAAATGCAGAAACTTTGTTAAGATTCTGACATTATTAACTCGGTAGAAGATGCAAGTACCCTATACCTAATTCGTAAAAAAAGGTGAAAGCTTTATCTTTGACAGATGTTGAAATTTCTCACCGCTTATGAAAATAGCTTTAAAATCGAAGGTTGGTAATGGTCTTTATATAAAGAAAGTAGATTCAATCACGTCACGTAATTTTCCACAAACCAAAACGCGATTTAGTGACTTCTAGATTAAGATAAAAGTCCAATTACGAAAACCTACTCCAACACTCTAACCCAGAACAAGTAAAACAAAAACCAGTTTCTGACAAATCTACGAGCTTTCGAATGCGATATTTCCCCGAATTGAACCGAAACATTCTCTGAGTCATCAAACGAAAGACAGAACCCAAAAACGAAAAAAAACATAAATTCGAGGCTGAATCTCCCGACATTCACCAGAAAAGTATCGCACAATGACCCAATTCGATTGAGAGGAAATGGTCTACCTTTAAACTTAACGAAGCAGCGGAATGACGAATCAAAGAAATATTGAGAGAGTGAAGGAGCTTCAATGGCGGATCGAATCCAAAAGAGTTCGCCTTTAAAGTTTCCTCCTTTTGTTCGAAAGCAATTTCACTTTCTTCTGTTTGTTGTATTTGGTTTGTTTCTATATCAAATCATACTAATCACTTTTCTTTTTTAAAAAAGTGTGAAGCACGCTAATGGTGGAAACTTCTTCTAATTTAACCCCACTTATTATTCTCTCTTTCAACAATTGGCCCTATAAATATATTATCGATATCCAAAGTCATAAAATGGTATCAATTGACAATTTCTTTGAATTCTTGAAATTCTTAAATTGACCATTTCTTGAAAGTACAAATAGTCAATAATACATTAAAAGAAACTAAATTAATATTTTTTCCAAATTTTTAATCTAGAGGATTGTACTTATGAAAAAAATTGCAACTCGGAAGTTTAGAAATGCATGTATCATCATATAAATAGGACTGCCAAACAAAAATTCTTCTTTTGTATGATTTGGGAAAATACTATTGCAATAAATTCCTTGGGGAAAAAATGGATGGTTATCAGAAGTTTCCGGCCACGTGACAATCCTATCTTCAATATCATTCCTTCGTCCTACGGTAAAAAATGTCAATGTTTCTTAACGACGTCATTTCCCCTTTTTCGTTATATACTCGATAGGTACTGTTGAATATTTCACCTTGTAGTCTAGACTATAAAAATATTGAGAATTTGACTTATTAATTATCATCCATTCGTCTTCTTTTTTCTTTGGTCGAGAGTTCTTGAACATGCTTATAATTGATTAACTAAAGTTGTCTTAATTTCTGTATAAAAGTTTTTTTGCTTCCTTCGGTGAGCAAGACACAACACGTGAAACTTGAATGGACTTACATTAAGTGTTAAACTTCGTACCCGTGATTTATGCAACTCTCTTTTCTTTCTTCTTGGACCGTTCCTTCAAGGAGCAAACAAGAAGTACGTGGATTGCACTCTATACCAAATAATTTGAGAATAAAATCAAGTTAGTTACTCTAAAGACTATACTAGTTCATAAAAAGCATTTCGAATCTAATTAATGGAGTAAACTAAAATAACAAATGTTTTTTTTTTGTGTGTCAGTTTGTGTTAATACGAAATATATGAGTGTAAATATCGGGTGTGACTAGTGACACCACGACACTAACGCAAACCACTATATATATTGTATCATGTTTGAATAACAAATATATATATCTAAAGAAGATTCACTGAACCTAGTAATTACTATACTCTCTTTTGTTTGTCAACTTATTAACACTCTTTCTCATAATAGTATAGGAACATTAAAACTGAATTGAAATCAATAAAAGCTATTGACGATTTAATATCTTCTGCAATTTAATTTCTTTGACCATTCATAAAAAGATATAAATGTTACAAGAGAGTAGGATACAAATTAAAGATCGAAAAAAACAAGTATAAAGCCCAATAGACGACAAAATAAATAAATATAAAGCCCAATATTATGCTTTAAAGCACATGTATGCCCCATGCAGGCCCACTAAATTTTAACCGCGTGTTTTAGTTAAGGAGCATAGAAACAATCGTAGTCCTTGCCACATAGGATCACAGCTAACCAAATATTCCATTGCACGTAAAATCCGACACTGGTCTATTTCGTCGTCTTCGACCTCGCGGGAATCTACTGTTGCTAACACTATCCACTCTTCACCGGCAGCTAGATTTCCGGGTCCTCAGTATCGGGTCAGATCTAGATCCGGATCCGGAGACGCTGAGTATGAAACACTTCAGAACTGAGCGAGTCCGTCCGACTCCGAAGCTCTTCACTTACGTTCTCGTCGGATTCATCGCTCTACTCGGCTTAACTTGCCTCTACTACGGCTCTTCCTTCGCTCCCGGATCCAGAAAGTCCGATGAGTTTGATGGATCTAATCACCGCGTTCGCACCGGAATCGGATCCGTGAGGAATCGAGATAGTGTGCTTGCAGTGAGCCGTTTCGAAGTTCCTAAAAGTGTTCCGGTTCGTGAATCGAATCATTTGATTCTAATTGAGTAGAGATTTCTAGATTTGTAGTGTTTAAGTTAAGATTTGTGTAGATTAGCTCGTTGAATTTAGGTTCTCATGTAGTGGTTGTACTCATTTTGATCCTGTGCAGATATGTGATTCGAGACACTCGGAGTTGATACCGTGTTTGGATCGAAACCTTCATTACCAGTTGAAATTGAAACTTAATTTAACGTTAATGGAGCACTATGAGCATCATTGTCCTCCACCAGAACGGCGTTTCAATTGCCTTGTTCCGCCTCCTGTTGGTTATAAGGTCGGACTTCTGTCTGTGTTACAGAATTTTGATTAAGTTCTTGCCTGGTGTTGTTGTTAATGATGATTTAGTTTATGGAGTTTTTCAGATCCCGTTAAGGTGGCCTGTGAGTAGAGACGAGGTGTGGAAGGCGAATATCCCACACACACACCTTGCGCAAGAGAAATCTGATCAGAATTGGATGGTTGTTAATGGTGATAAGATCAATTTTCCTGGTGGAGGAACACATTTCCACAACGGAGCTGACAAATACATTGTTTCCCTTGCTCAGGTACGTACAATTATCATTATTTGGTACTTCTTTGATTTATTGAATATCAAGGCCAGAGCCGACTCTTTAGAACCTCGCTTGATTTTTGTTACCAATGTTGCTTTAGCCAGTGAAATTTAATGGTAAAAGGGTATAGCACTATGCAACATTTTTCATTGACACTATTTTGACTAGAACAAGTATGGGGTTATCCATATTTACCGGAAATTATGTGGGATATTCTGTTGCTTCTATACCAGGAAGCTTAGTTCTGCAATTAACAGGAAGTTTTGGCTCTGTTTTTTATTTTCAAGTTCTTCTTTCAGATGACAAAAAAAAACTGCTTATTGCTTTAGATGCTGAAATTCCCTGGTGACAAACTCAACAATGGGGGAAGCATTCGGAATGTTCTTGATGTTGGTTGCGGAGTAGCTAGCTTCGGGGCCTATCTTCTTTCACATGACATCATAGCCATGTCTCTTGCTCCTAATGATGTCCACCAGAACCAGATCCAGTTTGCTCTAGAACGAGGGATTCCATCGACGCTTGGTGTTCTTGGGACTAAGCGGCTTCCATACCCAAGCAGATCATTTGAACTTGCTCACTGCTCTAGATGTCGGATAGATTGGCTTCAAAGAGATGGGATCTTGTTGCTGGAACTTGATAGGTTGCTCAGACCTGGTGGCTACTTTGTATACTCGTCGCCTGAAGCTTACGCACACGACCCAGAAAACAGAAAGATTGGGAATGCGATGCATGATCTCTTCAAGAGAATGTGTTGGAAGGTCGTGGCCAAACGAGACCAATCTGTTATATGGGGAAAACCAATATCCAATAGCTGTTATTTGAAGAGGGATCAGGGTGTCCTGCCTCCACTTTGTCCTTCTGGAGATGACCCAGATGCAACTTGGAACGTCTCAATGAAGGCTTGCATATCACCTTACTCAGTGAGTAAGTATCCGCAGCTCATCACAAACTTATATAATATCAAGTTTCACTAAGTTTGTTATTCATTTCATGTTTATTCTATTTACCCAGGGATGCACAAAGAAAGATGGAGTGGGCTCGTTCCTTGGCCACGGAGGCTGACAGCTCCTCCACCACGTCTTGAAGAAATTGGTGTCACTCCTGAGCAATTCCGTGAAGATACGGTATTTCTTCTCTCCCTACAGGGAAAGCTCTGTTTGAGTAATCCAGATTTTAAAAATAGAAATTTCAAAACTGCCATGCCTCTCTACATCCAAACACTTCATGCTCACTAAAGTTGGGTGCGAGTGTAGGAAACATGGCGGCTTAGAGTGATAGAATACTGGAAACTGCTGAAACCAATGATGCAAAAGAACTCCATAAGAAACGTGATGGACATGAGCTCAAACCTTGGCGGTTTTGCAGCTGCTCTAAACGATAAAGATGTATGGGTAATGAATGTCATGCCCGTTCAATCCTCTCCGAGAATGAAGATCATCTACGACCGTGGCCTTATCGGAGCCACTCATGATTGGTATGTAAATGACTTGATCTCGAGACATTGTGCATAATCCAATCATGTTAAATGAATTTTCTTTGCAGGTGTGAAGCCTTTGACACATACCCACGAACATTTGATCTTATCCACGCATGGAACACGTTCACAGAAACCCAAACACGTGGATGCAGCTTTGAAGATCTGCTTATCGAGATGGATCGGATACTACGCCCAGAAGGATTTGTCATAATTCGTGACACAACAGACAATATTAGCTACATCAAGAAGTATCTGACATTGTTGAAATGGGATAAATGGTCCACAGAGACAACTCCAAAAGGTGATTCTCTGTCGACCAAAGACGACAGAGTTTTGATCGCCAGAAAGAAACTTTGGAGCGTGCCCACCATTTCAGCCTCGTGAAATTTAACAGGCGTCTCGTGAATGAACGATATTTACAGCATCAGAGGCATAGCTGAGGAAAATACGCAGCGTTTAGGGTTATTTACGTGTGAGCAATGGAGAAGTGTAAATTACACGACATTCATACATAGTTATGATGCATTTGTTGTAGGAAAACTGCAAAATCTTCTTATTTGCGATTTTCATGTTCCATTTTTAAATTAAAATCTGCTTTTGCGAGAAATATAAATTGTTTCGTGGATTTAACAACAGGTTGAATCATTGATAAGTAAATCACCATTGAATAGAAAAGAATCACTTATCCGTTTTCCATCACCAATAATTATATCAAAACTGAGCCCACAAATTGAAATAGAGCAAGTACATAGTGAAATACAAAACAGCTCAGACTTATTATGATGATGTTGTTTCGACATTCTTCTTCTTTTTCTTCTTCTTGTTCTTCTTCTTCAAAGGAAGGTCATTGGAACTGAGTTCTTCAGGTTTCCTCTTGTTGCTGCTACCAACACAGTTCATTAAACTCTTCAGTAATACGAATACTTAACTCTACCCTAATCTAATAGTAAGAAGAACACACACCTAACTTTGCTTCAACACAGTTCTAAGTTCATTCGTTATCTATCAGTATATACCAATCTAAACTAAAAATCTGGTAGTTAACTACTTTTCTGATTCAAACAAAAGTTAGATACTCTTTTTCCTACCTTCAACATTCAAAACAAACATGAGGATTAACTTGAATTTCTAAAACCTTTTTTATCCTGTACAAAGGAAAACAAAACAGATATGAAAATTTATGGTACCTGGCATGAGTCGCATCCAAAACAATCTTGCCATCTTCATCAACTTCACCTATTTCCATACTAATCTCTCCATCTTCATCAAATTCACCTATTTTGCAGGTTATTAACAAAGTAAGACTCCTACTTGAGATTCATAAAATGAATCCATGACACCAAAAGAAGTAGTAATGGGATATACAAGTGAACAAACCTATTGGATCTTCTTCCTCATTAATTTCCTCTTCTGAGTCTGAATCTGATCCCCACCGGTCTCCTCCATCATCAAAGTCCCACCTCTCTCCATCTGGAGGCATCCAAAACTCAAGCTCCTCCTCCTCAACAGCTTCATCATTTTCATGTTCGACTTCATCAACAACATCCTCGCCATTCTTTTCCTTTTCAACTGACTTCTTGTTTTTCTTCTTCTCTTTTTTCTTGTTCTTCTTCTTCTTCTTTTTCTTCTCTTCTTCCTTTACGCCATTTTCCTTTGCCGGTGTTTCTCCACCTTCCTCTGGAATAGATCCAGACTCTTTCTCTCGTTCCTTCTCCTCTGTCATATAAGTAACAATCCAACCACTTAATCTTTTAAAAACAAACAAGTTTTCCACCTAGTCAACTCTAATCAAGCTTCATAGTAGATACCTAATCTGTTGAGGAAGCGCCGTCCAGTGATATGCTTCCAAATATGTTCCTCAGTCTTGTTTACCGTATCACCCGTTAGCTTACACTTCAGTTTTGAGCTGACAAGACATGCCAAAACCCAACTTCAGAAAATTTCTGAAACACAAATTTCCTCAACAAATGAACTCAAAATCTAGCAGCATCCACTCTCTTCAGCATTACATTCGCATCAAAACAACATTCACATCCTTTCTGAATTAAAAAAAAATACACGAAATTTCCAACTTATACCACAACCACAAAAACCCTAAACCCTACTTTACATAAAATGGTTCAACTTTTTGAGGAAAGAAACCAAAATCCAGCAGCAGAACAACAGAACAAGCGAGAAGAAAAATTTCATAACTTCTATAGTGTATATAACCCTAATTCAATACATAATCAATCAGAATTGAAATCGAAACTTTTTCAGTTAGAGTTAAAGGAGTATGTAAACTATAGATTACCGGGCGTTAGGATCTTGCTCGAACAAGTTGAGAGGAGGCTTGCTGTGAGATAAGGCATAATCAATAAGCCCTAAACGACAACGTTTACTTTGTGAATAGACCTTCTTGTCTTTCTCGAGTAGCTCGTGACCCGTCTGCACACATTTAAATCTCCCGTTGTCGAGTTTCTTATACTTTGGCTTCCCCAATAGGTCAGCGCCTTCCTTCGTCGTCGTTGTCATCTCTTCCTCTGTCGCCGCCATTGATGTACAATTTCTTAGCGATTTGTGTTTTTCAGTGAAGGAGGTCTGCAAGTAGTTACACGACTGTCACTTGCCGTTTTAGTGTAATTGAGATCAACTGCACGTCGTTTAATGTTTCTGGGCTTGTTAAAATTCCGACAATATATGGGCCTAGTGGTCATAAAATCAGCCCAATCAAGACACAAGACAAAACATCAGAAAACTCGGCACAAGACAAAACATCAAAACCAATTTTTTTTCTTGTTTGTCCCGTCTTAAGAAGAACCATTTTACATATTTAACTGGAACACTTCAGATAAAAATAGAAAGAAATAAAAATTTCAAAGCATTAAAAGTTTAGAAACATGGACCATTTTTTTGTTTTTGAAAAATTCGGTTAATTTTTTTTTCTGAATTATCTACTCGTAGAAAAATTGATGCTTTTTAGGTGAATTATTATTATGAATGAAAGGTACCGACAATGATAACCGTTAGCGCCTTTTCTGGGTTCCAACTAGAACCCAGCTTAGGGCATATTTATCGGGGCAACTGATGTAGTGATCTTAGGTATTAAAAAATTGAAAATATTCAAATAGTAGAAAAACAAGCTGAATTGTGGTCTTCATCAAGATCTGTTCTAATACTAGTTCTAGGGTCATTTGTTGGTTAATGATTAATTTTTGTTGGAAAAAAGAAAAAAGAACATTATTTTAATAATTTTTATATTCTAAGATCTATCCTATAAGTTATTTGCTTGCATATGGTCTTACTGTTGAACTGTGGTCCGGTCCAACTCTCAAGACACGATATCTTTCTTTTTTTTTTTTTTTTTCTTTTGTTTATTCTGTAATTTTCAGAGGAAGAAAAAACACTCATACCCATTTTCAGTCTTTACGAGTAAGACTGTGGAGAGAGACAGAGTGTAAAGTGCCATTAGTACCATCACTCTCTTTGTTCCGTTACTCGCAATGAAGAATAATCTCGATAGAGCAAAACTTATGGTTTCTTCTGCTGTGTTTTCATGGCTTCTTATGTGCCTCTTTACAGTAACAACCGCTGTCTCAGTTCAGCCGACGTGTAGTTTCCCGGCAATTTACAACTTCGGAGATTCTAATTCCGACACCGGAGGAATCTCCGCCGCTTTTGAGCCTATTAGGGATCCTTACGGTCAAGGTTTCTTCCACAGACCCGCCGGACGAGACTCCGATGGCCGTCTCACCATTGATTTCATAGGTAAGAAGCTTGCAGAAAATAACAGAGCTTTAAAAACTAAACTTTGATTCAATGATCTCAGAAGCTTTTGATTCTCGAATTGTGGTTTGCAGCTGAGCGTTTGGAGTTGCCGTATTTGAGCGCATACTTAAACTCGTTAGGATCAAACTTCAGACACGGAGCAAACTTTGCGACAGGTGGTTCAACCATAAGAAGACAGAACGAAACTATCTTTCAATATGGCATTAGTCCATTCTCTCTCGATATGCAGATTGCTCAATTCGATCAATTCAAAGCAAGATCCGCACAACTGTTCTCACAAAGTCAGTTTCTTTATTTCTTTCCGTAATATTTAACTTGTCTGTGTCATGATTTTAACACGTCTGTTGGTTTTTCTGCCTTGAAAACAGTTAAGAGTAGATATGATAGAGAGAAGCTTCCAAGACAGGAAGAGTTTGCAAAAGCTTTGTATACTTTTGATATTGGACAGAATGATCTCTCTGTTGGGTTTCGGACAATGAGCGTGGATCAACTTAAGGCGACGATACCCGACATTGTCAGCCATTTAGCTTCTGCTGTCCGGGTGAGATTTGATGCAGTTCATGAAAGAGATATGCAATGTTCTCTTCGCCTTTGATTCGCTTCTGAATAAGAAATTTTGCTACGCTATATGATTTGTTCACAGAACATATATCAGCAAGGAGGAAGAACATTTTGGGTACACAACACGGGTCCTTTCGGTTGTTTACCCGTGAACATGTTTTACATGGGCACTCCTGCACCGGGCTACTTGGACAAATCTGGCTGCGTGAAGGCTCAAAATGAAATGGCGATGGAGTTCAACAGAAAGCTCAAGGAAACAGTAATCAATCTCAGAAAAGAACTCACTCAAGCAGCCATCACATATGTTGATGTCTACACTGCGAAATATGAAATGATGAGCAATCCCAAGAAACTAGGTAACAACAAACTAGAGGAATGTTATGGTAAAACTTCGTTTAAAACGATGTGGTAGAAAGCAACGTGCGACTATTCTGTAGAAAGTTTTACCATACCCATTTCTTGTTTTTACAGGATTTGCAAACCCGTTGAAGGTATGTTGTGGCTACCATGAGAAGTATGATCATATCTGGTGTGGGAACAAAGGGAAAGTGAACAATACTGAAATCTATGGTGGCTCTTGTCCCAACCCGGCAATGGCTGTGAGCTGGGATGGAGTTCACTATACCGAAGCTGCAAACAAGCATGTGGCTGACCGTACTCTCAGTGGTTTGCTCGCAGACCCTCCGGTTCCAATAACCCGAGCTTGTTATAGACATTGAGATTTAGTAGAAGAGCTTGATGAGCCGAAATAAAGATTCGAGTCTTAGACTCTTAGGGCAATAATGTAAGTGTTTAAGGAACAATCAATGATCTATGTAATCCTGTGTAACCTTTTAAGTTGTTTGTCGCCAAGAATCCACAATTGATGGATCTTCTATGATCATCTATGGAAGCGTCTAGCAAAGCAAAAGTTCTTTTCCTTTAGAAGTAGTTTTTTGTGATTGCTGCTTCTAACTCGTTGAACTCCCAAGCATCATTAGCAGAATATTCACCTGAACCCCAAAAAGAAAATATTAAGAGTGAATCAAGCTTTGAATGATTTTGTAGAAAAACAAAATTGATATGCTGACTTGTGAACAAACTTACCGATTGAATCTCGCCGGAGAGCAGTGAGGTGAGCACAACTGCAGCAAAAAGGAATGATATATTAGTAGAAATTCCATTTTTTTGGATCTGTTAGTAGTCAAAGGAAAAAACTTTGTCTCACCTTCCAAGAGCTTTCGCAAGATCTGCACAGAGAGATCTTATGTATGTACCCTTAGAGCATATAACCCGAAATATCAGATTTTGTCTGCAAAGGAGAAACGAGAGATGTTTAGTGAGACCTAAGCAAAAACATTGTATTCAAATTGCTTTTGCACTATACAGAATATTGTTAAACCTGTCATCTAAACTGCGTTCAATGTCAAACTGGAAAATCGAAATTCTTCTTGGAGAAAGCTCTACGGTTTCTCCTCTTCTTGCCTTCTCGTACATCTTCTCGCCTCCAACCTAAATCGAATTTACAGTGACAATGCTAGAAAAGAATGATCCACGATAAGGCACTCAAGATTGAGCAATGCTTACTTTTATCGCAGAGAACATTGGTGGAACTTGCCATATTTCTCCAAGAAATGATGTCAAAGCTTTCTTAATGTCATCATCTTTTATATGCTCCCAAGACTCTCGCTGAATCACCTGCAGTAATAGTACGGTTAAGTAAACTCTGATGAGCCATCTAATGTAGAAATGAACCATGAAAGCAAGGAAAGGGTTGTTGGAGTACAGGAGAGTCAGCGTCTAAAGTTGAAGTGGCTTCACCAAGACGAAAAACTCCGCTATAACCTTTGATCATACCTTGGTATCTGCAAATACAAATGGCTTTTATGTTCTTTTTCTGTAAATCATCATAAGCAAAAACTTTGGATTAAGGAATGACAAACCTGTCAACAACCTTAGTAGCTTTACCAATGCATACGATTAACAGACCCGTAGCCATGGGATCAAGTGTTCCAGCATGACCCACCTGAGAAATACTCATCAGCTAGCTGCGAAAAAAGCCGACAAATTCAAATTTTGGGCTAGCAAGGATATAAGCACAAACCTTTTTGACTTTGACCAATCGTCGTAGCTTACCACAGACAGTGAAGGAAGTCCATCCTGAGAACAATACCATAACCAAATCACATAACATTTCAAATAGCACAAGAAACAAAAGAGAGAGGTATATAACACAAAAACTGCTTCTCACCTTTGGGTTTGTTCACCAAAAGCACTGTACCGTTAGGACAATCCCATCTAGGAGGAAGTTCACCGTTTCTCGTAACAAGAAAAGGTTCTCCATCACCACCACCACCACTAGCCACACCTTTCTCATTGGGAGATTTCGTTAAACCCTTAAAGAACTGTTCCACTTTCTTCTCAGTAACAACAACATCATCCTCTACCTTCTTCTTCTCCTTCACTTCATCAAAAAACACCAACTTGTCATCATCCTCAACACAATTCTCCATACCAATTCGTTTAACCTCATTTCTCTTCCCACCAAGTGCTGCTACTACTTTCTTCTTCCCTCTAACTTTCCCAGAATCATCACCACCCTTCTTCGAAACTTCTCCAGGTTGCAGAAACGCCTTATCTAAACACTGATCAGGATAATACTTCTTCTCTAACTGATACACCATCTTATAATGCTTATCTTTCTCCCATGGATAAGCAAAAGTATCATAAAAATACAATTCCTCTTCTCTCTGATGTAACCTATCAAATTCCACAACTTCAGGTTTCAATTCAACGAATCCTTCATCTGATTTTCGGCTGCTCTCGTCTTCAGAATCAGACCCATATAATCTCTTCCTTCTCTTACTATAGTATTTCCTCTTGGCTTTATCCATTTCCGGATCTCCTGAACCGGGTCGACCCTGTTCACGCTCTAAAGCTAGTTTATTGTCGACCCATGAATCGAATTCTGGCTCAGCTGAGTCAGGTGCACCGGATTCGATGGCTCGAGGAGTTCGACGACGGGTTTGAGAGAGAGAAGATTGTGTGGGACGATTGATGATCATGTCGTATTGAAGAGGGTATCGAGTAGATGTTGTGGAAAGGAAGAGAGAAGCCAAGTAGGGTTTATGGATGTTTCTCAATGGTTTGGCTGAGGAAAAGAAGAGAGAAGAAGTCATAGACATTCTTGCTGAAGAAGAAGACATTATTAGTCTTGTGAAGTGTAGAGATTTCGCCATTTATGAGAACACTGGAGGCGGGCGAGAGATGAAATCCACCTCCGGCGATTATTGCAGTGGTTCTCCAACGGAGAAGAGATGGTGTTGTTAAACGATAAATCAAAACGACAGGATGTTTTCTCCTACAGCTCTGAGACGGCACGTTGTTAGTGTATTCTTATAAGCTTCATTCTTTGATTAATCAGTGGGCTTAAAGGAGAATTAACCAAGAAGACACTAGGTTTGGTTTGTACTAGTGATACTGAATCGCTGCGTCACTAGAATATTGCATGTTGTTGGCAAATTTTTGTTAAAAAGACTAATGATTAGGGAATCGTATAAAAATAATGTTGATACATGTAAAAAAGGTAACTTATGAATGAAACTTTCATCACATGGACTAAGCTCAAGTTCAGACATTGATCTCAAGATCCTTCAAGGACCAAGTTTTTGTTGTTAGTATAAGACTAAGAGGTCTGATGATGTAACAAACTCATGGTTTTGACAAAGTCTTAAGATCAGAACTACTGAGGCGGGTAGGCACAAGTTGTACTGGCTCAACTATAAATCCAGATTTTCGACATTCTTCTTCGAGGAGTTTGACCTGAGATGGTCCATCGGGGCAGAAAACAACAACAGCTCCTCCGCTTCCAGTGAACTTTGCAGCTGCTCCGATCTTACGAGCCACTTCCACCATTTCTATGTTCATAGCTCCCAAACATTCATCTCCAAACATACTCCTAATTAAAGACAAAAAGAATCTTGAACTGTGTCTACATTTTGTTTTAAATTGTGTATATATAGATAGATGGGATTGTCTATTTTGTTACCTTCGAAGATCGAAGTTACGGTTCATGAGTTCCTTAAGTTTAGAGTAATCTTTTTTAAGTAATGCAGTTCGACCTTCTTCAGCTAGTTTTGCAATTTCTGCCATTGATGATATTATGAACTCATCACCATCTAACCACCTTCTACGAACCGTGCTATGTACCTGCATCAAACATAAGGCACTGCTCAGAAGGAAAGTAATAAATCAGAAGCAGAGTAGTGAATAGCGCTCTAACCTTGCCAGAGTCACTTGGATTCTCAGCATAGATGAGATGCAGAGGAGGAAGAAGATTGATATCCATTATAGTATAAATTCCATATCCAACTTTATCCATATGCTCTTTACTAAAATCCTGCAAGAGCAAATAAAATCAGAACACGAGCAAAATCGATGAAAATTTCCATGTCAAAATAGTTGCAAAGATCAGCGATTCTCACCATGTGAACAAGACCACCACCATAGACTTGAGCAACACGGTCTTGAAGACCAGCAACAATACCAAGTTCTTTCTCCGCATTAAGAATAAGGTTAGGTCGGACTTCGATTCTGATTAATTGCCTGACATTGTAGAAGTCAAGAAGGCAGCTAAGAGCAGCAGATACAATGGCACTAGAACCCGAAAGCCCCGTCTGAAAAACATCAAAACCATTGGCTTCAATTACGTATATTCATAATTTACCACAAACAGAAACAAAAGAGTTTGTAACAAACCTGTCTAGGGATATTGGTATCATAAGATAGAGTGAAGTTTTTTTCGTGAAGTTGTATACCATTATCTTTGCAATAGTTGCGGAATACTTTGCAAATCGCCATTAGCAACCTTACACCTCCATAGTATCCATCATTTTCCAATCGATAAACCTAGCAGGAAAGACACAACAATTGTTAAGAGCTAAAGAAAATGACGATTTCAGTTGTTTAAAAAATCCAAATTTAGGGCCAAAATATAGAATTTTCTTAACACAAAGCATACTTTGCTAGATTCATAAGCCACAAATCTTATAATCAAAACCAATAAAAGTACATTTCAAAACAAATGCAGTCAGCTAATAGAAAGAATTCAATGTAGAGAAGGAAGAAACAAACAATTAGAGATTATTTGGAAACAGAGCACATACGAGATTATCGAGAGAATCGAACTGGACAAGATCATGGAATGGATGAGGTTTGATCAAAAGATGATCGGATGGTTCGAGCTTAGCCCAAGCCCAGAAATTACCAATGGTAAATGAGATCGTACGTCCGAAGTAAACATCGCTAGGGTTTCCCAGAAACCCGATTCTAGCGAACGAGCGATGCTCGAACACGGCCTTATCAATGCCTGAAATCGCCGGTTTAGGATTCGGATCCATTTTTCTGAATTTGAAATGTTAAGTGTTTCTTAAGACTCTTGTCTATTTATAGCTGATTTTAAACTTATCTTCAAACCCGTGGGTTTCTCTAAATACGTTATGAGATGACATTTACACGTCAGGTCTGGTGTCTGTTTTTGTGACGTCAGGTCTGGTGTCTGTTTTTTGTGACGTCAGGTCTGATGTCTGTTCAGTAACAGTTAAGGTAGTTTCTATAATTTGAGAGTCTCGTTGACCAAAAGTAACAACAAAATAATTAGTTGGGCCTTATCTAAATAGATTATTGGGCCTTTGAACAAATGGATGGGTCTTTATGACGAAATTTAAATACTGTGTAAGCTGGAAATCAAATGGGACACGAATAATCCAAATCAACTAAACTAAACCAAAAGTCGTTAACATTTTATATCAAACATTAAACGTTTCTTCAATTTAATCAATTTTTGTTTCTTGTTTTTCTGTTTTGTCAGTAAACTGGACCAAACTGAAATTTTCAGATTAGGTGAAAAATAGCCAATTAGTCCTTTAACCAAATCTTCGATCTAAACAAGTGACCTGAATACCAAAAAATTACACAACCCCAAGAGAGATTAGAAATATCATATATGTACATATACTACATATTTCTGATATCTATATCTTAATTATGATTCAAAACACTCGTAGTTAAGATTCAAACACTCTCAGTTTATTTCAAAAATGTTGCACTTGTTGTAAAAACGTTAATTTTTGGTTGAATATAATTTAATATTACATTAAAAAAAATATTCAAAACATGTTGGAAAAAAAGAACAAAAGTTGGATGATTTCCCAACCAATTGGCTCTAACTCAACATGAGAGTTATAATAATAAGCAAGCACAACAGAAAAAAATTGAAAAACCTTAAAAGGGACAAAACAGGTTATTACAAAATTGGTGGGTGTGATCGTTAGCAAAATAAAACTGATGAACCAGGTTTCACTCCTCCTGGACGCGTGTTTATAAATTATGGTCGATCGATATATATATATATATATATATATATATATATATATATAGATACGTATGATTTTACTATATGAAGAGCGTTGGAGATTTAATCTAACTTGTTGGGTCAACAAACACTCTATTCGAGTTCAGGGTCCAGGGTTGTTGGATCCACAGTTCTTTTTGTTTTAACCCTAACAATGTTTTTGGATAACTCCTTTTTCTCCATGATATATATTTAATAGATTAATAATAAGTCCGGTATTTGCTGAGAAGTTTCATGTAATCTTCTTCCTTTTCATTCTTCTTCCTCCATATTTATATATATCACGCAATTCATTTATTTGGGTTGACAATTTTTTGGGTTGAAAGAAACAGGAAACAAACAATAACACGTTGTAATCACCAAAAAAAAACAATAACACGTTGTATTTAGTATAGTCAAATATCCTAAGGAGATATAATCAAATTTCAATGCAAAATCATCTAGTTTCCAATGCTTTTATATCAAATAGTTAGGCCATAACAACCTTTTTCAAAAATAAAAATAAATAGTAAACCATAACTAGTATCATGCACAATGTATTTTGTATTAGTCTTGTTGTTATATCACAACTCGCTAAGCGCGCGTATTATTCGTGTTGTTGAAAGAACAAAATCTAAATAGTTGAGAAATAGCATAAATTTATCTATTTTTGGTGGTAAAAAGGATTAGAAAATGTAAAGAGATAAGATACAAAAGTCCATGTATGTAAGTAGTTGCAAAAGTGAACGATGGTCCTCCTTATATCATTCAAGCTTCATTTTAGAAATAAACTTATTTATATTTGAATTACTTGGAAATTCAACTAAGCACATAATTTATTTGAAAATAAACCTTTTTAACAAAAGAAGGGTTTGAAAATAATAGAACTAACTAAAGAATAGGTCAAAGAAGTTCGCGTTAACATACTGCCTGGTCGTTGCGTATGGTGGACATTGGACAATACATCATTTCGTGAAACTCACGAACCCAAGTCTAATGCTTTGGGTTACATAGTGAGACCGATTCCGGAGGTTTCAACTTGAGCATGCTTATTATTTAATCAATAGATTGAGAGTTACTATAACAAAACTGGTGGAATAAGTATGTGTATAACCTTGATCATTGTTTCTATTGGTAAGACACATGCATGTTATATAATTCTGAAAAAGGATGATAAGAATTTGAAAAAAAAGAAGCTTAAATTCAACTAAAAAGCTATTAAAAAAAAACTAAAAAACTAAAAAAAACTATTGAATGATTGATTTTTAAGTTTATATTATAAGATGATGAAATCGTATGATAAAATCGTAATTAAAAAAAAATCAGATTGGTAAAACATGCAAAACATTATGTGAGCAATCAAAAGTTATATCCTAGAACAACTAAATTTATTTTTTGTCAAGTTTAGGTTACCTATTCACTTAAACTCTTTCATTTTTATATTATGTCAACACCTATTGATTAATTAAGAGAGAATTTGATCATAGAATAGTTTAACCTTTGTTTACGATCAAGTTTTGAAAATCGTAATTAGGGTTGTTCCGATAATACTACTCGGTCACTTGGAACACGTAATATCTTGACTAGCTAGAGAATAGCGAAGACGAAGACCCAGTTCAAATTACTATTTATAATTGTTTGACATTGCAAGTAACCATATAAAATAAAATAATTTCCTAACATAATTAGAAATCAAATTGCTAATAATCTAATATATTAGAAAAGAGGCTCTGTTTATCTAATATTAAGAAAACTAAAGATTCTATATTGCCGGGAGCATGTAATATTGACTTGCAAGAATAGGAAGACGAAGAACAAATTCAAACAAATAATTTTATTTTCGATATAGGCCAAGTAGTATATAATACTAGTTATTATCACCAGAAAAAATAAAACCAATATTTTTGTTTTCCGATATATCCCAAGTAGTAGATTTATCAACAGAAAAGGAGTATGATAATTGGAAGGAAAAACGCGTGATAATTTTACCTAAACTTTTTTTTATAAATCTAAATGTCCAAACTTATCACCTCAATATATGATTATATCTGATAGAATATTGACTGTATATTCATTTGTATGTATGCTTATCTAATCAAATTATTAACACAATTTAAAAGATTAATAAATGTTAAAAAATTAAGAAAATACTTGGATAGGATTGAAATTCTTTCCACGTATATCACCAATTGTATAGGGAGATTTGTAAAATTTAATTTTCTTACTGCATATAAAAGTTTAATACTAGTATTTTTTATTATTCCAATATGTGTTGGCAAATAGCTTTATTGACAGATCAGCAAGGTAAAAAGATATTCTGACCGTAGGATCAATATCCAGACCCACTTATAGTAACATCCGAGGGATGTAGATTTTTCTCTTCCTTTTTCCCTTTTAATAATATTTTCATTTATTATTTTTGTTAAAAGCTAATAACACTTTCTCCTTAATTAACTGTCAATAAAATTAATTAATTCCAGCAGTTTTGGGAATATATATATAAACCAAAAAAGCATCAAACGGCTATAATTGGCGTTACAGTTTTCTTAAGAGGAGAAGGATTAGATTAAACTGAGATTTTTTCGGATATTTATTCTCTCAGATTTCTTTGTTTTATTTTTTTTCTTCTAATTAAATTGTTTCGTGCTTTTGTTTCGAGTTTCTTCATAAAGTTTTGATTTTTGTCGGGCTTCGATTTTCGGGGTCCGAGAGATTCTTCTTCTTCTTCGCGAAAATTTTCCCTGAGAAATCTCTTTCTCTTCCTTGTGGGTAAAATCATGTCCGATGGATACTATAGTTCTAAGAAGACAGACGATATCTGCGATGATGTTTGTGGACAGGTGAGTTCTATGTCTGGTTTCCGCAAATTTGCTCTAATTTCTTATCGGTTTCGTATTGAATCGGATTTTGGTTTTTGTTCGTTGTTTTGTTTCGCATTAAGGAAAATTCGAGATTTTGATACCAATTTTTCGCCTTTGAAATTGGACGAGAATAGGTAGTAATGTGGTTTTTGATTTTTCCGATTTCTAATTGTGTGGTACTTGTTATAGGGTTTGTATTCTTAATCTTATGTTATTGTCGGAACTTAAGAATTGAGAGGACGATTTGATGATGTCTCGATTGTTTGTTTTGTCTGAATATTTAAAGTGAATGACTCTTTTGTCTCCCTAATTTCATGAATAATTTTAGGTTTTGTTTCATGATAATCTGGGATTTTGGATGGAATTTGGTATTATTTGTTTTAGGGTTTCGTTCTTCGTATGCACACTATACAAATACAATCTTTGAATATCGTTAGAAGGATTGTTCTATAATTATCTCGAAGAATCTAATTTCAGAATTTTCTGTTTACAAGGGACTACTTTTGATTCTCTGATTTTGTGTGAAATTTTCTGAGTTATTGGTTTTATGTTTTGCAGGATGGTTCTCGAGCATCCAAGGCCTTCTCAAGGGTTAGATGTGTACTACGAGGACTTGATTTCAAGACATATATCTTCATCTTCACCATTGTGCCTATTTTCATCTTTGGAGTCTATTTGCATGGTCAGAAGCTCACATATTTCTTGAGACCGCTTTGGGAATCTCCACCCAAGCCGTTTCAAACGCTTCCTCATTACTACCATGAGAACGCCTCCATGGCAACACTCTGCAGTCTTCACGGCTGGAAACACCGCGAATCTCCGAGAAGGGTCTTTGATGCTGTCTTGTTCAGCAATGAAGTTGATATGCTTACTATCCGGTGGAAAGAGCTCTATCCTTACATAACACAGTTTGTGATTCTTGAATCAAACTCGACTTTCACTGGTTTGCCTAAACCGTTGGTTTTCAATGGGAATCGGGCGAAGTTTGAGTTTGTTGAGCCGAGGCTGTCTTATGGGAACATTGCAGGAAGATTCAAGAAAGGCGAAAACCCATTTGTTGAAGAAGCTTACCAGAGGATTGCATTGGATCAGCTGATCAGACTCGCGGGTATCGAAGAAGATGATCTGTTGATAATGTCTGATGTTGATGAGATTCCTAGCGCTCATACCATCAATCTGCTTAGATGGTGCGATGGATACCCACCGATTCTTCATCTTCAGTTGAAAAACTACTTATATTCATTCGAGTACTTCGTTGACAACAAAAGCTGGAGAGCTTCTATTCATCAGTACAAGCCCGGGAAGACCCGATACGCTCATTTCCGTCAAGGCAACACTCTTTTAGCAGATTCGGGTTGGCATTGCAGTTTCTGTTTCAGGCACATCAGCGAGTTTATATTCAAGATGAAAGCGTACAGCCACAACGACCGGGTCAGATTCTCTCATTATCTAAACCCAAAAAGAATACAAGATGTGATCTGTAAAGGAACTGATCTGTTCGACATGCTTCCTGAAGAGTATACATTCAGGGAAATCATCGGGAAACTAGGTCCAATCCCGCGGTCTTATTCTGCAGTTCATCTCCCAGCTCATCTGATAGAAAAAGCTGAGAGTTACAAATACTTGTTACCTGGGAACTGCATACGGGAAAGTGGCTGATAAGGGTTTGTACTTATCAGTCTTTGTAGTGTTAGGTAATTTGGTTGGAGGAAAACGGCTTATTATCAGTAGAGGGGGTGTGAAACAGAGAATGGTACAGTTTCTTGGGACTCGAGGAAGAGTGATCTGATAAGTGGAGTCTCTGGTTTCAGCATTACCTCTCTTGAGGGTATATAACCTTGCTTTCTTATAATCTCATACTGACCCATGTTCCAATGTGTTCCCAGTTTGTTTTGGGAAGTTTTGCTGGAATAGTCCTCTCTCTGTCTCCATCTATCTCTTTCTCTTTTACTTTCAAACTATTTTCATCATACTCTCGCTTTTTTAGTCTGTACAATTTAGTGATTTCTTTACATTATTATCCTCTGAGATTCTTTGTAATCTTTATTTATTTTATTATTCCGCTTTCTAAATTCCGTTTCATCAAATTATCACTTTCATTGAAGCTTAATGCCTAATACATCCACCAGATCCTCCATCGCAGCTTTCTTTACCTATCATTGACTCATTTCAAGATTCTAGAAACAATATTACAAGGTTCCACGACGGTATCAACGATGTGGAGGCGGTAAAACGTAAATTTTAGTAACTAAAAGAAAATCATGTTTTTGGTATGATTCTTTTTTTTCCTTTTTTCAGCCGTATATTGTTTCCTTTTTAACTAGACGGCAATGGTATATATATATAAACACATAAATAATTGAAGACACAATCACTTAGGTAATCATCAATCAATGAAGGGAAGAGGTGCGATTCGGCGATGCAGTAGTAGTTCATTGGAATTGAAGACGAAGAAGAAAGAGACGGAGGTGTGTGGGTTATGGTCGGTGCCAGATGATGTGTTTGTGGACTGCCTGTCTCCTCACTTGTCTCGATTGGACCTCGTGGCCTTATCGATGGTCACCAGGAGATACCGGTTTGTCGCAGTGCTCCATGAACTCAGGGCCTTGAGGTCTCGGAGGAGCCGCGATTTATATATGTACGTATTTATGCACACGTATCCAGATCCAAGCCCACGGTGGTTCGTCCTCCACCCCGTGAAACGTCGGCTGAAACCGGTCAATTTGAACTTGTATCCGGCCCCTGCCACGTTAGCAGGATCCTGTTTCGTGAAGACGGCTTGGGGGATCTATATTATCGGTGGACTCATGAACGGCAAGCCCACATCGGAAGTCACGTTTTTTGATTGTACCGATCACCAAGTGTGTAGCGTTGCGCCCATGAAGATAGCTCGAAGCGGAGCATCGGCATGCTTAGACAGGCAGAAGATATACGTGTTTGGTGGGTGCTGGGATGATGTGGCCGCTGATTCCTCTAACTGGGTAGAGGTATATGATATAGAAACCGGAACTTGGGAGTTGTTGTCTGTGTTTACGCCGAAGATGCCCCTCAAAATCCAACAGAGTGTGGTGATATACCAAAAGTATGTTTACGTGGTGGATGAGGATGGTCAACTCTTTAATTCCTCAACAAGTGAGTGGAAGTTTGAGGCAAACGGAACAACAGAGTCTAACCTAGAAAATAGAAACGATTGGCTTTTCGCTGATCATACACTTTTCTGCCGTGGTACCGGCGGGAAAATACTGTGGCGTTTTCCTGTTGACTTGGATTGGAATGAAGTCAAGGGTTTGGAAGAGCTGCAGCAGCAACACTCTGGTTTTGATATCATCAAACTCTGCGTATACTCCAGTGATAGTATGGCCATCTTCTGGGAAGCCCGGCCTCAAGGTCCTGATCAGATTTTGGAGCTTTGGTGTGCCCAGATTTCCATGACCAAACACCCGCAAGGCGGGGTATTGGAGATTTGGGGGAACATTGAGTGGTCCGCTCCTGTCCTCTCAGACTCATCATATACTGGCCTTAACTTGTTATTTGCTGGTTCTATCTCTGTCTGAATATTAGTAGAGGGAGTTTGAAACAGAGAATGGTGCAGTTTCTTCTTGGGGACTGGAGGAAGAGCGAATTGATAAGTGGAGTCTCTGGTTTCAGCATTATCTCTCTTGAGGGTATATAACCTTGTCTGCTTATAATCTCATACTGACTCATGTTCCCATGTTGTTTTGGGAAGTTTTGCTGGAATATTCTCTCTCTTTCTCCATCTATTATCTCTTTCTCTTTTACTTCAAACTCTTTTCTTTTAGTCTGTACAATTTAGTGATTTCTTTACATTATTATCTTGGTTTATTTTATTATTCCGCTTTCTGAATTCTGTTTCATCAAATCATCACTTTCATTGAAGCCTAAGGCCTAATTCCTCCACCAGATCCTCCATCGCAGCTTTCTCTACCTATCGTTTGACTTCACGATTCAAGAAACAATATTACAAGGTCCCATGAGAGTATCAACTATGTGGAGGCGTTAAAAAGTAAATTTTAGTAACTAAAAGAAAAGCCATTGGAGATCTGAAGCCATTGAAATTGTATTGTCTACGTAAAGCAACATAACCACTATAGTAAACTACAACAACAACAACAAACAGAGGTTAAGTGATTTTTCAGGGATTCTGAAAAAGGAACAAATTACATGGCGTCTCCGATGACAGAAACAGAAGCAAATGTCGATAAATCTTACTTTCCTGGCTACTTTGATCTATTTACATTCCTGTTCCTGCCTTTGTTTTTATTCTTCTTCTCTGGATTTTCTTGTCGTCTATCTTGGAAAATGCAAGAAAAAAATACTTCTTGTCCTTAGCTTCAAAACCATCCCAACCAATTCAATAAGCTGTCCTCAGAAGCCAACTGCAAAATCAACAAAAGATATTAATTCAAAGTTTCTCAATGATACTAAATATAACAGAGTTTTTGTTTTTTTTTGAAGTCCTTACGGAAAATAAATCAGGGAGAGTCCCTAAATCTGCATTCTCCAAATCTGAGACTGAAAAGTTCCCAGATCCAATGTCAACATTTCCATAATTAGGGTTCTTTTCCACAAGGCACGACGAAGCTTCAACTTTCTTGGAAACCAAGTTATCTTCAATAACACTCACATTCCCTGCCACTTGAGCTCCTCTGTCTGATGTTGAACCATAAGAAGCTTCTTGAATGTTATCCAGTCCCTGAGTTTAGCAGAAAACATAAACTATATGGCACAAAAAACGTCAATGATACTTGCAGAGAAAGGAACTAACCTCGGCAAATGAATCATGAACCATCTTAGTATCATCATAAGCTATTTCATCCTCATCAACAGAAATCACAGGTTTAGCTTGTGTAGGAGTAGTAGTTTTCGGTGTGGTCAGGCCACCTCGAGCCCCAGAACTCTCACTCTCATCGATGGTTTTCTCCCATTGCTTTGGTTGCTGATATGTTATCTTAGAGACAACATATTCCCCAATCTCGCCTTCTTCTGTTCCCAAGTGGTACTGGTGCAAAACCCAATTCGATTTCTCGGGTTTTAATCCCTTCCTCGCGCTCTTATAGAGCACCATGATCTTCTTGCATCCCTTCTGGACTCCATTGAGGATCACCGGTTTGGTTTGACCAGTCTTGTGCCAGCGAACCGATTCATCCTTGAGACTAGTTGGTGTGATCCTTCTCCTCTTTCTCTGCCCATTTTGATATGCATGTGCGGTCTTGTTAAAGAAGAAGACACTAGTTCCATCCTTACTCACACCTACAAACATTTTAATGAGAGTGATTGATTATTCAATTAAAATCTTGAAACATCAAATTAGAGGAAGATTTTCTAATTTTTACCTGGAAGGTTTTGAGGGTGAGTGTAGTTGATACCAACATCTTGAGTGACTGAACATATAAAGTCTTGGATAAGAATATGTGGATTTAAGCCATCAATACCACACTTAGCTTCCAAATGCTCAATCACTTCCTCATCTGTTGGCTCAAATTTCACACCTTTAGGAAGGCCTGGCCATGGAGTCAGTACCTGACAAACCAAAATAAGAAAAATCCTATCTCAGTATTCACATAAACATGGCCATAAGCTCTCAGTTACAGGTGTTCTAAATTAATTGTTTCTTTACATTGCTGTTGTCGACGCGGTAATAGCAGTTAGGGCAGTTGATATAAGCTTCACAGTCTTTAATCTGCAGAGCTGAAGACACAGACGCATTCTTTACATTCCTTGCGATCCATGGACCATCCACAATCCAAGTCCTGTGTAGAGTTTTCATAGGTTTAGTGTCAATAGCAAAGCCATATATATGAAAACGGAGAAACATGTTTGTGGTGCTAGATTCAAGCATTTCTTGTCAAAAACGGACAAAGATTTCAAGAATCATTAGAAGTTTCTCTTGATTCTTAGGCTATGAATGACAATAGTCCTTAAATGAGTTTTAAGTTTTTGGTGCTTGTTTTTTGCTATAGATTCTAGTTCTTGATGTTAAGTTATTCAGATTCTGGTTTCTAACTAACTATATTTTTTAGAAAACTTGGCTTCTGAGATATGTTTTCATACAAAAGAATAAAAAATATGTTTTCATGAAATTAAACAGAAAATGATTTTATGGGTAAATGTAGATGGATAATATTTTTATTTACAAAAAAAAATATCTGAGAGAAAAATAAAGCGGAGGAAAAAAATCTAATAATAGGGGTTTTTATTGGTTAAAACTTTAAAACACTCAACAACTAATGTTTCTAATATTTAATGAAATTAATTTAAAGGATGAAATATCAATAATTCCCAAAATAGAAGAAAAATAGCTGAAATTTCGCATTTCTTATTCATAACCCCGCAAAAGAAAAACCTCAAGTCTTGTCGAGACTTTGGAACAAAGATGATTCATTGGAATCGTTTATAAAGTGAAATCGAATAAACCAAATCTGGGCTCTGACCAGATCTTGAAATTGGTTTATGGTTTTCAAGCTTACCTCTCCATGACCTATACGAAGACAAAAGAAACGACCGATGAGAAGAGAGAGAGAAAACGTTCTCCACTAGGGTAAGTAATATAGACTGAATTGAACATAGAGGAAAAAAGGTCGAGACTTTGGAGAGAGAAGAAGTATATACGTGTGTGTTGATGAGCGGGAAATTGAGGTTCGTTTACTTCCGAACCTAAGCTTCGAGTAAAGCTTCTCAAGAACACAACTGGCTAACGTTAGGCTCGGAGGATATATCTTAGTGTTGACTTAGCTTGACTAGAATTTGGTCCGGACACGAACCTGAGATATGTAAGGTTCTTTTTCAATGCCGAAGCAGTGGAGAGCTTCGGAATTCGAGCCTAAATGGGACTTCGTAAATAAGTGGTTTTAGTAGGGCCAGGCATACCTTGATCACCAAGCCAGGTGAAAAACTTATTTTAATCTTTAGTTTTTACCCCTTTTGTTGTTGTTTCACTGATTAGAAAAGTACTAGCTTTTGATACCAAAAAAAAAAATTGTTTATTTCAGGAAATGACCGTGACTGTTTATATAAATAGTAAAATGAATATTGTTTTTAAAAAATCTGTTGTTTTTATTGAATGACAGCTAACTGTCTGAATGTGAAATATCCCATAGTGTAGCCATGTAGTAAAAGATACTCCCTCCGTTTCAATTTAGTTGTCGTTTTAGGATTAAAATTTTGTTTCATAATAGTTGTCGTTTTAGGTTTTCAATGCAAATGTTTGGTGAAAATTCATGTTTTGTCATTAATGTTTTAATGTTTTGACCAATAAAAAAATTATAAAATATATTAATAAAGGGTAAAACAAAAAATTTAATGATTTTCTTAATTTGTGTGCGAAAACCTTAAACGACAACTAAAACGAAACGGAGGGAGTATAAATAATAAATCTGTTGTTTTTATTGAATGACACCTAATTGTCTATGCCTCTATGGCGTGTAACTATTTTAGATATTTATACATAAGAGATTAATCAAAAAAGTCGTTGTAGTATAGTGGTAAGTATTCCCGCCTGTCACGCGGGTGACCCGGGTTCGATCCCGGCAACGGCGTCTTTATTTTTAACCTTATTTAATCTTTTCCGTGGGCTTTGTTAGAAAGAAGATTACGAATCCGCAAGCCTTCTTTCTTAGGCCCAACTCTTAATCAATACAAATGTGCCTAATTATATTCTTGCTATGTTGTCGTTTCTGAAGAATATAATTGTCAATTTATGTGTATAAAATATGATTTGAGTGACTAGCGGCGAGTTTGATCGCTAGAAAATCGAATGCAAAGAAGAGTTGTTGACCGTCAGACACAGAAGACAAAATGTTCATACAGAAGACGATTCAATAATATAAGACTCATGTTTCCAGGTGAACCATACATATCAATGAGTCGCTGACCGCCACACAGAAGGCAACGTTACAAAATACTACATTTGCCAATCTTTCTGTGTGTCGGTCAGAAACTCAGAAAGAGCAATAGCTCCAAACAAATCATATCATATCAGATTTGTTTGGGCATCAATCCCTTTATCCATGAAGACGATCAAAATATAAGACTCATGATGTTTCCAAGTATGATTTCATACATATGTAATTATGATATCAGTAATCCCCATAAAGAACCTTACGTGGATCGAGCTGACCGCTGCAATAGCTTGAGGAGACGATAGAGAGTTCTTGTCTCCCTCTCCACTCTTCATGTGGCTTCAACACAATTGGGGTTTCTATAGCACCAGAATCTACACACAGCATTGTTGTGTAATCCTCATCTCCCATATCTGCAATACTCTTGGCCTTCTTATCCCAAGGGTTCCACACAACTGCTCAATACCAAAGATACCATGAACTCATAAGGAACACACTTCACATTTTTTTTTGCGATTGGATCAAGGGGAATAACAAATCATTACGCACCTGCATTTGGCATGCCTTCCTTTCGCAACTCGATAGTTCTTTTTCTCTCATGATCTATGATGGCAATCTTTGTCGGAGTGTTCAAGTACACTTTATCAACCTACAGGGTTTACTGACGATACATTAGATTCTGTTTGTAGATAGAAGTTTAAGGGAAAAACAAAAGGCATGCGTGTGAGTCACATTACCTCGCCGTCAAAGGTAATTGCATCTGCCTGCTCCGTGAATCTTTCTCTACGCATCAAGTTGTCCAGATAATCAAGTGTCTCCAGACCCTCAACCCGAACTTCACTGCAAATTTGATGCCATGTGATGCTACTTAGACAAAAGGTTTTCTTAAAAATTACAATTAAGCATCTTCTCAAGGAAACTTTGATTTGAGAGCGGGTAAGAAGCAACCCGGGACAAGAAGAATAACTTTGATCCTGATTACTATTTAAATGAGCCCACAAATAAACGAGGAAAGGCGACATAAGGATACCTTATGTCGGATACATATAAGTAGTTACGAAGTGAAAACATAAAGGAGAATGCCTTTAGGTCAGTGTTCCTCACACGCGGGATGATAGTAAGTTTTCCAGGACTGATAGATATGCGAACACGAAGTTCAAAGCTGCAACAAAGTAGGCAGAGAAAAATTAAGTCAAGAGATGATGACATTGAAATGGACTAAGAGAGATATCAACTGTACACACCTATGAGGCCATATCTTCAAATCATCTTCAGTAGACTTCAATACTAAATCAACAGTTGATTGCTGGTTAGCCGGAGGCAGAGGTGAGGGATCATTATCGAATGACCAGAATCTGTTACGAGCAAATCCATGTCGCTCAAGTGCACCAAAATTCCCAAACTTCAAAGACGACAAAACACAAAACATGGTTGATGGCGGCAGAGGAAAAAGTTAGTCAGTCGGTGTAACTTAAAATGATCTGAAAGATGTCTGACCTGTGGAAAGCAGATAGGTAACCCTCCCCTAATCGCCTTGGGTGGTTTCAGTTGCGCCTAAATGAACATAATGAAGACAAAACATTGTTAGTGGAAGTTGAAAATTCTTCATTGGGCAGAAGTTCCATACTCAACAAGTCATATTTCTACTCTAAAAGCACAATTTACAAATGATCTGACACATGCTGCAAACAAAATAAAAGCTAGTTAAGAAGAGAAATGGATTAATCATTCATATCTATCAACATGTAAAGTTAACCTTGCTGCTCATATAAAGCAACTGCTCTCTCCTTTCATTTCTCCAAGAAACCACTTGTCCTCCATACAAAAGCACCTGAAACCATTTTCCAGCCAAAAAAATGTAACTTGACAACCTCTTACAAACTCCATCAAGCTAAAACCTTTCTAATCCAAACAACAAAAGTAGTGAAAACACCAACATTTAAGGTCAAAGTAGTAATCACTGAGAGACCCAAACATCAAATCTTCTCAAAGTACCACAATTTCTTAGGTAGATTCTTCTTCCCACCATGATGGTATGATCAAAACCCCATTTTTTTTTTCTTACGGTGAAAAATCGAATATGAAGAAGAGAGAAGAGAGGAAAGAGTAAAACCTCAGCAGTTGATCCAGCAGGGTCGGTCAAAAGAATGCGAGAAGAACCATCACGATCATTGACTACATTTAAAGGCATCGATTTTGGTCTTAACCTCGATCTTATTCCCCTCACCAATGGGTTCACTTTCCCTTTCTTCCACTCCAGCTACACCCACCCAGATGCATGCATTATTTATTTACGAATTATTAGAGATTACAAAAAAAAATCATGATTCGTAACAAACGAATATAAAATTGGGAACACGAATTAGAGAAAAAAAATAATCGAAAATAAAATCCACAATATATATAAGTGGGCAAATCGAGAAGGATTTTAAGAAATGAAGAGACTGATAGATAGATAAGTGGATTAGATTCAGCTAGAGTTTCTTAGATTAACACTGGAAAATTTTCAACGAATTTCAAACGGTGATCGGCTGAAATTTCAACCACCACCACTGAACTAGAACGCGACTGGGGAGAGAGAAAATGGAGATAGAGAGTGATACGAAGAAATAAAGAGAGAAAGAGACTGTTGATGATGTTTGTAGGAAATGCTGACCTTGATTGATCGAATTTGGCTTTTGATTCTTTCTCGGAGATTTGGGTTTTGAGTCGGGAGCTTGAAGAAGAAGATGAAGAAGATGAATAAGAAGAAGGCATTGTTGTGCGCATTTGTAGTTGTTCTCTGCATCAGCATAAGCGTCGATACTGCCACGTGTGCATTTGTGAAAATAAATAATTTTGTTATCAAAACCAACATTTTTATTTATTTACTTACTACCCTCTATCTTCGCATTTATGCATTTTTCTCCTACACTCTCTATTTTACTATTTCTTAGATAATACTCTCTCTCTCTCTTTTTTTTTTTACATAAGAAGATTTTTTTTTTGGTCAACATTTTTTACATACGAAGATGTATATAAGATTTTCTTACTTTTTCTAAATTATGCATTTTATTTAAAAATTAATTAGTGGTAAATTATTTTATAATATAGAAAAAATACAATTTTTAATACTTGCTGGTTTAGCTAAAACATCTTGTAAGAAATAGGTAGTCAATATCTTCCAATAATATAACCAATAAAAATATACCTAATAAAGAAATATGATCTTAAATTTTTGATTTAATGAGAAGGTCATTATTTTCCTTATTTGGTGTTTATTTTTTTGGCATCTATACTAGTATTTTTGAAGTACATCTTTAGTGGATGAGACAAAATGTATTTGGATACAATGGGTATCTGACCCATTTATAAATTTTGATCATAAAAAGTTTGTTGGGTCGGGTTCTATTTAACCCAACTCATACATCGGATATTTCATATTTAATAATTTAGTAATTTAGAAGATTTGATTAAGATTTAGGATTATGATTATGGAAACATGGAACTTGATTTCCTAAATCTACGGAACACACTAATTTCTTCTTTTCTTCCTCAAAGCTAAGTTTATCAAGACTTGAGTCATCAGTAATTTCGTCGTCATCCCTGGGAAGATGCAAAATCATGGTATCCAATGATACCTTGATACATCCATCAATTCCAAATTCAGATCCTTGGCTTGACCTAGCCCAAACAAACCTTTCACCATCCTCTTCATCAACACCAACAAGAGAGACCGCATGCACACTGCTTAGTCGAGACATGTGATCCGTTGGTCCACGGTAAATCTGAAAATAAAAATATATTTCTACACCGTAGTTTCTGTATGAATGATACAAATGTCTAAAACTTTTCTGTATTTTCTGTATGTCTAAAACTTTCCATTTTAAAAATATAATAAATAAGAGCCATTTTTAAAATTCATGATTTGTACACTCTCTTGCAAAACCTACTAAAACAGGAAAAACGTCAAAGTTGACTTCGACAAAATAGATGAAATATTGAACTTGGATCAATAGAATGCCTAGATTTATCGCCAAAGAGAGGTTTTGGTCGATGAAAGCTTTTTGGTCAAGCTAAATGAGGAAACAACAAGTCAAGATTCTAAGAGCGATTCGTAAAGCATGAATGTGTTTTCTGGTATTCAACACCAAGTCAACTAGCAATTTACGAATCGTCATTACTATTATAAGAAAGATGTACATGGTCAGTGCAAACATAAGACCAAATGCAGTATTCTAAGTACACATTGATAAACACTCTAATTTGAAGAATCCTAAAAACTTACCGATGGTTGGGATGCTGGTAACGATATCTCGTTTCAGCTTATACATGATAGTGGTCTGATCTAACGCTGCTTTTAGTTAAAAACTCAGACATAAAGTTATGAACGGCCGGATATGAGAACCGACGGTAGTAAAATCTAATTAATAGTTATGACTATGATTAACCAAAATTAAATCTGTCTAATCACATAACGACAATACTAACAAAAACCAATAAACAAAATCTATCTATTTAGATTTATGAAAAAAAATTGAAAAGAATATATCTATCTGTTTTAAGATATTAATCTAATTTTTTGTGATAATGGAATATAATAACAACATCGTTTTGGTATCACATAAATTCACTGAAGTGAAATTAATAGAATTAAGGATATATTGTTTATTATTTACTATGAGTCTGGCATTTCTATGATGAATGCCACATTCTAAACTACTCCCTCTGTCCCAAATTATAAGAGGTTTTGGCTAAAAGCACAAGGATTAAGAAACAATAAATGTTTTCTCATTTATAAAAATTCAACCAATTAAAAAAAAGACTGCATAATTTAAACACTCAAAAATTATTAAATAAATATAAATAGTGCATTGAAACTTGAAAAAATCTATTAAAATGGAACAAAGAAAAAATCCTTAAAGCTCTTATAATTTGGGACAGAGGGAGTATTAATTATTGTTCATTATTAACACAAAAAACGAGAAAATTTGTACAACATTCAATATTCTTCGATCATAACATACAAGTTCATCTTGATGTGACGATGTGTCTCTAAATTATTTACGAATCATTTTTCTTTTGTTAAAGGATCTTCATAAGTATTATTTTCTTCATAATTATTTACCAATCATTTTATCCATGTAACGTTGTTCTCCTCTAACAAAAACAATATTCCTTTCATTTTCGTGACGTTTATATTCCATTCCAACATTAATTAAGAGGAGTGAACTACATATATTTAATAATAGCTTTAACGTCGCTCCATATATTTAACACAAAATACGTTATAAGTGTCATTTTCTAATTCAAATTCGAGCTCTACTAGAAATAAGAAAACAATATAGATCAAATTACCAATAGCCAGATCCTGAAAGACAGAATTGTATGAAGTCTTTTAACCAAAAAAGAGAGGTTTGTGACGTTTAAAAATTTGGGGGTTCTTTTAGAAAAACTATATTATATTCATAGGCATCGATATCATAATTTCCAAATTTAAATAGACATTTAAAAGAGCATGCAATGGATCAATTTTAGTACCAATGGCCAATGGGTATATGGATTGGCTTTAGATTTACGCTACATTACGTTAAAGGAGAACATCGAATCAACATTAAACTAACAAGTAATATTTATTTTTAATCTAGATATGATGCTAAATTGAATGTAAATAAGCGATGGATTCACATTACATTAAAATATTAGCCATTCAATATGCAATGAAATGGTGGGGGCTGGAAAATGCATTCTCTTTGTTTCTTTTTTGCTTAAATTAAAAAGAATATCTTATCACAAACTGGTAAATTAAAAAGCAAAGTGACTAAAATAAAGCTAATCGAAAGAGTAGATGCCCACTCAAGATTTACGAAGATTTTTGGAAGAAAAATTACGTGACTCGTTTTACAGATAAATTAATTAGCAAACCAATAATAAGTATCATTACCACTAGGTTTTAAAGGCTTATGACGAAGCTTAGCTGTTTTGCACTCTGAATTACGTTGGTTTTAGTTTGGTGCGCATATAGGCTATTGCTTTCAGTAATATTTTATTATAAACAACGAATGAAGTGAAAATGCCAAGAAAATAAATCAAGAATTAGAGCATTGTGGGTCGACCATTTCTTTAATTCTCCATAAATATTATTCTTTGTATGAAGAAAAAAAAAAATCAGCAAAAGCTCAGTCAACACTATTTAACAAAAAAAAAAAACAAGCTCAGTCAACAACACTAATAATGTTATACGACGTCGGTTTTAAAGTTCTTCGGTGTTTTGTATTTCGGTTTTAAAAAACGGTTAGTCGCGGTTAAAAGGTCGGTTTTTAAGCGTTTCGTATCTTCGCATCAAGCTCCTTCCTTCTTCCTTTGGATTCCAAAGTTACGGAATCGAAGAATTTTTGTTATGGAATCCGAAGCTAGGTTATGTGGGTTTGTTTCAGAATTTCATCATCGTGGAAAATGGAGTGTTTGTTTTTTCAGTTTCTTCTGCTTACTAGTCTGCCATAGAAGCACGCACACCAACTGTTTGACGAAATGCCGTAGAGAGCCCAAAACCATTGGAATCGATTTATCCAGCAATAGAAAGAAAGAAAAAAGATAGGAAGAAATTTTCTGTATCAGTTTATTCTCATGTTGGATTATGAAGACTGAAGAGAGAAGCCTAATATTATAGAACCAGTTTCTCTCAAGGCTTGTGCGAAGTTGTGGGGTAAATAAGTAGTATTTTTTGATGATGAGGTTACTGATTCCTATTAGTACGTCTTGGTAAACTATTTTGAAAACCTTTTTGAGATAGAGATTGAGGGAGACTGTGGAAAAGTTGAGAGCTTTAGTGGACAACCGAAGAATAAACACTGCAATGGCACACAACTTAGTCGCGATTAGAAGGAGAACCCATGGCTAATGATTGAGCTGCATTCAGAAAAAGAGAAAAATATTGGGTAGATGATAGAAACGGTTAGGTTTGCAAATGAAAGAACTGGGAACAGATTTGCTGATTGAAACTGGATTTAAATTTGCGTTTGGTTGTGGAAACCATTTCTTCTACGTACTTTATTACTTTGGCAGTCTACCACAAATCTCATTCTTTTGACTCATTGGTTGTGTATAATGGGTAGTTTTGCTTGGAATTGAAGTGGGGTTTATAATGTTAGAGCCTAGAGGGATCACAAGCAATAAGATGGTAACAATTATTCCTAAGAAGAAGGCTCTCTTTCTGTGAAACAGTACATGGTTTTATATATACAAGATCTGGAATGCAGCCAAGGCTATGTGCTGAGTTTCGAAATCATCTCTTCTACCAACTTCAACATGGTTCCGGGTATTCGCTCTCCTTCTTGATCAATCTCCCGCATTATTTGCTCAACAATCTCAATCTTTGACTGTTTGTTTTTGATGACATAGCTAGAGCAGTCCCTTAGTAGTAGCAATAGCTCTCTAGCCATTTCTTTAGCCCTCCGTGTCCCGTCTACACTCACTTGAAGCAATCCGGGCATCACTCCTTCTCTCAGTATCAATCCTCGGTTTGTCTCTCTGTCTTTGTTGCATACACCAAGTAATATTCCTACCGCGTGCTCTTTACACTGGGCTGACCCTTCTTCGATGGCTTCCACCAGAACCCCAATTGCTCCACCGATGCTGGAAACAGATTCTGGTGAATGAGAAATTATGTTTTCGAGCAAAGCTACTGCCTTATCAGATAATTCAGAAGATTTATCACAACAGTTGATGACTTGAAGCAAAGCATACGGTGCTCCCGAAGCTATAACCAGGGGAACAATCTGATGAAGAGTCGATAGATTTTGTAGTGTTGCTATGGCATCAACCTTGGCCTGAATGGTAAGTCTATCGAGCCCAATAAGTCCAACTAAAAGCTGAATCAACCTGGTTGATGCCATCTTAACCTTGTTTTTGTTACAGGAAGAGAGAATCAGAAGAAATGCCATGGCCAATTCAAGAACTACCATCTTCGTTTCTGACTGGAGGATTTCTAGCAACATTGGTACTGCGCCAGATTTCACAATTTGGACTTTGTTCCTGTATGTTCAGCAATAAACCCAATTATTGTTTTTTGCTTGTTACTACCGCATATGAATAGTTAAACACAGATAGAAACACAAACCTTTCACTGCCAAAGGCAAGGCTGAGTAATGCAGATAGAGCAACTTCTGTTGTGAGACAGTCTTGAGATTGTAACATTGAGAGTAAAGGAGAAATGATCTCTCTTTCTGCCAATTTTTGTCTTTGCTTCCTGCTTAGATTACTCAGCTCGATAGCTGCTTCTATTTGAGCCTCTCTGTTACCGCTAAGAAGACTCTCCACCACAATCTCCTCCATTGCAGCACTCTTCTTCCTCTCTGTAAATTTGGTTAATAACTTCACTTGGAAGAAGAGTGAGGGAAGTTGTGGTGGTGATTGGTGAAGTAAATATAATAGAAAAAAACATAAAAAAATTTGGTTAGTATTTTGGTTGCTTTAACAAGCAATGTTAGGCTTTTTTTTTTGGGCATCCATTGTTTCATGTTGAAGCAAACTCACCTAAAGCTTTTTTTTTTTTATGTTTAATTTTTTTCTTTTTGTTCTGTAGCTTAAAACCCCATTTGGGAAAGTAAGTATCTGTTTGAATATTTTGTTCTTGATTGATTGATCTATCCAATGTTGATTCCTATAGATTGAATCTTTAACTTTCCTCATGTAGAAGCAATGTAAGCTTATCTGCATTATCCTGTGTCATGGTTCCCAAGAGATTATACTATTATTCAAGCAATGACAGGTTAGTTTTATTTTTCTCTGCAAAATTTGTTTTCAATTCTTGTTGACCTTATTATATTTATATCTTATTATAGTGTGATTTTGTGCACGTTCTTATAATTTGATTAACTAGATTTTCTTTGAACTGGGTCTTAGCTCTCAACAATGACTATATAATTTTGATATGAACATGTGTCTCTTTCTTGATTTAAACGCACAGATTATATGATTTCTAATAATTATGTCAACTTTTTAATAATAAATTCTAACGAATGCAACTCAATTGTCTTTAATATTATACTACTAAACTGACAAATGATACGAGAATTTAATAACATCTCATCTAACCTGAATCCCCTGATACAAATATGAAATGATTCAGAGATCTTAAGTTTAGAAATTGCAAAAATAATGACCACCACGTGACAAAAAAAAAATTTGGGTGATATTTTAGTTATTTATAAAAGCAAATTTGTTCCATATAAAAATAACATAGTTAGATTTTATTTTTATGTTTTACATCCTTCTCTTTTCGTAAGGACAGAGAATATGATCAAGTTTCTTTCCCCGTTGGTCCCTGGCCCGAATATGTGTATGTGTAAGAGAAAAGTGCTTCAATTTTCTTCGGTTACAAGTATAGAATTCAGATATATATAGCATTTTTTAAATTGTATAATCCCCAACGAAAACTGTACAGTAAATAACTTATTATCAAATAATCTTGCTGACAAAAATATTGTCAATCACACCAAATTTGTAACTTGTAAGAACGTCTCCAACTAGAAAATTCCAACTCAAGTTTATTACTATTTTTTTTTTTAGCTTATTAGGTATAGATCAGATTATTTCTTTAGGCGTACTCATACGTCAGAAAAAAAGAGATCAAATATTACAAAATTGGAATATGTTCTTTTGATTTTCTTTGTTATACGGCGCCTTTGTCTTTACGAAAATTCTTGTCTCATTTTTTGTTATTATTACAAGATTTTTTGTTATTATTATTTATTAGGCCTTCTTCATTCAATCATTCTTCGAATCATTCTTCGTGTAACGAGAGTTTCAAAAGACGCAACAGATTTCATAAAAACTGCTTGTTTTGTAAATTTATATTATAGTTGGACGTATAAAAATCAAAATCAAAACTTTCTTAAAATTTTTGGAAGTACATGTAGCGAAAGACTTAAAGATGATACATGACTAAGGAAAAAGCTTGAGAGAACAGAAATGTAAACAAGAAATAAACAAGTTATTATGATTGAGCATCATTCAACTTTTTCTTGCGCTGCTCGATTAGTTCAACACTTGCCTTCTTCTTTTTCTGCCCAATCTGCATTTCGCAAATACACAACACAAATTAACATCAAGTTACAAACACTAAGAGAGCCTTTCATTGCTATGATTCTGCAGAGCTTTTAAAACCAGGAATCAGCTAATTCTAGTATTTGATTCTAGGGATGAACAGACCTATAGAAACTATCAACGGAAAAAAAATGAATGGTAGAATGTGAATGGTACGTACCTTCATGGCTTCGTAGAGCTTCCTCTTCTTACGGGACATCAGCACTGTGCTCATATCAGCATTCTCTTGAGCTATTTGCATAGCATCAGGAACTGATTCTTCACCCTCATCTTCAGCCACCACAGGTGCTACAACATCCTTACTTGCAGTTATTTCCATCTTCAGTTCCTCATGGTATTGTTTCTCCTGCGCAGCCATCTACATACAATAACCCACACAATACCAAGTTAACAACTTAATCAACACATCCAAAAGTTTGACAGGCTTGAATTACTCATATATCAGCACAAAGCCAAACCTTCTTCTTGTTCTTTGCAGCTTCGGCTTCCTCAGCACGACTCATAACACCAGCGTACAATAAGTTTTGAGGATCTTCAAGATCCTCTTTCCCAACACCTGGCAACGGAAGAACTTCGTTTCTGGCTGCTGCTTGTAGTCTTTTGATGGTTTCGGCATAATCAGGAACATATCCTTCTGCTTCATTGTCCACAAATGGTGACAAGTGTGGCGGTGGAATTCTGCTTGTAAAAAAAGCACACAATATAAACAGCTGAGTAAAACAAAAAATGGTAGTAAGAGAAGAAATAAGTAAAGGCTATGAATCTGTTACCTTCCGACCAAGTACTTTTCAGTTGGCAAGATTATGCGAGCATTCACACAGTCATAGATCCACTGTGGTTGCACATACACCCTTGAAAGATACACATGGCCTGCGCTTGGCTTATCGATGATCTACAGAAGTAGAATGAATGTTATGAGACTATCTATCTACACTATGGGAAACAATGGCAATATTAAACATCAAGCTAAATGGGCTTACATGATGTGTAATACTCTCATCATCCTCCTTGAATGGTGCACCTTCTCCTTCCCAAGACACCATCCCACCAAAAGCAGGAAGCACAAAAAGCAGGGACTCTCTCGGAACCTACATAAGTACACAAAAATATTATATAAGAGACAAGATCCCATTCATGAAAAAAATTAATGATCTTCTAAGTCACTGGTCGAGGAGAAACTCAAGCACACAGATCTTCCAAAAATCAAAACATGGAATACAATTTACAATCATTGATAAGACTTTGGTTAGGATTAAACAGTAGTTCTAGGTGCCCTCAACACTAAGCACTTATAAGAATAACTTTTTTTTAAAAAGCCTTTACTTGCAAATGGTTCGTCGTTAAGTAAGAGTCTTTGAACAATATAGACATGTCAGAGATTCATGCTAAAGAAAGACTACTATTATATTTGGTCAACTACTGATTCAATTTAGTAGCAAATGAGCATGTTTTGTCCCTATCAGTTCAAATTTGCCAATGATTTACTATTTTACAAGAAAATTTAGTCAATAAGAAGTGGCTCAGAAGGAATGAATCAGAAAGATACCTCACGGCTCAAGAAAAACTTCAGATCTTTGAAGAGTGACTTGCACACTCTAGTTTCTTCATCCTCTTCAACCTCTTTATTGTTATCTGCAACAAGATGCATCAATGCTCCAGGCTCACTCGAAGGCAGCTGGTGCTGAAGTTGTGCAAGTCTCAGTTCAGACTCTTCACGGTCATTTGACTGTGAGCTAGATGAAGCGTCAACCTTAGGTTCCACCGCCATGCCTCTGGAGCTGGCATCTATGTATCTTGACAGTGCATAGAGATCTGCAACATTGAAGACATGCAAATATTAATCAGAGTAACAGGTCTCACGTTCAAATGGTTACATATGAACTCCCATATGAAAGATATCACTTGAGGAAAATAATCGCTACTTGGAGGAGGACAATATACCTGCAGCCAAAGCCTCCAACCGAGAATCAAGGATTGGCGGATATTTCACATTCAGAGAATGGTAAAGCTTGAAGTTAATAAAGGCAAGGAGAGTCTGCATCAAAAGGTGAATGAAAATTTGTCAGCATAAGTCCAAACATCAATTTAAATTAGGAAACTCAAATTGATTAATTTATACTGAACTGATGAATTAAGTTAAGGAAAAGCGGAATGAATAGAGATTATGAGTTCTCACCTCATAAAATTCCAAGAAAGTAAGCAGGACACCAAAGTCAACATCATTTGTAAATACTTGTTGTATTGCATGAGGGGTCAACCAAGTGATCTTTTGACCTTCTAATTCAGCCTATCAAGATAATTACCAAAGTTTCATTAAAGAGGAAGTAACCTACTAATTCCATAATAAACTTTCAAGATAAAGTAACACAATACCTGATAGTAAATACCCTTGACAGACACAAACACTTTACGTAATGCATGACAACGTGAAATGTAAGCTTGCCATTCATGAGTCAATCTGATTCACAAAAGAAGCACAGCATCAGATTATGGATATGAAACTAAAAGAAGATGTCAATAAGTAAAGACAGAAGGGTCCAAGAGGAAATATAAGATTCTGACCTTCTACAGTTGTGGACTCTCTTAACTTCAAGATTTTCCCTGTCTGATGCAGGTAACACCGCAAAAAGATGAACCATGGTAAGACAGTCATCCAAGTCTCGCAGTGCATCAATAAATGTTGGATACCTAAACATTCAGCACATAAGCAGAAATGGGTGTCAACAGTCTAAAACTCATGGATGGTCAGACACAAGAGTATAATAAATTAAAGTGTGTGAAGCAAACCTTTCGCGGATCAATCTATCTAGCTTGTAAGTGGGTTGGCGAGTAAGTAGAAGGCGTGCAAGCTCCTCGTTTTTCTTAGCCTTGGCTTTTTTGACCTTCTTTTGATATGTTTTGATTTCCCTGAACTTCTCAAGAAGAGGCTCGTGCATGAGGAAAGCAATGTCCTTGACATGGTAGTAAGTGTGATGGTTTCCCTTCACCTTCTTCTTCGGTTCTCGGGGAAATATACCTTTGACAATACATAGTCTCCTGAAATACACAATCAGGAGGTAATAAACAGATTAGTCACCTATTGATAACCATAATATATGGAGAAAGTAAATCAAACAGAATTGAGGAACATTAATAAGCAACTTATCAGTTAGAACCTAGCTGAGAAGATAACACAACCTCGATATCAATTTGTATAATAAATTGACAAAACACGAAGCATCTCAAAAACCTAGAGTACACATATGCTTGTCCAAACAATAACACGAAGAAAAATAGTGAAAAGATGAAAGATAAAGTAGAAAGAGAGTGAACCTGAATAGATTCAAATTAACTTGAAGATGTTTGAGAGCTTGCGACCTGGTCATATACCTAGCCGCATTCCCTTCCTTCTTTTTTCCCTGCAAATGACAAATATAACCAAATTTCAATATCTCAGAAACAAACAAAAAAATCAGCTCAAAAAGTTTCTCGAGTAAAGGGAAAACGAAAATGGATTACAACAGTTGTTAATCAACGAATACTGGGAGCAATAGAGCTTCAATCCAAGAGAAACACTCACCGCTGGTCTGTAATGCTTCGGCATGGTGTAAACGCCACCAGACAAGGAATGAGAGATGCGGAGAGGAAAAAGAATGAGAGACAGAGAATTAGGGTTTTAGCCAAAACGATTAGTTAAAGTCGGGTACAAGAGGACGATATAGTGGGCTTCTTAAGACCTATTGACTTCTTCTGGGGTTTATTACGATTATGGACTTTAAGGCCCAATAGACTCATTTTTGTTTTGTTCTTGTTAGTGTCATGATTTGTGAAAAAAATTCCAGTTTATGTGAACATTGATGTATGTATTATGCATCCATATCTTTTTTTTTGTTAAAATAAAAGTAAATAGTCATTTAAAAAAAATGGTAACCACTAACACATTCATAAAATCTAAGAGATCTTTGTTTTGTGTGATTAACATACTACTGCTTCCATTTTTTCTAATTGTGCATAATGGAAACAAATACGTCGTCACTGAGAAAGAGCTTGTTGGTCGGCAGGAGGATCCGCGGGGGATGGTGGCTCACCGTCGTTGGGGATCCAGAATGTAAGAACCGTAGAAGCAGCAACGAACATGGCTCTACGAGGTGCCCATTTCAGACACGACACTACTCCTATGTTGTTCTCCCACCTCGCCACCTGCTTTTTAGACAAAATCATCAGTATATTTAAATAGTGTGACAAGCATAAGGCAAAACTAGTATCTACAACATTATGAATTATTCATCATATTCTAAGAGAATCAGTGTCCAAGTGGTGTATGATTATTATGTACAATCCTAGTGGTGTTGATTATTCTGCTCTTTACCTCAGATGGGTTCTCGATGTTCCACGCATGTAAGGTTCCATCACCTGATCCTGCATTCAAAAAAAAAAACACTAAGCTGGTTAAATTTGGGTGTTGTGTAGATGAGTCATGATAAAAGATCAGCTAGAATCATCTGGAAAAGCGTATTACCTGACAGAACATACTTGCCATCTGGTGTGAAGGTGGCTTCTATGGGTGTGCCCTGAGATGGCTCCAAACTAAAACCACATTTCTACAAAATAACATACCGTCTTTTACCAACTCAAAACCTAATCTTCTGTCTTCTTCAGGTGAAAGGTAGAGAATGTGATTACCTTCTCTCCACGATATGCATCAAGAACATAGATATTGTTATTTGTAGTCGTGAGGAGCATGGATTTTCCATCGTTGCTGAATTTTATATCGTTAACCTCAGCAGTATCCCCACCCACCAGAAATGTGTCAAAGGGACCCTACATAAGAGACCAATTGGGTTTAGAAGTTAGAACTAGCAAGAGCATTCATGTCCAAGGCTGTGTAAATCATAGTAAGTAGCTAACCTTGTCATAACACCTCGAATCAAATAATTTAACAGCACCTCCTTCCATTGCAATTGCAAACACGAGGCCTTGTTGGTCATACGCAACTGCAGGTCTACCACGTAGATGCAGAATTCCCTATTGACTAAAAGGGTAAGCATAAATCATGAAACCATATACATTCACAGAGAGAGAGTGGCTCTTGCTAAATCGAGAAAACTTGTTCTAAATGTTGTGGTTCCAATATCTTCATTAAGTTTAACTTTGAAGGTGAAATTACAAAGTTTTGGATAACAAGAAGAAAAAGGCACTTTTCTGATTAAAACTCTAGCATATTCTGACTCCATCTAGCCTTGTTAGACTGTAAGACTGGAAACAAACCTGGCAGGCATTTACACGAAGATCCCAGAGTCTGACACTTCGGTCAAGAGAACCAGACATGAAGCTATCATTAATAGGAGACATACAAAGCGATACAACCCTGAATCAGACGAACAATTTCCATCATCAATGTACATAGATACTAGTATAATCCAATTCCCAATTCCAGAGGTTATAAAGCAGACCTGTCTTTATGCCCTTTAAAGTAGCGAAGGATCCGATTATCATACATTGAGAGATATCTCAAGGATTCTGGTACACCAGAACAAGCATTCAAGTAAGTGAATATCAACCATTCTTTTGATTATCCAATCTAAAGCAAGAGAAAAGGAGGACTCACCACCAGTGGACTCCAAATTGTATCGAGAAGAGCAAATTAGAGAGCTGGGATGATGGGTAAAGCATACACGATCGGTGCCATGTTTCTTATGGTATGTAATCTTGAGCTGTCTACGTTTTAATCGGTTAATCCAAAAGTTTCTTGTCGATTGTTTAAGTAAACTAAAGTTTATCTAGAACTTGATGGGCTAAGTAGAAAAAAGAAAAACCTAAAAAGGGAGGAAGAACTGACTTAGCGTTGGCAATATCGAAGAGACGAAGTGAATCATCTTCGCTGGATGTAACCAATAGATCATCAGTCCTATGGAAGCCCAACGAGTGTATCTTCCCTCCCTGTTATTCCAACAGCCGTAAAATTGAACGGATTAATCTCGGAAACTGGATTCCACCAAAGTTTAATCAGAAAACAAATGAGATTAAAAAAAAAAAAGAGAACAATCCGTTCGTACGAAATCAGAGAAGACTGCGCCGATGGCCATCCTGCGCACAAGTCCGTCGTCTAGCTCCGTCAACGACATCGCCAAGCTGGATTAACAGTGAAGCACGAGAAAATCCGAGAGAGAGAGAGAGAGGCAAGGGAACGAGAGAGAACTAAAAGAGTTTTAGTGGGTTTCGCGGGTTCCTAAACGTCATCGTTTTGTATTAGAACGACGCCGTACAAATGGAAAATAAAAGAAGAAACATCTTGTCATTCAGTTTTAGCCGGTAAAAACTACAGGTCGTTTTGGCTTAGGAAAGAGAGAGCCTGTAGACAGCGACTTTGTAACACTGGTCTGTGATTTCCAAAGAGTCAAATACGCAAATGAATGAAACACACAAGAAAAATAAATGACTCAACTCAAGCTTCAGGCTTGAAACACATAGGGAAAGCTTTGAAAAAAATATTCAAGTCACAAATGAAACACCAAAGTAATTCAAAGATATGTTCGAGGAAAATCTGACATGAGAGAATAAAGACTATACAATGTCAGCGAAACCGGAATCAGAGACACAGCTAACGACCACCAAACCAACCTCTTGGCGGTTGCTGCTGCTGCTGCATCATACCTCCTCTATCTCCATTCATCAGCTTATCTAAAACAACATTGAGGTCAACAGCTTGACCGTTCTCTGTCAATGTTCTCACTGTTCCTCTCACTTGGTCCCTTGGGAACCCCATGCTAACCACTTTGTCAATGACATCATCCACTGGGGCTCTGTTTCCTGCTCTTGGGGAACCGGAGCCACCACTTCCACCGCTGCTGATGGCTGACGCCATTGGTAAACCTTGTGGTAATGGGCGTGCCATTGGGAGCTGTGGGTACGCACCAGATGCACTTCCACTCTGATGTGGCGGTTTCACAGGTGGGGTGTTTCCATACTGTGAGGAAGGTGGCCCAGTATACGGGTACGGTTCAGGGGAATACCCGGAAGGGAAACCTGAATTGGATCTGCCGCCTGATCCATCGTACATTGATGGTGGCGTCGGAGGACCGTTGTAGTATTGTTGAGATGGGGCGGAACCAGGAGGTGGATGAGAAGGTGGTTGACGAGGAGGGTTTGGCGGGTAAGATTGCGGAGTGTAAGGTGGTTCCTCCGGGTTGTAGCCTGACGGGTGTTGGAGCTGAGGAGGTGGCTGTTGCGGGTATTGTGGCTGTTGAGGAGGTGACTGGTAAGGTGGTTGATGCAGTGACTGGGTTGGAGGAGGAGGTTGATAAGGAGGCTGGTTTGTTGGAGGTGGCTGGGACTGACCAGGTGGAGGGAAATAAGGATCTTGCTGGGGAGAGAACTGGCTAGGAAGCTGAGACAGTTGAGATGAAGGTGGCGGGAGACTGTGCTGTGAGGCGGGCGGTTGGATAAATTGTTGTGGCGGGAGGCCCTGCTGAGTAAGAGATTGGGGAGCTGCAGCAGAAGCTGGTGGCTGAGGCAGTGATGCGGGAGGCTGAGCAGTGGGTTCAACATGTGTAGAGTGTGTCTCGGGCTGCTGGTTTACCTTTGATAACTGGAGCTTTGAAAGCTGAAGCTGCGCTTCAACTATTTCTTGTTTGTCCTTCAACAACTGCACACCGCTTTGCACCTGAATGCAATCATACAAAGAAGGTACTGAGGAATCTAGAAGCTTGATAGATGATATATTGAAAAGTATGAAATCCCAGATGCATCAAATATCATGAAAATCAGAAACGATTTTGAAGTTAACAGATAAATAATTCCCAGGCCAGGCTAGAATTGGCATCCAAAAGGCAGAGAAGAACGTTTGTCTAATATCTCAGATTCATGTGATTATTTCTGATTTCAAATTGATCTCCATTAGGTATCCAAAAAGAATTAAATTACCTCTAACATGATGTTTTCAAGCTGTCTCAACTTCCCATCAGTTTTTCCATGACTGTTCCCAACAGAAACTTTCACATCATCAACCAGGTTCTCGAGATTTCGGGTTCTGGTCTCCAGCTGCGTTAAACGTGCACTGACACCTTCCATAACATGTAACAAGTTATCAGCATGTGCCTTCATTGCCCGATCAATCGCAGATATAATCGCTGACTCAGGGGCATTTCGATCCTTCTCAGCAAACAACTTTGAAGGTTCAAGAGAGTCCATAGAACCATAACTCTGCAAGAACTAACAAATGCAACAAGTAAGGCCAAGTCTGATCATTATCATTATCCTAACCATGCAAGCATCAAAGCACGATTTAAGCAACCTGATAAATGAAACATAAAAGTAAATAATAGCTGTAGATCATATATACTACCTAAAATCAGTTAGTATTCTACAAAACCTTATAGTGTAGCAAACATTTATAAACAGATAAGCAAATGTAAACACAGTGTAACCACAACTAGTATATATCAATTAACACAGTCGAAACCTTAGAACCGATTCTATTAAGCCAAATAACGTAAAATCGCAATAAACTAATGAAGCCAACAAAACGAAGGAGATTGATCATAAAGACCGGTTTAGGAGAGAGATGAGAATTTAGAAATATATTACTCTTGCGGAAGAAGCTGAAACCGGTTTAGGATCAGACGCATCCCAAACCCTAGCAGCCGTGGAATTAACAGATCCGGCGAGATCTAAAGCGTGGTGAGACAATCCGACGGAGGCATTAGGGCGGATAGGTTGGAAATCATAGCTAGGGAAGATAGCTTCCTTGTTCGATTCCAATCCATTATCGCCGACACGGTGCTTCTGATGATGATCGCCGTCTTGTGAATTATTGTTGTCGTTCATGAGATCCATTATCTGCTTATCCGAGAACAGAGCCGTATTCATCGATCGAAAGATTGCATTATATAATTATTTAGTCTTCCTTTGATTTTTATATGATTTTCTAACTTCCTGGAGGAAAAAAAAAATATTTCCATCGGCCAAATGTTGCTTTTCTAAGTCAGCAGCATTAATAATTTCTACTGTACCGTGTCAACATCACCCATTTTGAAGAGTTGGTTTAGCCCATTGGGCTTGGAGACTTAACGAGCCCATGACTATTTACCTTCTTCTCCAACGATTATTTACCTTCTCCAACGATCATCCAAAGCAGGATTTTACTGCATTTACGTGTATGAGTGGATATAATTAGACCAAAAAAATCTTTAACACTGTGATTGGTGGGATACGCCAAGCCCTTGCAATAGGGCAACGCATGGGCGACGATTGTGTGCACAAATAGCAAGCTATTATGATGGCTCACTCCCTAAATAAATTGAGTTAATATCGTGTAAACCGATGGTCCACATATCAGATATTAAACTGATAAGAACAGATACTACACTTGATCTTAGCCAAAAGGCCGAGAAAGGTATGCTTTGTTAAGTAAATCGTGATCCTTTATATAGCAAAACTTCGGCTTTGTTTTGCAAATACCCTTCCGATGTGGGACTTGTTTAAGCTAGCACTTCCCAGTAAATCAGCTCATATGTAGTTTATTGTAGAACAGCTAAGAAGTTTTAGGTTTACAGATCGTTGAGGAAATTTGGTTTATTTAGAAATTTTCAAGTTAATGATTGATAGAGTTGATCTCAATAAGAGACAACCCTCCAAAAATAGGCGTATGCCGCTTAGAACGACAAGCACACGGTATTCTTTAGTAAAAGGCGAAAGAATAGTTCGCTTTGTGCTTATCGCACGGCTCCGTGAATTTTAGTCGAATGCTATCTCCATATTTATATATGACTTGAGTTTGTTGTCTTTCTCTGCGTGTTTACGATATGGGACTAAAACCAATATATGCAAAATCACGCGCTCTCTCTCTTTTGTAGGGGCTTCGTCAATCGTCACAATGTATATGGGCTTTTTATTACTTTTTCCCCACTCTCCACGCAAGTTATTAAACTAAATTGAATAATATGGGCTTTTATTACTTTCCCAGATTTCGTAATTGTGAGGTCATTTTGATCTAAATTTAGAATATAGGGACTAGAGGGACCATAGAAAACTTTTAATACCGGAAAAATTGCTAGTACAAAACTCGCCGTTGTACTTTCATAAAAGTACAATGATGATTTTCTTCTTTTAATCAATATTGCAGTACACAAGTCCGAAGTTTTTTCTTGTACTATACAAAACGTAAATGAATGCAACAAAACTTGCCCGTGTACTACACAATTGTTGTGGTATTATTGTGTACTACCCAATCGCTTCCTTGTCTGTGTATATATAGTTTCCAGCATGTTTGAGACAAACCGAAACTCAAATTGTAATAAACAGAAGATATATTTTGAAGGTAGTGGATCTCGACAGGGTTGATATGAGGACACATGTGTAATCAACGGCTGTAATGACGCCACGTCATTGGTACATGTGTTCTCAGGTCACCCCTGCTGAGCTCTTTCTCTACCGACCATCTTTATCAACGCCGTGGCTTTTATCATTTACCAAATGGTGTAAGTTTCTATGTAAATTCGATATCTATTGTATTACAAATGAAATCACAAATAGTACAAACATAATAACTCTTGGTAATCTTACGTACCTATGTGTAATATATGCTATGAATGGTGAAGGATCTACTTAATTGTCTTGCTCTTTGTCCTCTAACAAGATAGACTGCCAAAGAAACAGAGGAAGCAAAAGAAACCCACAATGAGTTCATCATAATGTTTGTGGTGTTAATTTCTTAGTTTAAGCGATGATTGTGAAAGAAAAGTTTACTTCACGGAGGAGGCGGAGAGCGGCGGGACGAGTGAACTTCCTGGCGAAGAGAAAGCACGGCGACGGTTTACCTTTACTGCTACACCATTCTCGCCGGTATTCAGTCTCGTAGTTGATATTGTCGATTCCCTGTGAATCAATGTGTTTGGTTAGAGATTCTATTTCTGTTTTAAGTTTGCAAGAGGGTTGGTTATAGCCATATCAAGAAAAAAGAAGAAGATTACATACACTGTAATGGAGAGTTTTAGTTCTACCAAATAAAATGTTGGTCTTACGGATGTGTACCTTAATAGACTGTATAAGATCAGGAGTAGCATCAGAAAACTTGTAAGTCATAGGATGCCATCCACGACGTTCATTACTTTTAGAGGAAGAAAGGTCCCAAGCTGAGTGTGTCAGTGATCGGCGTGTGAGTTCGCTATCCACACCCTTTTGCTGAAAATTTAAGAAGCATTACCAGATTTGATTAATTGTACCATTCATTTCTAAACGACAACGCATATGGTTGGATCAAACATTAATCTTACAGATAGCAATGTCTGAACGTAGTGCTCATCAGGTATACAGTTGTGTTCCTTCCAACCTTCAGCTGGCTACACAATAAGATTACATTAGTACAACACATCGTATCCTGGTCATCAAACCGTAAATGCCTGCCAGGTTCTACAGACTAAAACGGGCATGAGCTAACGGGTGAGGAGGACCTGTTAATAACTTAATATGGTGCGGTAATTAAATATGTGACCAGAGAAAAGCAACTTACTACAGGACGATCTCGCCAAAACTCTGGAAGTGATTTTCTCTACAAGATCATATGCAAAAAAAAGTTTATGAGTGAGCCAACAGTGAACAGTCCACTTAACAAGCAACAATAACACCCAAATCTAATATCAATGGTTCTAATAACTCTCTCTTGGCAGCAAAACCATCTTTATTTTGAAAATTAATGAATGAAAACACAGAGCATATATCCTCCCTCTTTACAGTAGTATCATACTAGAGGACAGCTCATAAATTCAATTACAGTATTCCCAAGCTTGCTAATGAAGTGAAGGTTTCAATAACTTACCCTGCAATGCTGCTGAAACATAGGAAAGACGGAGGTATCATTCACCACAATATCTGCGTGTTTTCTATTAAGAACGACCCACTTCGAGAAGACAATAGGATAAAGAAAACATAGCAGAAAAAATGTCAGCTAAACTGCACACATTCAGAATGACAGAATTCGTATTCATTCAGAAATACATTTTACACAACAAGGGATGGGAAGAACTTCACCTGTGATCCCTTTCTCCAGTTATGAACAGGAATAATGGGATTCATTCTAGGATTATAACGGCTATCTTTTGTATCTGCAAAGCTGCAATAAAGAAAAATATTTAGTGATTCTAACATAAGCATTGTCGGAGTCAAAGTTAAAGTATAAAGTTATGTATTTAACCAGCACGGACCTATCAACGAAACTAGTAGGTGTTGACATGATGTAGTTATATGTGTAGCCGAAACTGTACAGAGGTATGCAGCTGAGAAGAAACCAAACAAACTGAAATTTAGTTAGGAAAGTGATCAACTGCAATCCAGACATGAAAAGGTATATACAGAATCAATCTCACCTATCAGAAAGAAAAACAAAGCGGTGATTAAATGGATCTCTAAGTGCATGTCTGAGCAATACACGTTCTGCTTCAATCATGGTCGATTCACCCCAATCAACCTGTAATTAGCAATTGAATCAGATGACTTTTAAAAAATAATGCTGCTAATGAAAAATTCAATAATTGATAAATTGATACATTCTCGTATCAGAAACCTGTATACTGTCATTAACTTGCCGATCCAAGAAGAACTTGGATCGCGTTGTAGCCTCGCTGAGAACGAATCCAGGTCTAGAGTGAACATATATTGAGAACTTGCCATCCTCACCCTGCAAAAGCATATATATCATCATGGACCAAGCTCAGTACTTCAACATGGCTTTGACCAATTCTTTAAAGAACCATCAGTAAGAGCGGTCATTGTCACTATTACACATGATTAATTGCTAAGAATACATATTCCAACTGAGAAATCGACCAAAAATTCTCAGGGGGATCAGTTTATTTGATTCCTAAACCTCTACCCCTATACCTCGCCAGTTTTCTGCAGCTATGAAATTTCACATATGATCCTCAAATACGGGAATCATTGTTTCTGAACCCAATTAGATAAGGAGAAGAGTATACCTGAAAGAATGCATCCCAGACAAACTCGAGAGGGAGGCGATTCCGGGCAATGAATAGGAAGGCAATCTGTGATTTCTGATCGAGACGAGGCTTCTTCAGCGAATCGAGAGACGCAGTGATTCCATTGAAACGAGCTTGGATAAATGCGAAACGAGCTTGGATAAATACGAAAGTCCCCAAGCAGAAAGCGAACATCAACGTGGCGTATACCTTCCTCTTCCATCTGTACAGTAACTTCTGCTGCGACACCTTCTTCTTCATTTTGGATCCACACAGTAAATCGCGCCTCAAGTCAATTTTCCCGCCATTCGCCTCCGTAAATCAGACTTCACATAGTCAATCGGACGGTCCACGCAGCTTCGAATCTCTCTATCTCTCTCGGTCGCGCGTCTCTGATTAAAATCGAGCTGTTTCGAGGCAATTCAACTCTCGATATCTGGAGCCGGATCAGATCGAACATGGAAGAATCTTCTTCAAATTCAGTGGAAGATTTACCCGCTGATTGAAGCGAACTCCAAGGAAGATGGCGTCGAGCGCAAGGGAGAGCAATTAGCTGATCGGGAAGACAAATCACGTGGAAGAAGATGAGCTTTCAGCTTTCACAGGGGAGGAGACTTGGAGAGTGAGAAAGAGAGAGAGAGAGATGCTGGTGAGAGTGTGTAAAATCAATGAGTAGAGCTGGTGAAGTGGGCCTCTCTCTCTGATTTTTCGTAAAGCCAACACTTCCACTGGGATATTTTGAGCCCGGTCCAATTCTTACCCAGCAAATTATTATTTTATCTTTTTCGTTTTAACTATTTTAAACAGGATTCAAAAATTACACAAAACTGGTTCGTGAAAGAAATATCTACTGGATGAAAAAAAAAAAAAAAAAAAGAAAGAAATATCTACTGTGAATAGTTAAACAAACACGTGAGAGCATCTTTGGAACACTTCCTAGTTCCTAGTACAAAACTCGCCATTGTACTTCTCGCCGTTGTACTTCCAGAGAAGTACAATGTTGATTATCTTTTAAATCAATTTTGCAGTACACTGTACACAATTATGTAGTTTTTTTATTGTACTATAAGTCTATAACAAACGTATATGAATGCAACAAACGTTGGCCCGTCTGTACTACAATCTGTGTGGTAATATTGTGTACTACACAATCCTTCATCATTTTTGTTGTGTATATATAGCCCTCACTCTCAGCAGTTTTTTGAAGGAAACTCAAATTGTACCAAACCTTTTATTACTGGCCGTTAGAAGATAGAAAAATATCGTTAAGGTAGTGGATCTCGACAGGGTCGACATGAGAACATATGAGCTATCAACGGCTGTAAATGACGCTACGTCATTATTACATCTCTCGGTTTCATGTGTTCTCAGGTCACCCCTGCTGAGCTCTTTCTCTACCGTCCACATCTTTTATCAACGGCAACGCCGTGGCTTTATTCGTTTACTTAATTGTGTAAGTTTTTTTAATGTAAATTGGTTTTTCTTTAATTTACGAATGAAATTACAAATAAAAACTTAGTAACTCTTGGTAATCTTATTATGTACCTATGTATGATATACTCTTTAAATAGTGAAGGATCTACTTTAATTTTCTTGCTCTTTGTTTTTTAACAAAAGAAGACTGCCAAAGAAACAGAGTAAGAGTCTAAATGGTAACATCAAAAAAACATTCAGCTAGATTCAGTCCGATTCAGCAATTCCGCAGTCACCATTTGCATAAAACTAAATTCAGCTGAATTCAGCCAGATTCAACAGTTTTTTTTTAATACCAACAGATATGTAGATACAGTCATTTCTGGTAAAAATTTGGATAATAACGTGTACACACATCGAATTGATATATTTTGGATTATCAAAAATTACACAACAAATTTATATTTTAAAATAAATCAGATTATACAGATGCGATATATGAATAATTCAGATACATAAAACCACTAATAAAATAGGCAAGAAGCGAATTCATGTTCGGATAACTATAGATGATTTTGGATAATTTTATTAATTTTTAGATAATTTAAAATAATTTTAAAAATTTCATAAAAACAACTCACACCTATGCTAAAATATTATTTAAAATAGATTTTTTTAATAATTTTCTTAATTTTCCAGGTCATATTATTGATTAAACTACTAGATAACAATTTAAAAAAAAAACACAATTATATAATCTTATTATATTATCATGTTAATTTTTTTAATTAATCTTCCAATAATGCTTTGACAAAGCTTCTTTCATTAATTATTTACATATTTTTAAGGGAAATTGTTAAAAATACCCCTTTTGGTGTGCCCCTTTTCAAAAATGTCCCTTTTAGATGTCCATTTTCAAAAATGCCCCTTTTTAAATCTGAAATTTTTATAAAGTTTTATTAGGTTTATAAGGTACTTATGGATTGTAACTACTACTTGAAGACTCGATCCAAGTATTTATAAGGTTTTATAAGGTGTTTTAAAAGGTTTTACAAGTTATTTTAAAGGATTTTTAAGGTTTTTCAAAGGTTTTACAAGAAATTTTAAAGGTTTTTAAAGGTATTTAAAATGCATTTATAAGGTATTTATAAAGTATTTATAAGATTTTAGATACATAGAAATGTAGTTTGTGTATGTTTTAATAATATTACATACATATTTGGGTAAATCTTATATTTTTAAGAGCATTTTTTATAAGGTTTTTAAAAAGGGGTATTTTTGAAAAATGACATTGAAAAAGTGGCATTTTTGCAAAAGCCCCTATTTTTAATAGTTCAAAAATTATTTATATTTGTAATAAGTTTAGATAATTTAGTATTTATTTATTAGTATAACAATTAATTAGACCATTTGATGATTTTATTTATTTTATTTAGATATCTTCTTTGTACTCTATTAATATTCATAATTATTTGATGATATTTTTTCAGTTAAAGTCTTAATTATTTTGACAGATGGTACCAAAAATCACAAAATAATTCAGCTAGATTCAGCAGTTACCATTTAGAAATGTAAAAATTCAGCCAGATTCAGCTGAAAATCACTAAAAATTCAGCCAGATTCAGCAATTCAGCTGAATTCAGCCAGATTCCTCGGTTACCATTTAGACCTAAGCAAGAAACCGAAGATGAGCTCATCAAAACGATTGTGATGTTAATTAGTTTCTTTTATTATTCTTTGTTACGTCAACATCTTTTAAGATTAGTATAAACATGTTGATTTGTTAGAGTCACTTAGTCTAAACTGTTACAAGAGATACAAAGAGGATATATATACAAACTAATTCTGGCTTATTTTGCAATTTTCTGTCTGTGTAAGGAGGATTTTAACACAATCAAGAACATATATAAGAGAATTTGATAGACTCTTTGACTTGATAACATCACATTCGTCCTTAAGTCCCATTAACATTTCGATCCACAAAATCCACAAAAGCCTTTGTTTAGGCCAAATGGCCAACAGTTCAAACGCAGAATCAACAAACGGGACGTAGACTACCACTAGTCACTTTATCGTCTTCCTCTTCGTCTTCTACAAGGAGTCGCCGAGATAAATCTTCTTCTTCGGAAGGCCCACAAAACATGCCACCCCATTGTGGAAAGTAAATAGATGTAACGGAAAGAGAAAACACAAAAGTCATCAAACCCATAAGTGAAATGCTTCTCTGCTTTCGAACACCATCACCGGAAAACAACAGAAACTGCGTCACCACCGCACCTACAGTACCGCCGCTTCCCGTAATTCCCGCCACCACTCCTAACGATCTGTCATTACAAAGTAAACCAAACCAAATTAAAATTGAACCGAAATTATTAACAAAACCGAATTGGTACACTGAAACAAACCTTGTGGAGACGAAAGGGACCACGCCAAATACGAGGCCAGAAGCAGCTTGAACGAAAACAGAGAAGACCCACATGACGGCGATTGATCCCCAGAGCGAGTTGACTCGTCCGAGTAACACGCACAACAACCCAGCCACCGATTGCACCACCCACAGTCCCCAGAGCCTCCCTCTCATCCCGAATCTTTTCCCCAGCGCGTCCGATATCATCCCTCCCGCCGGTCGCGACGCTATGTTCGATATCCCGAAACTCGCCGCGATCGTCCCCGCTGCCTCTAAATTCACTCCGAATCTCTCGTAGAAATATCCGGCGATCACGTTGTCCGTCGTGAGCTCGACGCCGTACGAGTATCCGTAGAGCAGAGCTAAGATCCATGCTCTGTAATTTCCTACTCCGCCGATAAGGATCTCGACAAAACTAGAACGTTCTTCTTCTTCTTTTACTACTGCTTCTTCTTCAGGATTTATGATCTTGTTCTGATTCGAGTTTGTTCTGTTACCGTTGGGAGTATCTTGGCCGTAGAGGAGAACGAGGACGGCGGTTGTAACCTGAAAAATGGCGGGAAATACGAAGGACACGCGCCAGGCGATGGAGCGTGGGAAGAATTCGGCGATGGTTGCGTATATGAGAGGCATAAGGAGCTGAGAGATACCAGCGCCTACGTTAGCCCAACCGGCTGAGACACCGTTAGCGAGACCAATGACGTTACCGGAGAACATGGAGGACATCCAGTACTGATTAGCTACGAAATTAGCGAGCGAGAAGCCGACGAAGAAACGGACGAGTATGAAGGACGTTGGAGAGGAGACGAGTGAGGCGGAAAGGATTACAGGAGCTGTGAGGAAAGAGAGAATCGCTGAGGAAGTCCGTGGTCCGATGAGATCACAGAGTGGTCCCATAGCGAGGCGAGAGAAGATAGAGCCAGCGAAGGAGGCGATTCCGGCGGCGGATACGGTGGAGGCAGAGAGGTTGAGGTCGGAAGAGATGACGGGGACGAGAGGAGGGATGGAGAAGGTGGAGAAGAAGCATGAGAAGAGTGAGAGCCACGCTAGGTGAAAGGCTCGTGAGTGCGTCGAGGAGAGAGAGAATGGTCGGAAGACGGTGGCTCGGCCATCGGAATCCACTGGGATAGTGGAATCTGAAAACGACGGCGTTTTGGTGTTGCGTTGAGATGGCTCCATTACTCTCGGAGTAGAAAACTCGCTGTTGATGACTCTTACTTATACACGACCACCCATTGAACATTATCTTTGAATTTAAATCTTCATGAAACATTAAAATGACTGAGAGCCGAGAGGCAAACTTTTGGCAACTTTCGAGTAATTCTAATTCACAAAAAGACTTAAATGCTTACATTATAAATTCAATCAAAATAAGAAATTCATTCCTACTCTCATGGCTGAAATTAATTTTTTTTTTTTAACATCAATTGTATTTGTTGGTATTAATTTGTTATAGGAAAAAAGATATTCGGACAAATAATATCTTTCAAGAAATGCCATTGGGATGCGTAGTTTCTATCTTTAGCTGCCGACTTGGGTTTTTGTAGTTTTGTATTCTTGTAGAAATTGGACAAAAAAAGATGAAACTTACGTTACGCACCTTTCATACGTCAGTTACTAAAACACTAAACCATACAATCCAGTTTCGGTTCCACAAAACCACCCAATAAAAGAGAAACAAAACGGCACATCACCAGAGGAGAAAAAAAAAAAAAAAACGGCACATCACCAGTCTGGTTCAATTTCTCTTTGGTTTATCCGGTTATCGCTACTAATCGGACCAAGGCCAAAGTAAAAGACGAGTTACGTAACTGATTTCATTAGTTTTCCTCAAGTTGTGACGCCAATGAATCTATCTACCAAGATTTGCTCACCAAAAGCAGCTATAGATCATCTCATGATTCGATCCCTATAGTAAAAACATTTCAAGCAAAACTCTCGTATGATCGATTCCACATGATCCCTTGGGTTGAAAAAACCTTCTAGAGAGGAAAGAGAGTTTACCATTATTCCTCTCCCTCTTCGTCAACCAAAGCCATCACAGGGATTCCTTTAGTACTAAAACTTGTACATTTCACTTGCAATGTGTCTCCCTTTTCAAACTCTGTCTCTTCATCTTCCTATACTCATACATAGTAAGCAATCAATACAGAGCAAGAGTTAAGTATATCACCTCAAAAGTTAACTCAAGAACATGGGGGAACAAGTCAAAGGGGAATTTTCTGAAACATACCTTGAATTTGTACATGCCGCGGATTTCACCACCTAAATCAAGAACCAATCCACGGGCTCGAATCTCGTGGACCTTGGCTGACATTTCTGTTCCAATTTTCAGATTTCGGGTACTAACCAATGCACTCTCTTCAGCCTTGCTCTCTGATTGATTCTCCTTCCTAATTGATTTCATAGCTTTTGAAAATGATACTAGGTTAGTATCAGTGCTACTGTTTTTGGGAGAAGCGGATTTTAGCTTCCCGTCCTGCTTCAGTGTCTCACCACATTCAGCTAGAGTTTCTTCTGGAGCAATGGATTCGAGTGCCTCCTCTTCCTTCTGTGTCGCAGTCAGTTTAGAGGCAGTGGATTTGGGTTTCCGGTCTGGCTTCGGTGTCGCAGCGCGTTTGGGTTTGTCGTTCTTGTTCACAGGGGAAGATTTCTCTGCCTCATGACACTCCACAGCAGTACGGATGACAACTGCAGGAACTGATAATTTAGATTTCTGGGGTGGCGTTACGATACTGGGCATGCTTGCAACAGTCTCTCCAACACTAGACGTTTCTATGTAGACAGTTGACGACTCTTTCATCACCGAGTCTTTTCCAGCATCAGATGCTGGTTTGCGTTCGGGTTTGGGCAACATTGCTTTGCGGGATAATTTAATGTTACCCCGGACATCGGTTTCGATGCACATCGTAGTGATGTACTGGCCAATATGTAATACATCTGAAACCTTGGAGACCTGGAGGATTGCATAAAGACATGGTAAGTATAAACCAAATCTCAACTAGAGTAATGGCAAAGAAAATAAAGCTCTGAGATCGTTGTTCTAAGATATGGCAGATGAAAACATTTAGGTTTACTTGAGAAAAACATGCGGACACAGTTTGTCCCTAAGAAAGCTTACTGGTTCATGAGATAGCTCAGACATATGTAGTAGACCTTGCTGACCACCACTGAACTCAACAAATGCACCATACTCTTTTATAGATGTCACTGTGCCTTTGTACACGCCACCAACAACTATTTCACGACCAATGATGAAGTCAACCTGAGGACATGCATAAAATCAGAATTTATGGAAAATCATTGATCAATTAAAAGCTGAGTTGACAGAAAGATACCTTTTCTTGGGCCTTTTCCATCACATCCTGATTCTTGGCAACAATAGTTAATGTTCCATTATCAATAGACAATCTTGCACCTAAACAAAGAAAATTATTTATCAGAAAAATTCTTCAAACCAAACTATAAGAAGTGGATATTATTCATAAGTATATGAATTTCATTTTGAATCTACTTTCTTAAAAGCACTTGACTTTATCAATTCAAAATGAGTTATTCAATTCTATAGTCTTTAAAGGTCACAAGAAAGAAGCTTTTAACAATTAAAGTTGAAGTCAAGAAAACACCTGTTTCCTCTTCAATCTTTCTTTTGAGTACACCCATAGGTCCGATCAAGCTACGAAGTGAGTCATTGGTGTACTTGAACGTTGCTGCAAGACAGACATAATTCTGGAGTTTGAGCAGGGGAAATTTTATTAGCTAAGGTTAACGAAAAAAACAAGTGGGAAAAAAACCTAGCCGAGGTGAATAAGCCCCATCCTGGGCTCGGGGGGAATTTATGTTTCTCTCCATGTGGTCAAGAATCTGAAGACGGGCTTCACGTGCATTTTCTAAGGATTCACAAACTATGTCCAATGGTATTCCAGCTGGCTTTATATCCAGCTGAATCGCTGTCACACCATTTCGTGTGCCAGCAATCTTGAAATCCATATCTCCAAGATGATCTTCCAAACCCTGAGAAATCATTGTATGTAGTTCTATAAAATCCATTTTAGCAACTTAGACTCATGGTTATAGACAAACAAAGGTTAAATTAACTACTGCACTGCAACACATTGCAGTTTCATGATTAATCTCATAACAAACCATATAAAAGAAAAGACAACAAATTAAAATAAGAGAACTCACGAGAATATCGGTTACTATACGGTAGTCCTTTATTTCACCACTTGATGGATCTACATCGGTGATAAGACCAACGGATACACCCGCAACATGAGCTCGCAGAGGAATTCCGGCATCCATCAATGCCATACTACCTGAGAAGCGGAACACCTTTCATTATGAAGTTAAAATAGAAACATACGGTAGTTTGCATTGGCTTGCAAAAACACAATACAAACTGGTCTGTGAGTTAGTATAAATACCTCCACAAACACTTGCCATCGACGTGGATCCATCTGAGGACATTACTTCTGAATTTATACGAACAGTGTAAGGAAAAGCCTCTTCAGGGGGCAAGACAGCAAGCAATGCTTTCTCAGCAAGTGTTCCTACAGAAAATGTAAAACACAGCATAAAGCACAAAAAAGTTTCCTTAGATGAAAAAAAACACTAACATGTCAAGACAGTTAAGACAAAAAGATCCATCCTTGTTCTATTATAAACTAGAGAGAGAGAGTTGATATGCACGACCAGATAGGGAAACTTGAGGATAAACTGTACCAGCAATATTTTGTTTGAAAAATGTGAATTAGGACATTAAATGCAAATAGAGAAAGGAAACCAAAGACTTTACCATGACCAACTTCACGCCTGTTAAGGCCTCCTCGTTTTCCGACTTCATTTGTACAATATGGTGGAAAGCTGTAGTGAAGCATAAATCTCTTTTTCGGGGGGCCAACAAGGGAATCCAAGCTTTGTGCCTCTGCCGGGGCTCCAAGTGTGACAGTACAGAGCACCTTTTAATACACATACAAAACATCTTTAAGTAAGATTCTCATTGAATGCAGTGAACTGTTTAAGCTTGTCTTTAACACTTCAGGCAACTTTTGAAGCGAAAAGAAAATGAAACTAAACTAGGAAAGCAACCCTCAGAAGTGATACAAAGTACAGAAAAAAATCCGGGTTTTCTTATAACCTTCTGCTACCTAATAGGCTAATACCATGAGATTCCCTTTTTTTGTTTGGCTCAAAAGGTTTACAATTATAGGCGTTATTGGGAAAAAGTTTCTACCATTATTTTATACACTCTGCAGCTAAAGTTTGAGGACGAACCTGCGTATCTCCACGTGAGAAAAGTGCTGATCCATGCAGCGCAGGTAAGTAATGCGATTCACAGTAGATGGGCCTAACTTCATCAAGATGTCTCCCGTCGACTCGAAATCCATCCGATATCATCCTTGAACGGACTACCTGATATTGTATTTAAAGGGACAAAGTAGTAAGACGGGGAAGAATAGGACAAATGCAAAAGCCTATAACACATTACTAGTGACTGTCTATGCAATCTCTGAAAGCTCTTAAGATCCATACATTTTAATGTGTCTTAAAATGAAAAAGAGCATCTCAACTATCTCAGAAACAAAGAACGAACTAACTATTTTTACAAACATCGTAGAGTCTGGCCTCTATAGATTAGACAAAAAAAAGAGTTGATATTGCTATTCAATTATGAACAGTTTTAATTATCTGATTCAAGCACTAGTTTTTATGTCAAGTTTATCAGAACAGGATCGCCCAAAACAAGAGCAAAGAGGAACAAAATATATTTCAAAATATTGATTTACAAAGCTTACCTTCTTTCTCACTGTATCAACAGCCTTTGGAAGGATGCTCAAGCTTTCTTGATCACCCTCTTCTTCAAATACTTTTCTTACATCTTTTCCAATGTTATCTAGAGCCTCTCCACGTTCAAACTGGATATATAAAAATATCAGGCTAGCAGATGAAAAACAAATTTTCCGATGGAAACAAAGCGAAACACGCACCTTTCCATATGAAGGGTCGGAAAAGACAGATTCAATACGCGTTGCAGCCAAGTCAGTCACTTTTTCTAAAGTTTTCTCAGAAAGCATGGACAATTTGTACTCCTTCTTTTGTTTCCCAGCTTTTTCTGCCAATCTTATTTGGGGATCCAGGTACTTAACAGCCTGTGTAAAGAAAAAAAAGTCAACACTATATAATATTACATTGTACTAGGACATCCAACAAAGGTTCTCGAACCTACCTCTGGATGAGCTAGCCTCAGAGCAGCTGCTAAATCTTTCTCCGAGATTTCACGGGATTGAACATCAATCATCATAGTCTTATCCCTTGTGCAAGCGTATATCAAATTGAGATCACTTGAGCTAAGCTATACAGAGTTTGACCACACCAAAGATACAAAAAATGAAACAGAGGCTAAAATTTGTAAATTTAGAGGATATACCAATGTACCACATTTTACCTCATCCATAGTCGGATTGACAACAAATTGCCCACATATCCTCCCTATCCGGATGACTCCAATGGGCCCTCCCCATGGAACATCTGATAGCATGAGCGCAGCTGATGATGCATTAGCTGCCAGTATATCTGGATCCTGCTTCCCATCCGACGATAGAACACTAGCCATTATCTGCATGTGACCAAATTAAGAAATGAAGAGACCCAGAAAAAAACTTCCACATAGATCTATATATCTCAAGGATTTTTTTAGAAATTTTCATACCTGAACTTCATGGTAAAACCCTGAAGGAAACAATGGTCTGATTGGTCTATCAATGAGCCGGCCACATAACAGCTCCCGCTCCTTTGGTGCACCCTCTCTTCTCATATACGTATTTGGAATCAAACCCTGAGCGTATTGCTTCTCTTGATAGTCAACCTGACAGTAGTTTCGAAGAAGTATCAGTTTAAACAAAACACCATCAACCCATTACATAAAAAGCAATTTATATGACAGATTCCTGAGATAATTCTACAAATACATACAGCATAAAGGTACCAAACATCTCTAGACAATTTCTTAATTCCTAACAGATCATAGATTCACTAATAATAGCTACAAAATCAAACTAAACGGAAATGGTGGGAAATATGTGTAACATACAGTGAGAGGCAAGAAGTCCCGAGGCGAGTCAGTCTTAGCACAAGTAACAGTAGAGAGAACTTTGGTCTGATCCATGCCGAGAACGACGGACCCATTTGCAAAGCGAGCTATTTTTCCCGTCTCAAAGGAGACCACGCGGGATCCGACTTCGAATTCCTCCTTAAATGATTCCAAAATTTTGGTTCCTGCGGAGGCCGGCGAGTCTGGAGAAGACGGAGCGAAACCAAGGCGGCCGGAGCAGATGGTGCGAAAACCCAAAGCACGCCATGCGAGGAAATTAGGAAGAGAAGTTGACCTAGCTCGATTCACAATCGATGACATTACTCATACACAGGTGAGAGTGAGAGATGCGGAGAAGAGAGGGAAGGAGAACGGAAAGGGTTTAACGCACCGGTGAAGTGAGGACTGAGCCGACAACGAAAACTAGAAGAAGGGTTTTAGCAGTCCCGGTTCGGTATGGTTCTGCTATAAATAATCGAAATTTCCAATCATTAAACCGATTTCTATGATCCCTGTTTTAGTTTTTGATCCTTGAACATTAAAGGTTGGACACATAATTTTGTGTTATTTTTATCGCCTAAACTGAAATACAAATTTGAAAATTTCTTCATACCGCTGATAAGTTTGTAGTGTATGTATAAATTAGTGTTTGATACTAAATTGAAAACAGATACTGTCACTCAAATTCTAAAAACAGCTTTGGAAAAATGAAACAAAAACGTTTATTTCCAACAAAAAATTCATTCAAACCCACCAATATTATTTTCATGTTAGGTTATGAAATTATTGCGAGCATTATTTTTGTATTGTTCCCACTTCCTAGGAATGGTCAGACAAGAGGAGGAAGCTCTTTTTTTCTTCTTCTTTTGACATCAGACAAGAGGAAGCTCTTTGAGCTGTGTTTTGAGCTTAGAGGCTACTGCATCAATGAACTCTTCCGTGTTCAAAAACAAATCCCTACTCACCCTGCATTTAAAATGTTTTATGTTACTAACAAGCATTAAAACTGAATCCAGTATGAATCGGTTGGGCTTCTATATGGTTTTCTATCAAAATACACAACTTAGTTAGAGTTTCCAGCACATTCATCAGCTTCTAACCGGATCAGTTTGGATTTGATTTCAGATTCAAGTTCAAGACGGTTTAAGCTCTTTCGTATTTCATGCAAATGACCAGATTGTAATGGAAAAATTGCTGCTAGTGAGAAAAGGAAAGACTACTTACTTGGGACCATGGATTAAAAGGGCAAGATCCTTGGTCATTTTCCCTGTCTCAACAGTGTTTACACATGACGACTCGAGCTTCTTTACGAAATCCATTAACTTTTCGTTCTTATCCAGTTTCGCCCTTGAGAAGCAAAAAGGGTAAAAGGAATCAATCAAAACTGATGATCAAGAGAAACTAGATTACATGTCACAAGAACATTGTAAGTGGAATAGGTAAATGCATGAAGAAATCCAGAACTCAGTTAACTAATATAGCTAGAATCCTAAAAAAAAGGATGATAAAGCCGTGTGTGGAAGACAAGAGACCTGTGTTCTAAGCCGCGTGTCCATGCAAATATGGAGGCTATGCTGTTAGTACTGGTTTCTCGTCCCTTTTGGTGCAGTCGGAAATGCCGAGTTACTGTACCATGAGCCGCTTCCGACTCGAGTGTTTTCCCATCAGCGGACAGCTGAACAAAACATATCATATCAAGACTTTCATTTGCAAAGACAAATTGAATCTTGGCTTTCAGTTAACGATACAAACCAAAACGGAGGTCATGAGGCCTAATGAGCCAAACCCTACATTTGAAAAAGGAAAAAAAAAAGGAAGTATTAAGTATCTTATTTGCTGTATCCATACAAACTAATAATTTAAATTATAGTTTTGAGTTTATACCTTGGGCAAGAAGATCGCTTTGAACATCACCGTCGTAGTTTTTGCATGCCCAGACATAGCCACCTTCACTTTTGACTGCGTAAGCCACCATGTCATCGATCAAGCGGTGCTCATACCTAAACCAACAATACCATTTACATATTACCTTTATTAAATATGTAGAGAAAGAGGACACAGAACACAATTTTTAAGTAAGTAAGAGCATATAGATATTAACCAGATTGAGTGCTCTTCAAACTTTTGCTTCCAATTCGCTTCATAAACTTCTTGAAATATGTCCTTGAATCTGTCTTGTTCCACCACATATTAGAGCAGCTCCCTTACTGAAAACCCGGACTTGGAAACCACCAAGAAGATAAAGACAAACCTGCCATCATATTTCTTGAGAATTGTGTTCTTGGTGCTCAAGTATAATGGCCATTTCTTAGTGAGTGCCATCGCCATAGATGACTCAGCAAAAGCTCGAATTGACTGGCATGTCACAAAACCAGCATGGTTGTCACAAACTAAAACCATGGCAAAACTAAAACCAGTTACTAAAAGAGACAGACCTCATCTACGTTGTACATAGCAAGTGCGACACCTGGGCCTTTGAAATCATATACATCTAGCTCCACAGGTGCGTTTCCATCTTCTGGGACTAATTAGACAAGAGATATATCCACTTAGAATCTGAACTATATGATTGAAGAATCCCCATTGTCTAATGAATATAGTTTGGTATGGTCTTACCAAAAACCATTTTCAACTTTCCTGGCCCTTTAATTACTGTATCAGTGGCACGATACTGGTCACCAAAGGCATGCCTACCAATGCATATAGGCTTTTTCCAACCTATAAAGAAAAAAGATTTGAGTTCTCATGTCGTATCTCAAAACAGATCCTTACACAGGTTCATAACAAGGCAAATAAAAATTACCAGGAACAAGCCGGGGGATATTGCAGCACATAATAGGTTCACGGAATACAGTTCCTAGAAAATATAGAACATTGTGTAAGAAATATGGAGACTGAAAAAGAACCTGCTAAGTGGAAGAAATAAAAGTCGCAAGCAGATATAACAAAGATATTCCTATTCTGCAAACATGCATTGTTCTTTGACAATACAGAGACACACCATCTAAAATGTTTCTGATTGTCCCATTAGGACTCCTCCACATTGATTTCAGTCCAAACTCCTTCACTCTACCCTCATCTGCAAGAAATAACATAGGGAAGATATAAAAAATGCTTCCTCCGATGCGAATAAGCAGCATGTGCTGTGAAGGACATCAAATACCAGGAGTTATAGTGGCACATTTGATAGCAACATTGTACCTGCAAACAGAAAAGTTTTGAGCGCTAAATCAGCTTATTTCACATAGAGAAAGAGTAGCATCGAATTTAAAATGTTTTCTGATACTAAAAGAATCAAAACCATAGAAAATGCAAAGAATCAGTAGCACTTACTTAAGAGCTGCTTCTGCACTTTCAACTGTAACCTTGTCATCAGTAGCATCACGATTCAGAATCCCCAAGTCGAAGTACTTAATGTCCAAATCCAGATAAGGAAGAATAAGCTGCAAACACAAGGATACAACATGTGAGCTCTGTCCAAAAAAAAATGTAATCAAAAGGTGGTAAATTAAATCCTTACTTTCTCCTTTATCATACTCCATATCACCCTCGTCATTTCATCGCCTGAATTTCCACAACATATAAACAAATTACAAAACATTCTCAAAGATACCAAATTTAGTAAGAACATAAGCAAATAACTTATACCAATCCAACCAATTATCTTGACAACTATAATCAAACGTAAGTAAGAAACACTAATATTATGCAAAGAATCTCACCGTCCATTTCAACGATAGGGTTCTGAACCTGAATTCTATCAGAACCGCCTGAAGAGGCAAAACATCGAACAGCTGATGCGCGATGAGACTGAACGTGAAAAGAAACACGATTCCTCGAAACGCCACCAGAGAATATACCGGAACTGAGAAATCTCGGAGACTTCCATGAATTCCGAGTAGAAACGAACGAAGACGATAAACCAGCAGAGGTTGAAGAAGATAACATGGCGGTGAGGCTGGCACGGTACGTGAAAACGCCGTGCGTGAGCTTATTCAGCATCCGAGACTCCAACCTCTAATCTTTCCTTCAACTTTGACCACTGAATCTGAAAAAGCTTCGGCAAGTTTATTGCTAAAGCGTGCTCTGAGTTTCAATGACGACGATTCCGGCGAAAAGGAAAGAGACACAGAAACAAAAGAGAGAAGTATAGATTATTTCAGTGGGCCCAAATTAAAACTAAAGGCCCAATCAAATTTCCTTTTTCCTATATAAATCAAACGGGACCGGCCGGTTAAATGTACCGAATCTGTAATTTGGTCCGGTTGTCTCCGTATCCAGATTTGATTTAAAAAAGGAAAGCGAAAACCCTACTAAGAGGTTTTTCTCTTTTGTCTGGTCAGATTTGTTCTCGCAAACATCATTCACCAAACTCCATTGTTATAGCTCAGCTCAAGTTCTTAGCTTCTCTTCTTGATTTTCCTCTGTGAGTATTTTTTACGCTATTGTTTTATTATTCTTTCTGCTTCTTTTCTTATAGAAGCTGTCGATTTGTCTGGTTATTATGTTTGGTTCCTGTTTATTAGAAATTTGTGCTTCTTTGTTGAAACTAAGGTTTTGTTATCCGTAATCAAACATAAAATTGTGGTTGATTTCTAGCTGATTATTACGAAGATTTTGATATCAATGTGGTTGACTGTTTAATATTGCTTAGCTTTGGTTTTTGATAATTCAATTGGGATTTTACATTGTTGTTTGTGAGATTCCATCGTTTCTGAGTAAAAAAATCATGTTGTTTAGTATTTAACTCGTGACTTGGAATTGCAGAGAAGCTGTAACTCAATCTACAAGTGATTTCATAATCTCAAGATGTTGCCAACTGAATCAAAGAAAGCCTTGTCATTCAAAAGGTATATCGAAGATGGCGACTTAGTTATCGTTTACGAAAGACATGATGTGATGAAACCAGTGAAAGTAAGCAAAGACGCTGTGCTTCAGAACCGTTTTGGTGTGTATAAACACTCGGATTGGATTGGGAAGCCATTAGGGACTAAAGTATTCAGCAACAAGGGTAAATTTGTGTACCTGTTGGCTCCTACTCCTGAGCTATGGACATTGGTTTTAAGCCACAGGACTCAGATTCTTTACATTGCGGATATTAGCTTTGTGGTTATGTATCTAGAAGTCGTGCCTGGATGTGTTGTTCTTGAGTCGGGCACAGGAAGTGGTTCGCTTTCGACTTCACTTGCTCGAGCTGTGGCTCCAACTGGACATGTGTATTCATTTGATTTCCATGAGCAACGAGCTGTCTCTGCAAGGTAGAAACTTCTGTAATGTTTAGCTGTTTCGTTTTGCTTTTTTGTCTTAAAATATCTGGTCTTTATGCATTTATCTTATACTTCTTTACTTTGCAACAGGGAAGATTTTGAGAAGACTGGAATTAGTAGTTTAGTAACCGTAGAGGTTAGAGACATTCAAGGAGAAGGTTTTCCTGAGAAACTGTCAGGTTTGGCTGATTCTGTGTTTCTAGACCTTCCACAGCCTTGGCTCGCGGTTCCTTCTGCAGCAAAGATGTTAAAGCAGGATGGAGTTCTATGCTCTTTCTCACCTTGCATCGAGCAAGTACAACGGACTTGTGAAGTCCTCAGATCAGATTTCATAGGTAAGTTTATTCTCACTTACAAAATCTCTTTCTACTTTCTTCTCCAATTCCAACTAAAGGAGCTGTAGAAGTAAGTTCTTTAGTCTACCCATTATCCGAATGTTCTTGCCTTGGAAGGATCCTAAAATTAAAGAAGTAGTGAATTTGGGACTGAAACCTCTCCTCGATATTCAAATCCTAGGGGCTAGGACTAAATTCATGTGGTATAGACTGAAGTTCTGTTCTTTAGTCTACCATTTATTCCAGTATGTATCATAGAATTTCTATAGTCACACATCTTTGGATTAATAAGTCGAAAGGATTGCCTCAAGTAGATAAATTTCTTTAGAGAAATAGTTTGACATTCTTAGGGATTGGAAAGTCAGGGGAAGCAAAACCAACTGTCGTAGGCATATAAGTCCTTGTTTCCTTGAGAGTTTCATTCGATCTTATACCGGTTTTTTGCTCATGATGTGTTTGATTTTTGCAGAGATAAGAACGTTCGAGGTGCTTCTCAGAACATATGAAGTGAAGGAAGTGAAAATGGATACCAGTAGCATGGTTGGTGAGAGCCACGAGGAGGACAATGAAGGAATGAGACCTTGCAAGAGAAAACACCGTTCAAACGAAGACGTCACCGTTTCACAGGACAACTCTTCTAATGCAACTTCAGTCGTCATGGCTCGGCCTTGTAGCGAAGCAAGAGGTCACACCGGTTACTTAACGTTTGCAAGACTCCAATGTCTAGCTTAGTCCAAATTCTCCAACCTCATTACTCCAATGATATTCATGTATTAGATATTTCATGATTTGTCTTATTACGCTTTCTTTTTGTTAAAAAATAATTGCTGTGAATTTGTTTCTAGATATAAACTTTGAAATTTGGTAATGACAAAACCAAAATTTTGAAATATTATAAATAGTAGTTTCTACAGATAAATTGTTCTACAAGTAAGATATATTTAGAAACGCGTTTCCTTTTCTCGGTGGGAGAGGAATTACATTACATGTAAGGCACTCTATAAATATCACAACGTCTGTTTAATTCATTTTCTCTGACAATTGTCTATTCACAAACCCTAGAGATCCATTCTTCGAAAGCCTGAGATCAAAATCCAAATTCTTTTTCTTCTTCTTATTTTCCCTTTTTCCATCAAGAAATTATGTGTCCGTTAAGGTTCGTATTAGTGTTCTTCTCTGCGGTACTCGCAGGATATATCGCGTGGAGGACGGTGAATTCTACACCGGAACTTTTCTCTGACGAGTCATTACCAGCCGAAGCCAAGGATAAACAAGGACTCGATTACAAGAGAAAGATGGATGATGGGTTATGGACGTTCGTTGATATGGCTAGCGGAAGATACCTTTGGAGAAATCTCAAGGAGATGCGTGAGAAAAGTCAATGACCAAGATAAAAAAAAAAATCGCCTGTTTGGCTTCTGATATGTAGAAAGTTGAGAAGAAGAAAAATTGTTTCTTCGTTTTCGTAAATCTTGTCCTAATTCATCTGAATTTGGTAGGTTCATTCATAAATTTGGTATTCATATACTTAAATTTCATTGTTCGTATAAATAAAGAAACCTTATTCTTCCCGCCGACTCTAATATATATATTTATCTGAAGGTAAACGAACGAACTAGAGGATAGAGATACCAAACCCAAAAATATAAGTATATAACCTTAATACATACTAGAGAGTAAAGAGTTAAACAAATCTTGTAAAACAAGATGATAAAGCCTATATAAAGCTTAAGATATGAGTAGCTTACCTTGTGGCTTAGGCCATTCATTCAAGAAAAGAACGTAACATCGGTAATTTTTTTTTGGTAAGTACGTAACATCGGTAATGATATGAGTAGATTGGAATTTCTTTTTGTATAAATTTTTTTTCTAAAGTAAAAAGTAAAAACATATAGAGGAAATTATGGCCTAGTTTCAGAACTTTTTGGCTATAAAACCAATCTTATATATAGAGAGAGAGATTTAGGACAACAAAAAAGCACCATATAATTTAAGTTTTCATTGTTCATATAGTCCTAATTAATTATGCTTTTGTTTATGCAATTTTGCTTGGATATGTTTGTATAACTTTCTTGTAATTTAGATGACCAACTATTGTATCTGATTTCATATCAATAAATGAATCAGATGTTTTTTCATAAAAACTTGATTCAATATGGTATAGAGGGATTTTTAGGAGACTAATAAAATAAAAATTATGGTGGAAAATGGAAATACAAAAATAGCAAAAGAATTATTTGAGTCGAATAATATGGGCCAAATAAATGTTTTAAGTTAAGCTAAGAGAAGATTAAGCCCAATAAGGTATTGAGAGGGCCCGCTAAGAGGAGATATTATTATTATAAAAGAATTGAAATAGTGTTAGGAAACGAACCGGCACGCATTTCACTCCTTACTTTTCTCCACTCTCCAGTCTCTCTCTTTTCTGCGTTTCTTCTTCTCTCTGTGGCGTAGATTTCTAGAGAGGAATTTAGGTCTTCTTCTTTGGTTTTTCCTTAGCTCTTCGTTCTCGTACTCTCTCGACAGTGAAATAAGGTTCGTGGTTTTTTTTTAAACCTACATTTTTCGATTTTTTTTTCTTCGTGCTGAAATGTCGATATCTCTCTTTGCCGTACCATTTTCGTAGTTGGGGATTTTAGCTGCATTTTTTCTTTTCCATAGCTTCTGGGTTAGATTTCTCTGTTTGTTCGTGTTTTGTCTTGTTGTCTGAAGAGTAACGAGGTCGAATCTGTTCTTCTGCATGTTAGGGTTTTTGTTGGCGTTGTGTCTCAACCTGTGGTCTTATGAGATAATCAGAGACCCTTTTGTGAAAAAGTTTCGCTTTTTTCTTCTTTCCGTCGATATGTTTGGTGTTTGTTTTTGTGTGTGTTTCTCGACCTCAAAAATCCATGCTTTCTGGGAAAGTGATGGTCTTTGTCATAGGGCTGCTTTGCTTGTGTTGATAGTTTCTTCTAGTGTTGTTTTGTTTTTGTTTTCTGATAGTGATGTGAATTGCAAAGTTGTGTTCTTTTTTCTCTCTGTTGATCGTTTTACTGAAGCTTTTATCGCTCTTGACATGTTCTCCTTCCAGGAATTTGGTATGGCTGCTACAGCTACTGCTTCTGCAATTCGTTACGCTCCTGAGGATCCGAATCTTCCTAAGCCATGGAAAGGTCTTGTGGATAGTAGAACTGGCTATCTCTACTTTTGGAACCCAGAGACCAATGTTACTCAATACGAGAGACCAGCTTCTTCCGCTCCTCCTAAGCTTGCTTCTATTCCCATAAGCTCTTCGGTTCAGACTACTCAGCAATCTTCTTCTGGATTTAACTCTGGCAAGGAAGAGGATAAGTATAGTAGGGGCAGTGATGGGCCTAAGTCTGACTCTGGATCAAGGTTTAATGAGGTATTAACCTATGTCTGTTAATGGCTGATTTCTACCCTTTACGCTCTCTAAAATTTCATAAATTTGATTCCAATTTGTTTGCTACACTGGATTTATCCCTCTTGGTCATACTGTATCTTCAAATTCGATTTCATTTGGAACAGGCTGGAAGAACTGGACCAATATCTTCTAATGATGCTGCTAGTGGACTAGGGAATGCTGCATCTGGTGGATCATCTGCCAGAGGGCCTCCTTCTTCAGCCGCAGGAAATGAATTGTCCCCAGAGGCCTATTGCCGCAAACATGAAATTACTGTCAGTGTAAGTATCTATCAGATATGAGTCTCTTTCCGGGTTTCATATGTTCATTTCTCCTCCGAAGTAGTACACAGAATTAGTTTCATACCTATTTCTGCATCCGGTTTCTTTTCATGTACTCAGAAAGTTTCATTTATGGCACTACCTATGTGGTGAAAAACTATAATGTTAGCGTATTTAAGTTTTATTTCTTTTATGTACCAACTATTGACTATATAAGTTTCTTTATCCTACTGACTCAGATTCTTTTTTCATTTTCGTAGGGAGGCCAAGTACCACCACCTCTAATGTCTTTTGAAGCCACTGGTCTTCCCCCAGAGCTTCTGCGGGAGGTATGAAATCATCTTTCTTCTAATATCACACCAGGCTCTTATATCCCCACTCTGTTTTTGGTTGGGGGGAGTAAACATGTCTATTTTCACATTGCTCTGCTGCTAGTGAGCTAAACTATTTTGACTTTGTTTTATCTGTTGGATTCAGCGATTTATGAGGGAGCTATTTTGTCTAATATCACAGACTTGTTATGTCTGCGTCTTTAGCTGTTATATATATGCATAGTGCTCTGCTAGTGAGCTGGACTATTTTGAGTATTTTTTTTGTTGGATTTAGTGATTTATGGAGGGAGCTATTTTGTCGAATAATGAAGATTTATCATATCTGCCAACCATACTTGTCTTTTGAGTGTTTTGTTAATTGAGATTTTGAAATTACTGGAGGGTCTGCGTTTAGTAGAGTCACAATTTTATGCCATATGCGCTCTCTTTTGTCCCAGGTGCGATATTTGCTCTTGGAGGAGCTAATGTCGTACGCTGTGCCACTTCTTTGGGGTTCTTGCAAATTATTTGGAGTGCCCTTTTTGGTGGACCAAATATTTTGGTAAGGGATTGCAAATTCACCCAAAGCTTGTGGCAGAGCCTGTTGATGTTTTACTTTCCCATTTGGTCCAGACAGAAGTAGAGATATCCTCCTGCTGCAGGTTTTAACAGCTATCCTGTGTTGCCTGCAAACGGGAGGATGATGCTTCTTCTGGCTCCATAAGCACAGAAGATTTTTGGTGTTTCTCTGCTGAAAAGGATATCCTGGTTTGTTGTTTTGCCAGGTATACAGTGCAGGATTCTCAGCTCCATCTCCAATTCAAGCTCAGTCGTGGCCAATTGCGATGCAAAACAGAGACATAGTAGCCATTGCTAAAACAGGCTCTGGAAAAACTCTGGGTTACTTGATTCCTGGTTTCATGCATCTCCAACGGATCCACAATGATTCACGAATGGGCCCAACGATCTTGGTATTGTCACCTACTAGGGAGTTGGCCACACAAATCCAAGTTGAAGCTCTGAAATTTGGCAAGTCATCTAAAATTTCGTGTGCGGTAAGTCAAATTACTTGAATACATAAGTACTGAACCTGCTACTTGAGAAATGTCTTATTGAGTGTTTTTCTCAATGTATATTTGTAGTGCTTGTATGGTGGAGCACCCAAGGGTCCTCAGCTGAAGGAAATAGAAAGAGGTGTAGATATTGTTGTTGCAACTCCCGGGCGACTAAATGATATCCTTGAAATGAGGAGAATCAGTCTGCATCAAGTATCTTATCTTGTGCTGGACGAGGCTGATAGAATGCTGGACATGGGGTTTGAACCTCAGATCAGAAAAATTGTGAACGAGGTTCCCACTAAGCGCCAAACCCTCATGTACACAGCAACATGGCCAAAGGAGGTCAGGAAAATCGCAGCTGATCTACTTGTTAACCCTGCCCAGGTCAACATTGGTAATGTTGATGAGCTTGTGGCGAACAAGTCCATTACTCAGGTGTGGGTTTGATTTCGTTTTGTTACTCGTTTTGATTTTGATTATCTTAGACATAATAACATTAATTGATCTGATAGTTTCTATAATTTTTTATCTGATACAGACTATTGAAGTCTTAGCACCGATGGAGAAACATAGCAGGTTAGAGCAGATATTGCGGTCTCAGGAACCGGGTTCCAAGATCATAATTTTCTGTTCAACCAAAAGGATGTGTGATCAACTGGCAAGGAACCTGACCCGTACGTTTGGAGCCGCTGCTATACATGGAGACAAATCTCAGGCTGAGAGAGACGATGTACTGAACCAATTTAGAAGTGGTAGGACTCCTGTTCTCGTTGCAACCGATGTAGCTGCTCGTGGACTTGACGTTAAGGACATAAGGTATGAATATGTTTCCAGTTTCAAAATACAACTATGAGAAAGTTAGAAACAAGGGATCCTAATGGAGAATTATGGTTTACAGGGTGGTGGTCAACTATGATTTTCCAAATGGAGTAGAGGATTATGTCCATAGAATCGGAAGAACTGGAAGAGCTGGAGCTACCGGTCTAGCTTACACCTTTTTTGGAGACCAAGATGCAAAACATGCTTCAGATCTGATCAAGATCTTGGAAGGAGCAAACCAGAAAGTTCCTCCACAGGTCCGCGAAATGGCTACACGTGGTGGAGGTGGAATGAACAAATTTCGCCGCTGGGGTACACCTTCCAGTGGTGGTGGTGGTGGAGGCCGTGGTGGCTATGGTGATTCTGGTTACAGTGGTCGTGGTGTGTCTGGCTATGGTGGTCGTGGTGATTCTGGTTATGGTGGTCGTGGTGATTCTGGCGGTAGAGGAAGCTGGGCTCCTTCACGTGACAGGTAAATAAAAGATAAACGACTCACTAGATCTCTTGATTCTTTTTCTCATTATAAACTTAAAACTGGTATTGGTGGTTGAAGCAGTAGCAGCTCGGGATGGGGAAGAGAGAGAAGCCGTAGTCCTGAGAGATTCAAAGGAGGTCCACCATCCACTTCTTCTCCACCTCGCAGCTTTCATGAGGCGATGATGATGAGAAATAGGTAACTCATCAGAATTTTAACCAGATTGGGGCAATATATATAGAAGAGCCTCTTTCTGCTCGGGTAAATTATTCATTTTGTGGGGTGTGTGTCTGTGTTTGAGCGAAGCCGCTAGTACTTTTGAACATCACACACATCTGAAGGATATTTCTAATGTTTTGGTCTACGAGATACCCTTTTCTGTTTATATTATGTAAACAAAGACTCGTTTATGGGTTCTTTCTTTGTTGGTGTTTAGTAGAGGATGTTTTCAGCTAATATATGTTTCAGACCTCTAAATAAGAATGACTTTGATATTTTGAAGTAAACAAGTTTGTTTGGTCATTCAGGCCTGCACTTTCTGACATAGATCCATCTGCTAAAAGTCGACAAAATAAATTGCGGAACCAAATCACCAATGCACACTAATAACAGTTCTGAACTTGTCACTGAATTGTGGAGTGTGGACAAGAATGAAATAATGACCAGTCACCGACCACTCTTAACTGATTCCTTAACCGAGGTGTTTGTACTACGGAACCAAAATTTCACCTCTTCAAACATTGCTTCCGTACCTAATTACATGGATATAATAATAGTGCTGAAGTTTCAAATTTGCTCAAGTCTCCATTTAACAAGTTGAGGTTCTGGTTGTCCTCTTCAAACTGAACTTTCCTGTATCCACATTTGTTCATGCTGCTTGTAGTTCCCATATGCTTTGCACTCTGCTTCCTTCGGTGTTGATCTTCCATGGAATTCCCCTATCCCGGCTTTGAGGAACTGTTTATTAGTATTACGATAGATCCAACCAATACCTGAAGCTCGATCACCTTCATGATATGAAGCATCACAGCTACATTTTATCCATCCCATCAGCAGTTTGCATCACTGTGGGCTACGAACGGCTATTTTCCAATTCTTCTGGACTCCACTTTTTCATCATCTATATGAACGTCTTAATCCATTCATTTGCATCCATTATAGCACAACTGAATGTTTCAGTCATTATAAGGCTCATATCTGCATTTCCAGTTTCCATAAGATCCAATATGAAACTTGATAATGTAATTCAGAAACTTGATTGGTATTATGAAGTTGAATGAGGTAATGAAGCTTGTCTTCTATGCAACTATTCGGAGTACATATCATTGATGTAGGAATTCCAGTAAGTCGCCACATCGCCTCTGCATATGGGCATTTAGAGAAGACATGATCACTTGTTTCATCCTATTTGCAAACATCTTGGACAGAATCTCCCAACCCTGATATATTGTCTTTGCATATTATCATAAACTGCAACTTCCCTTGAAGAAGCTAACCAGTATCCACACTTAACTGTGTATTTACCATCCTTCGTATAACTCCTGAACTCCACATGATTATTGAATGAATCATGTGTCTCTCAGTTTGGTATGAAAATCTTTCAGATGATTGTATGAAACGCCTCAGATCTTCCTCATTACATTGTTTTGATTTCTGATCAATGAGGAAGAGATAAACTGGTTTGGCAATTGACCAGCTATACAGATCAATCTAGCTATTGGAAAACAACATAACTGAGCAGATCAGAAGAAACAAATATCAAAGCTACTTTTTCTGTATAGCACTGTATGGTCCATTAGGAACGTCTACAAAGCTAATTTCAAGAGGACTACACATTGATAATAGATACCAAAGGTGTTTTTTGGAATCTGAAAGTATCAACCATGCTTTGTTCTCTTGTTCAGTATCACAAGATTGCTGCTTTGAGTGATGTGATGAAAGCAATGGAAGATGTGGAAGAATGGGTCCTGAGTAAAGAATCCATTATTTCAAGAACAGAGGCAATAACCAACTCAACATGATTTTACAACAGTTAAAAGTAAGATGGTTTAAGTATAAGTATGATGCAGTAATTTCATAGGATGTTGATGCAACTGCAGGCTAGATTTTATTGTCATTCGGGATTTCCGGTGTTGGCAAAAGTGAAGGAAAGAGAGCAGACTCACGGTTACAGAGTTCTTATAATGGAGGGTGATAGCTCATAAATCAATGATCTAATTGAAGGAAGGATCAAAGATTATATGATGACATATTTCTCTGGTTGAATACATTCCTGAACATCAGTGTTAAGGCAGTGAAAAGAAAAAGTGCAAATGCAGCTGCAGATACATTGGAATGGCGCAAAAACCAACAGAGAGTTAGGTTGACTTATATTATTCAATGATGTACCTTCATGGCCAAATTACATAACAAATACGAGAAAAATTAAGTTCAACTAGATTTTTATCCCAATATATCTGACAGACACAAAGCAGACAAAATAGAGTATTTCAACAAGTCATATCTACTTCAATCTACTTCAGGTAAAGTGAATGATCAAGATCTTCTCATCCTTGCACGCACCACCTCCAGAATACGGCAATACTCAAAGAACAACGAAGATTGATCACCTTCAAGACCAACTCGGCTTACCCTATTACCGCCTGCAAGATTGTTGCAAGGACTTCCTCCGATTACAAGATCAAATCCACCATATTTCTCCATCAACCCTTCGATTGTATCATTAGTCAAGTGTTGGATGTCTGAAAACTCGATCAAAACTCCAGTCTGGTTAGTTTGCTCCCAGAAGTCCTTCAAAATATTTCTGTTGACTTTTGAGATCTCAACAGACACAACAAGCTTCATTCTGATTTGGAGACGATGAAGCGCCACTTCTCCACCACCAATACCCGTGAAAAGAGAGAGAACATTGATTCCATGTGGGAAGATGGGTTTCAGTACAGACAGATGATACGCCACAGTATCAACCTAAAACAAGTTCAACCAACCATTAAACCAAAGTATTCAAACCACCAGCCAATGAATCAAACACACAAAAGACTTTATCTACAGAAAGTATTCTTACACAGATGATGTGTAAAGTTACCTGAAAAGAATTTCCCAGAGACTTGTAGCGCTCAGTTCTACTCATTCCTCCACCACGAGTATGATTCTTTGGAAATCCCAGAATATTCTCCATCTCATCTGGCTCGAGTGGGGCAGCTTTGTTTTTCCCCACCCACACCAGATTCCATCTTCTGCACTGGTCAATCACATATCTCTGTACATGCTTAGGCGGTTCTGGTTCTCCATTGTAAGGCTCAAGGGCTAAACGGATCCTGTTAGTTAACTGGGCACTGCCTGTACAAGTCAAAATGCAATTAAGTTTGGTTCTTTTATCCCAATCTGGCCACCATCTCTTACTCAAAGGAAATGCATCATGAATGGTGTATTTTGGTGGAGGCTGAATCTGGAATCTGTTGTTGATGGGGAGATTGTGGATGTAGCCTCTCTTCCTCGCTGCAGCACAAAAATATTTTGAATCCACAAACTCAGGTGGGATATCAAATAGGTGTCTTGAGATAGTCTCCCAAACGCCTTTAGGTGTGAGGGCGACATTCTCGTAGTAGAAAAAAGGTGGCCCTCGGGCTAACTCCGGAAGCGATCGATGTGTGATAAGTCCTGGCTCGTTTGGAACCCCAAATCCTATCATTGGATTTGGTAGGCGAACCGGCTCGTCATCAACAGATGACCTTTGCTCTTTTTTTGAATCTAACCGCCTTTTCTTAATGTCATTTCTAGGCTGCATACACCAAATTTCCCACAGAATTAGTGCCCAGACGAATTAACTACATAAGACATATTTTTAAAAAGGTTTTAACCATACCTTTCGTTCTTCAGGGTCAGTGTGAAACTCACTAAATTCTCTAGCCATCTTAGCAGCACAAAGGAAATCCGTGAGCTCTGCAATGTCCACATTTTCTCCTGAAATTACAATCATATAAGTCTGGATAAGGCAACAACATACTTTGGGTACGTGAGAGATTTATATTAACATCTGACAACTGTATCAATTAGTGAAATACAATCACAATGCTAAGCAAACACATTTCAGGCCTACATCACAGAACCAGAGGCTAAAGCCACAGTAACACTAAAAGCAGGCAATTTGGTTTAATCCACTTTCTCTAAAAGAAACCTGAAGAAAAAGGAACTAAAATTTAATGCCAATGGTAATAGTTAAGTAAGGTACGGTTACCACATCTCTCCACAGCTAGAGAAGCTTCCAGCTCCGAGAAACCCATTCTCACCAAAGACCGTATTTGGTTACTGTTTTCTTTAGAGTTTGGATCCTTCTGTCATGGTTTAAAACAGATTAAAAATGCATATTTGATACATATACACAAATAGCACTGAGATACATTTACAATTGAAACGTGTGATACTAAATATGTTATCACCACCATGAAAGAATTATACCTCATCATCTGAGACTAATATATCGGAGTAATTGGTCTCGTCATCACTTGACCAGTCAATGACATCTTCTTCCTCTACTACTGGCAGTTTCTCAGCCTCCTACAAACCATCAACAAACATTAAGATTCACTTTTTAATGTCAAGAGACATTATATCTTCGTAACATCACTTACTGCACAAGAGAGGAGTGCATTTGCAATTGCTTCCATATTTTCTTCTCCTGCGATTATATAAAGCAAATGTCAGAAAAGTAATAAAAGTGTTAATTCTTACTTAAAAGGATGAGAGAAATATGTAAGTACCATGCTCATGTATGGCCTTGATAACTTTTTCCTCATCAAATCCCATCGCAAGGAAATGATCAATAGCCTTGGACTTGGAAGAACCAGCTTCACAGTTGCTCTTCACAAAGATATATTAGAGGAATGAATACTGTGATGACAGAAGCACATGAAAATTACAAGCAACCCAAAAGATCCAAGTATTAGAAACTCACTGAGTATTTGGAGATAGTATCAATTATAACCGAAGTTTCTGCATTTGGTCCTGTAAAATTAATGATATCAAGGTATTGATAAACCTAAGTAAGAAACATATATCCAGAAAGGAATATGAACAAGAGAAAAAAGCCTCACCAGTTTCCTTGATTGCTCTAGCAATCATCTCAACAGGAAATCCCATGTCAAACAATGTAGCAAAAATCTCGTCTGAGAAACCCATCTGAACTAAATCAGTTGTCTCCGTAGGAGAGCTCAAAGAACTAGTTGTCTGATATTGTAAACAAAAGAATTCACATAAGGGATGATTCTGTTTAGGCATAAACTGTTGGATTGGTGTTCTAGAAAGAACACTTACCACAGCTACACCAACTAAAGTTTCGACCCTGGACTGTATTGGAGATGACGGTGGAGATGACTGAAAGTTATCGATCTCCAAATCATCATCGGTATTCCAATCAGCAAAATCGTCATCACCAGCAGAATCTTGCGCCTATATAATGTACAAGAAAAAAATAGTAAAGAGTCCATAATTCGCCTCTCAAATAGTGTATTTCTCGTTTGAACAAGTAATCGAAATGTACCATTGTTTTGTAGTAAAGAGTCCAAGTAATCGAAATTTAGAAATATTTAGTACAGCTTATGCAGAAACGCTCTCGCCGCCGGCGAAGATACTGTCGCCGTCGGTGAGAGAGCTCTGTCCCGTCGCCCGTTTACTGGAGGAGGAAACAGTGAAACAAAAAGTCTGATGATTCTAAAGAAAGTCAAATTTTGAGAATATTGTGATTTAGTCCCTAGGCTTTGTACTACTTCGACAATTAAACCAAAATGTTTTTAATTAGCTAAATCAATAACATGAATAATGACACGTTACCTGACACTTGTGGTGCTTAGAGGCAATTTCCGAAACTAATTTTGTTAGTCTATGATAATTCATGTTTTGAGGAAGTGAAATTGGTTAAACTTAAACTAGAAACTCTCATAAATTGACTTTTTTATACAGAACATTGGCTCTTTTTAAAAATGATTTTGGCTAAGTTTTGAAGCATGAGCTTTGATGCATGCAATGACACGTGAGGAGCGAGAAGGTTATTTCATAATTTAGAAGAATCCAACATAACTGCAGCGACCAGCCAGTCAAAGACCGTTACATACATTACACTAATCATCGAATGTAATAAAGTGCTTCTGATAACACAATAAACAACAAAGAAGATACATGAAAGATGAAAGCTAATAATAAGGGAATCCTCCTGAGGGGCTATCTCCATTACTTAAACGATAAGCATATTATATATGCATGTGTACATACACACATATATATAGAGAGAGAAAGAGATTTAGAGAGCGAGGAAGGAACATTGTTTTCTGGCGTGATCAGGTATAAGCTTGGACAACAACTCTGAACTTGCTCCTTTTAGCTCTACAAATTTGAACAACAAGCACACACTTTTAGTCTTTGTTAGAAAAGTAGAGCATTGGGAAACAAACAAGAAGCATATTTGGAGGAGACGGACCTTGAGGTTTAAAGTTGAAGAGAGGAGGCAATGGGCGACCATTAGGAAGACGTGTATTGGGATCACGTAACTCATCGAAGAACGGGTGAACTATTGCCTCCATCTACAATCACAAGATAGTTTGAGTCAGCCAAATGAATATCGAATACGATGTTATTATATGATGTGAAAGCGTAATCAATTCATGGACTTACAGCGGTGGATCTGAGGTTTGGAGAATACTGGAGTAGTCTTGAGACGAGGTCTACAGCTTCTGGAGGTGTACGCTTATGGAATATCTTAAGAGCCAACAACAGATTTTTTCAATCAACGGAGGCGAAAAAATTATACGGAGATCAATGTTAAGGGAAAGACTTGTGTTTGCTTACTTTGTGCCAAGGATGAGCCTTTATTTGAGGGAATTTGAATTCAGTGTAGTTTGGATTCATGCATTTGATTTCCTCCCGGGTTGGTGTTCCAAGAACCTACACACACAATGAAAAAAGTGATGGCAATCAATAAAAGGAAATGAAGCCTCTTCATTCCATATAATCACTGATCCAGTCCATGTTGAATACAGCAATGGATTCAGATTATAGGTGTGTGTGTAACCAAATTGAAGTACCTTAATTATCTCGACTAGCTGGTCGACTCCACTCTCACCTGGAAATAGAGGCTACCAAAAGTAGGACCAGCCAAAGATTGGTAACACATAACTTTAGACATCATTCGGATATTCAAATAATGAATTATAAAAGATATTTTGGATAGTCAAACTACCTGTCCAAGGAGCAATTCAGCAAGAACACAGCCTGCAGACCATATGTCAATAGCTGTCGTATACTCTGTGGCTCCAAATATAAGTTCAGGCGCTCGATAGTAACGGGAGCAGATATATGAGATGTTTGGTTCGCCTTTGACCTGTTACAGAGTGGCAAAGCTAACAAGGTTACTTCAGTTTACACTTTACACTACTCTTCTTTTTACTATGAAAACAAAATCAACATATCACTTATTTATAATAGATGCTATACCAGAACTTTTGCGCTACCAAAATCGCAGAGCTTGACTTGATGCGTATGAGGATTAACCTACGAGAAGAACAAGATTAATCAAGCAGAAGGATGTAGAGCAATAAAAAGTAACGACTAAAATCTCAACTAAGGACACTAACCAGAAGATTCTGTGGTTTTATGTCTCTGTGGCAGACTCCTACTCCACCATGAATATAAGCCAAAGCTCTGCAAATCTACATCCACAACAGAAGGCAGAGAAAATTTTGAGAAAAACATGGCAACAATGTTAATTAACTCAAGAGTATTTCAAAAATGGAAAACAAATGTTCTGGTGGGCTGAATAATAATTACCTGATAAGTATAGAGTTTAACATATATCATGGGCATCCTCTGGTTTGCCCGACTGTAGTGCTTTGAGACGCGATATACAGTCTCAGGAACGTATTCAAGGACCAAATTGAGATACAGCTCATCTTTTTCGGTCGTTGAGAAAAAACAATGCTTGAGGGATACAACATTAGGGTGATCAAGAAGACGCATTGTCTGCAGCTCACGATTCTTGTATCTCTTGTCTTGCAAAACTTTCTTGATTGCAACAGTTTCCCCCGTTTCTAAACACTTGGCCTGCATACACAGGTAACAAGATCAGAAAAAATTATCTACATTGAGTCAATGCACCAGTTACTTAGTAAAATCAATTATTCAGGGTAGTTAATCGAAACATCACCTGAAAAACGATCCCAAAAGAACCTTGTCCAACGATACGCTCTGCCATATAACTTATTGTCTGAAAGGACAAAAAAAGAAAGAGCTATTAGAGACTATATTACAGGCTACACATCACAGAAACCACAAGCTGTGCCATATATGTTGTGGTACTCATGTATGCCAATGATCTTTCTATCAACTTCCTATTAACATAGAAATAATGGAAATTCCTCAAAACACAAATGTTAAACAAGCTAACCTGTTTAGGCTGACCATTTTTACCACCAATAGTTGTAACAATAATGTGACCTGTTTCAGTTCCATTCCCATCAACCACAGCTGCTTCCATTTCCTGCAAGCAAACAGCAAACAGCAAGAAGAAAAAACACATTAGTAACAACATAAAAAGTCCATCTAAATCTTATAATTGAATATGAGTTGTTCAACCTTATCATCTTTTATCTTCATCTCATTAATCCCTTCAGGTAGTTTTTCAGCGCATATGGAAGCATTGCTTTGTTTTGTAGCCACAGAAGAAGCCGGTAATGTTCCCACAGAAGCCATATTCAAGAACTTTGATTCAATTCGTCAATCTGTTAAGACCAAACACACAAAAGCAAAACATAGGTTATGGTTCAATCACTTTCACTCAACCAAAATTGGAACAAAATGACTATAGCACATACTCACATAGACAGTGAAGAAGATCTAATAAGTACTAAGAACTGCCAAAAACCTAGCTCTACTACATTTAACATAGATTTATCCAAAGTTAACCACAACCTTAAACCCTCCCTAATCTGTAAAAACTAGATGGTTTGTTCCATAATCTCTCAGCGTCAAGCTAAACAAGTTAAACAAACACAAAAAGAGACTACGTCGTGGCGCCGTCATACCTGAAAAGTCTCCGCCGCAAATTCAGTTCACCATCTTTTTTACGCAGCAGCAACTAGAGAAACCCTAGAATAAAAGACACTAGCTTGCCGAAAATGGCAAATCTCTCTCTCTTCGAGTTGGTGCTGTGTTTGGTTTTTCTTCTGATGGCAGAGAGAGACAGCGGACCCCAATAGGTAGTTTCAAAGTTTTAGTTGATAGTTAGTTTTGACGTCCGCGCTCAAGGAAGAAGAGTACCCGTACACGTGGCGTGTTTTGGTTGGAATCGCTTAGAGTCACGTCATCTGTGTTGACTGCTTTTAATGGTCTTGAATCTTTTCCTGCGGTTGGGTGTATGGTAAGCTTCTTTAATTGACGGTTTGATTTAGGTCATGAAAAGCGACAATAAAGCCAGAACATACTCGGACGGCTACGATTGAGAGGAGTATGAAACGTTAAGCGAAGCGTGGCGTACACTGATTCTCGTTCCTCACTTTTTCGGTATTTGTTAATTTTGTAATGTTGTTTTGTCAGAAAAGGAAATCTAAATTACGAAATCGCCAAGTCATCTCACATAAAGCGACAAGATTTGGTTCGCTATACGATGTCGTGTCTGATTCGACCGTTGGTCTACACGGTGATGGACCTTAAAGAATATGGGCTTGTTATAACTGTTCTCTTAAAGGATAAGGCCTTAGAATAGCCCTTTTAGAATAAAGATTTTGGTTGAATAATATTGCCAATTGGGATTTAAAAATGATATACTCAATTTACAGTATCATGTATCGTTGAATCACCAATTGGAAATAAATGGTTACGACAAAAGAATGAATTTCGTACACGATGTTAAACTAAACCGTCACACAATTTGGCGTTATTCACATAATTGCGTACAAATCCGTCATCCGTGCATGTAAAACATTAATATAGAAGTTGACCAAAAAATTAAAAGTCACTATAAAATGATTAAATCAAACACGCCTATTACAATGCTCTAGATTATAGACGAACGTAGTAAACGTTACATCAAATCACGGGTTAAGATTACACAATGATGAAATTTTCAAATTCTACGTCTTACGCGAGTTGTTGGACTTGGACATATATACACAAATTCTACGGAGTACTAGAAATATTGTTCATGTGACTTGCGAGTTATGACCACTTCACGTGATTTGCCATTCAACATTTTCCCCCCTGTATAATATATAAAATGATTAAACAATCAAAATATTGCAAAATTAGTCTAATGTTGAAACGTTGGCTATCTCATTTAAACCAAAAAAAAAAAAAACATTACCTATCTTGTACTCAATATATTCAAGATATTGAGAAAGAGGACAAGAAATCAGTTACTTGAAAACAAAATCTATATACCACACTTTCAACTGCCAAAGCAATAGAAAAAATTAATAAAATAGTAACAAGAACTTCAAATACAAAGAGTGATTAAACTATTCCAAATTTGGTAACCAATAGGCTTCTCAAGATCATGAAATCAAATAGAATAATTCAACAAATTTTGTCAACGTATGTGCTGCATACACCGATACACGTACCAACGTGCAAATCTATAGCAGCCTATATATCCTTTTACCTGGGGCTCATGCACGTGTATCTTCAGATCACGAGTTTAATTTCATACATTGAACCTTATAACTAGTTACTATATGCTTATCATTAACCAGAAATCCCCAAAAGTTGGTTTATTCTCTCTATAACAACAGTAATCAGAAAACCGTATCGACTATCGAGCATCACATTGTCTTGCAACGAATGGATCTTTGAAAATATGAGTTGAAGATAAAAGATTTTAAAAGATTCAGTGACACCATAGATTTAACATAAATTACGGTGCTTGATTTCAGGAACTAAACATAAAAAATATTATCTGATGATGATGATGAGGTTTACGTGATGTACCTGTAATTTGTGTATGGCAACTTTTCTTGACTCTTTCGCCATTTTCTATTGATGCCTGATTAATTGATTTTGGTTTTCATTTAACCGAAAGAGCTTACAAAGACCGGTTAAGTATCTGACCAGACTCATTCTCTATTGACTATTATAAACGAAAGTAATCAGTTATTTCTAGCGCCTTAAAACTGCACACAAACCCTCATGATCAGTATAACATAGCCATTTAATGAAACTTCGAATTAATGCTAGAGAACACTAAGATGTTAGTAGCGACCAAAACAATTTCTAAGTAACACGCCTATTCAAGAAATTTCGAAGCCACATCGTAAGTAAAGATGTTGATAATGTATGATGATTTTCAAGAACAAATCAAAGCCAAACCGCAAGCAAAGTGTGTTGTTGTGGTCAATAGAACAAGCTGATCAAGAAAGTAAACCTCATGAGCTTTTTTATTCAATTTTGTCAATTTAATAAAATATAGCAAATGAGTAGAACATGCTTGATTCGAAAAGGAAGAGAGTTCCAAGGCCTTTTGTCCTCATCTAACTGTTTAACTGTATCATAGATTCATTCTCATATGCGTAACAGTATTTTTCTCTGCTTATAAATATGAGCCTCGCTTTACCATTTTACTTCATCTCATATTTAAACAAATTCTACCTACAAACAAATCCTTTTTCAATATTAAAGATGTATAGACTAACTTTGAAATGTCTTTCTCTGAACTTTCTCCTCTTAATCTCCTTACTCTCTTCGAGGTTCGGGACTTGTGACGCTAGGCACAGTTTATACTGGAAAGGAAACCGCAGGTCTATCGCCGAAGGGAAAAGTTCTGGAACAATCAATGTGCTTGATCATGGCGCAAAAGGTGATGGGACAAGTGATGACACAAAGGTCAGTGAGCATTTCTATGGTTTAGCTGTGTTTCTATCCGTCTTATCGATATAAATGGAACCGTTTATATCGCAGGCTTTTGAAGATGCTTGGAAGGTAGCTTGTAAGGTGGCAGCGTCAACATTATTAGTTCCATCTGGTTCTACGTTCCTTGTTGGTCCTATTTCCTTCCTAGGAAAAGAATGCAAAGAGAACATCGTGTTTCAGGTGAATTCTCAAGAAATAAAATAAGATAAAGAACCAAATGTTTTTCGACCACTTATAGTTATATAACCGCGACTAACATATATGGATACTTTGTAGTTAGATGGAAAGATCATAGCTCCAACAAGTGCAAGTGCATGGGGATCAGGTCTCTTGCAATGGATAGAATTCAAATCACTTAAAGGAATCACTATAAAAGGAAAAGGGATAATCGATGGACGAGGATCAGTATGGTGGAACAACGCGAAAATGCCAAGGACCAAACCAACAGTAAGTTTTAACCTGATTAAATTTCATGGATGGAGCCAAACTAATATCAACGTTTGAAACTTTAATTTATTTTTGATTTACCTACTTGGTTGGTATGTAGGCTTTGAGGTTCTACGGGAGTAACGGTGTAAAGGTCAGTGGAATAACCATACAGAACAGCCCTCAAACCCATCTCAAGTTTGATAACTGCAAAAGCATTCAAGTGTCTGATTTCACAACTTCATCCCCTGGAGATTCCCCAAACACAGATGGAATCCACCTGCAAAACTCTCAAGATGCCGTTATTTACCGCAGCACACTGGCCTGTGGTAACCACAGACTTCAAACATGTCCCATTTGGTTTAAATTAAAGATATTACTTAATCAGACACTACAAGTCAAATCATCATAAATTTCTCAATTCTACTTACTGAAGTTATGATGAAAAATAACAATTTCTTTCATTTTACAGGAGATGACTGTATATCAATTCAAACTGGATGCTCGAATATCAACATACACGATGTAGACTGCGGGCCTGGCCATGGAATTAGCATTGGAGGACTGGGAAAGGACAATACAAAGGCGTGTGTTTCAAACATCACTGTCCGTGATGTCACGATGCATGAAACTACGAATGGTGTTCGAATAAAGTCCTGGCAGGTAAATTCTCCTGCACAGTTATTCGCATAACAGAATAGAGGCAAAGAAAATTTTTAAAAAATGCATGTGATAACAATTCAAAGATGCTGACAACTTTCCGTTATGTTTAATGATAGGGAGGGTCAGGGTCTGTAAAACAAGTTATGTTTTCAAATATTCAAGTCAGCAACGTAGCCAATCCAATAATAATAGATCAATATTACTGCGATGGTGGCGGATGCCACAATGAAACTTCAGCAGTCGCTGTATCAAACATAAACTACATAAACATAAAAGGTACCTACACCAAAGAACCTGTACGCTTTGCCTGCAGTGATAGCTTGCCATGCACAGGAATCTCACTGTCAACCATAGAGCTTAAACCAGCCACAGGAAAAGCAAGTTCACTTGATCCTTTCTGCTGGAAGGCACACGGTGAACTGAAGACAAAAACTCTTCCACCAATACAATGTTTGAAAACAGAAAAGTCACCAGAAGCTGCAAGCCGGTCTAATAATGATGCTTGCTGATATTAGAGTAAGAAATTATGTAAAAATATTAAGATAGGCCACACAGTATACGAATAAAGAAGGGTTTGATTCCCCTTCGTTTGTCTTATACTAGTTTTTATTAATCATTTGCAAACAAAATGTAATATATCGTATGAAATGTATTGCATTCTGTTATAGACTATTGGGACTTATTGAATTAGTTCCAACCCATAGCCTAAGGAAGGATTTCATCTGTGAAGCAACAATCTAACAATTATGACTTTTTGGACCAGTTATGATAAAACACATCACAAGCAATATAATTCTCCAAAGAAAAAGTTATATCATCTGAGGGAAGCAAATAAAATGTACTAAATGAGAGCTGTAAACAATAAATCAAAAGTCTAATTACCAAAAATTCCAACACATGTAAACAATTAACGCATTTTACTTTGTAACAAAGGATAAACCACGACACGGTTCAACTTACTCAGCAAGAACATTCTAAACGCAGTTCCAAAGCTCAAGCTAAGAGGCCAACATTAGATAACAGCGCAAAACAAACAATCTGAATAAATATAATACTCAAGACCAAAAAAGGATTCTGAAATATATGATCTGTGTCTCAACCGTACATCCTATTTGGGAGATTTGAATCACATAATGTGATGTGCTCCTCTAAATTTAGAAAAGCAAACGTGTTTCTTGTCATTGTCTGCTTCCTATACCATAGTTAAATCCTGCAGTGGGAAATAAGTAGAAATGTTTCAGGACAAAAACCCAAGAGAACAAAGAATAAAACCTGAAACTCAGAAATAACAGTTTTACTCATATCCTACACGAAGATGAAAGGATTTGAGCGAGAATGTCTCATCAACGTTTGCCAAAACCAACTCCTGCTTTCCTTTTTTGTCGTGCTTGTATTTTTTCAGGGCTTGGCAATCCAGTTTTTTCTTCGTACTTCTTTTCTAGGGCCTGCGGTACAAAACTTGTCAGGAATATTGTAGAATTACGATGATAACAAACATTTTAAGACAATAGACTACTTAATGCAAAGATGTTCACCAAAGTCACTACTAACATACAAAGGGTGATTTTATCCACGGAACTAGTGGTTATTGTAGCTTTAGAATCTGTCCTGCTACAGTTTTACTCACCTCTAGCTCTTCACGAATGCTATCAAGAACTTGATCCGTCATTCTGTCGAAGAAGAGAACACCCTGTAATTGACAGATTGTTCCATCAGACCGAAACGAAAGCTTGCAAGTGATACTCACATACAGCAACACCAAACACCTCCATGAAAACAAGTAAAAGTGCATGCCAGTAAAAAATGTACTAACGAAGATAAGGCCCGTGAGATGACACTTTTCAATGTCGAAAACATCAAATTATATCAGCTTTCTCTCTGGTTGATTCCAGTTGTATATAAACACAACTACAGCCACTCAATTTTCCATAAATGTATTTTCTGTTTTGTCATTGTCTATTCAATCAAGCAAAGATATCAAAATCAAAGTGGAGAACAAACCTCCAGATGGTCATATTCGTGCTGAAAGATTCGTGCAGGTAAACGTGATAGACTGATTGAAAATCTTTCTCCAGTAATGTCCCTTGCATCAATCTTGACAGATTGTGGTCGCTGAAAGCAAAACCAACCACATAAAAACCAATTCCCAAGAAACAATGAGCTATAAGGTTAAGTAATTCGGTCGAGAAAGGGTTGACATACAACTACTTCAGCATAGATCCCGGGGAAGGATAGGCATCCTTCATCAAACGGTACTAACTTATCGGAATATTTCTTGATAATCGGATTAACAAGAACAATTTCTTCTCCTTCACCAGGCTCCCCAGCTGGATTAAACACCATGAGTTGAACATTGAGACCTACTTGTGGTGCTGAGAGCCCAATGCCATCAGTTCTGTCCAATAGCATGTAATCACAGCATCATTCTGTATTTGTCTGTGTTATTGAGTACTAAGTTACTTAACATTATAATGAGGACTTACTTACTTGTACATAACATCAAACATAGCATCAACCAAGTTCTTCAAATTCTCGTCGAAAACACCAATCATCTTGTTCTTAGCCCGTAGTATAGGATCTGGATACTCAACAATCCTCAAAGGAGTCTCAAATTGAAGATCAGAAGCTAAAAAAAAACACAAAATTACAATCGTACATGAACAGAAGATACTCATAGAGTTATTAAATTTCCAAAGTGTGTAAATAATAGATAAGCAAGTTACCTGAAGCTACTTGATCGTCTTTACGCGAAACGCGCTTTACTTCAGCGCGAACCGGAGATATCAGAGGACTGGTCCGGTTCCCAGTAGAGCAGAACATGAAGGTGGATTTGAGCCGACCATAACCGACGGAGAGAGTAGTAGCTCGGCGAGATAAAACCGGTAAGAATAAGCGAGAGAGTGGTGGAGCTTGGAGGAAGCAGTTACAGACGGCCATGGCTAGAGTACTAATTTCAGACAAAGCGGAAAAACTGAATTTGTGTGGAGAGTAAGTAAAAAGATTGAGTAGACCATTTTGTAATTCTCCTTTAATTTTAAGTGAAATCCGAAATATCGCTATATTATAGGGACGAATTTGATAAATATTCTATTATTAGAGCTTCTGTGAGGGAGAGACATTTTCTCTTCGAAACTCGCGGCTTGCTCTACAACAGAGATCCTTCTTTGGAGCTTCTTCGAAAAGGTAAACAAACTCTCACACCACCATTCATCGATTCAAGTTCTGTATCATCCTTTCTCAAATCTCTGGTATATTGATTCTCTCGGTTTTTGATCTCCATCTTTCTTAGAGTAGCAAGAGATTGATCGATAGATTTAGCTGGTTTATAGGTTTGTTCATTGGTTCTTAGTCTACAAGTTCTGTTTGTTGATTCACACGTTGAATTTCATTATCTTCTGTGCTTTATTCAAGGATTTGATTATCGATATTGTTTCAATCTATAGGAATAGGTTGGTTGAAATTTTGTGCTGAGAGCGTTTGGAATGTAATCGTGTTTATCAATTTTGTTTGTGATGCAGATAGATTTAGTATTTTGTTTTGTCATCGTTATATAGAGCTGAATTGTGCTTTGCTTGACTTGTGTTTTGTGGTTTACTTTGGATCTTATGTATAGATAAAGGAAAATGGGGCTTAATTTCACAAAGTTGTTCAGCCGGCTTTTTGCCAAGAAAGAAATGAGGATTCTGATGGTAGGTCTTGATGCTGCTGGTAAGACCACTATTCTGTACAAGCTGAAGCTTGGCGAAATCGTCACTACCATCCCAACCATCGGTAACTTTTAAGGATTCCTCGAATCAGAGTGTTTCTCGATGTGTACTTAGATTAATTTTCTTTTGTGTTTCTTACCTGTGTTTAATCCTCTATGGATTTTATCTAATCCTCTCCTGCATCAAAGTTTTTCTTCTCGAATTTAATGTTGAGGAGGTTCTTGTTTCCAGGATTCAATGTGGAGACTGTTGAATACAAGAACATCAGCTTCACTGTTTGGGATGTGGGGGGTCAGGACAAGGTACACATTTTAAGTCTTGCCTAGATCATAGTATATTGTCCTCGTCATGCTTTATGCTCTGCAAGCTCAATTTGAATAGTAAATTTCAATCTCCACGTCTAGTATCTATGAGTGTTTGTCTTCTTCCTTTTTTCTGATATTTGATATTAAGAATGCAACTTCCTTTAAAAACAGATTCGTCCCCTGTGGAGGCACTACTTCCAGAACACACAAGGTCTTATCTTCGTGGTTGATAGCAACGACAGGGACCGAGTTGTGGAGGCAAGGGATGAATTACATCGCATGTTAAATGAGGTTAGCTTTCCTTCTCGTTTTCTCTTGTATCACAGTTAGACAGAAATAGCTTTCCATAATCTGATTTAAACTCTGTTTGCAGGATGAACTGAGGGATGCTGTCCTTCTTGTGTTTGCAAACAAACAAGATCTTCCCAACGCAATGAATGCTGCAGAGATAACTGACAAGCTTGGACTTCACTCTCTTCGCCAACGCCATTGGTAAAGTTATCTTGTAGAATTTTGTCATGTGATTAAATTGATCACACAGTGTGGTGGAAAGTAACTTATGTTTTTCTTTTTCTTTTAACAGGTACATCCAAAGCACCTGTGCCACATCTGGAGAAGGTCTCTATGAAGGCCTTGATTGGCTCTCCAACAACATCGCTAGCAAGGTAAATAACTAAATACCCCATATTGTAAAACTAAGTAGAAAATTGAAAGGAACCCTCTTTTGAAAGTAAAGATGCCCTTAAATAACATCTTTAGGGGTTTTAGATTGTATGCTCATCCAAACCGGGTAACTCTTTGGTATTGAGGAATAGAACTTACTTTGTTGAGCCACCAAGCTGTTGCAAACCCCATGGCTGATGCAGCCCCAAGTTTGTGTCTTGTGATAACAGATGTATGATCTATGTATGATTTTACCATCGTCGCCAGTATTAATTACACAAATAACTTGGCACCCACCAATCCACATAAATTTTGGCCCTATTCATATCCATATGCAAACTCTGATAATCATTTGTGTTATAATCCTTGTTGCCAAAATATGATTCATGAATACTGATCAAACCTTCATTTTGATTGAGTAGGCATGATGAAGCTGCTGGAACACTTTTTGCACTTGGAAGAGACCATTAGTGATTGTGGAGAAGAAAGAAGTATTATATCTGACTTTACAACGGTTTATAGCATCCGCTGATGCTTGTGTCATTGCGTGTGTGTGTGTTGAACATGTTAAAAATGGATTTGTGATAGTTTTTACTTTTACCGTTTTGTTTTTTTTTTTTTTTTTTTTTTTTTTGAATTTAATGTTAAATTATATTCAAAGAAAAATAAACGTTTCTACAAATCAATGCAAAACAGTTTTTAAAAACATTTTAGATAGCTAGACATCCTCCTTATGGTCTTGATGCAAACCATGCTTGTAACCCGGCTTCGTACTGCGAAGCTCCCCCACCTTTGATCGTGCTCAGCCTGTTGCGCACATTTTTGTCTATCGTCTTGACTAGCATTTCCGCCGTAGTAGGTTGTTCCCCGTGCCTTCTCCTGTTCCGTTCACTCCATATTGAATGTATAGAGTTCTGGAAAGTATACCTCAACAGAAACCTCTTCACCTTGTCCCAATCGTTTCCCCCAGGAGGCTGCAATATTTCATACCATATCTCTTTAAAATTTTCCGAGAGAAGTCCCAATACCAGGTCTTTCCAAACCTTGTTGGAGTACGGGCATAGGAAAAAAAGGTGGTCTCTTTTACCGTTTTGTTTGTTTCTAAACTCATGGAAATACTCTTCGTAAGCAGTAGATATGTTACCTTTTTCTCCTTATAGAATGTCACTCACTGCATACAGTATTCTCTCAGTTTTTAGAACGCAAATATAACCGAATCAAATACACTACGCATGAGGGCTCAATATGGTCATAACAGTAAGTAGATTCATGTTCCAACAGACTTGGGCAAATAAGAGAGCCAATATGGTAATTTCAAGAAAACACAACCTTGATCTCGCATTTGGAAGAAGCTTTAGGAAGCATTAGCAAATCCATGGTGAGTTGCAACTTTTCCTTGTGTTTACCAGAGGCGCAAACTTTAACGAGCTCAAGACATGGCAATTCCTCCAAGAAACGCTTCATTTGCTCCAGCTCTTTGATACTTCCTTCGTACTCTGTTAATACTAGGACCTTCACAGGACATGAAGATAGACGAGAACATCCCAAGAAGCATTTGCAATCAGATGCAGGTTTATCATGGCGCAAGAAACCCTGAAGCAAGACGGTTTATTAGTCATTGTTAATTGCGCTTGTCCAACAATTTTTTGGGGTCTTGGATCATACCTTGATGACAAGAGTTTGTAAATTTGGAGATTTCTTTAGCAGAGATGGTAGAGAAGAGACAGATGAACAGAAGTCCACTTCAGATGTGATAGATAAATGAAAGAGGTTTTCGAACTCAGGCACTGCTTCATGGAAGATCCCAAAAATCTGAAACAAAGACATAATGAACCAGTCTTCATAAACCAACCTTTGGATCAAATGCAGAGAGAAGAAGAACAATCACCTCCACTGTTTCAGGACATGATAAGTTGAGGATCTCAACATTTCTTAAACCCTTAATCAGATTCGATGGATCGCAATAATCAGGACCTCCTTCTTTCATTGTAAGCCTGAGCTTGGCTTCCACAAGGGAGTCAAGATTAACAACTGGATAATGAAGCTGAACAAAATCATAGTATTCCAAGTAGACAAGATTGGGATTATCAAAACTCATGCTTCCCAACTCAACACTAAAACCGATACATCCAATGGTAAGTCTCTTAAGGGTCGGACAAGAGAGGATGTGAGAACATTTCCAAAGTTCCCACGCAATATGATCCATGATCAATTCCTCAAGTAAAGGGCAAGCAGAGATAAGCTTTTCAAACGCGTCAAGATTATAGAACCGAACGAAATGGAGAGAGAGAGTCTTAAGAGCTGAAAGAGAAGCATCCTTAGGAAGCATAGGAATTTCAAAACGATTTAGTTTCAACTTAACAAGTGTCTTGCAAGCAAAGACCTCGAAGAGTAGTGAATTTTGAGCTTTTACATCAAGATAAAGATCCACAACACCACGGTTCAGCACATTACATATCCAACGGTTGGTATGAAATGAGCCAACACCGAGTCGACATTTCAGAGTGAAACTCTTTATGGCAGAATCGCCTGACACAGCCAACACTCGATCCACGAAATCCATGAAATTTTGTCGGTGATCCACGAAAGGCATGAATTGTTTTGGTTTGGTAAGGGAAAAATGGAGGTTTGGTGTGAAGGCAAACATATCACGCCATCTCTTTGAGAGAAGGGAAGTTGAAGCAGCTTCATCTATAGAAAGGAAGGACAAAATGCGGATAATAATCCCATCTGGTAGATCGCTGATCCTATCCATGCTTTCGCCAAATCCTTGACAACCCTTTTTACTAAGCTTGTATCATCGAAGAAACATCAAATTCTTACACTATCAAAAGAGAAGAGAAAACTTCAGCACCAGAGGAAGAGTTCCACAGTTTTAGTTCGAGAAGACGTGCACTCCAAAACTAGGGTTCGGACATGGTCAGCTAGTTAAGTAAATAACACATTTAAATATCCGATAATATTACCCGCCCCATTTTACCATTTTTAGTGTTTCAGTCCAGATTTTGGTTTTGTTTCTATTTGGGCATTATAATTTCAAAACTGAATCTAATATGGATATAACTTAACAGATCCGAGATTGGATAGCCATACATCAAAGACATGAAGTAGTCTAAGATTACACAACAAATAAAGGAACATTTTTTTCATGTTTTCGAGAATGGAGATGGAGACTTCACACAGTTATATATGATGCTGTGTGTGTGTGTGTGTATCATCGAATATCTATTACAGACGCACTTACTAGATCAATCAAAAGAGTTCTGTAACCTTTTACTTCCTCTGTACTGCAACACACCCATTTATTTGTCTCTCAAAAGCTTGCGGGATTCAGCAAACATGAAATCGCACGCATGGTTTTGCGTTGCTTTTGGAATTTAGTCATCAGCTGGATCTTGTGGAGATTCTTCAGCACTGCGTTTGATTGTGATGACTGGGCATTCTGCATGCTTCACACAAAATTCACTCACAGTTCCAACAAATACCCTGTCCAGCAGTAGTAAACAAATGTGAATTTTATCAATATCTGTGATTTCAAGCTCAAGCAAGTGCAGGAGCTAAGCACGATTCTCGCAGTATAAAGTCTAAAGCATAGGCAGCGTTTGATTTACATGAGGTCTCATCAATCATCAAATGCAAGAAAAAGGTCACTGGAAATCTAATAAAATAACTCATTCTTGATCTGTATTTTTCCCAAACCCAACAAGGTAATTGAGACTACATAATGAAATCCCTTGATTGGCATTTCCAATTGAAACCATGCTGATGGGTCGTGAATCCATGCCAAATAAACCAAATGACTAATTGATACGGGTATAAACTATAAAGCAATAATAAGTGGCGTGTGTACATACTTTTGGAATGGGCCGAGACCACGACTTCCCACAACCAGAAAATCTGGCCGGACTCGCCTGACTTCATGGCATATCACTTCAGTGGGATCACCTTTCCTGATCCAGGCCTCGCACCCAACCTACAAACATACATGTATAATAATAGCCATCAAAAGTCATTGAAGGTTTTTAAGAGATTGTGATACAAGTGATGAGGGGCATAAAGACAGATGTGGATCCCCAATATATGAGTTAAAAGAGTCGTTTACCCCAATCTCATGACATTTGTTAACGAAAAACTCAAGAAGGTGAAGTCCTTTAGCCTTGTTACGCTCCCTCATTTGTCGGAAATCATCAGGTGAAGCATATATACTGTCCATGTCATCAAAACCTGTTTCCCAATTCATATTCAAAACAAGTAAGATCACCTTTATTTATGCTAACTAACAAACAAACAAAAAGTATATAGATATCACATAAACATGAAGAAAGCCTCTTCCATAATATTTCTTAGAAATTAGAAACACAATTAACTATATAGATTCTTCTAACTGACCAAAAAAAACAGTCCTTCTAAGTTCTCAGACTTCCATTGAAAACTCTACGAGCCTCGCAAACAGCTAGAGATCAAGTCTTAAGAACATATAGAAACACAGAATTTAGCCTGTATTGATCTACTTATACCCTAAACATATCCGTTGAGCATAATCATTGGAACTAATGATCAACAACATTAAGCACAGGTACAGACTCAAATCCAAGTATAAAAAAAAAGCTCGAAATTAACAATCGAAAGAGAGAGAGAAATAACCGTCTTCGTCTTGAACTTGAACGTGGAGCAAGAGAAGCTTGAAACCAGAGGTATTGGACCGAACGATCTTCTTCAGTGTCCACTCGAATGCCTTTTTGCTGCTTATCGACGCGTGTGGATAGCCTTTGAGAGTCGATTCATTCACCGCCACCATCACTCGAGTCGGCTCGCTCTCCATTATAGTTTCACCGACTCTCTCTCTTGAGCTCTCTATTTGGTTCCTAAAAGAAGAAGGCGGGGAAGAAGGAACGAACTGAAAAAACAAGTATGTCAGGCACAAGCAGAGAGGAAAGGGTATTGTACGCGGACGGTGCACAATTAGAGCACGATAGCATAATAATTATGGGTCCCAACTAAAATGCGCACGGTCGGTTACGAGCAGACCTTTGTTAGTGGGCCCAACTATTAATTTTGTCTCGTATCTAGCCCAACTATTAAATTTTTTATGAACGGGCCCATTTTCATATCGAATTATTATTTATGTTTTCTTATTTTTGGCTGGGTGTGTTTGTATTATTTTTGGTAGGCTAGCTTGATTTTGTTAAGACTTCAACGATTGTTGCTATTTCAATCAAAGATATTTCAAATTTTTTTAAGTATTTAATAAATATGATAAAAACATAATGTTATTTTAAAAATAATGTTATTAGAATATTAGTGTGTTAAGAATTCATCCCAATAATCTTATGCTTAAATAGAATTATTAAATCAAAAATTTTGAATAACAAAAGCTTTGGAATGTAATTACATTCGAGATTATGGAGGATTATACACAAAGATATCTCTTTACAAGAATTCTTAAACTAATAAAGATTGAACTTTAAATGTTACTATGATCTTTTTACAAATCAATCTACCAATAACCACTTCAGTTCCTCTTTGTTTTATTTCACATCTAGTTTTATAAATCAAAACAATGAAACATTAACGGCAGGAGTCTCTAAAATTGTCGAGCTTTCATGATATTTTGATTGAATGAACAAATTTTTGGAGTTATATATCACAAATGTGGTCTCTGGCATAGAGGATCGAGATGTATATATGCGAATACGCTCACTAGCGAAACCTATCATTATCATAGAATAGAACACATAGACTAAAACATTCACATTTTATATTTATTCGAATATAACTAAAATCCTACAAATTGATCAATCATTGAATTCCAGTGAAAGAGACTCTACCAAATCCAAGATGACCAATCTGATACAACTCTAACCACACTCTCTCGGCTTCAACTCTTGCACTTATTCTCGACTCATCATGATCTCCTCCTTTACACGACGTCGTTTTCTCCTCCTCCTCCTCCTTCGTTAAACTCCCATCTCTCTCTACCACAAACCGGTGATCATCATAATCTCCGCCGCCATAACATCCTCCGATACCTCCGCAGCCGCATTTCTCGTCCCCCTCGGCTGTCTCAAACCGGCGGTGATGGTTATTATGATGATGAAACTCATCTTCACCGTTGATATTCCCGCGGCGTTTCCTCTTGTGTATTAGCCTCCGCTTTTTCTTACTCCGACCGCCGCCGAGACATCGCCGTCCGATCATCCACGGGACCTTGACGAAAGTGAGAGTAAGAAGGTTTATGATCGCACATGGACAGCAACAAAGCGCTACACAGTCAGCAATCGCCGCAGCCGCCCACGTTCGGCATCTCTTACTGGAGCATTTGACTTCGCTGCCGTGAGTGTGGTGGTTGAAATGCCGTCGTCGACGGCTCTCTTCGTCGACGGTGTCGTTTTGACAGTGGGTCCCGCCATGGTTTCTACGTGAAACTCGATGCGGGGTTTCCTCCATCAAAACAAAAGCCTACTACAACCAAAATAATGGGTAATACATATTGTCACTGTGATATATATACGGCTACATCAATATGTATTAAATTTATGGATCAAAGTTTGAAAAAGTTTTGCTTACAAGTTGATACGTATAGGAAATAGTAAAAAATATGAATATTAAAAAAAACAGAGAGATGTAGGAAACAACAACTCGAGATTTTCCATGCACTTTCACTTAATGACCAAGACAGTTCAGGTTTAGATTCACTATCCCCTCACGCTCTCCCTTAAGGCGCGTGTAAACCACGACATGTAACGATTTCGTTTTTTTTTTCTCAAATAAATCAAACATCTTATAAATGTAAGGTAAAAAAAATACGGCTTGAACCGTTTGGTCTAATGCTCTCGTTTAGAAAATGCAAGGAGCGCGTGGGAACAGATCCATATTATGATTTCTGGGGATTTTTACCATCCAAATATTAAAGTTTTTGAAAGATTTAAAAATGGGGTTCTTCTAGGGATATGTAATGAATTAATGTATTTTTTTTTGGGGACTCTCTGAGATTAATTATGGTGTAGTAGCCTGGTAGGTATCCCGTTAATATTTTTTGTTAATTTAAATTTTAAACAACGTTCAAAAAGTTGTATCGTATATTTGTATTTAACATTTTCTTTTACGTTGAATGATAGAAATGGTCATTTTACATTTAGAAAATACTTTTAAAATATTTGTTATCCGAAGATATGCGACAAACAAAAGATGGAGATTGTTGTACCAACAAAAAGTTATGGTGATTAATATTATAGTGTGATTAATTGATGAGAACTATTTAAAGATTAATGTGGTAACGTGGATGTTAGTGGGAAGGATTCTCTTTCACGTGGATTGCCGGGTCTTCCAATGGCCCAAATACGTGGACCGTAATAAAATACAATTTAGAAAACAGTATAGTATTGTTCATTTACACTTTAGTCCTCCTACTTAACTTATAAAACAATTGATAATCATTAGCCCTATAAAATAAGAGTCCTAGAAAGTCTATTTAGGAATCCCACTGCAGTATAATTTTCAGTAAACGATAATATGTTTTTTAGATGTGTATGAACTACAGTACTTATTAATGGGCTATTGATCATGAAGATGTTATTTTTGTTTTATATTAAAAATGAGTTAAAAGTTACTGCTTTTGACACCTGCAAAGTTTGTAGAGTTGTATATATATTTCTGTTTCATCTTTACGAAAGCGAAAATCGTAATCAAATATTTTCAAATGCATTATGATTTATAACATAAATTACAAACCAACTGATCATGTTTCGTGTTAAGAAATTAAAAAAAAAAAAACAATTGTATATTTCCTTTTTATCGGAGTGGGGACCTTAGTACTATTGTCCCTTTTCACTTGTATAAGGTAAAAGTGGAAAGTGGTGGGTAAATTTAAAAAATGTAATTTGCATGTTCATATACAATACTGATCAAGTGATCATATAGTGATTTACGTATATATATTCACACATATGACCCTATATACTTCATAATTGTTTATATGGATATAATTATTAGAAGCTCAATTTCATTATCTATGGAAATATTCTTAACAAGATACAATTAATATTAATTATGAAATAGTATATGTTTGTATCTCCAATGTGGTAGTAACAAATGACACACATGCAACCTACGAATCCCTATAATTAATCAGATTTTTAGGGTAAAAAATATATAAGCTCTTCGGAGATGTGAATCAACGATGAGCTCTATATAGCTAATTAAGATCATAATCGTAGTTAAGACCATAATCGTAACTGGGATTTATAGAAACCGGACCCCAACATAGAAACCCTAATTGAAAATGATGAGTCATGAGAGAAATGTAGAGATGATTAATAGAATACCTTGGAGGATTCCTTAACTTGCTTTCTTTCTGGTAAAATATATAACTTTGGATGCATAAAGTTCAACAGAAATACAATTTCATTTGATGTATTGTGTATTGTAGTAATCTTAAGATATGATCTGTGGTTTTAGGTTTGGGATGAATGGATATGATAAAGGAAAGAAAAGAAGAAGAAGAAGGAGAAGGTTTTACCAAAAAAAAAAAAGAAGAAGGAGAAGGGAGAAGGAGAATAAGGAGATGGGGATTAAGAAATATGATTTGGTCTAGCAAATGCTCCATTTATACATATGTATATACACTTGTATTGCTTTCTCTCTCTCTTCTATGTGTGTGTATAAATATATAACTCTCTTTCAGAGACCTATTCGAATATTCACGTGAACGGAGCTTAATTAATTGCGTTAATTATTATAATTGCAGTTTTTTTTAGCAGCTGAGTAAAGCTCTCTATTTGAATGAGTTAAACACGAATATATTTTTCGACATATGGCCATATAAAGAGCTATATGTACAATTAGGTTTTGTAATAATTTGTTGGGTATGAATCGTATATGATCTAGGTTTTTATATAAGTTTAACCGAATTAGAAGAATAGTTTGCATATACTGTACTTTTTTACTGTTATAATATCCATCCAAAACGTTAGCTTTACGTAATTAGACTTAAGCTAGCCATTTTTTTTTGATGAACTAGCTAACCAAAACTTATGAGTAGATTATTCGTTATTAGCGTTGATACAATTAAATTGAAAGCCGGGAACTGTGTGATATGTTCAGAGATTCAGTGATTCACGATAATGATAATCAAATAGAATTAATTGTCTATATAAGTGCAAATTAGTAAATTACAACGAGTCAACGACAATGGGTTAAATTTGGAAGAAGATAATGGTTTTCGCATATATATAAAACCATATGATAATGTATGAGGGTGGCTAAGTATTTTTCAATGATACGATGATGTAATCATGACTATATAAATATAATCTTTCAACTAAAAGTATATGATCATACTGATAAGAATATTCGTTTTTGCGCATTAAGATTACAATATGTATATAATAATTCGACTTTACGTGTACAATATACTTTATATAGGAGATTTCTTGAGGAACTCTTGAGGAAAATAAAGAGCCAACAATTCTAGTTTTATAATTAATTAGTTATCGATTAACGTAATCATCAAATTAAAATCTTCTTGATCTGTGTTACATCACATGACTTGGCACTCCTAATAAATACAGTATGTACTTTCCGACTTTAATTGGTGTTACGATGGTAAAATGTAAAGTTGTAAACTATAACCTGCATGTAAAGTTCGGAATCAGATATGCATGTAACTTTTTTTTTTTTTTAACCTCTTAAAACTAGCTCTCTCGTCACGCCGTGTATAAAAACGATTATATATGATCCGATTTGAAAATACTCATCTATCTTATTGTTTAGCATATTGTGTCATACCTTAAATCAAATTTAGCTTAATAATTCAATTAGCATATAATGGCATCGATCGAGGCCCTCCACAACATGAGGGTTGAAAATTGAGCTGCCATTACATTATAAAACTGTAGTGATGTAGTGTAGACGATACTTAGGGGTCGATACTTCTATCTATTCAAAATTATTGTTTGAAACATTTTGTTTTTTTGTTAAAGACGTTGTTTGACATTTTTGGTAAAAGACAGCAATTGTGAAATCAGCCCCATCTTCTGAAATTTCTTCACTAATGTTTTGGATTTTATCTTGATGAATTATTTGATTTCAAATGGATTTGTGAGGAATGTAACGAAAGTTGTAGATCAGTGATGATCTTCTTTTTTGAACCAAAAAAAAAAAGAAATTCTTAGGTTAAACAATTTGCAAATTCAAATGTTTTTCTTGGTTCATGTAACCAATATTTCCTCATAGTTTCACATAAGTGTAAACCGGTTAGAGTTATCAGTAATATAAAATCAATAAGAATTAAGTTTTTGTACGAATTTATAGGAAATATCGGAGCTTGGTGTTTGATGAGTCCCGAAGACAGAGAGAATCAAATCATGGGAACTCGGCCCAATTTGTGTTGCTTTCCATGCATTTCCACAATATTTTTCTAGTGTTTTTAAACTAAATAAATAGAACAAATACCCAAAACAGAAATATTTATTCATTTGATAAATTTGAGTGACTTCTAAGCAAATCTGAACATCTCATTACTAAATTTATGCCAAAAGTATCTTAGAGTATGCACTTAATCAGGTTGCGTTCAATGATGGATGTAAGTAAGTACAATGGTAATAGTGCCATGAAAATGATATACATTAAAGTTCCTACATTTCAGTGCTGCATTTAGGAGTTGAGTTATTGCAGAATTGATATAAGTTCGTTATATATAGTTTGAAATATTTGCATAAAATATTTTTCTAGTAACCTTATAAAATCATTATTTGTGTTTTATTTTTTGTGATTTTCCGTGAGTTTGAACTTAAAAAAAGGACAGCGTCGTTCACGCCTATTTCTCTCTGGTGCTGCCCTTTGGCGTGACTTTGTCTTCATAACACATTGCACGTGCACTAGACTCTCCGATCGCCACGTCAGCTACTGAGATGCTTTTTTTTTCTTATTGAAAGGGAAAAACAGAACTGAAAAAGAGTGTAACTCACTCGCTTCGCCGCCTGGCTGCAGACACATCAGTCTCTTCTTCATGTTAATCATTTGTTCTGCTGTTTCTTTCCTTAACTATCACCAATTATATGTTGAAATGTGTCATTCACTGTACGTCCCTGGTTCGAACAGCTTGCTTGTTGGCATGAACCGGTTGCGTGTTGGACGAACTCGTTTATTCATATCATTAAAATGTTTGATTTATCAGAAAAAAAAAACAAATATTATGTGTATATACTTTTTGATGATGAATCACAAATAAAATAAATAAATAAATTATATAATTTGATAATCATTTTGCACCGGCCAGAAACAAATTTACGTATTGTAAATCGGCTTTATTTGCACGTTATTGACTTTGTAAATACTTGAAATTTTTCCAATAATTTATAAATTTTCAACGAATACCAACTCTACCGGCCCTTTACAACAACCTCCCTCCACACAAACCACATTCGTACAAATAACAATGATTATCATTTTTTTATTTGATATTGATGAATGATTATCATTATAAGAAAATTAAACAAAAAGAAAGCATAATATAAAAAGAAGAAAAGAATAAGAGCAAAACACCACGTCAACAGCTTAGAATATTGCTCCTTTTAATTTTTGTCGTGTCTAGCTAACTTTCATGGTAGCAACTTCGTAGAGTTCTTGACATAAGATCTAAAAGCTTTTTATCTGATATTTGTAAAGAAGCATCTGTTTCTGCGTTTGCGTCTGAATCGTTGCTGTTACCGCAAATCTTTTCGATTTGAACACCGATATCTTTAGCAAGTTTTTCAGCACCATCTCTAGAGAGAATGGTGTCGAAACAAATGTATCTACCAAACGCAGTTTTATTACCCAAACCCTCCCACAAACATACGTGAGCTTTAGCCAACTTGTTCACATCCATTGTCGCTAATAATCCGTTACTATACATCTCTTTTGCTCCTGCATTTTTGTAAACAATTGTAAATAAAAAAAAAAAGTCAACCACTTATTAGCTGTTTTTTTGTCTCTTTATCGAATGGACCACCCGTGAACTACGTACACATATGCTAATACTATTTGTTTGCAGCTATCTATATAATAATAACATTATTCTTGGACGGTTTCTCAATTTTGGATTCATATTCATTATTCATTATAAGGTTTGTTCTAAATTTACCTTTGAGATAAGCTAAGGTTGAAGTGGAGTTACGGTTGAAGAAGTCAGGACCAGTTATAAGAGCAGGACATATAGTTGCAAGCTTTAATCCTTTCGAATCTGCGATTCTCCACGCAGCTTTCTCGGCTTTGAGTTTTCCAAGTGCATACCAAAGCTGTGAATTTAGTATAAAGGATGTTAATTATGGTATAATTTTTGAATCTTAGAGCTAGTCTGAACACTATGATATGTAACAAATTGTACCTTCTTATCGATGCAGAGTTGTTCATCGCTCCAGCTTTCTTCATTGATAACAGAGTAATCAAGATTGTTGTAGGTATTGTTTTGCCAAGTGCAGGCTAAGAGAGATGATGTGAAGACACATTTTCTCACTGAGGCTGTTCTTGTACACGCTTCGATTACATTCTCGCTCACTTTTGCTTCTAATTCCGCCATTGATTTCTGCAAAACACAACAATGAAAATGGGTTACACTTCATAAATTAACCGTACGATAAATTTTTGTTAGAACGAGTAATTATGACAGGTTGTAAAAGTAAAAACCAAAAAAAATGAACTTCTTAATAGTACTCTTACACAAATTGGTAGGTCCAGTTATGTTATTGATTTTATGATGACATGTGTGATATGTTTTTTACTGAACAAAGGTTTTGGTACGTAGACGTTTCAATAAATAGTGGCCGTGGATTAGAAAGGTGTATAGGTACGATTCACATCGTAATCAGACACTTACACAAAACCCTTATGTAGATAGTTGTCCCTGTCAGTAGGTAGACAAGCTTTCTAAGGTAGTTCACAGTTACTCTATAAAATAAATAAACCTATCAATCTAGAAGTGTATAAAATTCATAATGCTAATTAATTACTATATGATGACTCTCTCTTTCTGGATCAGGTGGTTGATGATGAATTAGTCAAATGTTAACAACAGAAAAAGAAATCAACCAAATCTTCAAATAAAGTAGAATAATTTCAATCTATTCCAAAAAGTGTTGAAATGTCACAATGCAAGAGCTATCAACTCTATTTATTATTTTGGTTGTGAAGAGCTATCAACTTTTTCAATGTCATTTGATTGAGGAAGATTTTTTTTGTCAATAAGAGGAGAAAACACAAACGAAGCAAGGAGACAAAAAGATGTACAAAATATTAAAGATTTTAAGGGCATTGAAATATATGGTAGAAAATATGTACTTTTGCCAACAAACATTCAGAAAACTAAGCTAACTTACTAAGAACCAACCTCAACTCATAACCACTTTCTTAACGAAAAGCAGAGCCACTAAAAGATATTCTAGAAACATAACTAGGGACAGATAAAATTCTGAAGGAAATTAAAATATTATCTTAATTTGACATATCTATAAGCTACACATATTCATACTCACACCCCGACACGTACGCCACTAAATTTTGTTTGACCATAACGAAAAAAAAAAGTTATTTGATTCAGCAGAAAGTACAAGTAAATCTTCCATGTTAATTATACAAATTCACTAGGACGAGTTTATTAGTATTAGAATGTAACTAGTCATGTTCGTGTACATTAAATGTGATGTATGCCTTCGTACGAATTTATGATACGTATCTCCATTGTTATGCACACACACACACATTGTTTAGATGAAGGATGAAAATGAAACATACCGAATATCCAGAGATTCCAGCAGGATCTACAAACGCAGAAGTGTGGAAAACGCCAGCACAACCATCAAACGCTTTAATCAAACTCTCGATCTCTGTTAATCGAGAAACCACTGAAGTAATCCTGTTGCTAAACGACGCCGTTTCAGCGTCGGCTTCCATCTCACTCACTTTCTCTTTATCCTCTGCATTTTCAGAGTAGGAGAAGAAAAAATCAAACTTAAATCCTCAAAAACGCGCTTAATTATATTAGACCTTTTCTGTAATTTATCTTCGAATCACATAAACAAAAGACTTTGCAATTTAACCCACAAAAAAAAAAAAAAAAAGAAGAAGTCAAAGCTACCCCAAAATCCAAACAATTAATTTGTCAAAATATGTGTACTAATTTATGGATTTCAACGGTAATCAAATAATTAACAACGAAGGAAACAACGTAACATATAAAATGAATCAAAATAAAGATTAATTTCCCAAAAATCGTTCCAATAATTAAAACAGTAGCGATAAAAATTACCTGGACAATCAACGACGATTCTGACAGAGTATCCATGAACAAGAAGACGTTTAACAATGGCACGACCAAGATAAGAAACACCACCAGTAACACAAACCAATCTGTTTCCGGAGTCAGAATCCAGATCCATGGCATTTCTTGATTTACCACCACCACGAGAGCCTCTAAATCCGTCGTCGTCTCTCCTCCTTTGCACAGCGGCGCACATGAACTCCTTAAGCTCCGCCGAGAACGTATCCGTCGCACGTAGAATCCTCATAGTCGGAGTAAAGAATCAACAAGAACAAATGAATGAAGGAGTAGTTGAGAATTACTCTTCTTTGTCCACTGTCCTCTGAATCTTCTTGTTTCGTTGGCTCTATAGGTTCAGAGTAGGTAGAGAGAGATACACAGAGGATTGAGAAATGAGGAAGAAGATATTTATAGAGAGAAAGAAACAGAGGCCGTTACACATGACACGAGAATGCTGAAGAGTCTCTCGTTCGAAGAAAGACAAGTGTAATCGAAAATCAGCTTTATCGGCTCGGCTCGGCTCGGCTTCTTATTATAGTATATACGATCCCATCTACGGTATATATTTATTATTTTCACCTATTAAAAAACACTATATATACGTTTTTATTGTTACAAAAATTTGATATCTTTTTTTACATCACCTATGATAAGTTTCATGAAGTGAGAACTACATTATGTTATTTAGTCTCTTAATTTTTATTTTTATTTTTTTTTAAGTACGTAGTGTAGCAAACACGATACTACATATATATTTGAAATAGAAGTTTTTTTAAAAAAAATTGTGTAATTACAACAAAGTCAGATTAATTTGTTACAGATTACATAGTAAATTAAATTAATTTAATGATATATTGGCTTTAAATTAAAATCGAGCTGCCGTATTACATGACTGGTTATTTTGAATGTACGTGGTTTCGGTCCAAACCGGTCATGCGGTCAAACTAGTTGACCCCTGATAATACGACGGCTAAACTGGATTAGTTAAGAAGACAAAGACTTAACTAAATATATTTGGGTAAACTGTTACTTTTACTGTTTTAACGTCGAAACGTTTTTTTTGTATTTGACCCATTATTTTCTGATGGAGTGTAATTTGGGTGGACTAGACGTGAATAAAGAAGAAACAAAACAAAATTGTTCACACATAACCACTCTTTTTTTTTTTTTTTCGTCTGAATGATTCATATGATAAAAGAACAGTAAGTTCACAATTACAAAAGGGACCGAAGACAATCAAACTACAGAAACTCATTACAATAACTTTTTAATGCATTGTTTTTCCTCCCGTTCCTTTTTCATATAGTTGTTTGTTCTCCTCACTTTTTAATAACTTTTTTTACTTCTCAGCATATTTTTAAAAAATCTTTTATTTTCATTTTCTATGCTATGAACTACCTACAAATTAAATATCTATGGAATGTATAAAGGAATATATTTTGTTTCTACACATAGGGAATAGGTGTTTGACCATCTACACATTTGAATATTGTGTGACTACAAATAACAAATATGCATATATATTAGCATTTACCTAAAGAGTCTACACATACAATATATATGATTTAATGGGTGCATAATTGTATATTGTTAAAATTTATATACTAGACATAAACTTAGTTATCATAAAACGAATATAAGAAAATCGAAGACACTAATAAACTTCCAAAAAATGTCAAATCGTACAAAATGCTCATGTTTTCAACAGTGTAGCTCTTGTTTTTAAACGTAAGTGAATTAATGGTGCAACACATCGTCTCGTCACCAACTCTTATTGCTTTATGGGTTACTATTTCTTTAAATTGAAAAAGTCTAATCTATTACTCTTGCAGTCTTGCTTAGAAGGTCTCGTAAGGCCAAAAAGAAAAAGGCAAAATCTACTACTCAGGAAATCATTAAAGATATTCCATGATAAGCTTCACTATTATTATAAGAAAATTAATTGTTATTTGGTGACATCTTAAGTAAACCTAATACCGCCACTGACAATAGCAAGGAATATATATGACCATTTGAGAATTTCTAAAGATTATCCACAATATGATCCGTATAGGGAATTGAATTAAACATTTTAATATCGATTTCGTATGCTTTTTTACTATACACTAATCACAATCTATATATTTATTATTCAGAGATTAATATTAGTTGACTATCGTAACTCGTAAGCGTCAGCTTCTTTAGCCCACTTTTGGTCAAAATAATTAACGAGTGAAAAAAATGAAGTTGCAGTAATAGTGGTCAAATTTGTAATTCTGCTTTTGGGCCAACTTAACAAATGATCTCACCACGAAGTTACAAGTCAGTACAATTTAGAAAAAAATGGTCAAACACTATGGCCAGTGGCGGAGCCAGAAATTTAGTTTACGGGGGGTCATATATTTTTAATAATTTTATTTAAATATAATAATAAATAATATATTTAAAATAGAAATTGTCAAGAATAAATTATTTTACTAAAAGAAAACTAAATAATCGTTTCTTCTTAATATTAAATATATGTATGTAGTTTTTAAAATTCATCACTTTCCAAATATAAAATATTTGTAGTTTATCATTCTTATTTTTTAGTTGTATTAAGGACATTTATTTTCAAACTGTTTTTATTTATCAAAATATATAGTATATTGTGTTTATCTTGCATTTTTCAAAAAAAATGTATGTTAAGAACAATCTTTTTAAAATGGTAGCAAAAAAAAGTTGAAACAGGATGTCTAAAAAAGAAGAAAAAAAATCATTATGTAATGAGTTGTGATAGATTTTAGCCATTTTAAAGAAAATATATATTAAATGAAAAGAGAATTAACTTTTAATTAAAAAATGAACATGAAAGGGGTCAAATGCATAGTTAGATCACTATTTATGGGGTTCATTATGGAAATTTTAAACAAAAACATCAAGTAATTATTATGACATTCACGTTACAATTAAAAATTCATAAATGTTATGGGGGTCAACTGACCCCCTTGCCAATACACTACCTCCGCCACTGACTATGGCATTTGTTTTTGTTTGACGAACATTTTCCCTCAATATGTACAACTATGACTTACCCAAAAATATATTTCTCTGCGTAGCATAATTAAATATATATATATATATATTATATTATATTTTAATAGAGACATGTAGATGTAATTTACAATTCTTATAATGATTGAATATTAAGTATTAACGGTATTACGCTTATAAGTTATAATCGAGAACACTTTGGAATAGTTAGAATATTGAAAGCTAAAAAATAAATGATTCGTTTAATATAAAAATTGTTACTTACCTGTAAATTTGTAAAATGACACTATCCATTATATTTTATTTTTATTAACGAAATTAGTGAAATCGTAGATTAATGATGCAATGATGTTTTTTTTTAAAGAAAGTAGAATGCTGCAACATAAATTACAATTACACATACTTGTGAGTTGTGACTGTTAGAGAACATGTGGATTGACAAATTATGATTGCTAGTAACGGAAAATATTACGAATAATTGGTAGTATATCCTAAGATTTGAATGTTACAAAATATGTATATAATTGTATTAGATGGTATGTTTTTATTTTGCATAGGAAAAAACATTAAATAAATTTGCAAATCCTTAATCAAAATAAAAAATAAAAACATTGATGTGGCGAAAGAGATCGGACTAAAACGGCTCGGCTGAGAGGGAAAACGCGAAAATTAGGACAAGCACGTGTTGAATGACCAGTAGGCACGCACGGGCCTCAACCGTACCTTTGCCTATTTTCAGACATTGAGATGGTTAGTTGATGGTGCGTCACTAAAGTAACGGGCCTGTTTCGGAAGTTAAATAATTGAGATTACGTGGGAACTTCTGGTTGGTGGGTGGTTTTGATCGTCGGGCCACCTGGTTGGTTTGGTTCGGCTGCGAAAATGTCCGATTTTCAACAGAAATACCAATTATTTAATAGTACATTAATAATTGACTCTTAAAATTCGTGTGGTCTGTGACTGTGTCGTCGTCTTTCATTCAGTCACATGCGAAACATGTATATTTTGTGTTTCATATCAAAGTCGTAATTTTCGGTTTCTAATATCTTTTACGGCTATTTGTTTGTTGTAGGCCACATTTTTTTTTCCCACGTTGGAAAGTCGAAACTCCTTATTCGCCTTTAAAAAAAAAAAACTTGTAATTCGTTTCCTAACTCAAAAGTCAAAACCAGTATTTTTCGACCAGTATAAAAATTTCATGGGCTTTTTATTAATGGGCTTTTTATCAACTGTAAATGGACTTCTTTAGTAGGGTTTAATAGTGAGCTTTACTCCGAACGACGCCGTTTTGACCAGAGACGAACGCGTTCCGGCTTCTTCTCGTCGAGTTCTGAGGTAAAAGTAGTAAGCAAAGACTGAGAATGGAAAGCTTGGACAATAATTTTCCTGTGCGCCATAGAAAATACTCGTTCGAAAGCAAGGTAATTTGAAAATCTATCGAATAATTTCCATGGGATTTTGCTCGATTGGTTTTGGCCAATTCTTAATAGAAAAGTTCGTTTTCTGGGTCTTTATTTTATCAAATAATGTCTTTGATTTTGATATTTGTACAAAATTCCAGTGTGTTAACAATTTTAGTGTTGTGAAAGATGATAATCAGATCGAGTAATCTCTAGTGTTTGTTTAAAATTTTGTTTCAAAGGGAAACAAGACAGAGATTGTGATCTGCAGCTATGAAGATCATATCCTTGTGAGTATCAGTGTGTGTGTTAGAGATTACTTCGTTATGATGTTTGAAGTCATAGTTTTGTCTCTGAGAACCTCAACATAACTTTGTTTCAGGTCATAGCTACACAGATTGGAGCCATGGGAACTATATTGCACGCAAGGTCTCTGATAATATATTTATGTTACTGTTCATCATTCTACTGTTTTTATTAATTGGGGAGTTATGCCTAATGATGTTCTTGTCTATGCTTCTTCTAGAGGAATGATCTTGAGTGTTCTTGATTTATACTGTCTCAATAAATCAACATTGTGTTTGTGCCCAACTGGTGTTTTCTGTTGAACTATTTTTGATATAATTAGTTAGTGTTCATGCTTCTAAGATATTCTTGAGGAATGAAATTGCTTGTTCTTGACTTGTTAGGTCTATCACTTTAGCGGTAATCCATATTGGTCAAGAAGATCCGAGTTATATATGTTTAAAACGAGTGTTTTTTTCTCTGTTGACAGGAAGGAGGAAGGGATGTCTGTTGAACCAACATTTAGTGTTTCAGTGATATTCGGAAAGCGAGATGAGGTAAAAATCTTATCGTGGCACATTCATAATTTCATATAACTACTAATTCCTACAAAAGTTTACTGAATATTTATGTTTCTTGAAGCCAATGCTGACAGCAACTGCTCGAAGACTCATTGAACACATAAGGTCTCTCTCTCACCTTCAATTCTTGAATATTGCTCATTCTCCTCCATTTTTTGTTTTTTTATTGTCTGATTAAAATGGAACACTAGAAAGTGATCAAACTGTTATAGTGATGCAATCTCTTTTGATTTTTCAGTTCTATTGTTCCCTCGAAGCCTCTGGTTCTCTCACTTGGTCTCAACGATCATTCTTCGGTACTCTACATTTTCTTAGAAGCATTTCTCTGATTCTGGAAAAGTCTGCAAAAAACCAATGACACTTATAGACTATATATGTGTTTGTTTTGTAGGAGACATTGAAGGAAATAGTAGCGACGGTGATTGAGAATCGCCTTTGGTAATACATATTGTTGTCCAGTTAATGGATAACGAAAATATGTCTTTATATTTTGTTCTTGGTTGATATAATGAGCGAGTTGTGGAATCTTTTCTTGTTTATACATAAAACATTGTTTTTGAGTTAGAAAGTTAACCACAATTAAACATTTTTTCACACAGGAACATAATTAAACAAAGAAAATAATAGTATTTTGTTTTCATATCACATCATAAATCACACTTAAGGAACAGTGGGAAGAATCTCCCCAAAAAGAAGAAAAACATTTGTAGTAGTTGTCACATAATACAAACATGTCAGATAAATTACACCGAATAGAAATATATAACACACAAATATTCTCTCTTCTTTCTTTTTGCCTTGAAAGGGAATTTTGTGTTTTTTACTCAAGATTCCCAGTTTCATATATCTGAGCCCTGTAGTTTGTTGTCTCGATGGCTTTTGAGACTCAATCATTTCTGTGTGTTAATGCGTTCAACTGATTCTCCAACTGCAGATTATAAGAAAAAGATGCATATGTGAAGGCTTGTATCTCAAAATCTATTGGTACTGTGTAAATGTTCATAAGATCCTATCACAAAAGCAATTGATAGTAAATGAAGTTCACTCATTATCTCATAAGAGAAAAGACAAACCTGCCCATTTTTCTGCTTCTGTTTCTTTAGTTCTTCTGTTAGGCTCGAAAAGCTTTAAGATCAAAGATGAAAAGAAAACAAGTAATTCAATGTTGATGTTAAGTAAGAACAAGATGCGTTTTAGCTTGGTTACGTTGGTTCGCAATAATAACGTTGAGACATTTCATGATTAGTAATCAGGATCTTGGTGAAAGAAAGAGAAGGATATATATGTATGTACCTTTGTTGTAGTAGCATGACTTGGGACTGAAGTTCTCTCTCTCTTGACGTTGCAGGAGGTGTCTACAAAAAGATGATATCAATTTCAGGTTAGTGAATACTCGAAGATTTAGAGATGAATACCATTTGATTCGATGACAAAATTTGAAAACAATTTCTATTTTTTTTCTATCTTCTTTTACCTGCAATAGCTCATCAACATATGTCTCGGGCGATCCAGGTTGCTTGGCTATGAAATGGGACCAAAAATTACAAAATCAGAAAATCTATGTTGAGTTCTTCAATATAAAGGCAAATATAAGATCCTAAAGAACCAATCTAAAGGTGAAGAGGGTTACAGTACCAGAGGTTTGCTCCAAGTATTTGATTAGTCTCAAAATCTCATCCTGCCAAGAGAAGAGTATTTAACTAACGACTTTAAAGTAAATTTCCTTCTGGTTTTAAAATATACCCGTTGCATGGCGTTTTGCTGCAAAAGTGACTGAATTGATGGGAGGATTGAGGCGGTTGTTGCATTGAGGGAGCTCGGGCTGCTTGAACCACCACTAAATGGTGTGAATGTAGAGTTTGTAGATCCCTGATTGTACCAAAAGCAAAAATACATATTCAGATTTCATAAACACAATTAGAACTATTCCACATATTGCCCTGTCATGTATCTATCATTTCTATGGAAAGACCATATAGCTTCGATGAAGATTAGTAAGAAAATGAAGGCTATAGAGTATAGACTACGGTACTTGTCATACCTTGGGACTTAGATCTGCTGATGTAACCTTAAACCGTCCCTTGTGCTCCACATGCGGGACTTCTGACGTCTCGTCCACTACATAAAAAACGTATTTGAATTGAACGCTCTATACAAACTACATATAGACTAATGAGTAGGTGGGGGTTTACCAGAATCTCTTTTCGTGCGATACAATGATCCGCTGTAGCTCCGCTCTGTTTGATATCTACGCTGTTGAAACTCCCTGCAGAAATCAGTCAGGTGGCTTTTAAAATTAACTCATCATTCAGATGCATAGAGTAAGAGCTTCAAAGTGAATGAAGGATGTTAAGATACGTTGAAACACTAAAATTAATTACTGAGAATGCTAACCTGTCAGCCTCAGATGTGATTCTTTTTGGAGAGAAAGTACTCTCTGGTATAATTGAACCGCTCAAATATTTTTTCTGTTCGGAAATGACATGACGTGGTAAAGAAGTGTTTTGGGCTGCAGTGTCTTCTTCTTTCGTGGTATCAGCCAGAGATCCAATGGAAGCCTTTGTTAAATGCGGTTGTCCAGAATTCAAATTTGCATCTTTCCAATCAGGAGTAGTTGCATTATCCTCGTCCTCACTGATATCAAAGCAGCCTCTGCATCATAGCACAGGTAACATAAATCATGTCGATATAATCCAGAATCCAGATATGTCGGAGTTAGATAATGGAGATTTGAAGAATGTGATGTACTTGAGTGCTTGAAGAGGTTTGATTGGAAATGAGGCGAAAGAACTCTCTAAATCATGAATATCGTTCAGTTCGTCCTGAAAAGAAAAACGAAACAAAGAAAGACTTGTTGAGTTGACAAGATCACACTTACGATTTTATAAGGATTCCCAAAAGCAGGCAGATAAGACTAAGAGTATAGAGAATCGTTTTAAATAATACATCTTGACTAGGAGCTGTTGCTGAGCTGCTAGCCCTTTCAGGGGAAAGAGCAGACTCATCCTGTCTTTCACATTGCTTTTGGTTGAAATCGGGCTCTTCAGCATGTGAAGCATCATCATCTGAAATCTACAAGGCTAACAATATTAGTCACTACCCTGTATAATTAACTAAATTAGAAAAACTATTAACTTACAAGGGCAGCTTGAGTTTTTAGGTCCTCGAGATTGAAATTCCAAGCGCTTATTCCCCTTATGTATTCTTGCTGCAGAGAAACAGGAAGTCTGAGTTGGATGTAAAAACAATTCAAACACACAATCAAACTTAAATACCAGAAGATGTTCTCGCAATTCTCAGGCTACAAAATTAGCAGCTAAAAGACATATTGCAGAATATTGTCAAGCAGAAGGATAAAATCTTTGCTTCCTAATCCTTGCCTGTGATAAGTGCGCTTCATATTCAGATTTGTTTTGCATTAGGAGATCAGCTTCCTTTGACTGAAAGAAAGAATTCACATATAAATTAAACTTTTCCAGTAATTTCCTTCCCAGCAAGAGACAGAATAAGTTTAAGAGGATGGGCCAAAGACCTTTATTTGTCTATAGCGATCACCTAATGGAGGAAGACCATTTAGAATTGTTTTAACCAGGTAATCAGCTGGACGTGCGTGTTTGAAGAAAGGGTGCTTTAAAAGCTTTTCTGAAGTTGGACGCTTCTTTGGGTCCTTCACCAGACATGTACCCACCATTTCCTTGAAGGCCTGTTAAGGCAATGCAACCATTAAGGTAGAGAAAAAACACAACAAGCTATATGATACAACCAAATTGTGACCACTCACGCACTTTCGAGAATCTTTTGTCTCTCTCGTAATCAAGTCCAGGAGGTGCATTTTGTAAGGTCATCAGCAAAACCTACCAGTGATTACCAGAAAAAGAAAATACACAAATTGAGTAGTAGAGAGCAGTGAAGATCAATACAAATCAAATGACATCATCATAACTTTACCTTCATTGGCGGATATTTAGAAAATGGGGCATGACCATGTGCCAGTTCAAGTGCTGTTATTCCAAATGACCATACATCTGCTCTGTGACAGGGAATTATATTAGACAAAACACCTGCGTAACACGGTAGGGAAGTAATCTTTTAGTGTAAATGCAGAATCTAGAATTTATTAGTATCAGCTTACTTGAAATCATATCCATGTAGTTGCTGCATGACTTCAGGGGCCATCCTGTGCAGAAACAAGCATTAATCAGAAATTCTGTCTAAGATGAATCTGCATATGCCCACAGAACATGGCATTACTAAAGCTGAAAAAAGTACCAGCATGGAGTCCCAACGAATGTATTTCTGGAACGTTGTCTATCTCCCGTATCAAACATGCAAGCTGATACTCCAAAGTCTGCTAACTTAACGGCACCATTGGAATCCAATAAAATGTTTCCAGCCTGCAAAGGAAGCCATATGTATTGATAAAAATGATAACACATTCCCACCACTCAATAGGGAAGGGCAATAACCAAAACGGTCCAGGGATAATTGAGGAAAGTACTATACTAAAGGGAGATAATGCAAGCATATACCTTTACATCCCTGTGGATATGCCCATGAGCATGAAGATATACAAGAGCTTTCAGAGTCTCACGAAGTAAAGTAGCGATAACAGGTTCCTCGAATCCATCTGGATAAGAAGACTTTATTATATGGAGACAGGATCCTCCAGCCATGTAAGGCATCACAACCCAAAGCTGGTGTCCGGTGGTAAATGAGCAATGAGCTTGCAACACATTTGGATGGTTTATCAGACTCATTGTTTGCACCTCTCTCCGGATCCCATCCTACAAGCAATTCAGTTCCTATTCATTCGGATTCACAAAGACAACAAAAATTCCATGGTGTTCACAACTAAGTCTAATTCTTTACCTCTAAGCTCGTAAAACTTTAACATAAAAAATATAAAAAAGAGAAGATAAGATCGAAACATGCAACTACAATTTGACAGGTAAATTTGAAGTTCTCTAATTTCGAAGACAAATGAACTACAATTGGACTCGCACTTAGTAAAGCAGGAAAACAAAAAGAAGAGAAAACTAAAACTCTATCTTCAATAAGTAACCCCAGAAAAAGTACACTGGCAAAGACAGCTAGAAACTAGGAATAAGCAAAAGCTGTTCTTTCATAATTCAGAATAAGAATGAATAAGAGTTCCTACCAAATCGTTGTTGCACTTTTCCAGATCAAGAACCTTGATAGCAACTACCACATTAAGCGGTATGCACAAAGCTCTGTGCACAGTCGCACTGACACCATCTCCAATTTCTTCATATAACTTGTAGTCTTTTGCATTGAGAGGAAACTTTTTCTCTGAGCCCGATTCCATAATTTTTACTTTTTTTTAATCTTCTTAAAGCATATGCTACACACCTTCGACCCCGTAAGTTTCAATAAATTTACAAAAGAGGTCGACTGAAGAGAGCATCAATCTGTATGTGGTTTCCTCCAATTCGCCAGCATTTTACTTTTCTTCAACGCCGAGGAAATGCGGAAACATCATCAATGCCATATCACCAAAATACTTATCTGCGCAACAGAGCAATTCTAGTAAAAATGACGACCAAGTCTTCTTCATGTTATTAAAATTGACAACACAGCGGAATCCCGAAATCCGAAAGCCTATAAACTCAGAAACATCTTCTTTCGGGAAACAAGAATCAAAGTTCCCTAAATCCTGCAAATGTACAATGGAATTGATACCAATTTCACAATTCATGGTTTCCGAATTCGTTCTCGATGATCAATCAAACAACTAAAGGATTCGATCTATCCTACAAATATAACGCATTCAGATTTTCTCTCAAAAAGTTTTTCTACACCACACAAATTGATCATCACCATATCTCTCAATCAGATTTGAGAAAATGGAAAAAAAACAAAACACCGAATATGGAAAATTTAACAACGGAGAAATTTGGAAGAGAAAAGAAATCTGATAATCTTACCATTACGGAAACAAATTCGAAAGGGAAAAAAAAAACAAATCTGGGAGATGAAACAACGCTGACCTCAAGTCAAATCAAAGGCGGCGTTACTTAAGCTGACTTCTTCTTCTGCTGCTCCTCCTGTTACGCACGAAACGAAAGCGACGTAGACACCGCCGTCGATTGCGGCGGAGGCGACGGCGGAGCTTGATAATCTGCGATCGATCCGCTAAGGAGACAAAATTATTAGAATTGGAAGCACGAGAATAGATAAAAGAATCTCGCTATCTCTTGTTCGTTATCGAGTTTCTCTCCTCCTCTTGTGTTGTTAGCTTTTCTGTCGTCTGGTTTTCGCTTAGCAGAAAGAATCTCGAGAGGAGCTAAGAGAAACGGTTTAACCGTGTCAATGTCAAAAACCGATTTTTACTGGTTCAATTTGTGTACCGATTTTTGGTTCAGGTTGGCTTTTACCAGATCAGAAAGTTTGTTGAATTTGACTATTTTGAGTATTTTCACATGAGATGTGTAAATCATGTAATTGACGGCTGGGAAGTGATCCACCTGGTGAACACGATTTGTATATGTAATATTTTTCAAATAAAATATTGTTACTACTTACATTATGAAATTAGTTGACACATATATATTTTATAATTTATGATTAAATAATTTGAACCAAAAAATATTAGGTATTAATTGATGAAAATTTTAGATGAATCAAAAAAGATATATTTTTCTGATAACAGTTGAGTTGTGATAAAATTCCCATATTTTAAGTTTTAAGACATTTTCAGTTTGACCATAAATTTATATAATGTTTCTACATCATGTTATATCTTCCATGTAAAATATGTGTGGGTTCGTGTATTTAAGGTAAAATTATTTATCGTAAAAAAAATAAAACTGTTTATTATTTTTGTGAATTATAAAATCATTATTTAAATAATAGATCATGAATTTTAAAAAAGAAAGATAAAAATGACAATCACTAGTTTCTACAGCTAACAATAGATGTCATTTCTAAATGATCGAGAATAATACCTATAAATTTGTAATCTAACAAAAAAAAAAATAGTTTAACTGTAGAAATTGAATAATTAGGACCTTGCTTAATTAGTTTACCGGGTATAGGACCGAACTTCCGGTTTCGGTTCGGTTTTGTTAATCGATGTGTAACTAAATATCGGTTCCGGTATTCTAAATTAAGAACAAAAAAACTCGAAGTTATCGGGCTGGCGAAGAGATTGATTCATGATTGCTTCACAAGGAGGAGGTGTTACTGGGGTCAACCCCTTGTCTTGATTGGGTGGAAATTGCTTTCACGATAATTATTTTCATTTCTATAACAAAACAAAACCTTTTTTTTTTGGTAAAATTAATAAAAATTGCCAATTAGCGGTAAAATAAAGGAATTATACTCTAGTCAAATGAGAATAGTTTGCATAAATTCACAGATGATGTTGACAAAATGAAAACCTTTGTTGACCAAAAAAAAAAGTTGAAATTTTTTATTACAGTTAAAAGAAGAAAAAAAGTTGATTACTACTCCCTCCGTTTCGTTTTAGTTGTCGTTTAAGGTTTTTGCACACAAATTAAGAAAATCATTAAATTTTTTGTTTTACCTTTTATTAATATATTTTATAATTTTTTCATTGGTCAAAACATTAAAACATTAATGACAAAACATTAATTTTCACCAAACATTTGCATTGAAAACCTAAAACGACAACTATTATGAAACAAAATTTTAATCCTAAAACGACAACTAAACAGAAACGGAGGGAGTAGTATTTCTTCTCATTGCCCTTCTCCGCATGTGCTTGGAAAATATAACATGGACAACAATATCTGGAATATTGTTCAAATAATTATATACTTTTATGATGGATATATAAAACTAGATATATTCGCGTTTTGATTAACATCTATTATTAAATCGGACTATGCATTGCAGCTGACTTTGTTGCGAGTGTTTAAAACACGTTATCATGATTCATAATTAGAATTCACTAATTCAGACAGATCCTTATTAATTGCTTCTTTACTATTTTCTTATACTCATAAATTTTGAATAACATACTTATATTATAGTGGAAAAATAATATTCTCATACAAAATCTACTATGTTCAATAAACAATGTAATCTGCAATTTACAAGAATAAAGCAGACGATTCAATCGACCATATGTAAATAAACACTTGCATATACTATCTGCTGAAATTTCACCTTATAAAATTTTTTATTATAGCTTATAATAAACTATCTATTTATTAGTGTACCATATAGTTTTCTTTTTCTTATACATTAAAACTACAAACGACCGTTTTTGTAAAACAAAAATCAAGTCTTTAATATTAAGATTTAGACTACACATTCGACCCTCAAACGATTAGAAATATGAAATAAAACATATAATATAAATCATAGTTAAATTCAACTTAAGAGATACATCCATTTTTTACCTGCAAATATCACTATGATCGACAAAATTTATAAATATATTTGATTTATATTATGCTACAACGTTAGGAACCGACGACAATAATTTTTATATTTTAAACTCTAAAACTAACAAACACAAGATTGATCGACCAGTGTTCGATATGATCGTTGGCCAAACAAACAATCTAAGAGATTTCTTTTCATAACTCAATAACGGACGAGATATTTTTATAAGCGAATTTTTCCCAACAAAATATCTTTATACATAAATAAAGATATATGTTTGTATTCGAGAACATGCCAATCTAATGTTCAATAATGATCTTGTTCGAAGAAATGGATATTTACAAGTGGACTAATTAATGCTTGGTTTCTTATGCCCAACTTGTCAATCAAGAATGCATAACATAATACTACTAAGGAGAGGGTCCATAAAAAAAATACTCCTTCTCTTTCTTTTCTTTTTTTTTTCTTGGGTCAAACATACTTCGTTATATTTCTTTCAAAATACTGTTTGAAACAAACAAAATTATAGCAATTTAAAACGGAAATAATTGGGTAGATTTGCAAAGTAGTTGTGCTTTGGAATTACGTTCAACAGAACAAAATTTGATAAAACTAGTAGTGTCTTATTAACAATATATCTTTTCTGGATTCAATCATCACTATTAAATATTGTAGGAAGAACATATATAACTTGAATGAAGTGTTAGTCATAAAATGTTGACCATCTGATGAAACAAAAGTTAAGTGTTTAATCCATCTAAGTTTTGACAAAACTACTAAACTTATTTCATCTCTCTTTTATTTTTAATCCATTTTTCCCGTTAGTATTATTTTACCCTAAGTCGTCAGCCTTGACGCGGCATTTCCGTAAAATTCGATGATTATTTGTTTTTAAAACGATAAATAATCCTTAAAGAAAGACAGAAATAGATCACGTTTCCTTGTCAAAGCCGCCTCCTCTTGATGCACAAGTAAACCAACTACTACATTCACATCTCTCTATATACGTACACACTTACGCAAGCACATTCAAATATTATATATATACAACACACAGAGCAAGTCCAAAGTTTATGAACAGAGTCAAGAATACAGAATTTTATCACAGAAGAGCACATCAGGAGTACAATGCAAGATTTATCTTCTACGGTGTCGTTTAGCCCCAGCTTCAGTTTCTACGCTTCCGGTGACCTTGTTGAAGCCGCCGTTAGAGTTGTACGTGAGTCCGAGAGTTATTATTCCGTTAAAGTTGACGGCGAAAACGACAAAGAATTCGAGTTCGAAACATTACCGTTAGGTGACGAGAGCTTCTTCCATTTCCCGACGACGACTTTTAAGCGCTCTTCCGACGACGACGACGTGGCAGACGATCGAGTCACGTCGAAGAATCTTTTCTACGATGGCTGGAGTGTTGATCCATCTCCATCTCCACCTTCTCCGTCACAATCACATTCATCGTCGGATTCTGACGATTCGGAGAATCTTTCCCCGAGCTGTTTCTGGAGTCCGATCAGATCTCCGGCGAGAGGCGATAGCTTGAAGGTTAAGAGTAAATCTTCTAGCGAACCGAGACGGTGTCGTATAAAAGATTTTCTGAGGAGAAGCCATAGCGACGGAGCCGTTTCGACCGCGAGCACATCCAAGCGGTGCAGTTTCAAGGATCTTCTGAGGAGAAGCCACAGCGACGGAGGCGGCGAGGGGTCTTCGGTTTCGACGAGAGAAAACGGCTCGCCGGTAGGGAAAGGGAGGAATAAAGCGGCGTCGTATAAGCCTGAAGTGGATAAGAGAAGAAAGTCTTACTTACCTTACAGGCAAGATTTGATCGGCGTTTTCGCCGGGATGAGCAGATTCCGTCATTAACGAAAATTTTATTATTTGAAGTTTGTATATTCACAAAGAGGTCCTTGTTTTGCCTATCGATTTTCTTTTTTGACCATGTAAAACTTTTTGGTGCTATTAAATTCCAAATATAATTGTGCTTTTGACTTTTCCACTGAATGTGTAAGACTTTCGTGGAAATAGTGAATTTGTTCACGAAGGGGACCGTTTTTTTCCAGTTGCATTCTTGAAGAAATCAATGATCTCGGTGATGCAACAAGAGTAAGAACTCTCTGGTGATTCATTGTCACAAGCTCTTCAATTCTCAGTCTTGGTCAATTTCCAATGTGCTGATTAGGTATTTGGTTAGGGTTTAGTAGATTAAACAGGAGATTCTAACATACACTATAGCTTTAAATTTTGATACCTGTTTATGTTGTGGCTCTTTAACAGGGAAAGATTCAGTGTTAAGTCAGTTTGGTAACAGCTTCCTGATGGTTTCTTGGATCTTTCCCCACTTTCCTTGCAATTCAAGTAACTTGGGTGCGATAAGAGTTTTCTGATGGTTTATGTTAGCTGGCTTTCTTCCTTTTCTATCTGAATCGATTATACAATATCTCACGATGCAAATATCATCAGAAAGTGAGTGATTTATATGGCAAATACTCCTCGTTCTTCTTTTTCAAAGGTAAGCCCCCTTACTCCTAAAGTCTGGTGAAATTCATTCTTTATATTCGTTTTTTCATGCAACAAAACAAGTAAAGACAAGACTGTTGACATAATGATATGAGAATGTTGACATGTTGTATGAAAATGTCGACATAATTTCTAATACATCCTCCCACATATATAATACATATAAGTAGCTAGCAAATCAAAGTACAATTTGCACATTCTCCATTATATTTATCCTCTCTCCCATCCCTAGAGGAAGAAGAAGCTCCTCAAGTATCGATATTTTGTTTAATCATTTTAATCAACGAGAGGCGAAAATACGGGAGAAATTGCACGCATAATCATAAAATTATGTAGAGATTGTTGAGCTTTTTTTTTTTTTTTTTTTTTTTTTACTAAAGTTTAGTTTCTTTTTTATTTCGTCATTACAATCTCTTCCTATACTTCTGCTTGCTAGCATAAGTTCATGTTTGTAAACAATCTGTACAAAGATGTTGTGCTCTCATATACAGTTCAATTTTTTGTAAACAAGCTCAACATGTTCTTTGCTCTGTAAACCTGGTCCCCTTTTGGGCTACATTTTCTCGAAATGGCTCATCAGACTCAGAGACGACTCTCTCATCTGCTTCAGAAGCCACAAAACAGGTAAAATAGATAGAAACACAAAGTCATGGTGTTTATTTAGATAAGGTTAGGAAGAAAACGAGAGATATAAGTATAGCCTTGTTTTGATGATAGGATCTTATCCACTATATAATCCACACCCATCAATCCCTTCTACATCTCCACCACTTGTTTTTTTTTTTTGCCTTTTTTGTTTAATCCGAGAAAATTTCAACTTTCCATCAATAATTTCCCTACGCTCGAACCAAATTTTGATAATAGCTTTAGCTGCTATACAAAACATTAGTGTGATATATTACTCAAACTTAGAAATTATAAGACCGAATAGTTTCCTTTTAACTTGTTGATATAAAACCATTCGAGTCATAATGATAACTATAATCTAGAGGTATTTTGTTGAACAAATAGTGAAATGATTTGTATATATTGTCTGAAATATTAGTCTTACTAATAGCCTACAAACTGAATAATAGTTCTATCATTTTCCAAATCCTTTTTTGTTATACTTTCAGAAGTTAGTATGAGGAATAAGTGGATGTTATACTAAGCAAACTCCAAAATTTGAATTCCTTGTTTTGGCTAAAAAAAAAACTTATACACCTTTAAAATTTTATTTTGACCAAAATCGCCAAGTTTAGTGTTTTTACGTAAATACTAATGATAGAAAGAAAAAAAAGTTTGAGAGAATTTCGTCATCCACCACAAGAAAAGAAAGGCACTTTTCTATTCACCTCAACCTTCGCTTTCGTTATCCGATCCATGAAACCCCAAAAGCCCATCTCCCTTCTTTCAAACGACAATTTAATTATTTATTGTTCATATAACTAATATTTACATTATTACTATTATTCCTCTTATCTCCTTTGTATTATAAATATCCTTCTCTTCGTCCATTACCTCATCACCTGTCTCTCCTCTTCTTCTTCTCGTTCCGTTTATCCGCAAACGGAGCTTGTGTTCGCTGCACCTGCTTCATTCATCACTTCAAATTTGGTAAGTAAATTATACAATTTGCTCTCTCTTCTCTCTCTTATCATCTCATGTAGTCATATATGTGTAGTTATAAACTTAAAAAGGGATTTGAGTATTTGTTTCTTTACTATGAGAATGTATGTAATATGTAGGGATATTTGAATGGAGCTTATAATTTGGATTTGTATGTGATTTCTACTATAATACGCTTTAAATTTTATCACAAGTAAAAACTAAAAGATCATTTATATTAGTGTTCATATATATACATGTTTGATGCTTGTTAATTTCTTGGTCAATCACGTAAGAGAGAGGTTATGTTATAGTGCGAGTGTACTTTCTCCTAACTTCCAATAATCTTGGAACATATTCTCGTGTTTCCATTTCTTTCTTTTTTCTTACTAATTAAACAATCCGTGATTTTTTTTTATCTTTAACGTAAAGAGGGCATTCTATTTATTTTATTTTATTTTAAATCAGAACCTTTATAGCGAGGGAAAAAAAGAAGAACTAAAAGCAAAAACATTCATTAAAAATTTAAAATCATTACTATAAAAAAGCCACATTCCCACTCCATCATATCCCTACCTCTCAAGATTTTAACCATTCAAAGTTAGACAGGCGTAATTATAGTCATTGCTAATTATGTAATAGTTAGATTTATACGTACTAAAAATATACTACCATATACAGTATGTTATTGAATGGGTGTGTTTATAAAATTAAAGTTGTGTTGTAGTTCATCTTTGAATCTTTGATAACTATGTATTGTTAACACAATCAAATCCGGTCTCTCTGTTTTCAATATAATTAGTGGTTAATTATTTACTAGGTAATGGCCATACTATTGTCTGAGCATTCTTTACCTTTTACAATTTAGAAATAAAGTTCAGATATGGAGTTAAATCTCAAATGATTAAATGAAAATCTTTAGAAATTTGACCATAAATATAACATTTTCCAATTTTAATATAAATGTTAAGTTTATTTTGGAATTAAATCTTATATTACTTCAAATTAGATGGTCAAATAGTATTTGCAGAGATAGATATAGGTAATAAGATAAAAGCTTTATTCTTTTTATTTAAATGTTATAAGATAAATACAACTCCGATCCTATGTTAAGCATTACTATTATATATATATATATATATATATATTTTTTTTTTTTCACTCATTTTCTCTCTAGTTAATTACTTTTTAAGGTAAGGTATGAGAAACTTGCTTTTTCTGGTAAGTGAATTATTTTTATCATAAATAATTTGTTTGTGTCAATGACTTGCATAGAGAAGAAGGATGGGAAACGAATCATATGAAGACGCCATCGAAGCTCTCAAGAAGCTTCTCATGTAAGTAAAATATTTGAAGTTATTGGAAACCTATACAAGACTTTTGTAAAGTGCATGGGAGGCTGATTACACACATATATAGTAGTAATTGAACATTAATGGATTTTAAAATTTTGATTTTTAAAATCATAACGAAGATCACGAAAAGAATGGAATTATTATTGTATACTTGGTATGGTATCATAATATGTCGTGTAACAATATACGAGCAGTGAGAAGGATGAGCTGAAGGATGTAGCTGCGGCCAAGGTGAAAAAGATCACGGCGGAGCTTCAGACAGCCTCGTCGTCGGACAGCAAATCTTTCGACCCCGTCGAACGAATTAAGGAAGGCTTCGTCACCTTCAAGAAGGAGAAATACGAGTAATTAATAAATCTATCACTCTTCTTCTAATCAATATATATCTTGCTTTTAAATTTTCGTTATAGTAGTATATAATCTAATAATATAAAATCAAGTCACAATTTGAAACTTAATGATATATTGATACTTGTCTTAATTTCTTTGCAGGACCAATCCTGCTTTGTACGGTGAGCTCGCCAAAGGTCAAAGCCCAAAGGTAAAATAAAATAAGAAAACAAACAAATCAATTGATGAAAAATTATTGTTATATATCTACTATATATGAAAATGTTACTAGATTTTTTTTTTAACTCATATTATATGGTGTACTACGAATGGTGCAGTACATGGTGTTTGCTTGTTCGGACTCGCGAGTGTGCCCATCACATGTACTAAACTTCCATCCTGGGGATGCCTTCGTGGTTCGTAATATCGCCAATATGGTTCCTCCTTTTGACAAGGTAACACTTATCACTAATTTATTATAGAACATTCTGACTCAAACCAAGTGTTTGACTTTGACTTTAAGTCATGACGTGCCTTTTTTTTTTAATTCAAATAATTGCAGGTCAAATATGCAGGAGTTGGAGCCGCCATTGAATATGCTGTCTTGCACCTTAAGGTCAAAATCTCTCCCTCAATATATACATTCTTCTCTCTTCAGACTATTTTGTCTTTTTTTTTTCCTTCTAAAACTTGTCTGATTCATATAAGAAATACGATACATCTTACTATGTTAGTTTATAGCAATCTTACTTATGACTTCTTTGACAAAAGTAAGATGCATCTTATTTATAAATGGATGGTACTATGAGAAAAATACATGTAAATGAATAGTCGTATTCATGGAGTCGGGAATACAAAAATGCCGGCTATGACGATAGATAATGGGCCCGGTCGAAGATGAGTAGATGGGCCTTATTGGGCCGGGCTGTGTCTTTTTCTTTTTTCCCTCGTTTAGTGTGTGCTATGTATTGTGATTTAATTGATGTGAGTAATATTATCCATCAATACATAGGTATTGATGTTTATTGAAATTTATGAATGTAGGTGGAAAACATTGTGGTGATAGGGCACAGTGCATGTGGTGGCATCAAGGGGCTTATGTCATTTCCTCTTGACGGAAACAACTCTACGTAATAAATTTTCTATGTTTGACATTTCTAAAATACTACAAAAATTTGTTTCACAAGATTTACTTTTTAGGGGAAAATGATAACAGAGTGTTTTTTTTCCCCCTTTTAACAAAAAGTGATGGTCCAGTTCGAGTCGGCTTATTGGTTCATGGGTAGTTATAATGATATGTTTACTTTAATTGCAGTGATTTCATAGAGGATTGGGTGAAAATCTGTTTACCAGCAAAGTCAAAAGTTTTGGCAGAAAGCGAAAGTTCAGCATTTGAGGACCAATGTGGCCGTTGCGAAAGGGTACTTATTCTCCATTTATTTTTCAGTTAAACTTTATTTATTCATTAGAATATCGGAATGTTGGATATTTATATATTGGATAGTTAAATTATCTTAATCAAAATTGGAAATGTTTTCTAATATGAAATGTATGAATATTGCAGGAGGCAGTGAATGTATCACTAGCAAACCTATTGACATATCCATTTGTGAGAGAAGGAGTTGTGAAAGGAACACTTGCTTTGAAGGGAGGCTACTATGATTTTGTTAATGGCGCCTTTGAGCTTTGGGAACTCCAGTTTGGAATTTCCCCCGTTCATTCTATATGAACTAACACATCACCATCACCACCGCCACCACCGTGATCATCACAAGCATCATGCATCATCATCGTCATCATCATGATCACCATCATCATATATATATAATGTTTTACTCTTATTTAATTGCTGTTTGTAATGGACATTTACTTGCGATGAGCTTCTTTTCCTTCATTATCCACTTATAAAATAAATAAAAATCATGTTTATTTTCACAGATATCGTTTTGCTTAAGTTGCTTTGATTTAGAACACGAGAAAATAACAAAAATCGTATAAATATTTATCAAACGAAAATTTGAGAAATGAAAAAAAAAAAAAAAAAAAAAAAATTGAGAAATGAAAATGTTATTTGCTATTTTCATTGAATGTTGCGTTGTCTATCTATATTAATAATGTTAAAACCGTTTTTCTTGATTAGAGATATGGCTACCATACTACATTAAGATCGATATTAACCTCTTCATTTCCATTATACATGACCAAAACATGTCCCCATGTAGATAATCGAAAACCTTCCACTTATAATATACTGATTTCATATGTTATAGTATCATGCATTGTATATAACTGTCTGTGCAATTAAAATCAAGGAAGGAGTGGGGGACAAGCTTTCAAAGAACATATTAAAAACCAAAGACAAAGAACATAAATTAAACTATTAAGAAGGGGGACAGCTTTGTCATAGCAATTTATAGAATTTTTTAGGGAAGTGTGACAATTTGACCTATTATATTGTCTGACTAGTATTAATTTTTTCGTTTCAAGAAAACTCGCCAGGGCAATCAAGGTTTGTGTCTAATTTCTCGTTTACATACACATTAGCATCGTTTTAACTACAATCGACATTTAGTTGACAAAAAAGTACGTAGTAATAACTAATTTCTGTATCCACTTATGGTTTTTTTCTTTTCTTCTTTTCAAATTTAAAGATTAAAGGACGTACGTCTCAAAGTCTAATAAAATAGAGTATACTCCTTCTAGCCTACCTTTATAGCTAGACTCTTTTAATTTTAGCTTATATCTTGAACCAATCTTTAATAAGTTTATATGAACACTTCACAGAAGAGAAATCCAAATATATTCGTTAATTAGGAAGAAAGTGAAGAAACAAATACAACATTAATTTATGGATGCATAGAGATAGAGTTTCTAAGCATATACATTTAAGTTAACCCAAGAAAGTTCACCTAATTAAAAGACTTAGCCAATCATACACTACCACATCAACAACTTTTAATCTAAGACTGTTGATGTATTAGTGTTTGATCAGCTTTGAAAATATCAAAACATAAACGAATACTAAAATAACAAAAGCAGAAAACACATCAAAAACAGTGTCCATCTATAAAATCCATCATGTTGGTGAGTGTGCTAAGCTCAAACTCATCCTCATGAACCCAAAGTGAACTCAAGTAGTTACTTCCTTGATGATCTTCTTGAATTTCATCTCCCAGAATATTATTGTTAGCGACAATATTCGAGATTTTAGTTTCTTCTGATGTTTCGGTATGATTCGGGAGATTGATTTGATAAACAATATCACCATTGCTCTGTTTGGTTTTCTGATCTTTGATTCCGAGTTTCTTACTAAGATGCGTGTTCCAATAGTTCTTCACTTGATTATCCGTTCGACCCGGCACTCTTTTAGCAATTAAAGACCACCTAATTAAATACACGCATATAAACAATATACTATAATTATCATGTGAAATAGTATAATGTATTGAAATCTAGAGAATAAAAACATGTGTTACCAAGCAAGTTTGTGAAGACAATCACGAATATTTATGATTATTTAACGTGATACAAAATGGATAGACATAGCTGTTTTTTCTTCTCTAGAAATAGCCAGATTAATTGAGTAGATAAAAACTAAATTTGAGCAAAAGATGTTATACCTATTACCAAGCAACTTGTGGAGCCTAATGATAAGATCCTCTTCTTGCTCGGTGAAATTGCCTCTTTTCACATTAGGGCTGAGATAATTCATCCACCTCAATCTACAACTCTTTCCACATCTCTTTAAACCTAACGCACATAGATACAATTATTTAACCGAGGAACTTAATTCATAAAAAAAAGGTGACCCTTATATAAGTTAAGATCATCAATTCTCGCCTATGAACAGTACTAACGAGATCATAAACTAAGTTTACTTCTTAATGTAATAGTTTCTACCGAAAAACACTAGATAATATCCAGATTCAAGTTGCTTTTGCGATATATGGACTTACTAATTTTTAAAAATAAGAAAAATCTATTAACTGAGATTAAAAGGTAAATCTAAAATAACATAATATATAGAACCTTAACTTTAAGCCATTCGTAAAAGAAAATCATATGAGACAAAAAATCATATATAGTGTCAATACGATTAGAGAGAGAGAGGAAAGAGACCAGTCTTTTTGGCAATACGATTCCAGTGGCCTTTGCCATGAGCTTTGACATAATCCATGAGGATTTTGTCTTCTTCTACTGTCCACAAACCTTTCTTGTACTCATTGTTTCCTTCGTCACCACTACTACTTAGTTTCTTTCTCATTCTTTTTGTTTCTTTGGAAGATGGACGAGAGAGATCATAAAACGAGAGAGATAAAGCTAAGAGGTTCTTTTGAGTAGTTATTTGACGGAGTTATTAATAGTAGTACTACAAGTTCAGAACCTAGTGGAATATTTATGTATAAAGTATACATAATATTAAATAAACGATATACTGGTATAAATACAAGTATTAATGATTATAGACTTATTAGATATTGACATAAGGTATTGATTGTGTCTAGCATGTGATGATGATATGTAAATAATGGACTTGTGAGATGCAAGCTGGTAATTACTGATACGGATTAGTTTAATGACTTAATCTAGATTTTTAACGAAAACATGAAAACATGGACCGCTTAAGATGGTCTTGGGAGACACAAAAATCACGTGTATGTTTTAAAAAGATTCGGCTTTGATCTTAGAGCTCTTTCGGCATCGAAGTTTCATGTGTCAGGCTAGTGTTTAAATATCTTCTTTAACCTTCATTAACTGAAATGAATCATAAGTATTAAAAAAAAAGAATTGTTAAGAGATATTAGACCGAAGATATGCACACCACTATCTATGGTTAAACTTATGAAACGCAAAGAATTTGAGACCATTGCAAAAGAGAAGGTACACATCGCAAATATAAAGAGGACTGAAGCTTCTTGCTGCCGCAACCTATCGGAAGATTTGAGAGATAGTAACTGGCCGGCATTTCATAGGTCGATGGATTTTTGATGTACTGTTTATAATATCAACTAACTTATTAATTATAATGGAGTTGTTATCTGTTTTTATAGAGTAATAATAGTAGTAGTAGTTTAAAGGGTTTTAGAAAAAGTGTTCGTTTTGAAGATAAATATTTTATTTATGAGATGCATAATTTTAATTTATATGATATCCTTTATCAGAAAATACATTGATTAAAAATTGAAATGCCTAATAGTTTCTTAAAAAATTATTTTGTACAGTGATACCCTTGGACCAGCGTCCGGGAATCTTGGATTAAACGATTTCCTAGAGTTAATTTAGTAGTAATTATTTTTACTAATTAAATAAAAATGTGTACAATAAGTAAATTAATTAGTGGCATGAGAGTTAGGAAGTTAGATATTCAATTAGAAGATGGTTTGACACTTTGACTCTCTTGGGATTATAATTTTTCACGGAAAAAAAAAAACAGTGTTATTGTAAGAAAGTAAGAAAGAATAGAAGCTCCTTCTCTTATCATTAAGATTTCTTGATCTCTGTGCCCCACCAAATATCTTATCTTTAATTTACGTATAGTTATTGTTGAATATATACTTTGATAACAATATACTCATAATTCATAACTGTTTCATAAAAGTTCTATTTGTATACATCAGTACTCTTATCGGCAATATGACAAACAATAATAATAAGATACATAATTAATTTTTTTCATCCATAATTAATAACTAGAGTTTTCTCAGATGCAAAATATTGAAAACTTTTCAGCAATATGCATCCAAATCTTTTTTTTTAATATGATTTCTGCATAATTAATAACAATGCAGAAAATTCGAATGATCTATTTGGGCATTACTTGAACATAACTTATTTTGAAAAAAAAGAAATTTTTTTTTTTTAATGAAAGAAAAATAGAGGCAATGATATAGCTGGCACATTTAAAATTCTAGACATATTAAACTCTTAACGCTGGAAGTTGAGGCAATATATAAGAGGGGTAGTAATTATATGCAACATTTTATTGTAATAACTATACAAGAGGAGTATGTATTTTTACATATAAATGTAATAATTATGACGTAGAATGTATGATCGAGGAATTTGATGGACCTAACACCCATTTATTCAAAATCTATCATTCAATTTTGTTTGATTTTAATATCTGGTTTGGTATTCTATATATGGCCAAGGAATTTGTGATTCACATTTGAAATGAGGAAATTATCTTATATCGTTAGAAGGCACAAGCAGGACATTGGTCTTTTCTTTTACCAATAAAATTTTGACCTTATGTTTTTCTCCTAAAATAATTATATTGTCTAACTACGATAAGAACATAATTCGTGCTAATGTGTATTGCTGATTTTCTAGGTTAGTCTTGACGTTCCCCAAGTGAATCACAACGAAATGGCGTCGAGTCGTCGTGTGTGCAGTAAAATTTTTATGGGCTGAGCAATTCTAATTGCCTGATATGGGTTTAATTTAGGCCTCTGGAAAATGTAGGGCTTATTTCCATGCTGAATCTAAAGGTCAGTATTTGGGCTCAACTTTCAAAAGCACAACTTTAATTATTCGTGAAGTTTGTTGTCCGACGAAAAAAAATTCAGAAGTCATCTCTAAAAAATCAATAGTGAAAAGACTCGAAGTAACAAATAGCCTCAACATTTTCCAGTAATTTAAATAAAGTTACAAAAAAAAAAATGGAATATATATTATGTCGGTTGGAGATTTCATTGGACGACTCATGGAAAAGTGTTTGTTCTTTTTTCCATGATTCTAGACTTCTAGTTATAAGGTCATCCTTGATGCATACATCAACACCATGAGTCCATGACTGGTCCAAAATAACATCAAACTTAATTGGTAGACACGAATGAGAACTATGTAAATTGACGATGTCATATAGGACTAGTCATGGTGTTGATGTTAGTTTTGATGACACCTTAAAGACATAAATTTCCGTTTAATATCACTACACTAATAGAAACTCCACATCGTTTAAACAAGTCTATAGTTTGCTAAGCAGCGACTTTTTACAAGTTTACGTCGTCGAACATCTAGGTTGATTCAATTCAACCACTCTGCTAGCACCATTAAAATTTTAAAAATATTTTTTTTGTTTCAACGAAAAGACTCGAACCTATTATAAACTAAAGATACCAATAGACCACAAATTTACACGCGACTCTAAAATACAGTTTTAAGTTAGAAAAGAAAGAAATCATGATAGCCATTAAAAATGCCAATCTTTTCCTTTTTAAATTGCATTGGTTTTTTTTTAAATTTTTTTTATTTATTATTCGTTAATTTTTTTTATTTTTTCAGTTTTCATTTGAATGGCTATCATAATTCGGTCTTATTTTTTTTTTTTATTATTCGTTAGGTTTTTCAGTTGTCTGATGGAAAAATTCAGAAGCCATCACTTAAAAATCAATCTTTAAAAAAGACTCAAAAGAAGACTCCAAATAGTCTTTCCTTTTGTTTTTTTTTCCAGAAATTATAGTTAAAAATAAAAAATTGTGGCCGTTGGAGATTTCATTGGCCACGACTCATGGAAAAGTGATTGTTCTTTTTCCATGATTCTAGTTGATCATGCTTGGTGCATGATTCAACACATATTTATTTAAAGTTCTATACAAGTTGTTAGAATTCTAGTAAATTTAGTATTTTTTTCTGTAAAGTAAAATTATTAATTCATGGTCACAAATCTTGCGCTACCAATGTTAAGCATATATAAATACATTTTTATTTGCTTTTTAAATTCAAAATTTATAAGGCTACTAAACTTGAATATTTGTAGGGTCAAAAAAATATGCATATTCATTTTTATTAAAATTTTATTTCGTAGAAAGAAAAATTATGAGAATTGGCAATAATTTCAAGAAAAAACTGGAGAAGGCCAATGAAAATTAAGATCCCAAAAACATAAAGTGAAAGAAAAAAAGAAGAATAAAAAAAGACCAGCACCACTTGGGGGCGGCTCATACACGAAAGGAAGGCGCGAATTTCAAGGACGCTTCTCGACGACCAAACCAGCAAAAATCCTCTAAATCCTTCTTCTTCTTCGACGGAGTGAAAATTTCTCATTTTCCGTTGTATTTCGTAATTTTGATTCTTTCTTTGCGAAAAAGTCGTGTTTTTTCTTCTTCTTCTATAAGTCTGAATCACGTTCTGTTGATCTACTTGAATTCCATCGACACTCGCGTTTCTCGTTTCGTGCTTAGATCAGAGCGCTTCCTCTGATTCCGTAAGATCTCTGTGTTTCTCATTACTTGCTTCCATTTCAACTTTTAGATTCCGAAACTTTGTGTCATCTACACATGTTTTGATTTTTCCTCTGTTCTCAAATTCCAGAATTCAGACACCGGTTGCGACATTTCTTCTGTCTTTTTCATCCTTGTTCATTTCAGATTTTCTTAAAAAGTTATTGTTGGATTTTGAGTAACACATTGTCCTCACTTCTCATCGCCCTTCAATCAAATTTTGGATTTTGATCATCATGGATCTGTGCATTTTGATCTATATTATACCGAAAAAATGTCTTGTGTTTTGTTTGATGATGTTTTCTTAGGACAAGAATCTTCATGTTTTTTTGTAGGAGCTATAATGGCGGCTCATGTTTCTGCTGGAAACATTCATAATTTCTATCTTGCGGGGCAGGTTTACAGGGGACAAGCTTACCCAAATTTTGGTTTTACAAATCCATTCAAAGAGCCCTCTTGGTATCACTTCTTTTTAATCCCAAATTTTGTGCAGCAATTGACATTTAGATTTATGTTTCTCATGCTGGACTCAAACTTTTATACTCTCTATGTGCATAGGTCAAGTGGCGTATTTAAGGCTCTAAAAGCTGATAGATGTGGTTGTTACTCTCGTGGTGTTTCCGCCATCACTGAGAGCTCAAAACCTTGTACAAGTATCAGGGCTGTTTCGGTATCGTCTTCAACAAAGTATTATGATTTCACTGTGATTGGCAGTGGAGTTGCGGGTCTGCGTTATGCTTTAGAAGTTGCAAAGCAAGGAACAGTGGCTGTGATTACCAAAGATGAGCCTCATGAGAGTAACACAAACTATGCTCAAGGTGGTGTTAGTGCTGTGTTATGCCCTTTGGATTCTGTTGAAAGTCATATGCAGGACACAATGGTTGCTGGTGCTCATCTTTGTGATGAAGAAACCGTAAGAGTAAGTTCCCATTTCTGATCATTACCTGAAAACTGTTTGATAAGTGTGTGTGTTAGTCTAGTGCATTTGAGAGATGGTCTAAACCTGTCTCACTTTTGACTATCTGAATGTCCTTTTTCAGGTTGTGTGCACTGAAGGGCCTGAAAGGATTCGTGAACTGATTGCGATGGGAGCATCTTTTGATCACGGCGAGGATGGAAATTTGCATTTGGCAAGAGAGGGTGGTCACTCGCATCGTAGAATTGTTCACGCAGCTGATATGACAGGAAGAGAGATTGAGAGAGCTTTACTTGAAGCTGTACTTAATGATCCCAACATATCTGTCTTCAAACACCATTTTGCTATCGATCTGCTCACTTCTCAGGTTCCACTTCACACCCTTGATAAACAAAATTGGCTATGATCAATTGGCTTATCAGATCAATCTTTTTTTTTTAATTGTAACAGGATTGCTTGAACACAGTTTGTCATGGTGTTGACACTTTGAATATCAAAACAAATGAGGTACACAAAGATCTTGTTTCTGGCGGTTTGATAATTCACCTTGTAGCTTAGATTGTAATGTAAAAAGAACTCATGTTTCTTCAGGTAGTACGCTTTATATCGAAGGTGACATTGCTAGCTTCAGGTGGAGCTGGGCATATCTATCCATCAACTACAAATCCTCTGGTAGCATTTTCTTTAGACTCTCTTAGTTACAAAACTCTATGGAAGTTTCATTTTACCAAGTTTATCAGAAGAAAGAATGTGTAGGAGCAACACAACAATTTTGTGTGTTTATGGGAAATATCCAAAAATGACACTTTTGATTAAGTATTAAAGTGATATGTCACTTAAATACAAAAGAAAATGTTGAAACCATCACTCTTCACACGGGTATACATAAACATACTGCATTAGAGTTTTAGATTTAACAGTTAAACAGTTGCAGAAACAAAGAGATTTAGTCATTAAGTACATTTTTTTGTTGCAATGATATTTCTCTAAAAGAGTAAAAGTGATATTATACTCCATTTTTATTATCCACATGGTCTTTGTATAGGTGGCTACTGGAGATGGGATGGCTATGGCTCATCGCGCTCAAGCTGTGATCTCAAATATGGAGTAAGTAAACACAGAATAAAACAACTGAAGAAACTTGTTGACAATAAACTTATGTTTTGTGTTTCTGTTTGTATTTGTTTTTGGTTAGATTTGTGCAGTTTCATCCTACTGCCCTAGCTGACGAAGGTCTTCCCATCAAACCACAAACCGCTAGAGAAAACGCATTCCTCATCACTGAGGCCGTGAGAGGTGATGGTGGCATCCTCTACAATCTAGGAATGGAGCGATTCATGCCTGTTTACGATGAACGAGCTGAGCTTGCTCCTAGAGACGTGGTTGCAAGAAGCATTGATGACCAGCTTAAGAAACGGAACGAAAAGTATGTGTTACTTGACATAAGCCATAAGGCAAGAGACAAGATTCTTGCCCATTTCCCGAACATAGCTTCTGAATGTCTTAAACACGGTCTGGATATCACCCGTCAGCCTATTCCGGTTGTCCCTGCAGCCCATTACATGTGTGGAGGAGTTCGTGCTGGTTTACAAGGCGAAACCAATGTCCTTGGATTGTTTGTAGCAGGTGAAGTAGCATGTACCGGCCTCCACGGGGCAAATCGTCTTGCTAGTAACTCGCTTTTAGAAGCTCTGGTTTTCGCAAGACGGGCTGTTCAGCCTTCGACTGAGCTCATGAAACGCACAAGACTTGATGTCAGCGCATCAGAGAAATGGACAAGGCCTGTTGTTGCGACAGCTAGATTGTTAGGAGATGAAGTAATATCAAAGATTACAGCTTTGACTAAAGAAGTGAGAAGAGAGCTTCAGGAAGTGATGTGGAAGTATGTTGGTATTGTCAGATCGACCATTCGGCTCACCACTGCCGAGAGGAAAATCGCAGAGCTAGAAGCAAAATGGGAAACATTTTTGTTTGAACATGGATGGGAACAAACAGTGGTAGCTCTTGAAGCTTGTGAGATGAGAAACTTGTTCTGTTGCGCTAAGCTTGTGGTGAGCAGCGCGTTAGCTAGACATGAAAGCCGAGGTCTTCATTATATGACAGACTTTCCTTTTGTTGAAGAAAGCAAGCGGATTCCTACAATTATTCTCCCCTCTTCTCCTACAACAGCTAGTTGGAGCTCAAGGCGGTTACAGAATATAAGCAGCAGCTCACTTATTGATTGTTAAAACTGCAGGAGTTTTGTTCTTATTTGAATCCAATCCTCTCTAATTATTGTATCAATTTGAAAATTTTTGGAACTCAAAAGAAATCTCTGATTCTGACAATCTGTAATACAAAAGAAAATAAATTATTCATTTGAGATATCAATCATTTTGGCAAATTCATATTTCAATCCCTTTGTTATGGTTTATTGATGACTTTCTGAACGAAAGAAACAATTGTGAGTGTGGATTTCCCAAGCAAGGAGCAGGATTGAGATTCACTGTCTCCATATCCTCGGTTTCTTTTCTCTGAGTAAATCATTCCAGAAGCTTCCATCCTTCTCCTGAGGATATCGCGAGCTCCAAGCTCGGGTATGGCCTCCATGACCAGACCAAACATGAATTCATTCTTTCTGTCTTCTTTAACTAGACCAGGATGCGATCTGAGAAGGCTGCACAAAGGCACATCTATTAACAATCAGAGATCTCTTCTTCAATGCTGCTTTCGAACAGCCTAGTTACTAGTTACACCCAGAAACCAGCTAGATCATAACTCATAAGTCCTGCCTGCTCTGCAGCTGCCATCATCGTTCTGCTACAATTAAATTCAAAGGGTATTTTCAGGAGATAGTTCTGGCTCGTGCAATTTGATTTAACAAAGAATAAAGTTATCCTGAAACACAATTTGAAGAAGTACTATGGTCCAATAATCTCACCAGCACTAACCCAATTGCGGAATCACAATTGCTTAGGTGTCCTGTTTGGAGCCAAATCTGCTACTGTAGTATAGTATCTGAGAAAATGAAACATTTAAGTAAAGTTCAGCTGAATCTTGGAGGGAGACTAGGATTTGAAGGATGAAACAGAATTACCAGATTCACGAATTTGAGGAACGAGCATTCTTTTTCTTGTAACACTCCTTTAAGAATCTTTCAGCATCAACCTTCATTCCAGGTTTAGAAAAGGCAGCACTTATCCAGTAAATAGTTTGATTACACGGAATATATCCCTTCTCTTCAATCATCTCTTTTAGCAACCCTTTTGCCTCTGCCAAGTACATTGCTTTTTTATTCCACTCAACTTCCGGATGAGTGCAAAGTTTGCACAGACCAGATATCATAGTACAATAAGTCGAAGTATTGGGGCTCACTCTTCTCTTACCCATCTCCTTCATTAGCTCTCTCGCCTGAAGCATCTTCCCAACTTTAGCAAATTCACTGATAAGCACATTATAAGTGCTGGTTTTCGGTACCAACCCATCCGCAATCATCTCACAATATATCGTCATACTTTCTTTCTTATTCCCTATCTTCGCTTGACCAGAAATTAAAGCATTGTATGTAAAATCGTCAGGACGCATACCTCTACTCTTCATCTCACTCAGCCATTTTTCCACTTCTTTTATTAGCCCCGTATCAGAAAGACCTCTTATTATAGTATTATAGGTTGCAACATTTGGAGATATTCCTGCTTCCATCATCATGGAATATGTCGAAAGAGCTTTACCTACATGACTGCCCACGAAGTACCCGTGCATAAGGGCATTGAACGTCACAGTATCAGGAACAAAGCCTCTCGCTTCCATATCCTCCATAACCATAGCTGCCTTTCTCGTCATACCTAGTTTGCACAGAGTAGCAATAAGAGTGTTATAAACTTGCCTACTGAGTTTAATCCCATAACTCAATAGTGTCTCATGTGTTTTGAATATAGCATCAGCTCTTTTATGCTTTGAAGACGTGTCGAGAAAAATTCGATATGTCGTTATGTTAGGATGGATCTCCATAAATATCATTTGATCCAATATGTCAATAGCTTCCTCCATTTTACCCTTTTCGCATAGCATTCCAACCACAATATTGCAAATCATCAGACTCGGTTTGATTCCACAACTCTTCATCTTATCCCAAAGCTTAAGGATACCTTCGAAATCCCCTTGCTTTCGTTGTGAATTCATCATTATGTTAAATGTAGCGATATCTGGTTCTATACCCTTCTCTCTCATTCCTTTGTAGGCCCAGTCTGCTCCGACTTTGCCAAACTTTAACAGCCCACTAATTAAGACATTATATGAAACAACATCCCAGGGCATCTCTTTCTCTTGCATTTCTTCAGCCCAAGCAAGAGCAGCTTCTTCGTCTCCTCCTTTGAAGAACACATCAATTAAAGAAGTGTAGTTAATATGATCCAGCGTCACTCCTTTAGATACCATGTCTTTGACTAATCCTTTAACTTCCTTAATCCTACCAATTCTCTTCAAGTGGTTCACCAGAGCATCAAGTATGTAGTTGTTTTCCTCCACCCCAATCAACCTCATCTCCTTACTCATTTCAAAAGCCACTTCTTGTTTCCCTGCCTTAAACAAGCCATCAATTACTGTACCATAAGTAAAACCATTCGGCACAACATTTTGGTCCTCCATTTTTCTCATAAGACTAACAGCTTCTTCGAGCATCCCTTTCTTCACATAACCGTTTATCATACTAGAGTAGGTTACAACATTCGGAAGAACACTTTTCTCTAACATCTGCGTTATGATAAATTCTGCACTGCTTAAATCCCCCGCTTTGCACAACCCATCTACCAAAGCCGTATATGTTACCACATTTGGAACTTGGTTATCTTCCAAAAGCATCTTAAATGTTTTCTCAGCCTCCCTAAGGTCCCCAGCCTTAAACAGACCATCCATCAAAACAGTATATACAACTAAATCTACAGGTATGCCACGCACAACCATCTGACTGTAAAGAGCCAAAGCATGGCGGTAACTTTTTGCTTTAAATAACGAATCAACAAGAGTAGTATAAGTTACATGGTTCGGATATACACCCATATCCTCCATTTCCCTCAGTAACAATCCCCCTTCCATCACTTTTCCATCTTTGCACAATCGGTTAATAATCGAACTAAAAGTAACAACATCCGGATCAAACCCACTCATAACCATATCCCTGTATGCTTCTTCAATTGCATGGAGATTGTAGTAGGAGCTTATGAGTATAGTATGAGTGATAAGGTTTAGTTCCGAGATTTCGTCAACTAAAGCCTTAGCTCTAGCAAAGTTTCCAACTTTACAAAATCCATCAATCAGAGTATTGTAGCTAACCGTATCAGGCAATATACCTATCTTCACCATCTCAGAGAGAAACTGATAAGCTTCATCAGCCAAACCATGTTCACATAAACCCGAAATCACAGTGTTATAAGTAACAGTATCAACGCTGATTACTCTATTTCTAACTAAACTAATCGCAAAACTCAACTGACCCACTTTGCACAAAGAATGAATCAACACATTGAGAGCAAAAACATCGGGAGAAACTCCACAAGCTATCATCTTGCTGTAAATCAACGATACCTGATCGTGTACCAAACCACTGAAACTGAAATGGTGAATCAAATTATTCCATAGACGCAAATCTGGAGCAACCCCGAAAGTGCACATCGCAGAGAGCGTCCTTGCTGCTCCGCAGAGCCTCCCACAGCTTAAATAAAGCCGAAAGAGAGTGTGGAAGAGAGAGACGAAAACCCGAGTCTTGTTGAGAGCTAAATCTGGGTGGAATCTTCGTTGTGAGATCGAGAGGCTAGTCTCTTCGCTTTCTGGGACTTGGGGTCGTTTGATTGACGAGAAAGAGCGGCAATTTGAGAGAAAGAATCTGTATTTTCCCTTATAGTTATTCCAAATCCTTATCATTATCATCAGCAGTGGGATTGGAGTTCATCTAAATCTCCAAAGTTTTCCAGAGATTCCTGCAAGCTCTCATGGCGTCTGCTTGTGACGACGCATCGTTTTCAGATGAACTGAGAAAAGAGTTTCGAAGCTCGACGACGAGGTTTAAGTTCAATAATACGATGTCGTTTTCAGAAAACTCAAAAATAACGGGGCTTATATATATTATATGGGCCTGTTTTGGGCTACACCTAAAATAAGCCCAAAACATATAAGTTAATATTTTTGTACATATAAATTAATAATAATGCGATGCTAAATCACAAGACTTATCCAAAACATATAACGTTGACAAACAACTTGGCCATATATCATTATTGCATTTTAGATGTTAGTATGAATTTAATTATTTTTATTCATGATGGAAACTAATATAAATACATATGTATTATCACATGTTAGAAATTTTAACCTTCATATATGTTATCTCAGTTAAAAAGGGATTTCATTTTTTTTTGTTGAAGAAGAAAAAGGATTTATGAAATATTTGGAAATCTTGGGTGCCAAGATATTTTTTCATATATACTTTGCATCAATCAAAAATTTGGTAAAATTCGATTTGCAAGTGTGAAAATATCATGAAGAGGAATCAATTAAAAAGGAAAAGAATATAACTAAATAGACATTACAGTCAGCTTTTTTAAACAAAGAAAATATAGATTTATTCATATTGTTTGAGATTTAGGTGAATGCATAGTTAGTAATTATTTCTTTAGAATTCAACGATTTTTTTCTAACAGTACTTGTCAAGTAACATAAGTACGATAATTAAAATCTAACGATGATGTATATGGAGCCGTCTTCCACGTGGCACAGCTACGCTGGTCCGGAGAAAAGGATGATTTGGTGCAGATGCGTGAACATTTCCTCCTATATAAATCTTCTCTTCTCCAATTAGTGATTTCACACAAAAACAAATCGACAAAAGTAACCAAATTGATATTTATCTCTTCTCAACCATGGCGATGAGACAAGCCACTAAGGCTGCGATCAGAGCATGTTCTTCCTCTTCTTCTACGGGTTACTTCGCGCGACGTCAGTTTAATGTAAGAGCTCTTTCGATCTCTCCTTCGATCGCTCTTTTTTTTCTTCCACGATTTAGGTTCTAAGTTGATCATCTGGAGAAATTGTGCTCAATCTAACTTGATTTTGCAGTTTTGTGTGGTGATTTTAGTGGTGTGTCGTTTTTTTTTAGATCGTTGGCCGTATGATTTGGCTAAATTTTGGTATTGAAAAAGCCATTTTGATTTTGTTGTGATATGATATGATCAGTCTGACTGTGCATGACTGAAACGTGTCACTAAAATTAGGAAAGCATAATTGTGGTTTCTGGATTAGGCCAGCTAAATTTTCCATTCTCGAACCAAAAGACTACAAGGTGTCTCTTTCTGGAATTATTAAACGGCACGATGTTTTTGCTGGGCTTTTAAACGGGCCTTTAAATAATTCATGTAGTTTCAAAACATGGAACACAAGTCTTACTGTCTTAGGATGTGGTCTCTTGATGGTTTTTCAGAGTTTTAGGTAGTTCTTAGGTGCCTGAAGGTTTTTCATCTTATATATGTATTCATCTTCTTTGTAAGTGGTATATATAAACTATATGTTAAATAGCTTACTGAATTTGGCTTATGAAACAGGCATCTTCTGGTGATAGCAAAAAGATTGTTGGAGTTTTCTACAAGGCCAACGAATACGCTACCAAGAACCCTAACTTCCTTGGCTGCGTCGAGAATGCTTTAGGAATCCGTGACTGGCTTGAATCACAAGGACATCAATACATCGTCACTGATGACAAAGAAGGCCCTGACTGCGGTAAGTATTCTTCCTAATTAACAATTACTTGGAGAATATTATCAACTTCTTGATTTTTTCTTTATATAGCACAAACTATAAATATGAATCTATGCCTCCTCTGATGCAAATCTTATTTACTAATTGCAGAACTTGAGAAACATATCCCGGATCTTCACGTCCTAATCTCCACTCCTTTCCACCCTGCTTATGTGACTGCTGAAAGAATCAAGAAAGCCAAGAACCTCAAGCTTCTCCTCACGGCTGGTATTGGTTCAGATCACATAGATCTCCAGGCAGCTGCAGCTGCTGGCCTGACGGTTGCTGAAGTCACGGGAAGCAACGTGGTCTCAGTAGCGGAAGATGAGCTCATGAGAATCCTAATCCTCATGCGCAACTTCGTACCAGGGTACAACCAGGTTGTCAAAGGCGAGTGGAACGTTGCGGGCATTGCATACAGAGCTTATGATCTTGAAGGGAAGACGATCGGAACTGTGGGAGCTGGAAGAATCGGAAAGCTTTTGCTGCAGCGGTTGAAACCATTCGGGTGCAATTTATTGTACCATGACAGGCTTCAGATGGCACCAGAGCTGGAGAAAGAGATTGGAGCTAAGTTCGTTGAGGATCTGAATGAAATGCTCCCTAAATGTGACGTTGTAGTCATCAACATGCCTCTCACGGAGAAGACAAGGTACGACACTAATATCACAAGTAGTAAAGGCGAACACTAACAAGACTATTTGTCTGAGATTTGACCAATGGGTTCTTGTTCATACAGAGGAATGTTCAACAAAGAGTTGATAGGGAAATTGAAGAAAGGCGTTTTGATAGTGAACAACGCAAGAGGTGCCATCATGGATAGGCAAGCGGTGGTGGAGGCGGTGGAGAGTGGACACATTGGAGGGTACAGCGGAGACGTTTGGGACCCACAGCCAGCTCCTAAGGACCATCCATGGCGTTACATGCCTAACCAAGCCATGACCCCTCATACCTCCGGCACCACCATTGACGCTCAGGTAATATTGTTTTCCTTGAACCGTAACAAATAACATACATGAATTGCAAACATATGTTAACGAATTAAAATATGTTGTTATCCAAAAAAGATGTATGTTGAAAACCCGAAACAGTGTTTATAGTAGTGTATTATCATTTAATGAACATTTGCCATTTGTAACTAAAACATGTTTGTTAAAAATTTGTAGCTACGATATGCGGCCGGGACGAAAGACATGTTGGAGAGGTACTTTAAGGGAGAAGACTTCCCTGCTCAGAATTACATCGTCAAGGACGGTGAACTTGCTCCTCAGTACCGGTAAGCTTTTGAGGAGGTAAGACTGGGAAGATGATGAGAAACGACCTCAACGTTCAAGAAAACAAATAAAAAAGTATTTCGACTTTGCTAAGTCGAATAACTTGGTCATCTTTTCGTTTAGTTTTTGTTATTTCATAAGCAGAATAATATAGGAGGGCACTTCCCCTGTTCCAAGAGTTTGTGAACGTATTCCTTTAGTAGTTTAATTCACACACAGTTTATGTATTTGTTTCCCAAATTGTAGGAACTCAATGGTTCCAAATCTCATTATATAAACATAACAATAAAAATGAATAAAGGAATTTGCCTAAAGAAAAGTGTTCTTGTTATTAGGACCTAGCTCTATCAGATTTTGATGCACACACCGACAATGGTCTAACTAGTAACTACAACATTACGACAACATATGAATCATTGTATGGAACGTGGGTCCATATTTGTATCAATATTTAAGTTGTTCACAACTATATCAAATTATCAATCCATATTATGCGTATTTAAAACTATAATATAAACAATACTGTTTTCATACTATTTTCTCAAGATGGGAGAAGAGGGTGGGATGCTAATCATTCGATTTGTAATTTGATCAAATCATCAAACAGTGGTTAGATTCAGATATGTTGACAGCCAACTCTTCCCTTTTTCCAAATCTGCCCCTTCCCCAACAGTGCATTATCTCACGTGTATGTGTTTTCTGCATCACTTTTATTAGTTTTGATTTCACAACACAACACATCACTTTTTGAACCTTAAACTTAATCTTAAAATTACACACTAACAATTCTCACAAGTGAAACCTAAATCCTACAAATGATTCCAGTTAATTATTATACGGATCTGACCAGATTTGTATTCAATTCTTATAGAGAGCCAAGTACGATATGGATTTAAAGCTCTTACACCTACCATGTATTTCTGTGTATCCATAAATTGTAGACATTTAAAGTCATTCTTATCATCGTTTCCAAAAATATTTGTAAAAATCTCATGGAAAACAATGTAGATCTCTGAAGAAAAATCATTCCCAAAAAAAAAGAACATTATGCTAAATTACAACAACAGTTGATGAGGATGTTTTTGGCGCTGGAGGGTCATAATCAATATCAAATCATAGAACTTTATGTCAAATAAACATAATAATCGTTAAAAATGAAAATATATAACCAAATTTTTTAATTTTGGAAATAATATATTCAGTCAAGACTCAATAAGATATTTTTGGGAATAATGTGAACAAGAAAAAAAAACATTAATTTCAACCGCGAGGCCATATCGCATATGGTAACTAGAAACCGACAAATAAAATCCTGTGCATATGGGTCCTATATAACTCTACTATACGACGCCGTTTCAAATTCACACCATACGAATACGACGTCGTTCGAAACTACACCATATGAATACGACTCGTGAAAGTGCTTCAAATCGCATCGCCGGTTTTTATAATTTTCGTCTTCTACAAAATAAAATCTCTCTCTCTTAAAATTTCTCCTTCACTTCTCTCTATTTTCTCTCGCATTTCAAAATTTCATTTCCTTATATAGATTCTTAAGGTCGGCGATTCTTGCGAGTCCACAGATTTTCCCTACTCCGCCGTCAGTTTTTTCTCAACTCAGAGGTTGCGTTTTTGCCACCGCTTTGATTCGCCGGTAAATTTCTCTAGCTCCATTTTTTGTATACGCATTTGCAAATTTGAACTGGTTTCGATAATCATTTGATCTCTGTAATTTGAGAATTTGTCAGCCGGTATTTGGAATCGCGAGGATTTGTTTCGGAAACTAATTGAGATCTTCTGAGAGTTCTTCAGTGAGATCGTGGTTTTGTTGTTATTGTTAAATTGCTTGAATTTCGAATTCGAAATGTAGATCTATGCTATGTCTCGCTTTCGCTGTTGAATTGGTCCCGTTTTCATCTTATTTTCAACAGTCTGAAGTTGACAAGTAGAGTTTACTCAGATTTTTTACTTCTCTATTGATGGCATTTAACTATCGTTCTTGTTTTTGAGATTCTTGTGTGTTTATCCCTAAAATTGAGGACATATTCGAGTGTAGGAAGAGACTGAAGAGCTGATCTTAAGGCTAAAGTGTCTTATTATTTGATTTTGGTTTGTAATTGCATATACATGGATCTACAAAGCTTGAATCAGCCTTCTTAATCTTCTGTTTGCTGGTGGAGTTTCTTAGCTTATTCAAGCTTTGTAGACTTGAATTCATCGAGATCTGAGTGCAATTTCTGAAGATCTATTGCTATCTGATGAGCTTGCAACGGATTTGAGTTTCTCATTATAGGCTTAGTGTAACAGTTTCACGAAAATTCAGTATCCTCTGAGCTTTTATGGAAGTTAGATTTCTTCTTCCAGTGTACTTGACCTTCTTGCACTGATTAATTATTATATCCATGCTATTCTGTATCACGAATGTATTTAGTTTTTGATGGTGATTTTTTTTAATTCCTGTTTTCATTCAGGTAACTTCACGTATGGCCAGTAATACTTTGAAAGATATGAATAGTCTTCATGTAACTGAGAAGATAAGTGACTGTAAAGCTAGCTTAACCAAGCCTTGTGTTGGCAAAATGAATGGAAAATCTGAAGATAAACCATTACCAAACTCTGCCTCTTTGGATTCCAGTGATCCTAAAGTTGTAGTAGAAGCAGAGAAACCCGAGCCAGAGAAAGCTATTGTTGAAGTTGAATATATTGAATCCGAAAACTTGGATAATGTAGACGATGCTGATGCAGTTCTGAAGGTATTTTTTCTGTTTGTGCTTCTGTGTTGTGGTTACATCAATTCCCATTAGTATCACTACGCCCATAACTGCGATGAATTTGTTATACCCGTCTATTTGGAGATTGGAACTATCATTGTTTACGCGAAGACGAATCTGTTTGGTCTTATTGTTTCAGTCGGTTTTAGCTGGACTCGAGTCCAAGGATTGGATTTCAGTTTGTGATGCTCTTAATAACGTTCGCCGGCTTTCGATATTCCACAAGGAAGCAATGCTGCATATGCTGTAAGCTTTGTTCTCTATGCTGATGTCATAATTATCTCTTAAAGTAGATTGGAAAATGCAAGTCTCACCATATCCCATTAACAGTGAAAAAGTGATACCACTTGTCGTGAAGTCACTGAAAAATCCAAGAAGTGCGGTGTGTAAAACGGCATGCATGACATCTGCAGATATCTTCAGTGCATATAATAATCATATAACAGATCTGTTGGAGCCTCTGGTAACTCTTCTATCTTTTTTTACTCTTCCACTGTGTTTCCTGTGAACTTTACTTGTTCTTACAGCTTTTCATACACTTTATACTTTATGCTTTCAGCTTACTCAACTCCTCCTCAAGTCTTCCCAAGACAAACGGTTTGTTTGCGAGGCAGCAGAGAAAGCTTTAACAGCAATGACCAAATATGTTTCCCCAACCTTGCTGTTGCCAAAGCTGCAACCTTGTCTCAAGAACAGGAATCCTCGGATCCGTGCTAAAGCATCATTATGCTTTTCTCGAAGTGTTCCTCGACTGGTAATACAAGTTCAACTTCTGTTCTTCCCATACATCTCTCACAAAGGCACCACATGTTATGTAAAAATTCCAACAATTCCTTGCGCTATAATACATATTCCAGGGTGTTGAAGGGATTAAGGAATATGGAATTGACAAATTAGTTCAAGCAGCCGCATCTCAGCTTAGCGATCAGCTCCCTGAATCCCGTGAGGCTGCACGGACCGTCCTACTAGAACTTCAGACCGTATATGAAAAAGCTCATCCTCTCATCAACCCTGAAGCATCATCCTCATCATCACCAGAAGAAGAGCAAATTGCGGAGGCAGAGCCAATTACTTGGGAAATCTTCTGCCAGTCAAAACTGTCGGCTCTTAGCGCACAAGCGGTGCTTCGTGTCACCAATGTTGTGACTGTCACTGCTCGGGAGGGTTTGGTTACTACAGGTTCATCATCTTCATCTCAGCTATAAACCTTTTCTACTACAATTTTTTTTTAAACCGTTTGCTACGAGTCATACGGTTTACATGGTATTCTCCGGCATGATCGACCATATTGGCAAATTATGGACCGAGAAAAAGAGTGAAGACCGTCTTATTAAAAATCTTGGTTTCTTTCTGGATTATTTTTCTTTTTGTGAGTTCTCTTCAGTCTTCACCAGTACTTTTTTTTCTTCTTTTTCTTATGTGTATATATTCTATACCAAGATTTGGTAAGATAGTCCGAGTCTTTTGGTTTTATTCAAAAATTGGTCCGGATTCTTTGAAGCTTCGGTGTTCATTATTCAGTATATGCTCCTTGTTGAAGTTTCGCTAGATTAAGCTTTGACTCATAGTATAAGATTCCTTAATTTAGTCAATTCTTTTTAGAATCAGAATCACTTTGGCTTAGTGGTTAGCTATTGAACCCAAAATTGAAGTGGCTTTTATTAGATCAACAATTATAAAAAAGTATCCAAGTTCTGAACCAATACATCATAGTGTAGATAAATAATCTTCACCTCTACCATCGAAGACAAGTGGCCAGTGGGATAAAACTCTCAGCTAAAAACAAGGAATGCCATAATCCTTATTTTGATGAATCTGTGAGGTGAAACAATAGCAGCAACACCATATATATCATTTAGCTCTGAGAGAGCTCGCGGCTTCGTTTAGCTGCAGCAACAACTGCATTCATAAGTGTTGCCCGGAAAGAGCCTTTCTCTAGTTCATGAACTCCAGCTATTGTAGTGCCGCCAGGTGAAGTAACATCATCTTTCAACACACCTGGATGCTTCCCAGTTTTGCTAACCATTGTTGCAGCTCCAAGAACCTGTCAGAGGAAAAACAACCTCAAAGCTCAGGGTTCTCTTTCTAGTTTTGGTTATTCAATACCAAAATAAAGTACATTAAAGAAGCAGTGTGGAAGTTCACTGACGGTTTGTGAAGCTAAACTCAATGCGAGCTCTCGGGGTAAACCAGCAGCTACTCCTCCATCAGCTAAAGCTTCAATGGCTAAGAATATGTATGCTGGTCCACTTCCGCTGCAAAAAGTTTGAAATTTTCTTGATTAGTGACTTGAACAACTCAAGCATATCAGAAGCTGCAGTGCTTTTACGTACCTGAGACCAGTGACAGCATCAAACATTTTCTCATCAGCTTTCAATATCTTCCCCACCGCGCCAAACAACTTAGCAACAATTGCTCCATCCTCTTCCGTTGCTCCTGTGCCAAGGCTCATAACTATATACACAAAACATAATTGGCAAATGTAAGCATTTAATAGCTTCAGAGAGAAACAGAAATCAGAAGCAAAATTCAGAAATAGCACAAAATGGGAAGACTCTGATAAACAACCTGAAGCTGCCTCACCAACTGCGGCAGGTGTATTAGGCATCACCCTTATAAATCGATCTTGACCAGACCATTCCTAACATAGAGAAAAAAAAAGGACTTTTAAGCTTTTTAACCAAATTGAGCTCTAGAAACATTGTTTGATGCATGAAAAAACTAACACTGCAACACCATGGATAGTGAAAACTTAAAATGGCAAAAGTATAGGAGTAGTAGAAAGATGCAAAACCTGAAGATCTGTCAACTTGATTCCAGCTGCAACCGAAACCAGAATCTTACTCTTTGAAAGCTTCGATCTTAATTCCGTGACAGCCTTCTTAACTACATATGAAAGGTACCATCTTTAATCAGGTAAACACACCAAATTACGTTGATGAATCAATCATATAATCAACGATGAATCAATGGAGAGGTAAGAAATATATACCAACTTGTGGTTTGACAGAGAATATGACAACATCGCTTTCTTTAACAACCTGTCATTTTTTGAAGATCATCAGTCTCAATTTAGTTAAACACCACAAAAAACACACAAGACATTGAAGAAGAACTTACCTCTTCGCTAGTGGAGAAGACATTGACGCCGAAGGATTCGAAAACATCACGGCGATTGAGATTTGAGTGAACGGCGGTGGAGATACGATTTGGAGGAAGCACACCGGAAGCAACCACACCTCTAGCTATACTCTCCGCCATTTTACCAGCTCCGATGAATCCTACCTTAAAGCTCTCCGCCGGAATTGGAAGAATCTCCATCGGAAAAAAATTACGGATTAAGGATACGATTTAGGGTTGAGTTCTGTTTCAAATTATAGTATCTTTATTCTTTAGAGTCACGAGATCAGTTCAAGTGGAGATTTGTATCGTCGTCGTTTACTCAAAAACAAATACAACATTACGGCGTTTTTTGGGCTATCAATGTAAAACTAGACCAACCCAAAACGACACGAAGTTAAAAAAACAGGTGTCACTCTCTGTCTGATCTCTATTACACTTGAATGACACTAACAAGAGAATCGCAGCTATTGTCACTCTCTGTTTCATCAGAGATTTCTTCCACTTCAATAGCTGCTCGAGTTTCCTTGCAACCTCTGTGACTGTATATACTCACTAGTCACTTCATAACGTCGGTGACCGTCAAACACAAAAGTTAAGACTTCTCCATCTCTAAGCTCGTTCTCCGCCACAAAATTGGCCCATCCTTGTTCAAAATACACGCTTGCTCTTCATTGCTACTTTCCAAGTCCTTCCACCATTTCCCATGAGAATCACAGTCTTGGGCAATCGACGTGGTAAGTGGTCGTAGTAAGATCTTGGTATCAGCTGCTCAACACAAAATTAAACTGTTAAAAGTAACTGATCAGCAACAAAACATATACTAGAGACTATGTCTGCAACTGCAACAGAGGCTTTCAACACATAAATAAGCAACACAAAAGAAAAACTACTCTCTACTTTTAAAAGTTTTTAGCATATTCAAACATATATAATACACTTTCTTGAGCTAAGAATGTTTAAACCTTGATTTAAACATAGAGAGTTACAATGTTGTTTTAGATCTAACATTCTAACTCACATACACCACCACTGAACATATATATGAACAAAACATATATTTCCAAGAAACTAGTTAAGTCAGACAAAAATTCATAGAAAAATCTTACAAAGGAGTTGGAGTTGTACTGGGAAAGAAAAACACTGAAGAAACGAGGTAACACATCACTTGAAGCCATGGATGATGTAGAAACTGTGAGAGAGAGAAATAGAACAGACGAATTAGGCAAAAAAAAAAAATTACGAAAGCTACAAAGTTTAAGAGACATTGGGAACAAAGAAGAGAGACTCTTACCAAGAAGGGAGCCGGAGCTGTTCTGGTCCAAAAGATTCTTCTCTTAAGAAGACAAGTCAGAGATTGAATTCTTAACAAGATTAAAATGAGAGAGTGCAATGGAGAAGCAGAACACAATTAATGTGTTTTCTACATACGAACCTGTCTTCTCTGTCCTTTCTCTTCGTATAGCCAATGAGAAAGTAGCATTTTGCTTTTTGTCTTTTATTTTTCTTAGAAAGCCTAATTAGAGTTTTGGTAGCTTTGGAAGTTAAAGTCACATGTAAAAACAGAGTATCAATTGGCCAAAACAAACAACATATTCAAGATCAGAACCATGAACGTATAAGCTCATTTTACTGAGTTAGCTACTCTAAATATTAATTGTTCAACATTACCAGGTTAACTTCACTATTAGGGGAAGCAAGTTAAACTAGAGTGTTGTTTTGTTTCATCATTAGTTTATTCACCATTTAATTTCCAAAACAATCCCACAGTTTGTACTATAGTACACTCAATGATAGCAATAAATGAAAAAATCAGTCAATGACACCAAAATCAGCTTTCTTTTGTCTTTTAAGTGGCAAAAACATTGATAACTATATCCAGTTCTGTACTCAATCTCTCTGCACTGTTTTGTCCTATTATTATTTTTGTTACGATCAGTGAGGTCGCTAGTTCAGATTCAATTAACAGTTTCTGGATTAACGATTCTGTCTACCTAAACACTTGTGGGCAAAAGAATGTGATTAAGAACCTCAGTCATCAAAGAAATTAACTAGTCTCAAATTACATCTCTGTTCTATCTATACTCATTGTTACCTGGTTGAAACATTTAACCGGGACAGATTGGAACTAAAACGGTTTGAGATAACCGAAATTAGTCTCTTAAGGTACAAACAACTATGTGTTTGATTTTGAGACAGAGGAGTTCAGAGAGGTTCCATGGTGTGATGAGGCTAATGATTATATAAGAACCTTGAGGCTGCTTACTCCTCAAGGGGAAACTATGTGTGGTTTACAGCATAGACTACCACTGAGGATTGAAGATCTCGATCAACCTTGAAATGCGCGTGGAAAAACCTTCTCAGCTGTTTCATTGCCAACAAAACAAAAAATTTAGTCCATGAATGCATAAAACAAATAAAGTCGAGATGGGAAAAAAAAAAAAAAAAACTGCGAGTGTGTTCTTGCTTCTAACTTGCCTCTTTAAAGGAATGTTGGATCATGAAATCTCTGAGTTTTGTTTCTTCTGGTGCAAACAATACAATGTGACTAGGCGGCTCTGACCAGTTTCTAGCTAACTCTGATGCAAAACCTAAAGGGTTTACTAAGAACCGGTCTGACTCATCAAGTTGTCCCTTCTCTTCACTGTTTGAGAAGAAGAAGAAGAATCCTTAAGGATCGCATAGAAGCAAGAGCTGTGACTCGGGGTGTGATCATTTACCTTGGCGTGCAGTCGAGAAATTGCATTGGAATGTTACGATGGAGAGTGGAATAGTACGGAGTAGAATGGCACGGCATGAGAAAGAGAATGCTCTTTACTCTCCCTTTGTATGCTTCATCCGATAAGTAGTTCATCGCATCCTCGGTTCCTCTCTGTTGGAAACAACAGTCCTTTTTAGCACAAATAGAGAGAGTAAACTCGGAAACTAGAGAGAGCACTCAAGTTATTGGTTTTTTACCTGATGGAATAAACTCATGTATAGTGCCATTGGGATATTGGTAGCAAGCAAAAAAACGACTGAAAGTCTTAATTTAGGAGACCACTTGGCATGGTTCTGTCGAGGGACTTGCTTCTTTTTAGTGACTGATGTTGATGATGAACCAGATACTTCCATTTGAGCAAATGCATACCCAGAGAATATCAAAGCTATGGGCAGCACAGGCAGGACAAACCTATCATTCATAATCTAAGTCGACGACACGGAAAACATAATAAATGATGAAAGAGTGTTCTTTGCGAAGTTGTCGATATTGAAAGTGTAAGAAAACGGGGTACGTTCTCCATTCATATTACCTGAATTCCTTGTGGCCGAGTACGCTGTATATTGCTAAGACCCATAGAATAAGAACTGAAAGCTTCTGATTCTTAGAATTGAAAATTCCAGTAATGGAGAATGGTGTAAAAGTGAAAAGCATGACAAGAAATCCCTGGGTGAAGTACCAGTGCCATGGGTGAGTTCCATAATAGTCTCCACCAGATGAAAGAAAATTAAACTTCAGAAAATTGAGAGGCACAATGACCCACGAGCCGTACATCAGACGGTCCAACAAACAAGTGAAACCGAGGACCAAAGATCTAACACCAGAAGCAAGTTAGCACAATGAAATCTTCAAAAGAAAACATTAAAATGAACATTCAAGAGTATATCTGCAGAGTTAAACTTACCCAATCGGGATCACCTCTAGCATAATGAATTTGACCTTATTACGTGTCAAAAATAGCTCGAGCATCCCAACGTATAACCATATGATTGCACTTGTAGGCCTTATGGCACATGCAAGGGCCGCTATAACCAAACCCCACTTCCGATTCACGGGATAGTCTGTTGAAGAATCTCTAATACAAGGCCAGTAGTACAGCCCCATGATTGTAAGAACAGTCTCCAAGCAGTTTGAAAAGGTACGGTTCAAACAGAAGAAAATGAACCAGTTTGACATTTGACAAAAGAGCTACTAAAAAGTTAAGGAAGCAATCCAGAATATAATGCAAATAGAAATTAAGAAATAATAAGAGGAAACCACAGACAGACTTATCTAAGTTTTTCGGTTACCTCAACCCATCATTGCATAGGAAACTACCAAATAGAGTGTAATGGTGGGTTGGCTACATTATTGCAGATAATGTTTGTTCTTTACTAACCAAGGTCTAATCTTGTAATTCTCACGGATTGCAAATTCATATAGCCATATCATTCAAAAATATAAAGCAATTCGCTTAGTATGCTGCATAGAAAGGATACAGACCAGCTTGCAACATTTCCTCCATATAAAGCATCTGAGAGTTTATACAAATAGAGATCACCAATAGCTGAAAATATGGATTGCATAAGACGTGGGGCTTTGATCTGCAAAGAGTGAAAAAGGTTGTAACACATAAACCATACTATCAACCTTTCTTTGAACATGGTGAGAGCTAGAATTGCGAAAACCCAAGACAACACACGACTACTCCAATTGGAAACTTGTTAAGACTTTCAACTAAATCAGATTTTGGAGAAAACTAAGGTCAAAATCAAAATAACCAGGTAGTGCTTCTAATAAGACCAAAAACTTCCAGAAACTAACCATTATGTAGGGAGTATCAAGGCCAGTAACTTGGAGAAATTTATACAAGAATGCGAACACCATTGGATGAAAATAGCTTCTTATTCCTCTCTTCCACTCCCATGTCAAATAACCATACCTGTCATTACCATCAATCACCCAAAAAAAAAATCTTAAAAATAACAATCATAGCTGAAATCACCGACTCTTCTGAATGCGTCAAAATTCTCACTTCTCCTATGTGATTTATGCTTCCGAGAAGAATCTAACACTAAAACAGATCATTGAATCACAATCGATCAACGAATGCAGTAAGAGAAACACCAAAATCTCAGTTCAACCAGTTCCAACGAATCCAACTTCAACAAAAAGGCAAGTCAAATTCAAATCTAGAGAATAGAAACATTTACCCAAAGACGGTGCGGTGAGCTACTTCAAGTGATTGCCAATGTTCGTCAGGATTGAAATACGTCTGAATCAACAATGCATTTACCACACGAAACGCCAGGCAGAACAAGAATATCCTCCTCGGAGATCTTGATAAAACACTAAACGAATCGGGATCACCACCGCCGTTAGCCGACGCGCCACCGTCGCCATCGCCGCCGGCCTTCTTCCGCTTCCTTATTTCCATCGAACAAGTTTTACAGAGTTTTGAGATTAACACACATTGGGTTAGTTTCAAATTTTAATGGGCTTATATAAAATGGGCTCTGGATTATTTAGGCCCATCTCATTATAATCTCTTTTTGACTTTTTCAGTGAAGTCATTACCTTAACACGCCTATGTCAAACGTTACGTCATAATAATTTGTAAAGATGTTAAATTAAGCACGAAATCATAAAGTGAACATTAAAATATAATCGAAGAAAAAGAAGAGAACATTAAAATATAATCTATTATACCAAAATGATATAACGTGGTTTTGCTTGCGGGGTTATAATATCTTTGGTTCTTAGTTTTAAGAAATCAGCTTTTTTGGGATAGAAAGTGGTAGATGTTATCTTCAGATTGGCCGCAGACATCCTTGGTAAATCTATCGCAAGTGCTTCGATCGAAGAGGTTATTTGCTTTTTTTTGGTCTATTGTTTCTCTTACGATATATACATGGGTGCTTCTTTACTTAGTTTAAGATTTTAGCCTCTTTCAATCTTTGGTTCGATTACTTCTGCTTTTTATTTCTAGTGTCTTTAGTTTCTTTTCCATAGAGTTTTGATCCAAGGGAAATCTCGTCTTCTTTTGGTTTTGTTTCTGAGGACTTTTATGTTGTTCACCGACTTTAAATTCTATTATTTGGAATGTTTGTATTCTTTTTTGGTTCCACAACAAGTTTTATTAATAAAATTTCGGATCGAATGACAAAAAAAAAAAAAAAAGTTTTGGAGATATTCCTGTACTTCAATTTCTTCATTTATTCTCTTTTGTCCTTTTACAAACATTGCTTCTACAAAAAGATAACAGCATCTCCATTCAAAAGTTCTAATAGATTATCTAAAGAATAAAATAATAAAAAGAAACAGAAATGGAATATAGAGATTGAGAACCAGTTCTTTATTGAAAACTTTTTAAAAAACTCATTAAAACCTTTCTAGCCATTTGTCATCAAATAAGTGGTTTAATTTTATTTTTAAAATTAAAATTTAATTACTTATTTAAATAATATTAAAAAGTAATAATATATTGTTGTTGAGATATTCTTTTAGAGTATTTAAAAGATGGAGGTACTCTAATAAAGTAGTATACAACATTACGACCCATGGACGTTACTTACGTAAGAAAGTGACATAAAACACATATCCAAAATCTGTCATTAAATTGCATGCAGAGACGTGCATAAATGAAAAAATAACATTTGCCCTACATCCTTTAATTTCAGTATAAATTTTGGGTCCCGATTTTTAAAATTTTCATTTAATTTACTGATAAAAAAAGGTTTTTTTTAATGGTCATTTAATTTTGTGTATTACGTTCATAGCTCAATTTCGTATAGTAGGGGTCTAATCTTGAATTTCCTTTTCTCGTCATTCTTTAATACTTGTAAACCGTTGAATTTTATTTTACTTCTCACCAATTTGATTGTTTGGAGTAGTACTATGATAACAAACACTATTTTGTAACGTTAATTAACTTCTATTACTACAAGCAACTTTAGGTAAGTACCATAAAGTCAAAATAAATCATAGTTTGTTTTTTGGAAACATCAAGTCAAAAAAACAATAACTACTCTTTGGAAATACAGTTATGTAAAATTCTACCAATAAATATAGTCATTGTGGAACCAAATGTAATAAGAACGCAAAAAATGGCCCCCGTTTCATCATCGCATCATCATGTGGTTCTCTTCCCTTACATGTCAAAAGGCCACACGATTCCTCTCCTCCAATTCGCCCGTCTCCTCCTCCGTCACCACCGTGTCGTCCCCGGCGACGAACCAACCATTTCCGTCACCGTCTTCACCACCCCAAAAAACCAACCATTTGTCTCAAACTTCCTATCCGACGTCACATCATCAATCAAAGTAATCTCCCTCCCTTTCCCTGAAAACATCGCCGGAATCCCTCCCGGCGTCGAGAACACCGAAAATCTCCCTTCCATGTCACTTTACGTGCCCTTCACGCGCGCAACCAAATCTCTCCAGCCTTTCTTCGAAGCAGAACTCAAGAATCTTGAGAAAGTGTCTTTCATGGTCTCCGATGGATTCTTATGGTGGACATCGGAATCCGCCGCTAAACTTGAGATCCCGAGACTCGCCTTCTACGGCATGAACTCGTACGCATGGGCTATATACTCTGCCGTTTCGGTACACGAGCTCTTTACCAAACCGGAAAGTGTTAAATCTGATACTGAACCGGTTACTGTACCGGATTTTCCATGGATAAGTGTTAAGAAGTGCGAGTTCGACCCGGTTGTGACCGAACCGGATCAATCGGCTCCAGCGTTTGAGCTAGCCATGGACCATATTATGTCCACCAAGAAAAGCCGTGGAGTTATAGTGAACAGTTTTTACGAGCTCGAGTCAACGTTTGTTGACCACCGGCTCCGTGATAACGATGAGCCAAAGCCGTGGTGTGTTGGGCCTTTGTGTTTGGTAAATCCTCCAAAACCGGAGAGTGATAAACCGGATTGGATTCATTGGTTGGACCGGAAGCGAGAGGAAAGATGTCCGGTTATGTATGTGGCGTTTGGAACGCAGGCTGAGATATCAAACGATCAGCTCAAAGAAATTGCATTAGGGTTGGAAGATTCCAAGGTACGTTAAAAGCATCGATTAATGCCAACTTATAACCTCATATCTAATTTAATACAGTTGTCTAGTCACTTTTATTATTCGATCTAATTCCATGCATGTGCATTTCTTTATTTTTGTTATTAACCCATAAAACATTTTTTCCTCTATATAACAAATTCATCTGTGTCAAAAAGAAAAGTAATTTGTTAATTTACGTGGTCTTGATTGTTTAAAAAGGTGAATTTCTTGTGGGTCACGCGAAAGGACTTGGAAGAAGTAACCGGAGGATTAGGGTTCGAAAAGAGAGTGAAAGAGCATGGGATGATTGTGAGAGATTGGGTAGACCAATGGGAAATATTGTCACATGAAAGTGTAAAAGGGTTTTTGAGTCATTGTGGATGGAACTCGGCGCAAGAGAGCATTTGCGCTGGAATTCCGCTACTCGCTTGGCCAATGATGGCAGAGCAGCCACTCAATGCGAAGTTGGTAGTGGAGGAGCTAAAGATTGGAGTAAGAATCGAAACAGAAGATGGAAGTGTGAAAGGATTCGTGACAAGAGAAGAACTTAGTCGAAAGGTATATACAGTATATGAACGTACCCTCATGTTTCTATCTTTTGTTTTCGATTCTTGTCACGCATTATAATAAAATGTTTTGAATGAATCTAACATTAGATCATGGCACTAAACAAGGTAATCACGGTTTGCTTTATAACTAACAAATTAATAAGAATGAAGCATTGTTCCGTTGATTGCATTTTTTGATTTTACTATATTTAGGTTAAACAATTGATGGAAGGAGAGATGGGGAAGACTACGATGAAGAATGTGAAAGAGTATGCGGAAATGGCGAAAAAAGCTTTGGCTCAAGGGACCGGTTCTTCTTGGAAGAATTTGGATTCACTTCTTGAAGAGTTTTGTAAGAGTATAGAGCCAAACAATGTTAATAAGTTGTCAAGTTCTGATGATTAGAGAGATTAAAGATTAGAAAAAGAAAGGTTGTTAAGTACTTATGTTTAAAAGGATTAAGGATTGGATAACAAAACCGGTGATCATTCTTCTCCCTTTGATATATATGTTGGTTTAACAGGTGTAGATGAAGTTTGGAGTTTTGGTCTTATTGTTTCAACAGCGAAAGTAGTACCTAACATGAGAAAAAATCATACATATAACATTGAGACAGTTTAAGAACAATGTATTTTTACTCTACACTCGTTATCTATATCTAATAACATTCTCAAACCGAAACAAAAAGAAAAGAAAAAAATTAGAAGTTCAAATAATTTATGGGATTTCCTAACTATGTACCATCTAAAACGAAACAGTTCACACAAGTTTTTTTGCCCATAATGACTACACTTTAAACGTCTTCTTTATCTATAGAGAAATCCGGCTCATCTGGTTTGAATAGTTGAGGCATCTTCAAACTGCTTGAAGATCCATCTTTTTTACCAGTACTACTACTTGAAGCCTTTTGATTTGTGCCTCTTCTCGTGTTTGCCGCGAATTTAGATGCTAAGATCGTTGCTCCAAGATTTTGATTGTTGTTTGTGTTGTCCATTGATCCGCCTTCCATATCCTCCTCGTCGCTTCCATAGTAATATTCTCTAGTTTCTTCGTCTTCTTCATTGTAACCTGTTTCATCCGTGTAATAGTATCCGCTACTCTCGTGAAGGCTGAGTTCTTTCGCGAGCTTTCTTCGCTTGTATCTTCTCCATGCGGATTGGACAAAACATGCTCCCCATGCTCTCCATTGATGTGAGTAGTACCTGGAAAATGGACATATTAGCTCCTTCCCGGATCGTCATACCGAGATACATTTTCGTGTTATGACTGGATCAACCTATCACAAGAATCCTATGAATGGTTTACCTAAAAGCGTGTTGCAGTTTTTTGCTTTGAAGACGCTTGAACTGATGAGCAACGAACTTAAGATCCTCTGCGCTTAAGGCAAAGGCTTCGACTTCAGAGAGGGCACGGACGCTTCGGGTTGAAGACGGAAGATTGAGTGTAGAGTTTGGCATTAAGGCCCATGTAAGAAGTTCTTCCCCACAGAAATCGCCAGGGCGTAGAGTAGTGGAGTTGAAGAAACCAGATCTTCCTCCATTTGTTGTTGAGCTCTCTATTTGTCCTCGGATCACAAATAGCATCTCATTCACCGGATCACCTTCACGGAATATGTATGTCCCGGCTGTGCTTAAAGATGAGACAAGGCATCCGCATATAGCATCAAGAAGTTGATCATCCATTTGAGAGAAGAATGGGACCTGCACTTAGCAAAACCGTGTGACTTCTGAATTGGAAAACAGTCACATCCATAACAGTTTTTGAGAACAGAGTTGATGTAATGTACCCGGCGGACAAGGGCGAGACAAAGATGACGTTGGATTTCGCGGCGTAAATCTGTAGGTAATGAATGGAGGATTGATTCTTCATCGACACCTCGGGTTGCAAGCCATTTATATTGAACGAATCTTCGGACACGTTCTTGAAGCTCTGGAGGTAGTTGACGATGTCTCATCCATTCTTCAGTGTCTCTTCGCTTAACTCTCCATTCCTCAACTCTTACTGACATCGATTGTAGAGAAGACTTTCCACCAAATTAAAAATCACAAAGCCTTTTGTTAGAAAGACAAAAACAATGTCTCTGTATTGAAAAGTTTTGCAGAGTGATGATAAGCTCTGAATCTTACTTGCATGTTACCAATCAGGAGTGTAAAGAGAATCAACCCAAAAATACAAATTGTTATACAGAACAAGGTCTCGCCAAGGTATACACTTGTGGTTATATTCTGGCCATAAGAACTGTGAAACAAAACCATTATTAGAACCAAAGGAAGACAATCTAAGATAGAGAACAAATATTGGTTGGATCAAAGGCTGTCATACCTTAGATTTCTTAAACCCCACCAAAGACAATACAAGTATTTGGACACAAAATCTGTTGTAGCAACTTGAGTGGTAAAGGCTTCAGCAAACATCCCAAACTTGAAATTGGTAGTGCTACTTGTAGCATCACAATGAGAAAGGACCTGAGTAACGTTCTGCCAATACTGGCGCTCAGGTTGCTGCAAACTCTTGCAGTCCAAGAAGCTAGGAAGACAATCCAAAACTCTCAGGGCGTTATCTTTCTTACATACATTAGACCAGCACGAGAACTGCCGCCCGATTGATGACAAATACCACATTGCTCCTAAAACCTGCCCACAAATCGAGACTCTTAGCAACTTAAACTGAAGAAACCTAGAGAGAAAGACAAAGAAAACTTACGTGACTAGCAAGGATGTAGAGGAGGAGGTTGTATGCAGCTCCAGCCCAAGCAGTCTTGGCGATAAACCCGGTTGTTTTGATAATCCTTTGGTTGAGTGGGAATATGATGAATGATCTTGGAATGTATTGAACAAGAACGATAAGTGCGAGAGTGCTATTGGCATGATTAGCAGTCCCGTTTGTAGCGGCTGGAATTACTAGCCAAATAACAAGCTGAGGAAGGGGAAGCATGGCGGCGACATCAATGAGGAAATCTGTCTTCAAGTATCTCATAGCAATCTCTCTTGAATCCATAACAAGCTCACCGCGACCAAAAACTCGAGAGCTTCTCGCGACGAAGGCGGTTCTGAATTTCATGAGGATGTGCAAGAGGTGGAAGAGATCGGCGACTGTACGGAAGAAAGTGACTGTAGCGGCGAGGCTGATGTCGATGGAGAGACAGGCGGGACCTCCGACGTAAGGGACGTAGAAATAGAGAGGATCGAGAAAGAGAGCGAGGATTGAGGTAATGAGAAAGACGTGGTTCCAATAGGTGACGATGTTGCTGTCCGGGTCGAGGATCTGATGCCGCCATAGAAGGACGCTGACTTGGCTACCGTCAGATCCTCGATTTGAGGCGGCGGCGGAGGTTATGGTCTCCGGGAGGAGGCAGCGGAGAGACCGGATTTTATTCATCTTCCATGGCGGATTCCGGTGTTAACTCGGATTCCGCATTAACGATTGAGATTGATGGAGAGAGAGAGAGAGAGGTTAGGGAGGTTACGTTGCGTCGTGAGATTTTTTTTTTTTTTTTTGGGTTTTGCATTTTGTTTTTGATGATTATGGATGAAGGAGAGGATTTGTCGCGGGAAAACTGAGAGAAGGGCCATGGAAATAGGGGGAGGGTAGTCTTTCGAAAATATGATGGGAGAATGAGGGTATTTACGGAAATTTAGGTCCTCGAGGGTCTCGTTTGTTTATGCTGTTTTTGTGTTCTCAAAACAGCACACGTTTTGCATCTTGAAACTTCAATCGGCATAACGTTTACTGCGCTTAATTATTGGACCTACTGGCCCAATAGTTATAGATCAGCCCGTTTCGTAAACGAATTTTTCTGACTTGTGTGACGTAAAAAATACATAAACATTTGTATTACCAAAAAAAAAAGAAAATTAAGAAAAAGAAGAGTATAAAACTCTATGATCATATATTACTGTTTTTAGTAATTTTAAATTACATTCCGGACAAATATTATTAGTATAAAAATTAAAGAAATAAACATCACGATTAGAAAAAATGATTAATTAATTCGTTGAACCATGCTAAGATTAGTTAAAGTATCTAATTCGTTATGAGGTTCGTTAGAATTTACTTATGTGAATAACTGAATTTGTATAAGCTACAGTAGTATCACATATTTTGTCAGCACATAAAACGTAATTATTAAACTGTGTCCTTTGTAATTCTCTTTTTGACAGCAATTATAAAATTGTCTTACATAATTGAAGATATATTTTTTCTAAAAAGGATATAAAAGCACGCGTACCAAACATTCTGTGACAATATGTGGTAGTGGGAAGATAGTGTACATGCTTGTTGACACTTGACACCATATATAAGATAGTGTCCCTATATAAAATAACAAAAAGGCAATAGAAATTCTTAGAAACAATTATGCGAATAAAAAGGAATAACAAAGAGAGAAAAAATGAATACTGAAAAGTGAATACAAATTTAAAAATCACGTCACGAAAAAAAATGATGTTTATCCACACAAAAAGAACAACAACTTCCATCATATCACAGACAAACTAACTTTTCCACTTCCAAAAAAAAACACACATATGTAGCTATAGTGACGTATTTTAGTCCTTAATTTTAGAGTCCAATTCGAATAAAAATTATGATTAGAATTTAGAAATAATTGAAACCTTTTCAGCTGAAAATCGAACTACCTTTTTTTGTTGACATATATGGTTAAGCATAATCAACTTTGAACGAAAACAAGTGTTGCTCGAGATACTTATATCCCATGAAAAAAGTAAGTTATACCGGTAAATTTTCACAAAAAGAAGAAGAAGTTATACCGGTAATCATGTATACAACAAATTAGGCTTTTATAGATCTCAATAATCTCATACTACAATTATCAAAGACTTGCTAGCATATTTGAAATTATAAGACGAAAAACTCTTTTTAAGTCCGTGGGGCTTCAAAAACTTCTTTGTAAAGATTTAAATACTTGAATGAAATTCCTGTTGCAGCAAAAAAAAAAAAAAAAAAAAAAGTCCGTGGGAGTCGTTTTTTGATGCGTCACACTCGGGATTGGTGGATAAAGGCGGATTTTCTAGTTGTCCGTTGGTGCTCTTGTGTCGTTGGGTTTGATTATATCTAGTTCCGTTTTTGCGTTAGTTTTTGGAAAAGCTGTAAACGTTCCTTTGCTTTGAGGTTTAAAAACTGTTTCGGATAAGATGTGCTCGTGACAACAACAATAAGGGCTCGAATTCTTTGGAATTGAGGCAATCACACAAATGTCCAAGCTTCGCAGTTTGAAATAGGTGTTTCTTTGTTGAGCCTCCACTGGTAGTTTTTGCTTGTATTTTCTCTATGTTTGTTAAACGTATTTATGAAACAATGATGTTATTCCAACTACAGTATACAGTGATTTATGGATCTACAGATATGATGTTGGTTAAACATTATTATCGACTAATTTATTACTTGGTTAGTGGCTGCTATTAAGTATGACCACGTGTGGCAGATTTGAAATGTTTAGAGATGTTAAAATATAGAATCCGAAGGGATCCAATTCTTTTTTCTATTCCACTTTTGCCAACTGTGATTATTATATAATAACCATGATTAATTAAGAGATTTACATTCTATTGATTTACTTTATTCTTTTCTTCAAGTGGAGTAGACTATACGACAAATACTTTACTGTTATTTTTCAGATTTTTTTTTTAACAAGTTTAGAAAATTTCAAAATAGAATTTACGACAAATACGACAAATACAATTTATATGAAAGATTTATTTTGCTTACAGTTTACAGACATAAGAAGAACAAATGTTGCCCTTCCTAATTTTTTTTTTTTTTTACTTGTTCCTCCTTTCAATAAAGTCGCTGGTGTTTATGAAACACATTAAAAAGAAAAAAAAAAAAGATTTGAAACATTTATTAAGATGGCAAAGCTTCCCACTTCCCATTGTAGGAAGCAACAAATTTCCTTTTTGTTTGATTAATATAAATGCTTACGGACACAAGAAGCAATTTCGTGATCGTGAACATATTAATCATTTGGGACCCTAATGAAAAAGACTTATAAAATATTTTGTTTTATTGAATAAAAGTAGATTGTAGTTTTGTGAAGTTTAAAGCACTCGCTTATCAATTGTTTATCTAAAGAAATAAGATAAGCTGCTTTCAAAGTGGTAAGAGTTAGGTCTTGATAAAAAAAGTCTTGAAGGTGGTGCCACACCAAAATCCTTGCACCTTTCTATTACATACACACGTGTATAGAGATTTTTAGTCATATCAAATCAAATGAAATCAAATTTTTGTTTAATATTCTTGAATAAATAATCTGTGGATATGTAATGAATAATTTTGTGGGTTTGAGAGTTGGAGAGGATGAACTACAGGTCACGTAATATACCCTAAAATAAACCATCATGAAAGAATAGAATAGAGAATCTCTTGGTACTATCAAACAAACAAACAATAAAAAAGAAAAAAAGTGACGAAGACACCAATCTATTCATTCCCCACCCATCTCCCATTAATATTTCTTTTTTATCTCTTAAGTATATTCTTACATACATATTTTTCTATCTCTGACCTTTTGTTTTTTGTTCACTCAAAATTTGTGGTACTTTGATCCACATATTTTTTTGCTTATATTATGGTCATAAATGATGTTAACAAAAAATATTTCAATAGAATTATGTTAATAATTTAATATTATCACTTTGTTTTCTACAGGATGATGATATTTTACTTATTTTTAAAATATATTAACAATTTATTTTTAGTAGTATAAAGTTAGGGGTGTCAAAATGGTTTAAAATTGATGGATCAATCCAAACCAATCCAACTCATGGATCTAATGAGTTGAAAATTTGGATATTAATGGATTAATGGATTAAATGGTTTAATGAGTTTAATGAGTTGGATTGAAATGGTTTGGTTTAAAATGGATTAATGGGTTATCCATAACCAAACCAATAAAAATTAAATAATTGAAATCAAATATGTAAACCAAATATAACCGAATTGAATAACTAAACCGATTTTAGTAAACCGAAATAAACATAATTTTCTTAAATCGCTTAACCATCGATCTCCCTCGGCGTCAAATCTCTCACTGTCGATCTCTTAAATATGTCGACAGTGTCGTTTTGGGACATTGTGTCGAACTGTCGATTGCGTTAGTGTAACCGTGTCGCAAGCGTAAACCTTTTTTCGATCAATTTATGAACCAATGATCATAGTTACAAGTATTTCGATGACGATGACAATGACAATGACGACGACGACGACGACGAACGACGACGACGACGACGGCGAACGACGACGACGACGACGAACGACGAACGACGACGACGACGAACGACGACGACGACGAACGACGAACGACGACGACAACGACGACGACGACGACGAACGACGAACGACGAACGACGACGACGACGACGACGACGGTGACGACGACGACGGTGACGACGACGACGGTGACGACGACGACGACGGTGACGGTGACGGTGACGGTGACGGTGACGGTGACGGTGATGGTGATGATGATGATGATGGTGGTGGTGAATTGATGAAGATGATGATGGAGTGATGATGATGATGGTGGTGGTAACATGATAGTTACCAATTATCAATTAATTAGGATTTAAATTATAAGAAAACTATGTTATGGATCAACTCATTAAATCCATTAATCCATTCATTTAAATGAGTTATGGATTAATCCAAACCATTTGCTAAATGGATTGGATTGATTCATTAACCATTTAACACTAAATCAATATGGATATGGGTTGGTTTGGTTTGGTTTAACCAACTTGACACCCCTATATAAAGTTAATAGTCTAATATATTAAGAAACAAATATTATTTTTTACTTATTTCTTTTTCCAATAAAGTTAGAACTTTTGTTTTAAAATATATTATCAAATTTATGTTTGACACATGACAACATTTTATGTTTTACTTGACATGTGTTGCGATCATAAAACTAAACTAATAGATTTTATTCCCAATGTATCAAAAAGAATGATTTTTTAAATTTTCCACAAAGTTTAAGAAAATAATAAATGAAGCATTTAATTAATTACTTTGTTAAATCTTTTAAAATTTAATCTCAAGATGCTTTTTACTTCACTTATATATTTCTAATATTAAATATTTATTATAAAAGTAAAAGTACTAACTAATTAATTGATCTTAAAAATACAAAAAATCAATCTTTTAAATATAAAAATAAAATCTCATAAAATCATTCTTTCATGAAGGAATTATATAATAAGATACTTAAAATAAATACATTTCTATATATTTATATAGTTAACCATATTTATAAGATTTGCACATCCTTCCATGCCAAAAAAGGCCCCACTAATTTCTTGAGGAGTATGATATTTGCAGTTATATTTGTGGCAGTTATCTTAATCATTCTTTCATATGTTTTGTGTGTTTCCTCTCTCTCTCTATGTGGTTCTTGATTTTGTTGGCCAAACCTTTTCCTTTGTACCTTCAATGCCATTAACCACAAAGCCAAAGAATTCATAGAAAAAGTTCCTAACGTCAATCGAATTAAATTCCCCACTTTTCCTCAAAATTAAATCCCATCTTTTGAGTTCCTTATCCCCCAAAAATGAATTTCCTTTGATTTTTAGATACAAAACCCATCATGGATCTCGAGCGTCTAAGCCCAAGAAATCCAATCAAGGTAAAAAATTCTCAACATTCACTTTCAAAATCCTTTCTTTTTGGTTGCTTAAAGTTTTGGTTTTTGCAGAGAGAATCTTGGTGGACGGTTCTGACTTTAGCTTACCAGAGCTTAGGTGTAGTCTACGGAGATTTAGCAACTTCACCATTGTATGTCTACAAGAGCACTTTTGCTGAAGACATAACACATTCAGAGACAAACGAAGAGATCTTTGGTGTTCTGTCTCTTATCTTCTGGACATTAACTTTAATCCCTCTTGTTAAATACGTCTTTATTGTTCTTCGTGCTGATGATAATGGAGAAGGTGGGACTTTTGCTCTCTACTCTTTGTTATGTCGCCATGCTAGAATCAGCTCTTTGCCCAATTTCCAGCTCGCTGATGAGGACCTTTCTGAGTATAAGAGAACTTCCGGGGAGAATCTGAGGAGTTTAAAAGTTCCGGGGTGGAGTTTGAAAAACACTCTGGAGAAGCATAAGTTTCTGCAGAACATGTTGCTTGTTCTTGCTTTGATTGGGACTTGTATGGTTATTGGTGATGGTGTTCTTACGCCTGCAATCTCTGGTAAAAAAAAATTGATTCTTTTTTGGTCAGATTTGATTTAAAGATTTGTGTGGATTTCTCAAGACTGATTTTGTATTATTTTTGGGTGTGAATTTTCAGTTTTCTCAGCAGTCTCTGGATTAGAGTTATCCATGTCCAAGCAGCAACATCAATGTAAGCTCTTTACTTCTTTTGATTAGATAGAAAGTGTAGAGATTTTAAGATGATATTTTTAGTATCACTAGATCCCCAAAATGTCAAATTATGCTATTTTTAGTGTGTTTCCTCTGAAGTTTCGTTTGGTTCCTAAGTTTAGTCGTTACTGTTTAAGATAGTTTAGGAGGAGAATTTGCTGCATCAGGTAGCTTTAGATTAGCTATTTTGGTCTTTGTTTTGTCCACATAGTCAATTGGCTAATTGCATGTTAGGTTGAATCCATATAGGATCAGCATGAAGCTTCTTAATTATGTATAAAATAAGTTAATTAACCTTTTTTTTGGTGTGGAAGGTGAGGCTGATGCAGATACATTCTTATAATCATAAGATAATGAATGTGGTTTAGGAGTTAATGATTTATTAAAAAAATTAAAGGTAAAGGAATATAAAAGTCATAAAGCTTATATCTTTTGAAAACTAAAGTGGTCAAATAAAAAGTTAGTTGGTTTGGATAAGACTCTCAAGACAGAAAGTTCTTTATTTGAATCATTAACCTGCACAATTCTGCAGATGTGGAGGTGCCTGTGGTCTGTGCAATACTGATACTCCTGTTCTCGCTACAACACTATGGAACACATCGTTTAGGTTTTGTTTTTGCTCCCATTGTGCTTGCATGGCTTCTCTGCATAAGCACCATTGGTGTTTACAACATCTTCCATTGGAATCCTAATGTTTACAAAGCATTGTCTCCTTATTACATCTACAAGTTCCTCAAGAAAACTCGTAAACGCGGATGGATGTCTCTCGGTGGCATCCTTTTATGCATTACAGGTGAAAAAAAAGAAGAAGAGAAAGAATGGTTTTGCTTCCTGAGTTTCAAAGCCTTTTTTCCCATAATTTTGTTTCTTTGCGGTTTTTGCAGGCTCAGAAGCTATGTTTGCTGATCTAGGACACTTCACTCAGTTGTCAATACAGGTAGAGTTTATGCCTTTCTTTGTAAACTTTGAATCTTTTTTGTTCTCTTATTAGCTTTCCCTGAAACTTGCATGTTTTTTTTGTCTCTTTGGCTGCAGATTGCATTCACATTCGCTGTTTACCCGTCGCTAATCCTTGCATACATGGGTCAAGCCGCGTATCTATCTAAGCACCATGTCCTCGAGAGTGATTACCGGATTGGATTCTATGTTTCTGTACCCGGTAAATCCACTCATCATCTTATTAACCAACTAAAATGCAATTCTTTGTTTGGCATAGTTTTCACTAGTTTGTTTGTTGTGTACAGAGCAAATAAGATGGCCAGTTTTAGCAATTGCTATATTGGCGGCTGTTGTTGGAAGTCAGGCAATAATCACAGGAACATTCTCGATCATCAAGCAATGTACTTCTCTAGGTTGCTTCCCAAAAGTCAAAATCGTACACACTTCGTCGAGAATGCACGGTCAGATATATATCCCTGAGATCAATTGGACTCTCATGCTCTTGTGCTTAGCCGTCACCGTTGGATTCCGCGACACCAAACACATAAGCAATGCCTCAGGTACAGTATCTGTAACCATAGCCATAACTACTTAACCCACTTACCCACATATGTATGAAAATACTCTTGTTCTGAATCTTTTCTTCTCTGTAATCTGTATGCAGGTTTGGCGGTTATTACCGTTATGCTGGTAACGACTTGCTTGATGTCTCTGGTAATAGTCTTATGCTGGCGCAAAAGCTCCCTCTACGCGCTTGCCTTCATTTTCTTTTTCGGAACAATCGAAGTTCTCTACTTCTCAGCTTCACTCATTAAATTCCTCGAAGGTGCTTGGGTTCCAGTCGCCCTCTCCTTCATCTTCCTCCTCATCATGTACGTTTGGCACTACGGAACCCTTAAGCGTTACGAATTTGACGTCCAAAACAAAGTCTCGATCAACTGGCTCCTCACACTCTTCGGCTCCTCAAACCTCGGAATTGTCCGAGTCCAGGGAATCGGGGTGATCAACACTGAGCTTGTCTCCGGCATACCAGCTATCTTTTCTCATTTCATCACTAACCTCCCGGCGTTTCACCAAGTTGTCGTCTTCCTCTGTGTGAAATCTGTCCCTGTCCCGCATGTGAAACCGGAGGAACGGTTTCTCGTTGGAAGGGTCGGACCGAAGGAGTACCGCCTCTACCGGTGTATAGCCCGGTATGGATACCGCGATGTACACAAAGACGATGTCGAGTTTGAGAACGACCTCATTTGCAGTATCGCGGAGTTTATTCGTTCGGATAAACCATTGAATTACTCCCCGGACCCGGAAAACGAATCTGGAACAAGTGAGAGGCTAACTGTCGTCGCGGCCTCTTCATCCAATCTTGAAGGCGTACAAATATTTGAAGACGATGGTTTTGACAAACAAGAACCATCATCTTCTTCGGAGGTGATCGTGGTTGCTCCATCTCCGAGAATCAAGAAAAGGGTACGGTTTGTGTTACCAGAAAGTGCGAGGATAGATAGATCCGCGGAGGAGGAGCTAACAGAGCTCACAGAGGCGCGTGAGGCAGGAATGGCGTTTATAATGGGACATTCGTATGTGAGAGCAAAATCGGGATCAAGCGTGATGAAGAAGATCGCTATAAACTTTGGCTACGATTTTCTAAGAAGAAACTCGAGAGGACCTTGTTATGGTCTCTCTACTCCTCACGCTTCTACTTTAGAAGTTGGTATGGTTTATATCGTTTGACTATACTTTTTTTTGGTTTTTGTTAAATCTGAATAAACTTCAGTTTTGTAAATTATGATAAGATAAATTTGTCCGAGTTCTTTTTCGTTGTTGTAATTTTTGTGTAGAGTTGTTAGAGTTGCGTGTGGCATAAGTAAGATATGCTTTTTGTTTTTGTAATGATTTGTCCCTACTGATTAGGATTCAAAGAGAAAAGGATTGAACAATAAACAGACAAGACTGAGCATATGATTCTTGTCTCTTTATGTTTCTTTAACTCCAAATCTTCTCTTTTGTCGGTTTATCTCATCATATATGTAAGTGCATAGAAACACATATACATACATACAAGGGTATATTTTATCCCCTCTCTGAACTTGTGAGCAACTCTTGCTCTGGTTTCCTGAAAAAATGAGGAAAAATGCAAATTTGTTGATTTTGTCTGTGGTTTTCATGTTTTTCTTTTGTGGGTTGTCCTCAGTTTCAGCTAAACCTCCTCCTGTTAGTGAGTTCTTAATTACCCTTAAACTGATTTTCTTTATATAATAAATACATGTTTTCATTTTTGTTGTAATGAATGTCTGAAAATGTTCTGTTTTTCTCTGTTTTGGGAGCAGAGATTGTAAGTGGGCTTGTGACAAATGTAGCATCAATACTCTGGAAATGGTTATGGTCTCTTCAAACATCCTCAACCACAACAACCACCACAAAATCTGGTAAGAAGATCCACAACAACAACAAAAAGTATAGCTTTTTATTATGGTCTTGACTCTTGATTTCAAACTTTCAATTGTTTATAAAAATAAAGAAAAACTTGAGGAAATGTAACAGGTGTTTCTAGCCGTTCGATGGTGAAATACGAAAGTGGATATAACATCGAGACAGTGTTTGATGGAAGTAAGCTTGGGATTGAGCCCTATGCAATTGAAGTTTCCCCTAATGGAGGAGAGCTTATTGTCTTGGATTCTGAGAACAGTAACATCCACAAAATCTCCATGCCTCTTTCTAGATGTAAGTTCATCTTCATATCTATCTTGAAATGGATTTGATTCAATAATTTATTTTTATGGGACATTCAAGCAATTCCCACTCCTATATATGACCCACCAAAATGTTGAATCATGTATGTACAATTATGCTTTGCTTCAAGATGGGGATTCATTTTGGTTCGCTTTTTTTTTTAAAGTTCAGTTAAAAAGTGAGTTCTTCATTTCAGATTCCAAAGTTTCTTTCTTTGACAACCAAAGCCTTTTATAGATGAAAACTTTTGCACTTTAGTCCACAACACGACTCATTAGCTTTTATCCATGTTCTGTTTTCTTTTCTGTTTTTCACGTTTATTCTTTTTGTTGTTTCTTGTTCGTCAAGTTACCAAACTTTTGTTAGATTAAAGCAGCCAACTTTTGCTTTTAGGTAGTTTCTAAGATCCAAATCAAACAGATTCAGATTCGGGTTTTGTTCATCGCATTCTTACTTACAGTTCTTCAAAACTGATCTCACAATAAAAGTAAGGATTTGTTAATTAATCTTGGTTTTGAATGTATTGATTTGAAGATGGTAAACCAAAGCTAGTCTCTGGTTCACAAGAAGGCTACACAGGACACGTCGATGGAAAGCTCAAAGAAGCGAAAATGAATCGTCCTCGAGGATTAGCCATCGACGACAGTGGAAACATCTACGTCGCCGATACTAACAATATGGCCATACGCAAGATCAGCGACGACGGTAACTACAATTCGTTTGCATGCGTTTGCACTTTAAAAAACGCAACTTCAAAGCGTTTTTGGTTTTTTATTTTATTTTCAGGAGTCTCTACCATCACCGCCGGAGGAAGATGGAGCGGTGGATCTAAAGAGGAGTCAATGAGATTCTCCGATGACTTTGATTTGATCTATGTCTCTTCAAGCTGCTCTCTATTAGTCATTGATCGAGGAAATCAAATGATTAAAGAGATTCAGCTTCATGATCACGACTGTTCTCATCAGGAACCCGACACAGATAATCTCCATCTTGGTAACCTTATGAACGTTTTATATTGCCGTTTTGGTGTTGTGCTTAGCTTGAATACGGTGTCGTTTTCGTTTGTATCTTTGCAGGAACAGCTTTGCTTGTAGCTGCTGTGTTCTTTGGATATATGTTTGCATTATTAGTACGTAGAGTACGATCGTTGTTCTCTTCCTCTGGTCATGTGAGTGAATCGGTTAGGTTTGAAATCTGAACCGGTGTAGGAAACCAATAAGCTCCTCATTGCTCTGTTTTTTTATTTATTTCAGGATAATAAGAGGCATGTTGCAAAACCGAGCATGACTATGGCTCCATACCAACGTTATCCCAGACCGGTTCGACAGCCCTTAATCCCACCTCAACATGAACCGGAAAAAGAAGAAGGATTTCTCGGTTCGCTTGGAAAGCTAGTCGTGAAAACCGGTTCTTCGGTTTCCGAGATGATGTCCGGTTCCAGAAATGTAATTTCCCCTAACTTTCATCAGTACCACCATCAGCAAGAACCGAACCAATGGCCGGTACAAGAGAGCTATGCTATACCGGAAGAAGATGGACCGCCGGCTTTAGAACCGAGATCAGGCACAAATCCGGATAAACCCTACCTTAGAGCACAAGGAACCAGCCAAAACCGGTCTTATTACCAAGACTATGACCAATACCAAAACCAGCCCAAACGAAACGTGAACGATACAGCGTCGTTCGAAGATAATCGAGAGAAGAACGAGATTGTGTTTGGGGCAGTTCAGGAGCAAGACGGTCGCCGAGAAGCCATGGTGATCAAGGCCGAAGCCATAAACGATCAGCGAAATCTACGGCCTAGAATTAATTATATGGGATATTCTTCTCAAGTTTACTGATTTTACAAAGTCAAATTTTCATAATTTACTTAGAGCGTGTGTAATATATTATCTTTAATTTCTTACTTTAATGTAGTATATATGAAGAATACTTTAAATCATATAATTAGCTCACTAATGGTCGACCGTTATAAAAGTTACCGGGACTAACGGCTTTTTGCACCGACTTAACAAGTTAACGTTATACTATGAGACTAGACCATCTAATACTTAACAAATGTACCGGTTCAATTTCGGTTAATATTCGCAAAACCGATGGGCAGGTAAGTGAAGATTCTTAATAACCGGTTTATGGCAGTTACGCAATTCCAGCTCTTGTTTTAGTTGCCATTTATTACCTTCCCTCTCCCCTTAAGAAACGCATTGGCTATACAAAGTAAGAGAGAGAGAAAGAGAAGAAGAGGAAGGAGATTTCTTGCAAGAGAAAGAGAAAATTAGGGTTAGGGTTGCAGAGAAACAGAGAGGAAGAAGGATTCATCTCTGTATTCATCTCTCTCCCTTTCTCTTAATCTTCTCGATCTTTTCTCAAATCAATTTCATTGTTTCATGGGGCTTCAATCTTTTCCGATCTCTGAAATGGACGCCACCGATGAAATGCACGAAGCGATGTTCGCGAAACGAGGTTGTTGTTTTCTCCTCCCTTGTCTTGGATCATCTCAGCCGTCTGGTCCTAACGGATCTGTGTGGTGGCAACGAATCAGAACCGTCGATAAATTGGAGCCTGATGAGCGGTGGTGGGTCTCTGGGTGGATGAAGATGAGGGAATGGTCTGAGCTCGTGGCTGGTCCTAAATGGAAAACTTTTATCCGTCGCTTTGGACGTAATCACTGCTGCGGTGGCGTTGACGGTGGTTGTAATCGGCCGGAGCATGTTAGTTTCCGGTATGATTCGTGGAGTTACTCTTTGAATTTCGACGACGGAAAACAGACGGGTCATTTCGAAGATGAGTTTCCTTACCGTGATTACTCGATGAGGTTTACCGCGCCGTCTCTGCCGGTTTCTACTAAATGCTCCATTGATTTCGACAATGATAACCACGCGCCGTCGCTGTTTAAGTGAAAAATGCCACGCGCTTCTCTGTTCCAGTACTGCTCTGTTCTAAATGGGCTGGCGCTAACGTGCACCGCACTGATGAAAGGGGAGAGACATTAGAAGAAAGACTGGAATTTTTTGTTTGCAAAGAAATATTATTTTTTATACGGCTTTCATTTGTTTGTTTTTTTGTAATTCTTTCACTTCAAATGAAATTATTTGTTTGATCATTTATTTTCTCCCAAATATCGAGTAATTTCCATGTGAACAGGCACACAGAGACAAACTTGTTAGAAAAATATATGATGAAGGAAACATATATTTATATTCATGTAAAATACAATATATAACCCAGCAAGAAATTGTAGAAGGAAGCTTTTTAGTCGGTTGGAGAAGGTGTTGCAATTGCAGAGGAATAGCAACAGAAACAGCAAGAGACTGTCTCTACTTTTAGACATGCTCACCTTGTTTTTTCAGGTACATTACATTGTTGTATAGTTAGCTTATGAAATTGACTATCTGGAACCTTACCAAAAGCTAAGATCAGCTATTTCACTTTACTTCTAACCTCTACTGATTTCCTAGAGTTTCATGTGTTCAGAAAACTAAACACAATGTAATGTTTTTGTTATTTACTGCGGTTATTTCAGACAATGATCTTGTCTTGTGGTTGAATCAATTGTATAGGAGTACACCAAAACCTGCATTCCACAGAACTGCAAAAGTAAGATTAGTTTTTATATGAAGAACCTTTTTTGCGTTTTAGCTACTCACTTAGACATGTCTTATATCGTTGGTGGACCTTAGATTTGTGAATGTGGTCAATCTTGTATGTTAATTAGGTGCTGAATGATTTAAAAGGACTTAAATTATTACTTCTATAGAGATACTAAAATTGATGATCATTACGCTTGCAGAATAAGTGCTCATAGCTTAGTGATTTGAAACATATCACAGTGAACCAAGAAATGGATATTGGAAACTTATGATCAGTTAATTAGGTAATGATTTGAAAGTTGAGCTCTGAGTTTTGATGCAGTTGGAGGCATCCCATTGGTGTCGGAACTAAGCTTTCCCAGTTCACACTTGTTCAGAAAAATCTTGTGTGATGTTGACCTTGATTATCGCTATTGCAAGTTGCAGATAGATTTAGAAACAAAATTAACTTTCTCTTTAAGAATTGCTAGCGCAGAAGATACAATTTACAACTCTTTTCTTCTGACAGTTTTCTCTTCTTGTAGTGCTTCTGAAGGACTCTTTTGGCCTCAGAGTTGGGAAAGTTGGCAAGCTTATAGTAATGCGGTGCAACATCTACTAGCCATTCACCGCGAATATATGTGACAGTTCGGATGAAATTTCGGCTAGTGAAAACATATTCGTTGTAAACTACCCACTCTGGTTTGTGATCCAAGCAATTAGAAGGATGCAAGTGAACCACTTGGTCATCCTTATCTCTGAAAGTCAAGTAGTGGCCAGTGCGTTCTAGGTGAGCCACTTGCATGAAATAACCAGCAAGCAAGGCCTTTCTTATGTTGACGTAGTAGTCCTGACTGTTGAAACCAGGGCTGCACAACTTAATCTGAAACCTCGACATGATCCGGACCAGCTGCTCTCTTACACTAACTGCAGACTTCATTGCTCTGTAGTTTATGAATTTTTCGTAGCACCAATCTGAGTCTTGGTTGTTTTGCAAGAAAGCATGGAACACATTCAAGAGCGTGAGGTGATCTCCATCAATGTGTGCAAAACTAGATTTGGCTTCATCTGCTGCTTTTTGAGCTTCTCCTCTTGGCCTGATGAAACAATTTGATACTGATAACATCGCAGAAATCGAAAGAATCTCGTTTGAGCAGTTGAATTGAGGACTGACTATGAGCATCTTTGCCATCTGTGGGTCTAAGGGAAACTCACTCATCATCTCACCTGTCTTTGTCAAGTTACAGTCATCATCTAGTGCTCCCAAATGATACAAATCGTCCAAGGCCCGAGCGAGGGTCTCAGGAGCAGGAGCATCCATAAGATCAAAGCGTACCAAGTTTTTCACACCCAGTCTTTTCAAGGTCAGAACTGTGTTTGCAAGGTTTGATCTTAGTATCTCAGCATAACTCTGCTTCTCCAATTCATTGAAACTTTTCTGTGTGTAAAGCCTGAAACATTTTCCAGGCTGTGTTCTACCGGCACGACCAGCTCTCTGGTCAGCACTTGCCTGTGATATTGGGGACACTAACAAGGATTCAACACGAGTGTCTGGGTGGTAGAGCTTCTGCTTGGAGAAACCAGGATCAACCACATAAACAATTCCATCAATGGTTAAAGAAGTCTCTGCAATGTTGGTGGATACAATGATCTTTCTCACTGCCTGCGGTGTAGGATCAAATATCTTCTGTTGCATAGCAGGTGGCAGAGTGGAATACAATGGAACGACTTTGACTTGATCTCCAAGTTTACTGATGATTTTGCGGCAAGCATCTTCAATTTCTTCTTCCCCTGTTAAGAAAACAAGAACATCACCAGGTGGCTCACACATGTGGATCTGGATAACAGTACTAATCGCAGCCTCGAGATAGTCCCTCTCGGGTTCTCGAGTATACAAGATTTCCACTGGATGGAGCCTACCAGGGACTTTAATAAGAGGCACACCAATAAAATACTTGTGGAACTTGTCGGCTTCTAGGTTTGCACTCATCACAACAAGTTTAAGATCAGGTCGACTAATTAAGGTTTGTTTAAGAAGACCTAATAGCAAATCCGAGGCTAAAGTTCTCTCATGCGCCTCGTCGAGAACAATCACTTTGTATCTCCCTAAGAGTGGATCCGCCATTGCTTCTCTCAGAAGCATACCATCGGTTAGGTACTTGAGCACCGTTTTGGAGCTGCTGCAATCCTCAAAACGAACGGTGTAACCAACTTCTTCCCCGATCTCTACATCCATCTCTTCAGCTACACGACGCGACACAGACATGGCTGCAACTCTACGAGGCTGCGTGCACCCAACCAACCACTTCTTCCCCTTAGGACCAGAGCTAGGGTTTTCATTGAGCACAGCTTCTAAAACAAACTGTGGGATCTGTGTTGTTTTACCACTTCCGGTCTCACCCACCAATAGCACTATCTGATTCTCCTTCAACGTTTGAAGAAACTCTTCTTTGTGAACCCACACTGGTAGATTCTTCCGTTTCTCCAGTATATCGAAATACCTTGCAGAATACGCCTTCTTCATCATATCCATTCTTATCAATTCTATTCAACAAAAGCCTTAAACAACCACTTCCTGTATTTATAACGAAACTTAATTTCCTTTTCAACAAAACTAATTCTAGAGAGGATTTGATTATCTCATGTAGGCAAGGAAATAATTAAATTGCTTCGAATCTGGTCAGGCCCGGTCCAGTATAGGTGGGCAGAAATGCAACTAAATCTGTCTTTTAAAAACATTTCTTAAGGAAAAAAATAGATCTTGGCCCGAAAATTAGATTTTATATATATTTGGGCCAAAAAAATTTAAATACAGTATGTGGTGTAAATCTATTAAGAAGAGGCTCATGTCCACTTTCCACTCTGAAGGCTGAAGCTTACCCGCATTACAAGGTTTTAAACTTTTAAACATCACTCAATTTGGTGTTTCTCTCGCCTAATACAACCCTTGATTTGATAAGAATTCACAATACAACAAACACACAATTACATAAGTTTAGAAACTGAGCATATAACTGAATGTGCGGCCTTGAATTTCTCTTATATTGATATAGGTTAAATTGTTTGTTACAAGTTTTTCTAATTTGACCCAAGCAAATTTTTACAATCATGAACGCCTAACGAATGGGTAAACAACTCCTCTACCTAAACTTTCTAAACACAACGAATTAGGTAGCTAGATCTTCCTCTCAATTTGCTATAGTGACACAACAGCAAACTATACACCTAATTTGGAAAGAATGGTTTACATAAACGCCTAATGAATGGAGAACAATTCTTCTACCTAAGCTTTTATACTTATCAAATTAATTAAGTCATCCTTCATCTCAATTTACTTAATGAACATTATGTATCCGCTGTGATCAAAGAAAAGTAGCTAATTTATCTATGAAACTCCTCCTTCCAAAACAGTCATTCGAACCTGTCTAGACTTTGCATTATGGTGAAATACCACTAAGTTAGTGCCTTGAGCTTATGTGAATACCACAAACAGTCATTCGAAGAAAACTCTACGAATATATGATCAAACTATATTAACTTGCATTTCCGAAATGACCATCAAAAGTCAAAATTTCCAAAACAAACAACAACTATTAGGTTTTGTGTTGGATAAAATATTGAAATATGTTTTAACTATATATAAAGATCTGTAATTTCAGAAAACACATAGAATATTGAAACTGATGATAGTACTGTTTGCTAATAGACTAATACCAATCTAGATAATACTTAACCAAATCAACATTTATTCTAGATTACTGCTTGGAACCTTCTGGCATAAAGAGAGCTTCTCAAGGGTACTTATGTCTTTTCAACATGGTTGCTTTCGAGTGGATAATGTGAGAAAAGAAGAAAACCATCTTTCTTCTCTTCTAACTCGCAACCTTATCGAGTGAAGAAGATTTTGTTAGTAGCGAAAAATGGCGTCGATTGCAGCTTCTTCTACCTTTCACTCGTTTTGCACAACCAAAAGCCCTAATCTTTCTTCGACCCATCTTCTCCCTTTGTCGAAAAACCTCAACTTTAAGACCAGAGCTATCGGAAATAGCCGAAATTGCAGTTTTGCTGGGTTTATGAAACAGAATCGCCTTGGGTTAATGAAGCTTTCGTCGGTTGGAGAAGGAGGAGAAGGTGTCGCAGTCGCAGAGGAGCAACCGCAAGAGACTGTCTCTGTTCCTGTCTCTCCTTCAGACATGCTCACCATGTTTTTTCAGGTGTACTTCACTCTCTCTTTGATTAATTAGTCCAGTGAATTTGTGTGATTATCATCCTTATTCTCCATTTACGGATTGTTATTAGATTTAGTAGGATTACTTCATGGTTACTATATCAGGTCTTAGAAATGAGGATTGCAAAACTGTATTGATACTGTCTTGAAGTTCCTATGAGCATTACTCTGTTGCAATTTCATTTGTGGCCTCAATTGAGTCTGATCATTGTTGGATTTTTTGCTTGGTTTTGTAGGCTGATGGAACTTTGAACGAAGCAGCTATTCCTAATGTGACAAGGGCCTTACAGGTAATACTTTGCTTTGAGATCTCTACTTGAACTAGCAAATCTGTGTGGAGCTTGACGAGAATCTTTATGAATGCATCTGTTTCTTGGATTATAAAACGCTTTTTGGTTACTTGTTTAATCTATGTAGTTGTGTTAAACTCGAAGTTTGGGTGTTCACTTTACTCTTTACACGCTCTAGATCTTCCTTAATAAAACAGTGAATAAAACCAAAAAGCCAATCTTGTTTTGTTCTTTCAGGATATTGATGGAGTTTCCAATTTAAAGGTTCAGGTTTCTGAAGGTGTTGCCGTCGTTGAGGTATGCTTACATCCAACATTGTCTTGATACATTGCCTTTACACACCTACACATATATGTGTATAGGATAGATATATGGATAAGGACATATTTTGAATGTGTGATTAGAGATATAATGGCTGGCACAGCCTTAGAAGGACTGAACTGTTCAAGTATGTCATTTTTTAATACATTTTGGTGGTTAACCGCTGGATTGGTTCTTTAGGGCCGTATAACAAAAGCCTCGAGCCTGATCTTGAATAGTTAAGGCCTTTATAGGAACGGTTCTGTTTTGGCTAGATGAAACTCATAGCAACATTTCTATATTTGATTGTACAATTGAATCTGGCTTATGTTGTGTTCAATGTGTGTGAAGCTTTCAAAGCAAACGACGGTTCAAGCAACAGGAGTGGCGTCAAGCTTGGTGGAGACTATACAAGGAGCTGGATTTAAGTTGCAGACTTTGAATTTGAGCTTTGAAGATGAAGATGAAGTTCTTGTCTAGTTAAATCATCTTTCTCCTTCATTTTGTGATTAAAGAAACACATAATGTTCAATTTTAGGGATACTTTTTTCTTTTGTTCCTCTCAAGAAAACAAATGTGGTAAAAAAAAATTAAAGTGGAAAATTAATGTTTTCTTTGTTAAAATAGAGAAATGGAAAATATCTATATTAATTAATGGGTCATATGGGTTCCCACAAAGCATGGAGGTTGGCATTTTTATAGACCTTTAGGTTCATTGCTTTGTACAATGCATTTAGTTTTGTGTGTGGATATGATTGTCACTATGTATATGTATGCATGTACGATGTTGACATTGTGGAGTACTATGGTGAATTGGTGATGTGAAAGTGTATGGTGAATCACAGCTCATGCATTGTTGTACTTTTAAACACAAATCTTTACTTTTTTAAAAAATTGGGTATTATAGACCATAATATCTGTTCTTACCAAACCATGTGAAACAAACCTCTGTTTTTACATCTTAATGTATGAAATTATGTTGTTGTGGAATCTGTTTTATTCTATTCATTACGTAACAAATAAAATCAAGTAGAAGCAAACATTCATTCGTAACAAATTGCTTTATCATGTTAACAAAAAAGAGGAAAGTGTGTGTACTCACGACATATGTAATGATAAAAATCTGTACTCGTTGTCGATTTCACTTTAGTGAACACTGTTGACCTCTTTTTCGAAATATCAGAACTAAATAATAATAATAATAATCACCGCAACAATTTAAAGAACTCATGTGCTATTGTCCATCTCTGATTTGAGAACACTTTAGATTTTTATTAGAAAATATGAAAGATGTATAGCTTAGATATTTCAAAACAAAGTATAGTCGTAATTTCGTAGGCCATGCTAAGTTGCTAACACAAACGACAAACCTTTTATACCACTGGTGCAATAATCGAAGTGAAGAGCCTCTTTATATGAAATAATATAAGCGACACAGCCTTATGGGTAAGTCGAATGCTATTTATTTATTTAATAAGAAGATTATTAATGTCAATTTGTCATCCACTAGTCTCTCGGGGGACTCAAACATATCACCTAAAAGTCCATAGAGTTATTTGTTCATATTTACTGATAAAGTATTCCAAGTTGATGTACGAATAAAGTGGCAATTTCATGTATTATCTATTATAATCCATTTTGGGAATCAGATATTTTGTTTATCCTCGAGCTCTGAGAGATTATGATGCAGTGAAGGTTCAAAGCTGGCATGCATGATGCATATAATAACTGCTCTGGACCTAAGGGCATCATCAATGGGGGATCATGTGAGGGTGTTCTTATAGAGAATATAATGTTAAAATAATGTAAGATCATGTGTTTAGATCTTTTGTTTAGAAGTTGATTAGTGGGAGAACATGTGTAAGATCTTAAGACTTAATAATATAATAATCTAAATTAAATTAAGATTTTACAATTATTAAAACATTTAAAATAACATATAAATTGCAAATGCCAAATTTATGAAAAACTGAAAATAAAAGTGAAAATACAATACTAAATATTTATGAAAAAAACATTAAAAATATAAATAATAATAAACAAACAAACATATTACTTAATAAAAGCACAAAAACATTTTATCTAATTAATACATAGTTTATTATCCAAATTTATTCCAAATATGTTGAATATTCCAACCAATGCCCAAATGCCACGTCACCCCGCAACACCCACAAGAACAGATCCAGGTCAAGAGCCCAGTTCCTGATCTTAAGCCCATTAACCCATTTTTTTGGATTTAAATAATGCTTAGATCAGGGGGGTGATCCCCCAATGCAGATGGTCTAATACTTACTATGCATTAATATAAATTATGCAGATGGTCTAATACTTACTATGCATTAATATAAATTATTAATGATTTTTATTTATGGATAATATGGTAAATAAATAAGGAACTTCTATTTAAAGCACAAAAGGCAATTGGTCTTCTTCGTGTGACTTCACCACTTTCTCATCTCCCACAAAAAATGGCTCTCTCACTTCTTTCAGTCTTTATCTTTTTCCATGTCTTTACCAATGTAAGTTATTCTTTTCTTTTCTTTTTACAAAAAGTGTTAGTATTGTTTTCAATTCTATTTAGTGTTAAAGACTACAAAATAGTATACAATTATGTGCATTACGTTTTTGCATGATGTAACTAATTCTATGTATTATGATTACTCATGGAGCAGGTTGTTTTTGCTGCTTCAAATGAGGAATCCAAGGCATTAGTACGTTTTCTAGTTTCCGGTTTAATTATTTTTATGCGTATATAACTATATCCTTACGCAATTTTTTTATTAATTATCGTGTATAAAGTTAAATTTTGGTATATATTTATAGGTTTCTTTACCAACGCCAACTCTTCCATCGCCATCTCCGGCTATCAAACCACCGTCGCCAGCTCTCAAACCGCCGACGCCGTCGTACAAGCCACCCACGCTGCCAACTACTCCTATTAAACCACCTACCACAAAACCTCCGGTCAAACCTCCCACCACGCCGGTTACACCAACAAAACCTCCGGTTTCAACTCCTCCGATCAAATCACCGCCGGTACAACCACCTACGTACAGACCCCCAACGCCAACAATTAAACCACCGTCCGTCCAACCACCTACGTACAAACCCCCAACGCCAGCGGTTAAACCACCCACTACATTACCGGTTAAACCACCCACGACACCACCAGTTAAACCACCGCCGGTCCAACCACCAACGTACAAACCCCCAACGCAACCGGTTAAACCACCCACCACAACACCACCGGTTAAACCACCTACGTACAAACCCCCAACGTCACCGGTTATACCACCCACGACACCACCAGTTAAACCACCAACTGCACCACCGGTTAAACCACCAACAGTACCTGTCAAACCTCCGACGACACCACCTCCCGTAAGAACTCGGATAGGTAATAATAATTTTCTTTCAAAAGTGTAATGATTATCACTCGTTGATTAGATTAGATGTATAATTGGACTAATTTTTGGACGGTTTAGATTGCGTGCCTTTATGTGGGACGAGGTGTGGGCTACACTCGAGGAAGAACGTATGTATGAGAGCGTGCGTCACGTGCTGCTACCGCTGCAAGTGTGTTCCTCCTGGCACGTACGGTAATAAGGAGAAGTGTGGATCTTGTTACGCCAACATGAAGACACGTGGCGGAAAATCCAAATGTCCTTGAACCTTTTTATGACGATGGTCGTCAAAATAATAAAAAAAATCAATGGAGTTTTTATAAGTTTGTAATGCGTTTATTTTTGTTTTAGTACCTTTGAGTTGGATCTTTGTTTACGGAATGTAGAATAATTATAAAAGAAAAAACTTTTTCGATGAATTAAGGATTTTATGAAAAATTATATAGTTAAGGATTTTATTAAGGATTTTCGATGAATACGTTCTGCTCTTGCAGAGTTGCAGTAATGACAATGTTATAGTTGGGTCAATGCCCTAATTGCAGATCTTATTAGGGCCTTATCTAACCTCTTATGTGCACATGGTCGAGCTTATTTGGGCCGATGTGTTTGGAGATCATTAGGACAAATATGTACATGTCAACTTTTTTTTTCTCTTTTTGAACATAAAATACATGTCAACTTATTCCACATTTTTCTTTGTGATATGGTATAAATATTTAAATGTTAAAAAAGGGGGAAAGAATAAACAAACTCATGGCTGTGAGAGTTGTGACTTTTGGGTATTTATTCTTCTTTTGGTCGTTCTATTGTACACAACTACACTCTACACATTGAGTCTAAAATGGTAACGAAAGTGTGCGTTTTTATATTCACACTTGTTTTGTCAACTAAAACTATCTTAATGGTATGTTGAACTCTTCGCCTTTTGCGATTCTTCGCGGAAAAGGAACCATTAACTAATTTACTTGACTTTCAAATACTGTTTTTCTAAAAAAAATTTATTATCAGTTCAATTATATATTTCATATACTCTCATTTTCAGACATTTATTTCTCTCAGTCTTACAATATAAAGTTTCATTCTTTCGATCGATAAGTTTGTCCAGTCCTTCTCCACAGATCTGTTTCAGCTCACGCCATGGAGTCTTCTTCTTCTTCACTGTAATCATTACGAATCACTCTCTTTTCTTTCTTATTTTGTCTTTTTCTTCAACTTCTTTCGCTCAATAATTTCTTGATTTTTTTTTTTGATGAATTATTGTTTCTTGAAAATCTTGTTCTTTGGACATTGACTAAATTCACGATTTTGCTGGTCTTGTAAGAAAATGTTCTGCACTTGGGAAGCTTGTGTTGAGCTCTGGTCTCTTACACAGCTCATGGAGTAAGATCTCGGAGATACATAAATCACCCTACTCGAATCAAGATTCAGGTCTTGGAATCAAGATTTACCGAGAAGAGAAATTCACACTTGTGGTTTTTGTCGCACCACCGATTTTCACAAGTAGCTCTGATTCTACTCTTCTTCCTGGGAAAGAAAATGAAAATCCGTTCCCATTCCTCTGCTCCGAGAATAACCCTTCATTCTCTCTTCACACACCTGCTTTTAAACTTTTTACCTCTGCTTATAAGAGTCTCACTTACCTCAAATCAGAGGTAATTTATTTTCCCTCTCTTCAGAATTTGCTTAGAGAAATTATTTTTATGTCGACAACTTTATGAAACAGTAGCTGAGGTCAAGACAATTTCAGAATCTTAATAGTTACTGACTTAGTGTCTGCATAAAGACACAGATAATTTCAGTTCAATAGCTTTAATACTCTGTTTGATCTAGTTTAGGTTTCTCACAAATTTTTGGAATTGTCTGGTTTCTTAAAGTCAACAACTATAAGAAACAGAATCTTTGAGTTAGTCAAAATTCCAAGAAAAATTAGAAATCTTGAAAGTTATATTGTCTCTTGCAGTTGCTCCAAACGCTTGAGTCTGAGAAACCGGTGATCATCACTGGAGCTTCGTTAGGAGGGTCCGTTGCATCTCTCTATACGCTATGGCTTCTAGATACTATCGACCCCAAGTTAAAACGCCCCTTATGCATCACATTTGGCTCGCCATTGATTGGAGACGTTTCTCTTCAACAGATTCTTGAGAATTCTGTGAGGAATTCATGTTTCCTTCACGTGGTAGCAGCACAAACTCGCATCAGAATGGATTTCTTCAAACCTTTTGGAACGTTTTTGATCTGTTTTGATTCCAGATGTGTTTGCATCGAGGACCCTGTGGCGGTCACAGAGTTGCTAAACGGTGTTCATGATTCGGAACAAGTAGACTACGGCCAGGTTCTACGTCGTCTTGACCAATCCATGTTGTCTATGGCGGATTCAAGATTGATCCCTGAGGCTGTTATCAAAGGAATGGAGGAACGTGCGGAAATGAAAACTCTGCGATTTGATATGTTTAAGAAGTTAAACGACATGAAGATATCGATGGCGTATATAGAGTGGTACAAAAAGAAATGCAGGGACGTCAAGATCGGTTACTACGATCGGTTCAAGACTCAACTCGCGTTCCCGTCTAAGGAGTTCGATATAAAAATCAAGAATCACAAAATAGAGCTAAACCGTTACTGGAAATCAGTGGTTGAAGAAGTAGAGAAGAAGCCGCAGAGCGATATATCGATTCTCAAGAGACGGTTTCTATTCTCCGGGAACAATTACAGACGGATGATTGAACCGCTCGATATTGCTGAATATTACCTCGAGGGTCGGAAAGAGTATCGAACCTCGGGAAGGTCTCGCCAATATGTTATGCTCGAGAAATGGTTTGGAATGGAACCCATAGAAAAGGAAAGACGCAAAAACAGAGATTTGAGTGATCTTTTAACGTTTGATTCTTGTTTTTGGGCTGACGTTGAGGAATCGTTGATTGTAATTAATCAGCTGAATACAACCGTGGGGGTGAGAGACGATGCGAGAGAGGTATTATTGACTAGAAAACTCGTGGAGTTTGAGGAGTACGTGTGGGAGATGATCAGAAAACGTGAGGTTTCGCCGGAGATTTTCTTAGAGAAAAGCAGTTTCATGAAGTGGTGGAAAGAGTACAAAAAGATCAAAGGCTTTAATTCTCCACCTTCATACTTCACCGAGTTTATGAACACCGGGAAGTACAAGAGTTATGGTCAGTCACAATAATGGAAAAACTTAGTAATTTATTTACTTTTCAGGCTAGTTATGTGTGATTGTTATTGTTCATTTATAAAGACAAAAGTGTGTCATTTTGAGAGTAACAAAAGCGAAATAAAATAAAGTTATTGATGTGTTCTTGTAAGGGTGGTATGATGAAGTTAATTTATTTTGTTGTACAAAACATAGAACAAATAACTAGTGTACATATACTCAAAACATAAATCGATTCCTTTATAAGAAAGAAAACCCCACAAAAACCTTACGAAACAAAAGAGAAACTGAGAAAATCTATGAATTTATGAAAACATAACACTCTCTACATAATCCACAAGACTAACTACCCCAGACAATCGTCCAAACCCATATGAGTTTACATCAATCTCAACAAATTTTCGACTATTCGTCTTAGGATCGTGAAGGATCAAATGATAATCCTCCAGATCATACGTTGCATATATAATCTCACCCGTGTGAGCAATGCCTCTAAAGTCTACAAGACCAGACCTTATAGATAAATTTACTTTCAACCATTGTTTTTTCTTGAAATCCTCCAAGACCCACAAATCAAATGAATGACACGAAGTTCGAGTGGCTGATGCTATATTCCCTTTGTAGTTGATCAAGTTTGACGATTTTAAAAAATTTTGAACCTCCACGGGCAATATAGTGAGAAAATCAAAAGTTTCAGATCTCAAGTCAAATCTCACTAAGCTAGGTTCCATAATTTCTGTTCCCATGTGAGCATAATAATACAAAACCCCATTGGTACAAATACCTTCAGATTGAGGTCGATGAGGAATGCTACACTCGAAGTTTCTCCATGAGTTTTGATGATTAGATGATTCCAATGAAAGCACTTGACATTGACTAGCTGCAACTAGCTTACGGCCCGTACCAAACATTGGTTCGGTCACGCACAATACTTTATATATGTCATCAACAGGATCATATCCAAAAAACCTTTTGAGAACCCTTCTTCTGGATTTGACTAAAGGTAGGGTTATAGACTTACCAGTGGTTGGATTACTTATGATTTGTTCTTGACCGTAGACAAAACTTATCAAACCATGGACGCAAATAGGTCGAGTGTAACGAAGTTCCGGTGCGTGGCAAGCCGTACTAGATAGAAAAACCGGTGATGATGATTCCTCTAATGATGAGGAGAGGAAGAACCAATTCTCGCGTCCTTCTTCTTTATCTACTCCACTGAAAGCTAAGAGAACACGTTGTTTCTGCTTTGGAGATCGAAACGAGAATGATCTTATGAAATCTTGACTACGGATGATTTTTGCAAATAGCTTTGATACGCTAACGAATCTTGTCACGGACTTCGCAGGCAATCTCAAGAGAATTTCGAACAGCAAGTCAATAGGAATTGTGTTCGAGTATGTTGTCGCTTCAGTTTCTCGTGGATTTTTCTTCATCTTTGTCCTTCGTCCGCTATGCCTTCCCATGGTTGCTCTTTGTTTATGAAACCCTAATTTGTTTTTCCTTTAGTCTCTGATTAATTTACTATCCCTAGACCCTAGTGATATGACAATATAAAAGGATTTTTTTTTTATTTTTGAATAAGGAGATACCATGGGTAAATGGCCAATAGTAAGCCCAATAAAGGCCCATTAACGTTAGGGCAACATGAATAGAGGTGCATTAAAAGAGGCAATGACTGATCGAGGTAACAAAGTAACAAAGAAGCATTTAAGCTTACTGCGGATAATTCTTGCCCATCACTTCGATACTATGAGAAACCTCACTATAGATTTCACAGGTCAGTATCTCGTTGATTATTTTTGGTCTTCTTGCTATGCCTTTTTCCATGGCAAAACCCTAAATCTCTTGAAGAAAACTTTCTGCTCAAGAATCCTAATCCATTCTTTTTTGTCGCCTTGATCTATATATTCTATCACAGGATATACTTATATAATCATTAAATGAATACGACTAAAGAAAATAGATATATAGTAGTGGCATATGTCAAAATGGATCAGGCCAACAAATTCAATAATGGTGTAGTAATTTAAAAGAAAACAATTGTCTTTAGATATGTAAAACAGAGTGTTGAAACAGAGCAAATCCAATGATTCCCATATTATATAATAAATATTAATGAATCTTGAGAACTTTAAAAAGAGGTGTTTCTTTAGTTTATTAACAATTTGTATCACATTGATCATCATCATCACTTCTACTCTTGAAATGCTTGCAAATAACAATATAAATCAAGAAGCTAATAGCACTAGTGAAAGCCAAAAGCCAATAATAGTTATCAAGTCTAGCTTCCGACATATCATCTGCAAACCAGTTATGTTTTCCACCTCTTGAGCTCGAGTAAGTCTCGATTATCGAAATCAACGCAGCACTCACAAAACTCCCCACACCGAAAACACTTGTGTACAAAGCAAATCCCATTGTTCTCATGCTAACAGGAACCTCGCTGTAGAAGAACTCTTGCATTCCAACAACAGTGAAAATGTCCGAGATTCCCAATAGAATGTATTGAGGTAGGAGCCACAATATGCTCAACGGATCCGAATTCGGTGTAGTCTTCATCATTTTGCTTATCTTTAGTCTTTTTCTTTCGACTAACGCGGCAATAACAATGGCGATAATGGATAGGAACATCCCAATCCCCATTCTCTCCTTGACGGAAATACCTTTTTCGTTTTTCGTTATTTTTTTGGCGATTGGTATCAAGATTTTGTCGTAAAAGGGCATAAGAAGGATTATGGATAAAGTGATTGTGCTTTGTAGCGTTGCGGGTGGGATTTTGAAGTTTGGTCCGATGTTTCTCTTCATAGTCATACCTTGCTTTGTGAAAAAGGTCGCGGGTTGCTGGAATATGACTGCAAACATTAGAAGCATCGTCCATATAGGTAAAAGCCGAAGCAATAGCTTGACGGTTTCAAGCCCTGAGAAACCGGTTTTGCAGCTTTTATGATCATCAGGTAAGCTCTTGGTAGTAGTATTAGCTTCAGTGTTGCTACAGTTACATAGAGGCTTCTGATCTTGCAGCCTATATACAATACAAAAGCAAGACATTAGAGGTGTTTAATGCGGTTTAACAAATCCATAAACCAATTTTTTTTTTGTGTGAATTGAATGTATAAAAGTAAAATAACTTACTCTAGCTCCATGGCATTTAAATCGTGGTCGTTCACAAGAGTTATCTTATTGCTTCCACACACTCTTTCTTTGATACTCTCTAATATCCTTTGAAATGGTTTAGCTTTGAGGTCTGGATCAGCATAGACATAAACCCCGCAGCCACACAAGAACAAGAAGATCAACAACAACATTGAAGCGGTTGGGATTGCAAAACCGATAACCCAACCAAACGTGTCTTGGATATAAGCCATGACGGTGACTCCTAGAAGACTACCGGCGCAGACACCAAAGTACCACCATTGGAAAAACTTAGTCTTGCGGTTTGATTTGACTTCTTTGTTCTCTGAGGATGGCTCGTGGTCATGGTCTTGGTCAAGGTCGTGGTCGAGCTGGTCAGCACCAAAGGCTTGTAGAGATGGGTTTAAGACGCCAAGGCCAAGAGCGACGAGGGAGAGTGAAGTGTAGAGGAAGTAAAGAGAGATGGTTTTTGTAGTGGAACGTGACCCAGCATATGCCGTAAATGTCAATCCCACTAGACCCTTTTTTTAATACCCAACAAAAAGCCAAACAAACATTATTAACTTACGTAATTACCAAAAATAAATTACCTAACAACATAAATAAGAATTTGAAATAACACTAAAATACTACTTTTAAATTTTATGAAGAAAAATTCGGTTACAATTATGGGCTTTTTTTTTTATTAATTCATGTAAGATTTATAGCTGGAGAATAAATAAGATTAGTGAGGAGTGATTCGAGTTCCATTATTATAGTTGATTATACACTAGGCTTAACTGTTTCTGATAAGATCCACAATATCACATTATGGAAACAAACTTTACCAACAATATCTCAAATTCCATTACCGTCCAATAATACTCTCAAAAGGAAGTTTAGAAAACAGTCGGTGAGAAAGGTTTATTTTTTTATCAGGAAAATGCATCGAATGTTCACATGCTTGGTACCAAACCACATAAAGAAAAGACAAAAAAAATATATCAAGAAACGTTTTGTGTTAAGTCCTAAAGGTTCCATTTTTCAAGCAAATAGACCTCACAAAAGAGCGCAAAGAAGAGGGTCACATGATCAGACATCATGCATAAAACAAACGATTCAAGAAAAACAAATTTTCAACTCTAACTCTAGGATCTGACTCAGAAAAACTCGTTCAAAACTTAGGTTGATGGGTTTCAATTGCTCTCCTTTGTTGTAAGACAAAATTTTACCGAAAAAGGAAAGTCGTAAGAACAAGGAAAGGAAAAGGACCATTTGATTAACATGTTTAAGAATAACCAATAAATTCTTTCTTGGATTGACTCTTGATTAGTAATCAAAAGTTGGTATAGAAATAATTACCACAAAGTAGAGAGAAGAAGAAGCAAGGATGGTGAAGAATCTGTCCCAATAAGAATCGGCGAAAGGAGCAGAGAAGAGAGGCAACATGAAAGTGAAGCCACTCCAAGTGTTAACAGTCGTGGCTGCTCTGGAATTGCTCATCTTCACCACATCAGTTAGATATGTCACTAAGTTTGATGCAACTCCTTTGAATGCATATCTCTCTATCCCAGCAATCACTATGAGAAGAGCACAAGATTTGCTAAGTCCTCTTCTTTTCTCTCCTCCAGCCATCAAAGAGAGTATATTAAAGCTTGTGTTTGTGTCTGTGCGTGTTGAGGGAGAGAAAAGAGAGAGAGAGAAGAAGAGGTAAGGTTATGCTTTGTGTGAGGAACTATATTTATAAAGCTTTTAGACCACAAAATCTGGCTTTTATTTGAGTAGAAGTTCTATCAATGTACACATATTTGGGTGGGAGCAGAGCACACGCCTCTCTACATGTACAAATTTAATGAATACATGTTTTAAATTTTAATGTATATTCTAAAATAGAATCATATTTCTAAAACGCCAAAACTTACTTATTTTTTAGTTCCTAGAAAACAAACTACCTTTTTAAAAAACAGAGTAAATATATATCTTCAGAGAATACGTTCTGTATACGTTTCTGCTATATAAATCTTGTTTGTTAAATACCTTTTTAATTCCTCAACTACTTTTTATCTAGACTTTATTTTTTTATAAGATATATTCAATATAAAAATAACATTTTAAAAGATACCCTGCATGTAGAAACCAATAACGGATATTTTGCTTCTCTTTTAGGAATTTGTCTTTTACTCCTTTACTTGAAAAGAGACTGGGACAAGCATTTTGCAAAAAAAAGGAGTTTGTGTATAGATACGTGAAAATAATAGAACACTATCGGCAATAATTAATTTTGGTCCATATATATAACAATTTGATTTTCATCTGACGCATTTCTCTTCTTAAAAACAAGTATATATCAAATTGTTTATTGAAAGATAAAATCACATCCATAATATATTGTGTTACGTTAAGAATCCAATGTCCATGCATAGGAGACTAACATGTTCTCGTTAAGAATTTTTTTTCTTTCAACATTAGGGAATTATCTTTCCTCCAAGTATATATCATCCAAACTCAAATTCAAATCACTAACCAAAAAATGTATAATATATAATTAACAAACCTTGTTTCTTTGGAGATTTTCTAATGTTCATATTTCTAGGAGTCTTTCTGATCACTTTTAAATAGAATGTAGCTGCGTTTTTTTTTAATTGTTTTTTTGGAAAATTAACATTTCAATGTTAATGTAATACAAAAAAATATTCAACTAAAAAAAGGAAGATATATTAAAGTTGTTCACTTTAGGGTTTGGCTTTGGAGAAAGATGTAGAGTGAGTGGCGATATGTCGACTTGCACCAACTAAAAATTGTTAGCTTACGTGCGTAACACTTCCTTTTTTTTTTCTTTTTCTTTTTGTTACATACCATCATGGTCTCTCGTGTCCTTAAAGGCTTAAGAAATAAGGAGCGAGTGTGTCAGTCGTGTGTGTGTGTGTGTGACTGTGTGTTGTGTCTTGATCACTTTGATGATAATATGTTATATTGTAGCATCAAAGTTATGGAGAGCTTTATAACCTTCATTAAAACAAAACAAAAATATAATGGAGAGCTTGATACCAAACAAAAGTTTCATCGAGTCTAGATTATGTTTTTTTTTGTGGTTATGAATTAATCTTCTTTCCATAACTAAAATAAAAAAAATTACATGGTCTCGCGTGGTCAATCCTTGATTAGATATCTCTTTATTTCACAAAAGAATTCATCTTTCAAATAACATTAACACAGATTTAATTAAACAAGGCTGGTTTAAACGCGATGTGTAAAATTATGCCTGGATGATGTCTTAATTTACAGATAATTGAATTTAAAGTGTTATTCCTACTAAAAATGACACTAAATATTATCTTAGCGCAAGATAAAGTTAGGGATTAGTCAATCAATTAACCATTGTAACGTTTCCATTTGATCCATCATTATTCGTTCTTATTACTATCGTTTGCTTTAAAAAGAATGTGTGGCCATGAACTTATCACGCCTAATTTTGCATATAATAACATTTAATCAATAATATTCAATTTATCTAGATTAGTAATTGAATCATATGAATTTAGGTGTCTTTTGTTTACTCGGAACTCACTCACTTAAATTATTTAATCAAAACTTTGGTACGCTGACAACAATAGTTCCAAAGATAGTAGACTACTAGCTTCGGTCCGTATTTATGTGTTTCTGCACCAAAAATATAAGTACTAACGTAATTACATAAGATCACTTTTGGCAACAGTTTCATATAACCACATGTTATAAGAAATGACAAAGTATGTGTCTAGATTTTCGAGTTATAAAATTTATTAAAAAATTAGTGGTAGAACAACATAACTCGAGAGTCATAGCTATAATTTGCCATACCACCATGACTATTAGTTATACCATTTCTCCTTTTTGGTTTCTTTCATAAAAATAAAGATACAAAATTTTTGTGTGACTATAAACTAATCCCCACGTAGCTTACGTACATCAATTAACATTCGAGCTGGTATCCACCACATTTTGTTTCATGCACAATCCAATCATATAACAAATTCGGATCACACTCTTAGCTTTGTCTTTCTTCTTTATATTGCAAAAACGTACTTAAAGATAAAAAAAAAAATTCGTAGTACATGAGAAGCTTCATAAATAAAAACTTGAAGTTGGAGAAGAAACAGAGAGATATCTTTCAACAATATGTTCATAATAGGATCAGAATATTACTTTAATTTGTAATAAAAGAAAATAGTTTTTCCTCGGTCCCTATTTTGACAAAATCTTTTGGACTCCAATTCAATCTAATGTGTATAATATAGTTTATATACACACAACATATTAATCCCAGGCAAAATGGTAAAACTAATTAATATCACTTGTCTCAAAAAGAGAAAGGAAAAAAAAAAAAAAAGAACTAATGTCTTACAGTAGTTTTACATGGACACAGATGCTCCAGCTTCTACTCTCTCTTTTTGACAGTTCATGTTCCGGCACAGCTTTTTTTGAACAAGAAGAAAGCCGATTCTGAGCCCAACCTCTCTTAGTCAACGATCTTGTGAGGCCATACCAGCCAATAATAGTCAACGTTCAGTCTTAAGTGTGTGTTTTCACTTGTGAGGTCGTAGCTCAAGCTTATAAGCTCGTATTTCCATGGGAGAGATCGACACACGTCCTTCCCGCGGTTGTGAACTATCTCGAGTTGACTCTTGATCATCGTACCCGAGGATCTCCATATCTTCTTGCAAGAGATTCAGTGAAGTTGGTTTTACCTTTGAAGCTGCAAGATCTTTGAACATATCGGAAAAGTTCACTGGTTCATTAGCCACGCTTGTGCAGTTTGCTTGTCTTCCTTTATGGCAATAAGCTGAGTCCCAACCTCGTCTGTTGAGGATAAGAGCGAATCTCGGCTTGTCTTCTTCCAATTGCTGAGAGTATTTGGATGGACGCGGAACCTTGAAATTCACTATGTGGAGGTCACACGGTAACGGTTTGGCTAAAGGAGCAAAGGAACCATATTGCGGAACACGCACAGATATGTCTTGTGGTTTCTTGGCAATGAATGTGTTTATGGGGTAGTTCAAGTGAGCACCTATGAGGTGGGAGAGAAGCGAAGGGTTCCTCGGGTTAGGGTTGGAAACATGGTCTGACTGAGAAATGTTTGACTCCGCAAGAAGGTGAAAAACCACTGTCATTGGGCGGTTATCCATCACACCTTGCCCTAGACCACGTCCGTCATCACGGACCAACCGTCTGTCCATCATAATCTCCAACCAACCATCTTTGAGGCTTGCAACACCGAGAGATTGGCGAGAGTGCACGGAGAATCTCTGACCATTGGATCCTTGGATGAATGCGAGAGATGGCATTGGGTAGTAGTTTCCTTGAAGAGGGATCTTATCATAAGTTTCTCTCCTGCTCATTTGGAAACCATTGAGATCTGAATAGAAGACCTTCTTGTTGTCAACATCAGTCTTGTACCGGACAATCAATTCCCGGTCATCGAAATCGTTACCTAGTAGCTCAACATGATATTCTATCTCGACCACTAGATCCTGAAGCGTATTACCTCCAGTGTAAAGACGAGTTTTCTGAGAGAGGGGTGATTTCTCCCATCTGGTTTTAGGGTAAGAGAAAACTTCTTGAACCAGCAGACCCTCAGAGGTAACTACATGTCCACCGGGTTGAACAATTGATTGAGCTTCACCATTTGGTTTGAACAGGTAAGCTCCACTCTCTGGACTAGAGTACATACCTATCTCTTCTCCCACGACAGTCTCTGATCCGTTTCTATGGATTATCTTCCGCAGTGATCCGTTCTTCACATCAAACACAAGAGTCTGATGTTCATTTCGGATCTCAGTAACGTCGCTGTCCAGTTTGGAGCAGGAATATGGAGGAGGACAAGGAAATGGGTCAAATTCAGAAGCGTATTTGAGTTTAGACTGTGTAGCTTTCTCACATTCGACATTCCCATTAGCAATGAAATATGTTCTCAGACCAAGAGCTGGGATGGAAGCTTTCCAGTAAAGGCGATGTCTGCCAGTGAATAGTTTGGTATTGTCATGCTGCACTTCAGGAGAAATTTGGCTAGGGACACAAGTCCAGTTTGAGTCCAAAACTGAGATTTCAGCGCGGTTAACAAGGACAGTTACTACCTCCTCTCTCGTCTGTTCCGATGGATTGAAGAGTATAACTGTGTGTGAATTTCCTTCCCGCGCAGCAATTGGCTTGTGAACCGGCCGAGCATCATACTTGGATCTCACTTGCTCTGCCTCGAAAAATGATGGGGATTGATCAGATTTTTCTTTCTCGTGGCGGATACCAAGAAGAACTTCGATTGCTTTAGACATAAAGATCTGAAGGTCTTGCAATGAAGTATGCATCCGGGTGCCGTAATCTTGTACCACATAATCCTTAGCAGTTCCGGTTACCCCATCATGGTGCTGGAAAAGAGCTAGATTTCTTCTTGCAGCAGTTAACTTATACGTAAAACTTGTTGGAAATTTCTCACACTGAATCCGATGGCAATAACCTAGCAGAAATGACATCATGATCTCAGCTCCACGAAGGGTATGCTCGAGCACACGATCAACAGCTTTGAAGAAAGGCCTTGAAACATAATAACCACTCCAATAGTCTTGTTGCCTATCTGCATATGTAAAGAAGTCACCTGACAGAGAAGGGAAACCCACAACCTGACCAGAGCCAACCTCACCAGGACGAGAATAATTTACTCTGTCGGCTTCTTCTCGGAGTGTTCT